GGCAATCACAATGGGGTGTGTGGAGAGAGAATGGGCCTCGTCTGAGACTTTGGGCGTAGTTGGGCAACGCAAAGCTGCTCCAAATAGTAGCATTTCTTTCCCCGGTCCTCTTTTGACACACAGGTTGGGGGGATTTTTTTTTTTTTAGATATCCCCACGCATTTCGGAACCTTCTCACCACGTGGCCTGCGCGTTTTTCGCAATGCCTAGCATATCGGAGTATTGGTCGTTGCTGATACCAAATTTTTTACCTGCGTCTCTTTGCCTCCTTCTTCATTCCTTCACCGTCTGTTGCTCACTGGGCTTCTACCAGGGACAAGAGGCGCTGCAAACCCTGAGCCTGAGTGCCCACAGAGCTGGCTCCAGGAGACCAAGTAACACAAGCCGCCCCTGGTAGGTGGGCTGGACACTATGGCACCACTCTTATGCGACAGTCTCAAACCTTCGCCTACATCATATTGCAGATTGAGACTGCTGTACTGTAAGTGTAGGACGGAAGTTGGGCACGGACACAGGCACGAAGCTGAAAATACAGGCGGACTTAAACGCAGCTTGTCGCAGTCTCGTCGGTTCAACAATGCTAGCTGCGCACGGCCATAGCAGCAACCCAGTAATTTCCACAATGACATCAGTTCCCTCCTTAGTCAAATTTGGAAAGCGGCGTGGCCGAACCACTCTCTCTCTCGCAATGATGCTGTGGAACCATTTCCCCTAGATAGGTTCCTGCGCGTACACTTGGGCCGCGCTGCGAGATGGCATACACCAGCCATGGCGCGCTTCCTTTCGCTGTGAACTGTTGTTGGTATTCTGCTGGCTGGATCAGCAGGCCTGTCAGCTGACCTCGGGCACTTTACTCTGGCAGGTCCAGGACGGTGCAACCTGGGAATGGATGCCACCCCCGATGTGATTAATAAATACGTGGGAGACAATGAGGGAATGTTGACCCCCTTCTGCCGTCGGATGCTTGCTTGGACGTTTCTCCGCCTGATTCCCCGATACCATGAAGCCGCAGCAGCGTTGTCAGAACATGAATTTGTTGTGTATCGAGGATACGGGCTGAAATGCCGTGTATACCAAACGAGGTCCACAACAAGACGGGTAGGGTAGCTTGGGGGGGAGGGGAGAAGAGAAGGCTGAAAAGAGTGCTTGACAGGCGTCTGTCTCTTTACTCTGCATATATGGTATGCACTGATACGCACCATGGCATCATGTGCTCTGTCTGCGGCCGGGCGTGTCAAGCTAAGCTGCGGTACATTGACCACTTAAAGTCGGTTTCCTTTCACAGATACGCGCGATATGCCTTGATGACCAGGAGGCGCCGTGCAGCATGAGAGACGGGACATGGCCGGTTGGTGAGATGCAATGGCCCCAGGCGCTCTTTGGCTGGCGCGGTAGCCCGCAAACAGCCGGCAGGCTGCATCTTGGTCGTCCTTTCTTTGAGATGACAGAATCCTTAATAGTGGCAGGGATCTGTCCTGTCTACAGCTCTCTCTCTCTCTTCTTTTTCCTTTTTCTTCCCCCCTTTCTTATTTTTCCCCTCTGTTCGCCTGTATATATCTGGCGAGACAGGATTGTGACGAGACATACAGCTTCACCGGCCCCACCCATGCCGTGGATGTTGGGCGAGTCTCGACCAGGCTGTGAAGCTCCTCCATACATCGTACTACAGCACCACCGGAGGCTGAAATGCTAATAAGAGAAACTATTAAGCGTGGGTAATTAGCATTGGCACCTTACCGCTGGTACGGAGCATATACTTGAGCTTGTACGTCACGCATCAGACATCCACCACCCACATTCCTAGGTCCTTGTACATATATGCAGCATGTCCACTTGCAACAACTCGACTTACATGCAGCGTGCCGCCACACCGGTCGCCATTAGTTAGTTAGTGGTCGATGGCACGAGCGGCTAGTATATAGTAGTGCTCGAGAATAAGATCGCTCTATACGGTGAGGTTGGGCAAATATTTGATGGTAATGCGTCCAACGGACCGAGCCAACGCATAGCGGCCTCGTCCCCTCGCGCATCTGCCAGTCATGTGGCTGAGCGACATAACCGTGACACCAACTATAAGGGCTAAGACATGTTAGCCGTATGATTCTGAGATATCACTGCGCTGATGGCACATTCTACGGCGTTAGGAACAAGAGGAGCTGCACCGCATTTTGCTGTCTCCCTGCAAGTATGCCATTCTACTTGTGTTTATGGAAGAAAAGAGTGCGACGGCGGTCCACTAACACTTAGCCGCCTGCTGGTAGACACGGCAAGAGAGGGACGCGGGTCTCTTCTAGGCGGCATCAGTCGTACTGCTAGGACTAGCTTGCAGCTCGAGGGTGCGCATACATAACTTTGCGCCTACTTTGTACTTACCTTGCATGAGACATGCGTGCTAGGCTGCAGGTAGGTAGCACATCAGATGCTGGCGCGCACCTGGATATACTGTACAGTAGATGCGGCAGGTCAAAGAGGCGCTTTCTGTAGCAGTCTACACAATAGTGGCACGGTGTAGAGATATTTCTGCATGTCTCTCGCCTCTGCCTGTTGATTAATACTGCAATATCGCGGCGTTAAAAACTGAAAAGGTTCAGTTGGTCCACTGGTAGACCATTGTAGAGCACAGACTATGTTCGAGTATACGTAGGGCCACTATAGGCATATGTTGTGCGAACTCCCGGACAAGAGATCTCAGGTGCTGTGGTGGTCCGCATCGGATCATGGGCGTATGGCGATGACGAGGGAGAGGCGTATCTTCTTGTGATTCCCCAGCTCAAATTGCACTCGGGACGATCAGGAATTCATTCCTAAACTATAGCACCAAATTTTGGCGCGCCTCTTAAGCTTGGCATAGTAACATGCTAATATACCTAGCAAGTAATGGCCACCAACAGCGGCCGGTACGACCTCTGCAGCCATCCGCTCAAGTTGTCACGAGAGAGTGATGGCCTGGTCGAACGACAACGACGCACATGAATCACTTGGCAGTGCGAAGTAAAAAAGTGCCTGCTCTACTTCGCACAATGAAGTTTCTGACCGCTGGCTCAGTCGAAAAAAGAAAAGGCCAAAGTTGCCTTGTCCAAGCACAGACGGCATCAGTAGAAAACGGTAGCGGTGACGGCAAGCCGCTACTGCCAGTCCAACGAACGAACGGTCAACCAGCTAGCCGCTGCTATTATTGTCGGGTCAGTGCTCGTACCTGATGAAAATTGTACTACACTCACTTTGTCTCCCTGCTGCTCCACCCCCTATTGCTAGGTAGTAGCCTTTTCACACCCCTCCGAACTTGGAGAGGGCTGTACTATTATCCAAGTAGGGCGCAGAAAAAAAAAAAAAAACAGCCAGCAACCGCGAGACCTGAGAAGTTCTCGCAACACTCGCTGCTGATAACGGGTTGCAGCAGAGTCGGGAAGTGCCGCTGGCGAGGAAATGGCCGTCACGATGGCATTTGAGTCTAAGAGTGAAGGTTGATTTTGATTTTGATTTATTTTGCGGTTTTGCCTTTGGGAAGTTACGTAGCTGTGGCCTGAAAAATACGGTGTGCAATTCGGCGAGCCGGCTGCAGCAGTTGCGTGCACCGCAGCTGCCTCAACGCTGAAAAAACAAAAAGAAAAGAAAAAAAAAAAAAAAAAAAAAATGAAGCGTCGTGTACTGTTGTCGCCAACGACGTCAGGCAAGAGATTTTTTTTTACCTCTCATTTCTTTTTTTCCCTTTCTCCCTTCTTCTCTCTGCCTCCCCCGGAGTGTTCCTTATCTCCTCTCTGTCTCAACATTGTGCGAATTCGTCGTTTTCCAGCAGAATCTCTCTTCTTCCTTCCTGTCCGAAGGATTTTTTTTCCTCCACCCCCTCTCACGGCACTCCTCGCATGCTGCTGATTTTTGTCGATTCCAGCATCATCATCGCCATCATCCTTCTCTCCACTATGCGGCCCCTGCCTGGTCTCTGCTTGGGTGTTAACCAGATCCTTGCCCTGGCTCTTTTCGCCTTGCTAGGCCATGCCTGTCACTTGAATGCCACACCCCGATCGCTCATCCATCTTTAGGCACACCCCTGCACCTCTTCCAAGGTACCAAGCTTGTACCTGTAGCCTTCGCGGCGCCGGCTGACTCGACTCGAGAGACAGCAGCCTCAAGCCGCACCCCGAGTCCACTCGAAAAATTGCACTTGTCGGGGCGATGGGTGCTTGTACAAGGCGGCGGTACCTAGCCTAGTTCTTCCAACTCTGTTTTAGGTCCTCGGCGCAGGTCACCGCTCAAGCTTGTTAGCGGGACACAATCATTTTGGAGCTTATAAGCCCCGGGATAGCCTCTGCATCTCCTGGTGGTGCTTGAAGCCTTCGTCTACTACTACATATATCTCCCACCTTCACCGGACATTCTCTCCTCCTTTCTCTCACAGGTTCTATTCACAAGTTTGCCTCTTGGATACCCATCTTGCCCTCTGATCTTTGATTTACTTTCGTCTGTTCTGCATTGTGGGGGGCATTGCCATACATAGATATCCGCAACCTTCTTCCGTCGTCGTTGCCTACATACCTACTACCTACCTAGTCAACGTACTGGCTTGTAACAACAACACACAACCTTTCGTCTATCAACATTAATCAGCTTCACCCTGTACCTCGAAGCCGAAAACTCGTCATCGCCAACGCCACCAAGTCTCGTGTGCGTCTGTACACGCTAGATACGAGCCTCGTAAACTTTGTTGCTCGGCTGGTAGCTTTTAACAGCTTATTCCGTTTATCCCGGTCAAGCAATAATCTCACTTTCCAAAGACACCCGAGATAGAAAATCGGCCCAACATGCGGAGGTCAACTTCCGTGTCTCGCCCTCGGCGTCGTAGCTCTGCCGCTCGGCGCAAGGAGCAGTTGCCGCCTTTTCCTGTCCAGCAGATGTTTGTGCTTGGTAAGTATATTTCGCTTCGGGTCCTAATTTTTAGAGCATGTTGTGGTTAATTTGGTGATTATATAGCTTGCTGCAGATTATGTGAACCAATTGCGTTCATGTCCATCTTCCCTTACATTTACTACATGATTGAAGACTTTAAAATCACCGAAGATCCGAACAAAATCGCTGTCTACGCTGGCATGGTAACTTCCGCATTCACTCTGGCCGAATTCGCAACTGGTGTCATGTGGGGAAAGTTGAGCGACAAGATTGGACGAAAGCCTGTTCTTCTCAGTGGCCTTATTGGTACTGCTATTAGTGTACTCATCTTTGGATTCGCTCCCAGCCTGCCCGTCGCTCTCTTTGCGAGAGCAATGGGTGGCCTTCTCAACGGGTATGAGCTTCTGTTTCTCATGATATTTTATTTTGTCCGATTTCTGACCTTGCTCTTAGAAATATCGGCGTGTTGCAGACCACTGTGGCTGAGCTCGTGACTGTTAAAGAGCATCAACGTACGTGTAATCTAGTCTCCTTGATATGTTGCCGATGGAAGCCATGCTAACAAGAGTGCTCGATAGCTCGCGCTTATACTATCATGCCTATGGTTTGGTGTATTGGGTAAGTAGTTTCAAGTTAGAGAGTGCACTGAGACGTTCTATTCTTACTAACTCTCTTTTTCTCACTCCAGCTCTATCATAGGCCCCATGATTGGTGGTGCTCTGGCTCGACCCTGCATCAGCTATCCCGACTACTTTCCCCGCGGCTCAATCTGGGACCACTATCCATACCTCTTGCCTAACCTCTTCAGCGCGGCGACTGTTCTTTTTGGTGTTGTTGTGGGCATTCTATTTTTGGACGAGACTCATCTTGCCAAGAAGGGCGAGAAGGATCGCGGTCGTGAACTCGGTGATCGGATTGCTTCACTGTTTGGTATGTTCACTTACGGCCGAGCCGATAAGCATGAAAAGCAAAGCCTTCTAGGCAACAGCAAGATTGCTGGATACGATACCATTTCTGGCTCTGATGCGACCAAGATTTCTCGTGGCAGAGAACGACTACCAGATTACCGGAGCCGAGAGACGTCGCCCCGGGTTCCTTCTCAGGAGAATGTAGAGCGTCAGGCTCTCTCCACCACCGAATCACCCGAGATGCAGCCTGATCAGCCCACTAATGTTTTCACTAAGCCGGTCGTGATGAACATCATTTCATACGGCATTCTTGCATTGTAAGCCCATTCTGCACTACCTGACAAGGCTCACTCCACGCCAAGATGCTAATGTAGCTGGTTAGCCACACCATCACTTACGATCAGCTCTTCCCGGTTTTTCTGAGCACGGCTCCTCCTAAGGAGCCAATCCTCGAGCTCCCATTCAAGTTTGTAAACGGCTTCGGTCTTGACACCAAGGCCATTGGCGTTATCATCTCCGTCCAGGGCTTTTATTCACTTCTGTCTAATTATCTGATTGTGACGCCCATCACCCGTCGACTCGGACCTCTTCGCCTCTTCCGCCTCATTGCTTTCTCCTACTTTGCGCTCTACCTCGTCACTCCTTATGTGGTACTCCTCCCGGAGAGCCTGAGAATGCCCGCCATTTATTTCTTGGTCATCTGGAAATGCACATTTTCAACAATGGCGTACCCCAGCAACGCAATTCTCCTGGCCAACTCAGCCCCATCCAAGCAAGTTCTCGGCACGATCAATGGCGTCGCAGCGTCCACAGCAAGCTTGTGCAGAGCTCTTGGCCCTACTCTTTCCGGCTTTCTTTACGCCATGGGCCTGCAATCTGGTTATTCTGGCCTCGCTTGGTGGTTCAGCGGCCTGGTCACCATTGCTGGCGCCTATCTCAGCTCTCAAATCACCGAGAGCCCCCAAGCCCCTCTTATGCACGATTACGACGATGATGCAAGCGTTTAGAGTTTAACAGTTTTAGTTTTTGGGTTCCTCGACATTAGCCCCATTCTTTGAGATGGTCTCACAACTTCGAGAGGATATCCGTCATTTTGTTTTATTTTTCATAAACTGGGATAATCGATTTTTATGTTTTTTTCAGCAAGCAACTAAAACAAGCGCGTTTTGAGTTGACAAGCCATGGTTTTTATCGGATTTAGCGACGCCATGAGAGGCTCTACATCTCCCTCTCAACATATTCGCCTCCCTCGTTTGTCTTATATATATATATATACATATTTTTGAGATTTGATGTATGCATTACTTGGGCACACAATTTTGGACACATTAGAAGGATACCGGAGCTTTAGGATAAACAAGGAACGGAGCAACTTTTTTGGGACTTTCCCACATAGGGATTTCTTTTTCTATTTTCTTTTTCTTTTTTTCTTTCTCTCTCTCTCTCTCTCTCTCTTTTNTTTTTCTTTTTTTCTTTCTCTCTCTCTCTCTCTCTCTTTTTTTTTTTTTTTTTTTTTTTTTTTTTGGAACGATGTGGGACACAAGCTATGTGGCAGCCATTTTCTGAGGATGGATGGATCGGGAGACTCGGATCAGGCTGGTGTGGAAATTGAAGACTAAGGACATGGATTAGGCTTATGGTTTTGTCGGGAATATGACACAAGGTATTAGGGTACTGGATATTGGACACTAGGCATTATGAACGGGGTATCGGACATGGAATATCAGGTTTTGGCAGCTGGAACCAGGCTCTTGAAAGCCGGCCCTACGGTTGGTTGGTTGGTTGGTTAGTCGGTTGGAGACGAAAGGACCAGGACGAGGCACGACGTGGCAAGAATAGGATAGCATGGGACGGGATACGATAGGATAGGGGGCAATGGAATGTTTTTGATTAGAGGTGTTTAATGATGGTAACTATGGGACCTTCGTTTGGAATATTGGGTACCGGCTAGGTAGCATGTATTTGCACACTAGGCGTACATTGGTTTTAGCCACAGACTTGAAAAATTCAAGAAAATTTCGTGGTGACAATCTGACTAGTCTGTCCGTCTTTGCGGTGAAGGTGAGCTTTTCGGTATTTGGCAGCCCCATGGGTTCTGCAGTAGTTCCAGAGAAGGGCCTGATCCTGGTGCCTGACTAGGTGAGACGCGAGATGGACGATTTGAGGAGACTGCTAGTGGAGAAGAAAGAAGCCACACGGACGGGGAAATTGGGTTGAGTGAACATTGAGCCAATCGGGAGATGTAGACATGGCCAGAGCTACATACATGGAAGCTAGGTGACGACATAGGGTGGTAGGTTGGGCTGCTACCATGCACAGATGGGGGCGCCTTTTCCCCCAAGAATAGATGATGGTGTGAAAAAGAGGCGTGTGAGCGTGCGTTCTGTGTGTGCGCGCTAACGTGAGGCGTGGAACAGTACGGGACGGCATGGGATGGCACCACTTCATAGGTACTTTATGTGTGCGAGTGTACTGGCGTCTGGAAGGCACAGGCTGTGCTTGATAGGAGGCACTACCATATCATATTACCAGGTACTAAGGTATGGGGCTGGGTGCATAACACTCCTATTGCCACTAATATTCCGCGGAAGCTGGGTGATAATTTTACTAACGGCAGTGCTGGTATCCTGTAAGCGGCACTTGAAGGGAAGTGCGTCAGTAGTTCTACGGATATTGGAGTGGTTTGTGGTATGATGTGAGAGAAGATGGATGGGGTCTGTTGGCTGAGGCGAGCGGAAGGAAGGGAAGGGAAGAGACCGGGGGGGGGGGGGGGTGAAGTTGGAGAAAAAAAAGGGGGGAGGGGACCAAGGAGAAGAGGAGTGAAGGCGACAAAGAGAGAGGAAGAGAGGAAGAGAGGAAGAGAGGAAGAGAGGAAGAGAGGAAGAGAGGAAGAGAGGAAGAGAGGAAGAGAGGAAGAGAGAGAGAGAGAGAGAGAGAGAGAGAGAGAGAGAGAGATGGGGATAGAATGTACGGGAGAAGGAGTACTACTGGGTAGTACCTGGTATGTGTATATGTTCGTGTGTCCATTTACCCCGGATTTGCTGAGTGGGTGGGTGGGTATTGGTTGCGGATTTGGTGGGAAAGATGTGAGGTAGAACAAACCTACTAGCCGTAGTATTCTCCGTGCTTTAGTGTCTGTATGAAGATGGGGCACTTCTTGGGTGCACAAGCAAAGCGATGGAGCCGTAGGTACATAGGAGGCGTGAGTGTGAGTGGCAGTACCTTGGCAAAGGTGCATGAGGAGTTGCAAGTAGATGCGAAATGAAACGGGCTTTAACGAGGAGAGAGACGAAGTGAGGTGGTGTGTGCATTGAGACCAAATAACAACTCACCTATGTAGTACTTCTCCTTACATGTTTGCAGTGTCTTACCTAGTATGGGTACAAGTACCTACTCCGTACACTGGTACTAGGTACATGCAGTACTACGTTATTACCAACTACTACCTACTATAGGTGTTTGAAATCCAAGCGAGAGAGAGAGAGAGAGAGAGAGAGAGAGAGAGAGAGAGAGAGAGAAAGGTAGGGCAGAGCTGGGCAAAGAGAACTACTAAACTACCTACAGAGGTATCTTACCACCTAGTGCTACTACTACTATAACAACCTGGCTTAACAACAAAGTCCGTGTGGTACTAAGTTAGCTTTGGAGTCTGCATAAACCTAAAGCGCGGAGACGATTCCGCACCTCTTGGTGTTACCTATTTTGGGGAAATCTGCAGCGGCTACTAAGCTGTTTTCCTTTTTTTCCTTCCTTCTTTAAATAGTCATAGTTACTGTGGCTTTGTCTGTGACGACTTTGGGTATTTGTGCGGGTGTGTGCGTGTAAGTACAGGTATCGACACAAAATTGCTTTATCTTCTCCTTTATTTTCTTTAAACCCTTTTTCTTTTTTCTTTTTTGGGGTAAATATCTCCGATTGGAAATTGTGGGGTTGTGGGTAGACAAGGGAAACGTCAGCTTTGTCGATGGGGATGGAGAAGTCGATTTGACAGGTGTTGATAAGGCATGGAGCGTACCGTACAAGTACACCTCGTACAGGCTGCACACTACATGTACCTACTACCTTATACTACCATACCTTGTATAATACGCAAGCTAGGCGTTTAGAGCACATTATACCTGCCTATGGTAGGCACCAGGGAGGCATGACATCTCGAGTGAAAAAAAAAAAAAAAAAAAAAAAAAAACGAAGATTATGCTGTGACATTCCACCCAGGCATGGGATGGATGAAAAGTTGGTCCGGCCAACTGCATTCACGTCGGTAGCAAAAAAGCAGACATGGGAGAAAAGTCAGAAAATAACCGTTGCCGCGGTTGCCTGTGCCTGGTGCCAGCTTCGGCCCCCAGCTCCAGGGGACTAACAGCAATGATGCTCAGCAAGGAGCGGCACGGTAGCACAAAGGATGAGTACGCGACGTGCAGATGTCAGAAAAGGACAGGGTCTCCCCTAGTCCCTGGTCCGACTACCAGGCAGTAGCGCTGCCTGGATCAATTACTATACTCTATTTACAATGTATGGCATGTAGTGTAGGTACTCCGTACTCTGCACTTGATGGAAATGCCACTGTACGGGTAACGGGGGAGGAAGGCGGCATAACCGAGACACAGCAGACGGCGACGGCAGTGGGATTTGAGGGATTCGGAATCGCGAGATGTGCATTATGACATCAACTCAGTCCAAGTATAGCTGTAGGGGGCTGTACATACTCTGTGATCCACCGGGCCTTGTCTGGTATAGATAAGGATGAAGCTCAAGTCTCTCTTTGTAGGCGTATGTATAGCTATATTCGGAAATCCGGATACCTGGAGATGTAGTATAAAGAAAGAGAGAGAGAGAGTGAGAGAGAGAGAGAGAGACTTTCAAAAAGAGAGCACAACGGTGTATTGTATGCACGGTTCTTTGTAGGTTTAGTATTGAGCTCATCTATACAGCACTATGAATAGATACTACCTAACTGTGAAGACCCTCAACGTAGCAGCACTATCTACTCGGTAGCTGCTCAATAGCAATACCGTAGCAACACAAAGCACTAGAAACGCAGTGTTGACTAAGGCAGACATATGTGGAGACAACCTGGGTTATACACGCTCTGTGTCGTGCGTGAGCCGTTGGTTATCGAGTTATCTCTATCTACCCCGTAATATTACCAAGCGGGTATTTTTTTTTTTTTTCTTTTTCTTTTTCACCGAGGCTCTCAGTAGAACTTACATCAGCATGCAGCAGCACTGCTCATCCCTCAGCCTATATAAAGAAGGGACTGCAATCACGAGCCTGGCAGCAAAATCCGGGGGCGAGGCTCTTGAGCGCTTGTGTTTCCAGAAACAAGGGATCCAGGCTATTGCTCGGCTAAATTAAAGAACCTAGAAATAGTCGGGGTGTGGCTGCGTGGCTGGCCGCTAAAGAGGACTTGAAGTAAGAGAAATAAGGAAATAGGGAAATAGAGAGGAGAGATGCAGTCTGAATGCGGGGACTTGGCTTGCGCCAGGCGGCTGGTTCAGCCCGAGGGAGGGGCCTCTCTATCGCTCTGCTCTGTGCTCTTATCAACTGCTAGGAACTCTGCTGCTAGCAGTACCATCTATTGCCTTATACTGGCACTGTTAGCACCGTTACCTGTGCTAGCAGCGCGCAGAAGGCGCTAAATAAGTAACAGAATCGACCAGTGTCAGTGCCACTTGAAGCCGCCGCTAAATGGTAGTGCTCAATTAGCAGGTACACGCGCGGTCGGCGTGGTCCCCCGCTATTCGTAAGTATACGATGCCGAGCTAGCTGGTGCCGTGGGGTTCGCTATCTGAAGGACGCTACTCGTGCTTTTATCGCCAACTCCAACTACCCACCATCTTTTTTCCCTCTCCCCCAAGCAACTACATGACATACCTGGTCTCTGGGCCCTTTCCTTCGATCCGACGGTGCTGAAGCTGCATCCCTACCCGACCTTGTTCTGACCCGGAAGGCCTGTCCTGTCCTATCGCTCGCGCAGACGACTGTGCCTTGATCTGCATTGCCGATTCCTGCGTCTATCAACTGCATATTTATCCCATCCGGGGAAGCTTCCCGAGCCATCTCTCCAGCCTCTGAGCTCGACGCGCCCGGGGCGTTTGTTCCGCGCCCTTTCGTCTTGCACGCTCAACGTCTTTCGGTTATGCGCCGCAACCAAAACGCCTCGATTCATGGATGGTTGATTTGATGCTTGTTGCCTACCGCTCAGCACTTTCTGCTCCGTCGACGTGCCGTCAAATCCGGCAGGACTAGGAATTTTGGCCTCGACAACCGCCTAGTTTTATACGTGGCCGATATTCGGCCTTTGTTTGAGTCTGGACGATGGGATAGCGGAGCCAGGGAAGCCGAGCATAGGATTGGCCAGCTGTTGAATATACATTAAAGAAGAAAACGAGGGAGGGAGAGAGAGCGCGAGAGAGAAGGCCGAGGACAGTAAGAAAAGAGAAGAGAGTGCAGAATACGGAGTAGAAGGCAAAGAGAAAGAGAAAGAAAACTTGTTTCATATAGACAGGAGCTTGTGCAACAGAAACTACAGAGAAGCCCAGAGGTGAGTCGAATCGAATCGAGTCTCTGTGTTCTGCATACGCGCTGTCCCACCTCCCCCGCTGGATAAGCTGCGATCTGACGTTGAGGTGTCCTGTCCGATTTGCCCATCTAGGCCGAGAACTGCTCCCCTTGTCATTATTACTGCCCGCCTGACTTGGTTGTCTGCGTGAGAGCACCAGAGAGACGGGAGGAAGAGGCAAGGGATAAGAGAAAAAAAAACGGAGACGGCATCTGTATCGGTTGTGTGTACTCGCATGCAAGCTGCTGCCGCCGCGACCCTCTCTTCTTCTCCTTTCCTAGACTCTGCACTGGGCTCTTCTTCTTTTCTCTTTCCCCCCCAGAGGATCTAACGCCGCACCCCCCGACCCCAAATCTCGCCAGCAGCTCGTCTCGTTGGGGGAACCGTCAGCCTAGCACAGCCAACCTTGCCTCATTGCTCCTAAACCATGCCCACGCATGGCCCGCCGTCTCCGATCCTCCAGCAAAGCGTCAAGCGTCAGCGGCAGGACTCGTACGACGGCACGTCATCGCGCAACGGATTCTCGAGCCCTGAGCAGCAAGCCGGCGATGCGAATCTAGGAGGGGCGGCGAGCAGCACCAGCAGCGGTCGCAGCGAGGCCAGTGCCTCGGCTGCTGTGCACCCCGGCCTCTCTGTCTCCTCTGCCTCTGTCTCTGCTGCGCCAGGCCCCGGTCCCGGTCCCGGTCCCGGTCTCGGTGCGGGCGCAACTGACGCTGCTGGTGCTGCGGCTGATGGTAGCACCGCCTCCACAACCACCACCGCGGCTGCTGTCGCTGCCGCTGCTGGCGACGGCCTTGCGCCGACTGGCAAGCCTGGGCAGAGCAGCAATTTTCGCAACGTGAGCGCGTGCAATCGCTGTCGACTTCGCAAAAATAGGTGCGATCAGAAGCTGCCTAGCTGCGCGAGCTGCAGCAAGGTCGGCGTCCCTTGCGTTGGCTATGACCCTATAACAAAGAAGGAGATTCCTAGAAGGTAAGTCGATGACCAGCAACAGAATTCACCAAATACACCATTTGTTGAAAATCGTTTCTTTATGTCTACGTCATGTCGTTGAATTTGTTTGCATCTTTGATATCAATGCCAATTGTTTGTATAACGTTGCTAATTGTGAAACCCGCAGCTATGTCTTCTATCTTGAAACCCGTGTCGAAGTGCTGGAGAAGCTCCTGGAATCTAAAAATATCCCGTTCCCGCCGGCGGAGGATCTCGACCTATGCTCCCGGCCCGGAGCAGACGGCAGCTTCCCGGCCGTACGCGATAACAGTTACTCTAGCCACTCGGAATACACAGATCACCGCACCCCGCGGCCTCATAGTCACCATAGCCAGAGACTGGATGGTGCGCTGCTTCCAGCAAAGAAGCAGGGCGATCAGAGCCCTGCTATGATGAATATTGTCAGCTCATCGAAGCCGCGATCGCTTGCCTCCACATCAGGCGTCTCGTTTGCCCGTGTTGTACTTGCAGCCGTCCAGTATTCGGTACCGGACCAAAATGGCGGCTCTGAGAAGCCTGTCTCTTCTCATCACCCGAACCCGACTGGGGCCGGCACTTCTATGCGCGACTCATTCTTCGGTTTACATACTCGACCCACCATCCAACCGGCCACCTTTCCGACCAGGGACGTGGCCATGCGTCTGGTGACGCTTTACTTTGAGCATGCAAATCCGCAGATTCCCATCCTGCACCGCGGGGAGTTTATGCGCACCTTTGAGCGGGCGTATGCTCCTGACGGCCCGGATCTTAGCGCGAGGGAATTATACATGCTCAACATGGTCTTTGCTATTGGTTGTGGTGTCATCGTCGGCGAGCCAATCAAAGCGGAGGCTTCTGGCGGTGGTGGACTGTCGTTTCAACGTAGCAGGAACCAATGCCAGCCGGAGGAATACCACGCAAGCGCAATCGTCCACCTTGAGGAGTGTCTCAGCAGCAGTGGAGGTGGGCTTGAGGTACTGCAGGCCGTCCTTTTGCTGGCCAACTTTGCACTTCTCCGACCTGTTCCGCCAGGCCTATGGTATATCACTGGCGTGGCAGTGCGCCTTGCAGTTGACCTTGGCCTCCATCACGAAGACGGAGGGGATATAGACAACGGTGGTGGGCAGAATTCCTCTGGCCATAATCCCTCTGATGGCTCTGTAAACGATCCGCGAGACCCTAGCGGTGGCGGCTCGGACCGAGCGAGACGTCTCTGGATCCGTGACATGAGGCGTCGACTGTGGTGGTGTACTTATTCGTTTGACCGGCTTGTAAGCACCTGCGTCGGTAGACCGTTTGGTATCAGCGACCATGTCATCACGACCGAGTTCCCTTCCATTCTTGACGATGATTTTATCACACCCAATAGCTTTGGTAGTCCACGCCCATCTAGCGAAGAGCCGAGCTATAAGCGCGTTGCTCACCATTATTTTAGGCTGCGCATACTGCAGTCGGAGATCCTTCAAGTCCTGCAATATAATCAGGCCCAAATCGCCAGGACTGGAGCCCACGCGAGGACACTCTATCCTGAGATGAACAGACAGTTGCCATCCCCGTATCTTGTCCAGTTTGACTCGTATAGATCATGGCGAATTGACATTGACCGGAGACTTCGTGAATGGAAGGACCAAGCGCCTTTAAAACATGAAACTGGGGTAGCCTTCTCGACGGAATTCCTAGACCTGAACTACTGGCAAGCCATTGTGCTGCTGTATAAGCAGAGCTTGAGTATCCCTACCATGTTTGAGGGAGAGTATAACCCTTCCAACGAGGTCAACAGCCCTACGGCCTTTACAGCCGAATTACGAGAAGACGAGGAGCGCATATACCTTAAAGTTGCCGAGGCAGGACAAAAGATTCTGCGTATATATAGACAGCTGCATCTGAGCAGCCTCGTAAGCTACACGTATCTGTCTACCCACCATTTGTTCATGGCAGGCATATCCTACCTTTACGCCATATGGCATTCTCCCACTGTGAGAAGCCGCCTGGTAAGTGCCCACGAATGTCATTTCTTTTATTCACAAAATTTAGAAAGGAGCTGGACGGTTGACTTTAAAAAATGTATAACAGACTATGGATGAAGTAGACTTTACAGTGCTGGCAGCAAAGTCAGTATTCACCGACATGATTGACAAATGCCCTCCGGCAGAGACTTGCCGCGACGCTTTTGACCGAACAGCCAAGGCCACCATCCAGATGGCCAACTCGAAAGGCGGTTTCGGTTCGCCCGTCATGCAATCACGGCGACCACCTACTCGAAGAGAGACTACCAACTGGGCTCCTACGCCTTCAGATATAACGCCTAAGAGGCCAGCAGCGCCTCGGCATCGACACCCACCCCAGCATCAGCATCAGCAGCCTGAGCAACATCAGCATCAGCAGCAGCAATTCCAGTTTGACTTGGCAATGGGCGACAGCCTTTCATCACCCAGCCTCTCAACCGGCGGAGATATGGCCACTCCACCAGTGGCAATGGCACACTCGCACAGCCATGGTCGGCCAAGCCCCTCACGGCGAACAGGCAGCTACGACGACGGAAGTTCTGTTGTGGATCAGTCAATGATTGCCTCGCCGTCTGTGCCTCGCCAGGCCACGCCCAGCAGCACCAGCGGCGGGAACCCGTTCCTGACTCCCCAACCGCAGCAGCAGCAACAGTTTGGGATGCAGGGGCATATGGAGTACCCCGATGCGCAAACAATGGATTTTTTGCAGACGCTGGGCACCGGGTCTAATGGCGGCGGCTTCGGAGGCGGCATGGACCAAGGCCAGATGGACTTTGGATTTGGCTTGAACTGGGAGGGCATACACAACGACTACGCTGAGGCGTCATCCTCGGCGATGAATCCCTTTGATTCCTTCTTCTTTGGCGGACCCCAAGGAGGGAACGCCGCCTTTGGTGGATCGAATGGCGCTGGCGGACACAATGACGGGAATGATATGGGGTCGACAGGAAGAGGAAGAGAAGGACCTGACGAGGGATCCATGACCCTGTAAGAAGGCGATGGATAATTTTTCAACATATACGTGCATACCCAATAATCTTTTTTCGTTTGGCTTCGTATTCTTTCCTTTGCTTTGTTTTTCCTTTTTCCTTTTTCCTTTTTTTTTTTTTTTTTTTTTTTTTTTTTTTTTTTTTTTACGGTCGTTGTTTGTGTATATGTAGATAACTGTTGGTNTTCGTATTCTTTCCTTTGCTTTGTTTTTCCTTTTTTTTTTTTTTTTTTTTTTTTTTTTTTTTTTTTTTTTTTTTTTTTTTTTTGCACTGATGGTTTATCATATGCATGGGGGTCTTTTGTGTTGATCATATCTCGGGACTATCTTCACTTTTCTTAATTTTTTTTTTAATATTCTTACTCATGAATATGGATGGAAGAGCTATGAATGGTAGCATCTGGAAACGGATAATACCTGGTTTGAGTGTTTATATATACATATACGCACATATTTACGTAGGTATTTACCTATATATACGTATATACCTAGTGCATGAAAGTATAAATTGCATGGTGTATTTAGGTATGTAAATGGCTGAAAATTAAGATGCGCTTTCCATTATACTTGTTCGTCATCATCAACATGCTAGCTATGCAGGTGAAAAGTATGTTTGTCTAAAGAAAGAAAAAACGCCAATAACTGCTCTTCCACCAAATTGATTTTAACAAGCGTCCAGCATAGCATCATCATTATACATTGCCTGCAACATAAGGAGAGGGAAAGAAGATTCTGAAAGGGGAATAATGAATAAGTTGCTAACTGCCAAGCGGCGGTTTAGCGGCGGTATCTCCTGTCATCGTCTTCACTGTAGCCAGACCTCCGGCTGCTTGATCGTCTCCCCTTGCCCGTGTCCCTGGAAGGACCAGCTTTACGGCTATGCCGTCTTGAAGACGGCGTAGTTTCCTCAATGACCACCACTTCGTTTTCCTCGTCGTAGTCGGAGGGCAGGTGGTCCCTCGGTGCTCGGCCGGGCGCGCCAGAGGATGAAGAAGTGATGGTGGTTAGTGGCGACGGCTCCCTCTTTCTTCTCATGGGCTCAACTATTTCGGGTGCTTTCCCTCTCCTCTCAGTCCTGCGCTTGGTCGTCCTTGTCGTGCGCTCTCGTCGGATCGACAGGATATCGGCGGCACGCATGGTGGGCACTTTCCTCCTGGGTTTCTTGGTCTTTGGGCGTGCCGAACTCAGCATACTGCGTGAGACGTATGATTTGGTCTCGACCACTTCCTTGGTGCGGAAGAGGCCGGAGAACGGGCCGAAGCCGAGAATGGTGTACAAGATCATCAGCAGCAGGATGAAGCCGGCGGCGGAGCCGATAACGACGCCGACGATGGCGCCGGTTGAGAGGGAGCTGTGAGTCGCATTGTACGTCTCGGGGATGACGACGAAGGTAGGCGTCTCTTGCTGGCGAGCGACGAGGGTGGCGGCGTCGCCATCGATGGCTCTTGTTGGAAGCGACGAAGAGGCGGCAAGGGCTGGGGTATTGGTAAGCTCACCAATCAGCCGCCGTGGAAAAGATGGCAGAGCAGGCATGTTTTTTTTCTCTCTCTTCTTTGTCTTGGCTTGTCTGTCTGTCTCTGTCCACCGAAACGCTGGTGGGTGCGCAAAGCACCGGTCTAGCTGACGGGATGTGTATATCACAGCTTAGCGCTGGAGACAACAAGACAGAGAGACACAAGCGGGGCGAGAGGAAGAGCCGAGAAGGAGATAGAAATGAGAGCTGAAGTGCTGTCGTAGGAGAGGGAAAAAAAGTCTCGAGAGCCCAAAGCGAGATCGGGTACGGTGAAGAAAGAAGATTGGCGAATCGGTACACGCTATGCAATGCAACGAGGGCCGTCTCAGTAGGATGACGATGACGATGACGATGGGCTGTATTTGTGCAGCAGCTGCATCATGTCGCTTTCAGGGGTCCGCTGCTTTCTTTTTGTATGTCTCGCTCAACGGGACATGATCTTGGGGCGTCGAGGATGGCCAGCCGAGTGAGTGAGCGGGTGCGTGCGTGCGTAAGCGAACAACAAAAGTTTGTCTTTGTTTCCCTGTCGTCGACTCGAGCTGGCGAATTTCTCTGCTTGCCGGGTCCGTCTGTTGGCTCGAACCTCGCGCAGAAGCCAAGCTCAGCCAAGGTCAGGCACAAGGTGGGATGGATGGGCGGCAACGAGCCGCGACTAGAGCAGAAAAAAGGCGCCCAGCCACCCGCCGCCCACCAAAAGGCGCCCCCAGCCACAGCATTTTCTCTGTTCGGCGGAGGTGGAGTTGAGGCCAAGCTGAGGTGGGACAAACGGAGCTGAATGCCGTGGCGCCTCTCAACCGAGACCGCGCGAATCAAGTCGAGTGTCGGCACATGCGGGACGGGACAGTACCTGGTTTTGGTTCCATCTTTGCAAACAAACAAAATGCGGCATGAGCGCGCTGTGCGTGCGATGATGGAGCTTTGAGGTTTGTTCAAGTTAAGCTACTACTAAGGTAGGTTTTATTCTAGGCTCAAGTGCGGGCTGGCCATAGATGCTCCCCGGCACCGGATTATAGTTTTGTCGGCTGGCACCTACCACGACTCGAAGAGCTCATGTTATCATTGGACGAGGCAGAATGCACTTTATTTAGGTATATAAAGCATGATGGGGAATTGCCATGTGCGTGCAGGTATAGAGTTGGCGAGATATGGTAAAGCTGTTGGGAGGCGATCTGCGAAGGCGCGTGCTCCAACAACATCTCACCTTGGAATATATCCGCCGATGATGATGGGCGGGTGTTTGATATAGAAAGCTATGTTTGGCTTGTTTGAACATTCATAGTGGAATGTATTTAAATACATTTGCGATAACGGACTTTGTGCGTAGAAATATCTGATTCGGATTGTTCGTGGTGCGCCCTCATTCTTGAATAGACGTGTACTTATAGGTCAGTAAGCGTAGTCAAGTCACTATGGAAATAAAAAGTTGCTACGCGAGGCCAGAGAAATTGGTCGTTTGGTTGTATAATCTGAGATATACTTTAAAAGATTAGAAAACCGAGGGTTACATGTACCCTATCTTATATTTTTACATTTGTATCCATCTTTGACATGACACTCAACCACGTAGCGCCCGAATTCAACCGTGTTCATCCGTATGAGAGGCTTTGAGCACACTTCCCTCCAATAGACTCAAACGACACTCCAACAGACTGGGTATCTTCGCAACGGTCAACATTGAGCACTACATGCCTTGTATCCGCGAGAAATGCATAGCCAGAAAGAAGCAGACGGCGCTTCGCATACGTGCAACCAAGGCTCAGCCGCGGCTATGAGTAATGGGTTGACACTGCAAAACTGGAAGAGACGGGCCAGCGGATCTGTACAAGGTAGATTCATATCCAAGACGAGGAGGAAAGAATTTGAGATGACCAGATGGACATGCAAGATGGTAGCCCACGCCGCAGCAATGCTTTAGGAGCGTGTCTACTACCTCATCTCTACCGTGAGATCAGTGACCGGGTTGCTAACATGTATTTCAGTACTCCGAGTTGGATCAAGCTAATGAGAGTTGGACAGCTTCCACGTCAACTTCCGCGACAAAAGCGGCGACACTACAGACGACAAGCATTCTCCTATATACGACGCAATTTCAGACAGCATTGCGCCGACTAGATCTACTCTGCTTTTGAATGATTTTTGAATAAACTCATAATTGTAAAAAAAAAAAAAAAAAAGAAGAAGAAGAAGAAAAATCGGGTCGCCGTGTTAGTGAGGAGTTACCTAATTAGACGTAGTTGATACATACTTGAGAAGCAGCAAGGAGCCTCAAGCTTCCAGTTAAAATCACCAGTTATTATATGTAATTCTATGGAGTGGAGTGGATACAAGGCACGAGGCTGGTTCCACTTTCACCCGCGCAGTAGGTGGCAGTAGTGGTAGATGCTGCTGATCGATCTCTGGAAGTGGAACCAGCAAGTGCAGTATTAGTTAGTGCCTGTACACATTAGGCATTTGGAGACAGGTGCAGCAGCAGCGCGAAAGAAAACGCCACGGCCTGCCACTGCAAGTCTTTTATGACGATACGCAGCCTGATTTTTTTCTTCTTTTTGCTTCTTCTCTTTTTCAGCCCCCTTGCATCACAACAAGTCACCAAGGTCGTGTGGGGCGCAATGTAGATGTGCAATTCGCCAGCGAGGCTTTCAGCTCGTGCTGCCCAAGGGCGCCGCCGCACGAAATGACTTAAATACGCGCCTTTCCATCGTCTCGAGATACACGAGGTGTTGCTTCTTGGGTGCTGTATGTGACAAGCTCTGTATTGTTGTGTTATGTTATGCTATGTTATGTTATGCCCATTGCAGTGCGACGACAACCTGCGAACGAATATACGTGCCTTCGAAACCCTGCTTGATACCATGGAAGCCAAGAGTGATGAGAGACCACCACCGCACGTCTGCATCCATCCACAATGTGGCGCCTGTGGACAGCTATTTGTGCCTGGTGAGCGTACTGTCGCACGTAAGATGAGATGCTCTACATTCAGGAAGACGGTTAATCTGACGTTTGCAGTGCTCTTCACCGAGACTACGTCTACATGTCTGGTGTACAATGCGTACGAGTTTTCAGCTAGCGGTTATGCTCAGCAGTCGAAAACAGGCGACCATGTCTTCTACAAGATACCAGACCGTCCTCTCGACCTTGGCACGGAAGAAAGCATCACGATGCACACGGATTGCTTCCAGCTATGCCGCCAGGCCTTTAAAAGCTACAAGTATAGGCGCGACTCCCAATTCAACGGCGGCTACAGACGAGATTTCAGGCGCCTATGGCTCGCAGCAACGTGGAGATATCCTTGGAAAAGCATGGCGCCTCTCAAGCTGCCTAGCTACAGCGCTCTCGCAGATCCATCTCCCAGCGTTATAAGTAGACTCTGTGGCTTCAAGAAGGAGTTTCTTCCAGAAATCGCCACCCTCATCCAGAGTTATTCGCAGTCTAGCATAATTTGGAGATTTGATGCCGCACTCCAACTTGTGGAGGAACTGAACTTTGCTACAGCGGATGAAGAAGAAGCCATTACCTGTGCGCTTTCTGAGGTGCTGTGCTGGTCTCGCAACGGTTCCCCCGATGGTTCTCTCAAGCTTGTGCAAGACGAGCTTGCCGACCCTTTTGTGTGTCTCATTATCGACTCTCGAGGCATCAAGTCGATAAACAGATTATCTGAACATTCAGCAACTTTAGCGGCCCAAATCTCCATTCACCCCAATGTATTGATAATAGAGCCGGTGGAGACTGTAAAATCAATGCATGTAGAATTCAGGGTATGTACTGCAACATGTCCACTTACGTTGCTATACATACCATTATTTATACTGACATTCATGTTCCCCAGCTCGGGAGGAGCCGCTTACACCTTCCCATGGCATCAAGTATCAACGTCTGGAGCGCACCAATACCTATGCCGAATTTTCTAGACATTAAAAATCATGGGAACGCTGCAGCTTCGTCTACGTCTATGTACTTGTCCTCCCATTTCGTCGCCACCAGTCTAGATCCCCGTCACTGCACGGGAATCTCCTTCTTCATCACAGGGATAACTGGCAGTAAGATAGTTGGTATATATGGACATGGCCATCGAGACTTGCGCCACTCAGAGACATTTGAATATATGAGTTCTTTCCACGGATGCCGTCTCATCTGGATATACATACCACTGGCCGCCAACGACAAGATTAACGCAATCGGTGTCAGGCGTAGCGCTCCACTGCGCGAGCCGCACTCTATTACAGTAAGTACCTATAAAAGAATGGATTATAACGGGTCAAGGATTAAGCTAATATACCTATTCAGTTGCAGATGGCCTCTGGACAATACATGATTGGTATTCCGCCGACAAAAGCCCCAGTCTATGAAACATTATATACAGCAGCAGAACAGCAGCATGCTACACTCATCCACAGTAGTCCATGCAACAGCGGCGCCTCAGTCATCAAGGCTGACACGAATTATAAGATTATAGCTTGTGGCATCCAATCAGATGTACCGCCCCTGCCTGCTGCATGCTCGTCTTCAGCGTCACTGGAGAATGTATTAAGCATTTCTATCTTTACTGACAGGCTAACGAAATTATGCAAAGGCATAATGATTGAGTATAACAATGGCTTAAAGAGAGCCCTTGGACAGTGCCGTATAGGCATGGATTCTGTCCACAGGTATCAGAAGCCATCGAGCATATCGTATGCTAGCACCTATCAACCAACATGCGGAAAGCATAAATTATCATGCAAGGGTGTACATGTTGTCTTTGACTTTCAAAATCAGCTACATGTTCAAGATAAGGAGTTGATATGGGAGCATTATGAAATGAAAGGCCAGCTGTACTTTTGGTTCACGACGCATGAGGTTTATTTAAAGGTTTCTCAAGATTAGGCACTTTTTTTAAGGCAATAGGCACATCTTTTGGGTTGATCTCCAGTCTACATGTACACTAAATATGCGTGGTTAGCGAGTAATTGGACCTTGCGACATATATTTGGGCTAGAACGACTCAGTACCATAAGTAAAGCCTAAATAAGATCAAAAGTTTGCACATTGTACCCTGCTTTTGTCAATGCCTTCATCTTTCCAAACTTTTCAAAACACTCCAAGGTCGGAAGACTCAAAATCTCTTTCTCCACCAGTCTAGCCAAGAAAGATTGCGTTCTTGGATCTTCCTCGCGCGCTATTTTCGTTTTTACGTCAATGTATCTCGCACTGCGATCAAACTTGAGCGCATTGAACTGACTGTGGACGTTATGGGGCAGATCTCCGAGGATGATCTCGCCGTCCATCATGCCATGGACGAAGCACTCGCCCACTACGCGGTACTGCGTATGCGATATTAAAGGGTCATGGCCAGATGATTGTGGATAGACGGCATTGGTAGCAGCAGAACGCACTACTATGGGCGCATTACATCCGAATAACATGACCACGTCATCGCCGACCGCAGTCGTTCCTGGCGCCAGACCGACGTATCCGTCTTGTGCTAGCAATAACGCGCGGGTTCTACAAGCGTCGCGGACGATATCGAGATATAGAGCGGCGACGGGATCAGAAAACGGCAGCGTGGGTATTTTGCCATGGCCAGGCCACTCGCCCACAATGGCAGCAGTCAGAGCAACGCAGTCCTCGAATGGCGGCCGGTGAGACGAAGCAGGGAACCATCGGTCGGCAAAATCGCCAAGCCAGAGAGCGCGAGCAAAGGCCGTCAGAAACCCCTCGTGGCTGCATTGAGCGGCAACGGCCTTGTACGCGTCGTGGAATACTCTCCGCATCTCCAGCATGACATCCGCAAGGCTGCTTCCTTTATCCGACAGCACCTCGCTGATTGGAATGACTCGGCTTACCGTTCCGCAGCGGATACCCCAAGCACGAATCAGGCGGCCATCGATTAGATCAAAGGCAGGCAAGTCGGATAGCAGCAGCGGTACAAAGGCGTGCATAATGGAAGACGACAACTCGGTCGACCAGTCGGGGACCCAGCTGGGCAGTTCAGGGAAGCGTGGCCTTGCGCTGAGATCACACTGGCTGAAGAGCGTGAGCCCCCCCGTGTGCAGCATCTGCTTGCGCGCGGCGTCGGTATAGACCTCAGCAACTGTAAGCGTATAGTCGGGGACGATTCCGATGCCGCGCTCTACCTCGCGGAGGCTGCCCAGCACGCCGTATATCCGGTCTCGAGCGTCCGAACAGCGCGACCCTGCGATCTGTCTCCGAAGGTTCGCCAGCCGAAACCCGCGAACCGAATACAAGGCGACTGTATCGACCCTGCTGAGGCGGTCTCCGAAAGCTCGCCTCTGAGCTGCGTCCAAAACACCCATTAGTCCTTCATGGGTTAAAGGCTTGCGCCGGAGCGTGAAGACAGCGCGCGAAAAGTGCTGCCATGGGGTCTGTTTATTGCCGCACAGCAGCACTGCGCCACGGTAGCCCAGTCCAATTTCCTGTCGGATCCAGACTCGGTCAAACCATTCGCGATCAATCAGGTGGTAAATGGCGAGCATTGCGCGATGGCCGAATGGCGGAGGCTGCTGCATGTCCGCCCAGTGCAGCTCATCACCACCTGCAAGAGATGGACTCACATCGCCATTGGCAAAGTTGACTTGCACCATGGCGCCCACATGCTCCAGGGTGTCAAGGGCGTATGTGCTGTCGTCGCATTCGGGCCCAAGGAAAGCGATGACCCTGTTCGCACGGTGGTAGACATCCGCCATTAACAGGACCTGCCTGGACCGTTCGGCGTGGTCTTCCTGGTTAATGCAGATAGCATCTGCCCAGACAGTACGTGGCCGGTCTGGGTAACGTAGGTGTCTCAACGCCGTCGTTAGGTTCGGCGTGACCATCAACCTTGCGAGGTGAGCAACACCAGCAGCCGAATCCGCAAGCTGAACCTCGACCGCGACTCGATCGTCAGCAGAGCCCCATACGTACGACAGGGCTTCATAGTGAGGCGGGTTTTCTTGGCTTAGAATGCTGTGGTAGAGATGGACTCGTACTATATCGGACGTGTTTCCAGGAAAGATGTCAATGAGTCGAATCTCTCGCGCCTGTATAAGGGGCTGATATTTGAGTGTTGTCATAGCTGACACTTGCTTTTTGTTGAGTAACTACATTTGCGTGAGTAGATGGTACACGTAGCCATAGTTTATTAACTCCTATTACATACTTGAGAACGAGCTTTGTACTGTTATCAGCGTGCCTTAGAAGTAGGTCATGACCTGGCCGTCTTGATGTTCGCTGCATGTCAAGTGTCTGGCTGTTGTTGCCCAATTCCTCGTTTTGTGATTCTCACCGCCAAATCGCTAGCCAATCAGCACATCGGCGCATTCTGCGGGAGACCATCCAGCTCACAACCACCATTGTCAATATTATGATGATGAGTCAGATTATGCTATTGGACAGTCAGTGGTGTCTTGCACAAAAGTCGTCCACCTGCGAATATGCGGACATCAAGAAGCAAGAGGTTTCCCGGGAAGTTTGTAACATCATCACGTCACCTCTTGTTGGAAAATATTGTGCATGGAGTTGCGCGTGAAGACCCCCCCAGAGAATGAAGTGTGGCAGTTTGAAGAGGATTCATAACCCGAGTTGATATTTCTAGTCTATAATACAACCACCGCCTTTTATTTAGCTTCACCATTCGGCTTCTTATCAAGTGCGCCGATTAATTCTTTCGCGGTCTGGACCGAGGATTTTGTCAGGTTCGCAACGCTCCACACATCAAACATGACCATGATTCCTCGGTGGCCCGACTCTACCATCATGGGGATCATCTCAGGAGCCAGAGCGCCGCTATTTTTTTTTTTTTTATCATGTTTTTAGCTCATGTAACAACAGCAACTTTATTGTTATCCTATACATTGGGGGGTTAAACTTACCCAAAGAGCGGAATATCATATTTCTTGCCGGCCTTTGACATGCTTTCCATGGCAGATGCCAAGACAGGATGGGGAGGGCCTCCAAGGGCCAGGGGCACTCTTGCATCTGCCATGAAGTCGCCAGGTCCGAACATGAGCGCTGAGACGCCGGGTATTGAAGCAATCTCGTCGACGTTTTCGATTCCCTTTACGCTTTCGATTTGGGGAATGATGGCGATGTGGTTGTTTGACGTCTTCATGTTGAAGGAATCCTCTGGGTATAGAGAGAGATCTGAGACGCCGGGAGTAAAGGTCCACGGGCTGAATGAACGGGCGCCCAGAGGGGCTGTTGTCCATGTGTAAGCTCGACTGGCTTCAAGTTTTTTCGTTTTGTTGTTTTACATTTGGCTGTTGATACTTACGGTAGTACATCTTTTTCATAAATTCCTCTACCTCTTCCTTACTTTCGCAGTGGGGGATGATGATGCCAGACGCACCAGCGTCCAAGGCCGTAGATAGTGCTATTTCATCTTCCTTTGGTACTCTCACAATGACTAGTGTCTCACCCTCGGAGTGATGCTGGGCGGCTTGAATGGCGCTGTTCCAAGCAGGTTAGCACTCTCACATCCCATCGAAATGTTCCTAGAGTCCTTGGTCATTACTCATTGAGGGTCAGGCGATCAAACATGCCATGCTCAACATCCATCCAGATAAAGTCTGGTCTGGCAGAAGCAAAGACCTTTGTCAAAAAGACACTGGGGATGCCCTGAGCGACGCCGAACAGGGTCTTTTTAGGATCCTTCTGGGCTTCTTTCAGAGCTTCTTTTAGGTTTCCAGGATAGGTCAAGAGCGCCGATCGCCATTTCGCGCGGGTGTGCAGGTTGGCTTGGTTGAGGTATCCTTCGCCAGACATGTTGAACAAGCAGTTGTGAAGATTTATCAAGTTTAGATATTTGATGAGATGGTTCAAACTTAAAGATGGAAGAAAAGGCTCGGGGGCACTTTGGTTTAATACTTTCATTCTCTCATTACAAAGAATTTGGTACTCTCCTACGTACTCCCTTATTGTCCGTGGAGATAGACTCCGCTGGGCATCTCCGATCTAACGCTTCCGCCTCATCAAGCGGCCGCTGAGAATATTATGTGAGATATGATACGTAGTTGGCTCAGGGCTAGTCGGATTTATAGGATTGGCGCTGTGCTATGTCCGGAGACATGGTATTAGACCGCTTCATGCATTGGGTTAGGCTTCCGGAACAGAGAGTGCCAAGAAAGAATAACTGACAGTGCAACACTACCTTATCAATCTCTGACCGAACATTGGAATAACGTAGATGCGTATCGTACGGGAGATACGCAATGGCAATGCATGGACTAACTACATTCTCTAGGCCACATCAAATGTTGCTATTTTGGAGTTGGATGCTGTCTAGTTGGTTCCACTTTTAGCAACTAACTTTGAAGCGTCGAGCTGATTACCCAAAGTGGAACGAACCGTGTGCACGAAACAAGTATAAGCTAACGAATGAACTATCAAATTAGTTCTCACATGCCAATGCTGAAGGAAGCTTGTTTGAAACGAGACTCTGCTGGTGCTTATTCAATATCCACCACATTCCAAATCTTAGCATTTTACCATGAATCCTCTGCTCCCCTATCAGCTACGTCCGCCGTATCGCGCGTATCTCTCAAGGATCCCTCTACCCAAAGTCCGAAATCTAGCGCTGAGTCACGGGGCTCCGTATTTCGCAAACCAATCAAAACTGCCAAGGTCGAGACATGTTGTTGTATTCGGTGTTGATACGACTCCGAGGCGGGACGGAGACTGCTTCGCTGTCCGGACTCGTACGAGATGCGTATATGCAGCTTGTTGCGTTAAGTAGTAGGCTTGAGTAGTATTTGAATTGTGATCAATGTGATGCATCATATGTTATGTAATCGAGATACAGCCTCAACTTTCGGTGGGTGCATGACGAGTTCAACAAATGATAGTTCGATCAAAAAGCCGCCATTGTTCGGAAATATATCCCTTTCGAGGCAATGTACGTCGCAGTAAACGGATACCGCCTTTTGGTAAAAAGAAAAGGGGCAACATGCTGCGGCCGCTGGATCTGGTGCCACCGTGGATGGCGCGTCAACTGTGTGTCGTAATGTATCCTCGATGCCGTGGTTAGGGGCACGTAGGATTGCAGATTGCCACGGTTGTAAAAATAGATTTTTTGTTCATTGTTTATCGTTTCCTTTAAACTATACTTTGTTTTCGCTGACTGGATGAATATAATGAGTCTTCTTCAATCTGCTAACAAAACAGCATTCATCTTCCTCAACCTGCTAACGACTCTGTTAACTAAAGAATTGACTAGTGAAAGGAATTAGTAGAAGGAATTAGCTACTGTGCTGCGTCGATTCCTTAGTTACTGCTCCGTAATCATTTAGCTAGCAGGGCGTTTTTTTAGTTCTGAATTCAAACGCTCCAGATTGCACGCAGGATCTAGCTAAGAACCTTATTGTACCTATGTTGCGAAAGAGTGGGCCTTGGTGTTGACGAACGAGATTATCCTCATTGATCCAAATCTGATGTATCAGTATTCTAATATTGGCCATGAAGTCTTTAAAGTATATCTTCAGGTATACTTCTAGGTATTATACGACATGGCTTATCATCACAGAGACTTATAGAATCGCGTCACGGCTTCGTTTAGTCGAAATCGTATATGCAAATGGCATGGGATGTAAGGACTGTAACAGCAGTCTTGTGTGGCGATCGGCCCAGCTTCCGGAGAGCTCGAATAATTGTTTGCACTGTGGACTATATGACATGTATAACTGCAATGGCTCCAATAAGACTATCCTCTTTGGACGTATCCTTAATCTCCTTAGCTGAGATGTCGCACAGTTCTGGAACAATAGCACATTGATCGTTCTAAAGACTGTACTATTTATAGCCAGATGCACGATGTGTATTTGCCTACAAGTAAATACATTGAGAATCTTACTAATTATTATGGATTTATCAAGTGCCATTTATCATATATAGGATTATGTATTGGGTTATTTAGGGCCACTCTACCCATGCATTTTAGGTGAGCAATCTGGTATTTACACTGATGAAGTCATAGACCATCTGAAGTCACTATTGCAATATGCATTTCTGGAATTTGTGTGGAGATACAGTATGATGTTAAGCTTGTATGGTTGAGCTCCTATCGAAGTGGGAAATGCACCTTGAGAATATAATTGCGCGTATCGTCACTTGACAAGTCACTTAATATCGTTTTAATTTACAGCTGCTGATCACTATTAAGAAACTGGTCTCCAACTTGGCATAAATCATACGTGTCACGAGCGTCTTATATGCTTCAGTAGCTTCGTTAAGCCGCGTGGCCACTCTCCAAGAGCAAAGATACTAGTGAAACGGCCGGCTTACTTTTCCAACCTGCTGTCAACGAGCCCTTCTACTGTCCTAGAATCTCAATTGATTGACTAGGAATCTGTCTCGAGCAGTACTACTGTCTGCACGTTGGTCGCTCAACAACCCTGGCTATTTTCCATGTTTTGTGAGATGACCCTTTCTCTCAAAGAAGACCAATACCAACGGCAAGCCTGACTGTATAGACTCGTGCTTCAGCGTCCGAATTGATCGCGATCAGACACGACTCATCTTCCACAATAGCATCGGCGAGCCAAGCTAAGAAACTTCCAGCATGGAGTTCGACCTCTTTGATCAATATGGTCGGCTTAAACTTGCTTTCAAGAAGGCCTCGGCTCGATCCGGTTCCGGTATTTGGGCGATGAGCTGGACTGCGGTGACATTCTCCTGATCGACCAAGTGCGCATCGACAAGCGTTACAGGCGCCAAGGCATGGGCCGAGAGATGGTTCATGTCATCCTGCAGAAAGCTCTGGCCAAGTGCAATCCCCATGCATTCGTCGCCATCGCTCGTTCAGCGTCAGAGGTTAGAGACCGGTGTAAGGGCGAAAGCGAGGAAGAAGAAGATGCCATATATGACAGGAGAGGCGCACGCCGAAATGCTTCTCAATGTCTTTGAGGTTTTCGACGCATTGGCTACACTGAGTGGTTTACCTTCGCCGCGGGGAATGCGGAAACATGCGTGCCACTTCTGAAGCGCTGCCAACGAATAATTCGATCCACCTCAGCCAACATCAGGGCCACACGGCCAACGCCATCTTCAAAACGCTACTAGATGCATTTGATACCACCAAAAGCCAGATCGAGCACCCCGTCGATGACTGAGACTCCACCGGCTGACGATGATATTTGATGCCACAACCATCCTCAAGACTCCTGTGTAGGCAATTCCTGTCTCATATGTCCTTCATGCTCATGCCCCTGTCTTTCGATTGCTTGGTTATATGACTAAGTAGATTTTCTATCATATTAGGAAGTTGCCACTTCGTAATCCGAATGTAGAGTCGATGGTTGGCACACGGCCTCTTTCTTGGCTACCCAACGAGTAATTAGTAATGAGTAACGTTACGCATATGTACAAGATGGCGAGGGAAAAAATAAATAAAAAGAAAGAAAGGAAGTGATGATGTATTCAGTTTGAATGGTAGAACAGAGTGAATTTAAACATTACAATTCCAAAAGCCTTGATGTCGCACGAAGTCAGACTAAGCAATATACATGTAGTTTTTACCTCTCGCTATTGTTATAATACGTCCTCTATTGAGATGCTTTGAAAAACTTACTTAACGAAGTGATCTCACTTAGTCATCTTATAAGCATTATACGATATATACCAGAATGAAATTTAAGCAACTTGCTAGCTGTAGAACGTGAGGGAAGAGAAGTGTGGTTTTATCAGCAGCTGTCTGCGGTAGTCCTTGAGCTTGGCATATGTCTTGCGTGTTATACGTCAGTCGATAGATAAAGTAGACAGTAAAAATAATTAAATTCGCCAGCAAAACGTCTTGATACTGCGAAGAATGTGGCATTGAAGTCAGCGAAGGCAGTGATGCATTAGTTAAGAGCGCAAATAGCCAGTGAGGTCACATCACATGATCTCCTTCGAGTGCCCAAGTACTCCGTACACATATACAGACTTAGGTATTTAACTCAGAATAACTCTAACCTCAATCTTAGATGATTCATCGTCGGGCCTCATCCTACGTTACAATTCCTCCATGGTCGTGACACTACCAGACTATACCCCCGCTTGGTCCGCATAGTCCCCAGGAGCAGATGAAATCAACACTCAGCGATTCGGCATTAGCAACGATTCGGCATTAAACCATCAAGTTTCATTACGAAATAGGTTGACAGGGGAAGCCAAACGGGTCCCCTGTTAGCCATAGCCATCATGCCCAAGCGGGCTAGATTCCAAGGCAGCAGCGTTTTACCAAAGAGCCCCATATGTGTACCGTCATGCATCGGAAATATAATGGTTTCCTTGATACTACTGACTTGCTGCATCCGGCCATTGTTTCAATGGATCACAGCGACTTCAATTACCAGACAACCCAAAGGATATGAAGAAACACAAACCTACACCAGACCAGTCCAAAGACTACTTTGTCGCAGCATCAACAATCATTGAAATTTCCAAAATACCAACTCAAAGGATGAACTCAATTTAAAGATTCAACTTTGTCAACTTTGAAATTTTCAAGCAAATTAGATCAAGTTGTTGGAGTTGTTTCAATTCAGAATTCGTTCAGTTGGTGTATGGCGGGGTGTGTTCTCGCGTCTCGCGTCTCGCGGGTTTTCTCACACCGCACGACAACAAACATCCGTGACAGCTTTTAACAACTCTGCAACTCTACCTCGCTGTAACTATTAAGACCGAAGAGTAAACTAGCTCTGGCCCCTTAACATAGTGGCTTGGAGACCATTGGTCAAGTCTGGAATATGTCTCCCAAACAGGAAGTTCAAACATGGTCTGACCTCTCCTATTGGCGCGGAACATGCATCTTGATCCTTCTCATCGCCAAGTAGGCTAATGGCACCACTGCCGAGACTTGCCGCCATACAGATTGGGTACTGGTGCATCTTGACAACGTCATGCGGCTTTGTTCCCCCGATGGAAGGCCGAATGCGCTTTAAATAAATCATGGATATAAGGTCACCGTCTCCCTCGACGATGAGGCGTACAGCTGTACAAGCTATCGGCTTGAGATAGTCTGCTTGTATTTTCAAAATGAAGGGTTTCATCATCGCTTCGGCTCTTGGGATGGCTGCAGCTGCCCCCAATGCAGCTGTTCCTGTTCCCTATGCCAACACAGCTCCCTCTGCCAACATCACTCTCGAAAACATTCAAAAGATTGACATTAGCATGGCTGGGGCCAAACCTGGCAAGCGTACGCTTCACGGCCCTTTCATGGGCGACTTCCCCGATCCCTCGATTATCTGGGGCGATGGTTCTTGGAAGGCGTTTGCAACTTCGTCACAAGGGAAGAACATTCCTGTTGCTGTATCTAATGATGGCCTCACTGGCTGGACGTTGCAGTCACAAGACGCACTGCCCAACACCGGATGGGCTCGAGCTAGCGCCGGGATCTGGGCCCCGGATGTTCAAAAGAATGTAAGCAAGCATTTGGCTCCTAGAACTTACATGCAGATGCTAATGCTTTCACAGGACGCTGGCACCTATGTAATGTACTTTACCGGCACCAACAGCAACGGTGCTCATTGCATCGGTGTTGCGACATCAGGCGCTGCCGCCGGCCCCTATACTCCTACAGCAAGCCCTCTTATCTGCGACGATGCCAATGGCGGTGTCATTGACCCTTCGGGCTACGACGATGGAGTCAACCGCTGGATCTTGTGGAAGGTTGATGGCAACAGCCGTGGTGGTGCCACCACTTGTCAGGGCGGTAGACCTTCGGGATCTACTTATTTTCCAACGCCTATCAAGATCCAACGCATGGCTCGTGATGCTTTGACTCTGTTGGATAGCCCCAGCACTATCCTTGACAACTGGGGATCTTCCAACGACGGTGTTGTCGAGGCGCCTGCGCTCTACAAGATTGCCGACAACAACTATGTTCTCTTTTATAGCGCTCACTGCTACTCAAGCGATGACTATGACATTGAATATGCCTTTTCATCTACGATTAACGGAGCTTACACAAACCGCGGCATCTTGGCCAGGACAGTCTCCAACCTCGGCATCTACGGCCCCGGCGGTTTGGATCTCGACCCCAACGGCGTCAACGTTGTATTCCACGGCCGCACTGCTCCCAACACTCCTAACGCCGCAAGAAATTTGTACACCGCCAACCTTGCTATCAACCCTAACCATGCCATCACCGGTGCGAACTGGTAAGGCATTCAGGTTTGGGTGGATGGAACCACCTCGGTGGGGGGGACGATTTTGCTTCTTTCGCTCAAAGGGAGGCTTACGACCAACCAACGCACAATTCATGTGAATGATTCATTTCTGCTGTACATAAAACCACGTACTCAATTGTATATAGTAGTAATATGAGCTAGATGACGAGACTAGATGATGACAAATCTTGTATGCGAAAACGAAAGTTGAACACTGAATATATTCTTTTCATTATGTCAGAGCCACATTTTTAATCAGACCAATCTTGCTGTGGCTACACCAGGACTATGATGGTCATACAGTAATTCGATAGTCTGATCCATCCCGCCAAACCTCTGGGTAGTATAGAGAATACTACCGCCAATGTCTTTGTCTTCCGCTGTCTATAGCTTATTTCGCTGCTTGGTTATATTTATTATTGCTTCAATACACTGGCTGTAGCTGTCTTGCATACACTGTAAAATACAAAAATACAGAAGCCCAAGTATATGATTTCGAGTAATTTGCTAGAAATTGCAATACAAGCAAACACATGTGGTAGCCTCAATAGCTGCTTGCCATGGATAAAACTTAAGAACCGCACATGTTTTGCATACTACATTGATATGACAGAGAAAAATAGACTGTAAAAGTAATTGAATTCTCTGGTCAAAGGCATCAAACTATTTGGGAGGGAGCGATACTGATGCATGGACTCATATCGATAAGTCGTCAATTAACTGGGCGCACACTTCTTAGGTTACTTCCAAATATAGCGTAATCAGATGGCTCACGTACGATCTTGTTTAATAAGCGAAGTCTGTTATATTTAGATGTCTAGGACAAAAAGATTAAAGGTATATGCTTTTATTTTTTTTTTAAAGATATAGCTTATAAAGCTAATCCTACAGCACCAACCTCTTTTTTTCTAGTTTATAATATTAAATAAAGCTAGTATTTTTTCTTAAATATATTTGTGTTAATCTTAGTTTTTTTTAATATATATTACTTAAGTAATATATTTGTACTTTAAATAATTTAATATTTTTGTTTATAGTTTTATATTTTATTTATAATTTTTAAATTATTAAAATTATTAAATTAATTAAATTTTTTTTAATATTTTTAATACTTCGGCGCTAGCAAATAAACTACTGCACAGTGGCAGTAGGGTAAGGGGCGAAAGCCCATATACCTTTACACACCTTTAGATGTTAGATGGCAAGGCCTTCCTTTCAATAACCTTAACTTTATCGCATCAAAAGTAACAGGTTTCCATGACATCATCTACTCTTTCTAACTGTTAGCCTTGACATATTGAGTCCGCGAAAACAAGGCGACTTCATTGATTCACTAGCAATTAACTGTGTACCTCGCCACAGCGCACAAAGCTTGTGAATGGACAGTTCGTTGACCTTGAATGGGAACATGACACCCAGAGGCAATCAAGTACCGGGACTTGATGATCACATGAACCGTCACAGTCGAAGGCAAAGTAATAGATTTTCCCAACACAAGAGCCTTGAATCTATCCCCAGCCAGACATCCAGAGACACAAAACAAACCTTAGGAGGCGTGGCGCTGGCGGATAATAAATCCCGGCTTTAAGTACGACGAGTTGTTACTCAGAACGTCAGCCCCGGTTGCGAACTTACTCGGCCACTACAGAATGCACCCGACGCCTTACCATGTAGTCATTTATATCCCCTCGTATAGGACCCTTTATACTGCACAATAATAATACTGGCTCATTCATCTCTAGCAGCATCATCTGGCTTACTGAGAGGAAAATGGATATGTTACATTAAAATTTCCCAAGTTCACATATAAGCCGCATGAAGTCCAAGATACCAGGCACGATGCACAAACGCGACGATTCAAATCAACCCCTTACCGTGTCTTTTGAAATTGTTATAAATAAGGCCTCATTTACTGTATGGTCAGAGTAGATGATCAGAACCTCCCCAATTTCTACACCCACTAATGTGCGGCAGCCTATTGGTCCGCGCTGGTTCGGAATGTGCCTACGTACTTGGGGCCATGTCAAGGAAGTACATGTAGGCCGTGACACAGACTGGTGACGTTGAGAATCGTCATCTTAGCATCACTGAATTCAAAGAGTTGAACGTAGGTTAGACTTGCTTTCATCATAACGCCATATCCCGGATAGTTCTTAACCGTGTCATCTGTGAGCTTGAGAGCTTACCTCTCTCTCTTCCCCCAACTCCTTGCTTCATCCTACTCCGTTAGTTGACTATATATCACAAAATGAGCATCTTCGAGGCGATCCATGCCATGGCAGACTATCTACTGTCGTGGGTAAAGCTAGTATGTCAGAGCTAGTTGATTGTTTTCGGTTGGCACAGCATAATGACTGATGTCAGGATCGGAACGCTGAAGTTGGCTGGCGTTCGTTCAACCGCAAGGTAAATAAGCGCGATAGGAACTATTACTAGTACTGAATAATCATGGCTTGGGCAGGAAGGCAAAATACAAAGAGAGCAGCAATCTTTATGGAAAAAACTAAAATTGCTTCTTCTATTCAATCCTCTTACGGAGTGGATTGACAACACACACCTCATGCGCCTGTACCTGCATGAAAAATCAGAACATGAAGGTTCGCTCTCACTTGCCTCCGTATGCGACAATCAAATTGACAATACCACAGGCAGAGAAGAGAGAGCACCAGCTTCTCGGAGACGGATCAAGTCGTTCGTTGACGCATATGGAATAGACATGCGTGAATTTGAGCCATCCGATACGGATAGTTATAATACATTTGAGGCCTTCTTTACTCGCAAACATAAATCGGGATCGCGCCCAATCTGCGACGTAAACGACCCGTCGCATGCCGTAGTAGTCGCAGACTCGAGAGTGGTGGTCTATGATTGTCTCGCTGATACGAAAACTCTATGGATTAAAGGCAAGAATTTTAGTATCGCTAACCTAGTTATGGATATCGGACTCGGCGAGAACTTTAACGATGCCGCTATTGCAAGCTTTCGTTTATCTCCCCAGGATTATCACCGGTACCACTCGCCGGTAGAAGGAGAGATAAAAAGCTTCCAAGGCTTACCAGGAGATTACTACCAAGTGGACCCAGTTGCATTACAAAGCGATGTGGATATATTGACACGTAATCGTCGAGATTACATTGTTATAAAAACAAAAGACTTTGGGGATGTTCTCTTCGTTGCAATAGGTGCCACAGACGTGGGAAGCGTGCAGTATGTGGCCCTATCTCCTGGGGATGAGTCTTATCGCTAACCGTTGCAGGATTCACAAAAGGTTCCACCAAGCTGGGGTGAAAATTGCAAAAGGCGAAGAATTGGGTGTTTTCCAGTTTGGCGGTTCGTCTATTATTGTGGCTTTCCAACATGGAAGCATCAAATTCGACGATGATTTGTCAAGATTGAGTCGAGAGAAGATTCAGACGTCGGTGGAGGTTGGTATGAGCCTAGGTTATGCGTCGTGAGAAGTATACAAACCTTCTCGAGAACGAGCGCAGATGAATGAAAATCTGTAGCAATGATTGAGGCTTGGAGGTCGTGAACATCTAGTAGTTTCCCTTAGGTTGTGGCATTGCCAATGGCAGTTAGGCCCGAGTTTTCTGGCTGAGACCTTCACAGAGCAGAGGCATGACACAGGTAGATGAAGGCACGATGGATTACAACAAAGGTCCTTCGTGTCAGTTTATGCTCAACGAACCTCCCTTGCAAAATTTGGCGATCGATCATTCATCATGTTTTCGAGTGACCAAGGAGCTCATGTTCCATGGAGTTGCATAGATAGCCTTGGCTAACTAGCCTCACCAAACTACTGAGTACAAAAGCTACTCTGTTGTACTTGGATGCTAAACTCTTGTCTTCCAATGATTGGAATATAGTTGGCTATGTGGATCAATCTCTACCTAAAGAAGCAGACTGGAAAGCATTGTTCTTGTTCATCATGAACGTCGTCCTTCTCTAGTGGGAGCTACACAGCCTCGAGGTGTTCCTCTAAGTGGAACCTAATTTATCCACCGCCTCAATTTTTCATACAGCAATCGGTTTGTATCACTTTTGACCTTTGGCAATTGAATATCTCCGTCGTCGTATATGAGGTTCATGATTTCGGCATCTTTGCTTGATAAGCATTTCGTCTGGATCAAGGTGAAAATGAATGGCCTCACCACTCGGAGCGGAATAGTCGGCCCGCGCTTGGGGCAACAAGTTACTTCTCATATGTTGCGCTACGGCGGGTTAGTTTTGCTGAGTTGGATCCCAGTAGCGATGATGGAGTTGCTTGCCAGAAGGAAGGAAACCCAATGCAAGTCTCGTCTTCTCGATTTCTCTTCCCGCAGTTTCGGCTTCAGATTATAGGTATGCTGTTACAGCTCCCTCTAGAATTCGGAATTGCCAGTCTTATTTTCTAGGACATAATCTGACCCGAGAAGTATCTTTACGAAATATTATATCAATTAATCTTCGCCGCAGATGTGGTTCGGTCGGGTTCTATGCTGAACTGTGCGATGGCTTGGGGATCAATTTAACTGCCACATAGCGCACTATATCTAAGACATTGAGTCGCACAGAAATTCCAAGGCGTCGTCGATTCGCCGTTTTCCAAATACCACGGCATCCAATGGAATAACTCCTATACGTCGCAGTTCGGGCCCCCGACGGTAAGTCGAGGAATGGCACGTGTCAGGCCAGGCACAACCAATAATGAGGGTGAGGAATGATGGCAACGATTTGACGATTTGAAATCCTATTCTTTTTAAGGCAGTAACTGGCTTTCATATGTTTCGATGCCGATGTAGGCACACAGTCCAAACGTTTTGTAAAGACATCGTTCGGGTCTTTTAGTTACTGCTGCATCTGGGCTGCTTGATATGTTTGGATGGACCTCCTGTGAGCTACTGAGTGCCGCACCCCCTTCTGATAAGTCCTTGGTAAATGCTCAAAATGGCCTGATTCCCCGTACCCATTGCCTCTTAGAGACCTGCGGAGAGCGTGGATTAGTTCACGTAATTGGCGAGCAGCAACCACAGCCAGACATCCTTGCTAGCAACTAAGTGAAGAAATTATGTGACGTTAGGGGGTTCGCCCCCCAGGCGTATTCGAGGCAGACAATATGGTTCTTCCGGTTGTCGCACTCTAACGTATAGGACCCGGGTCCCTCACAGAGCCGGAATAATTTTTGGGCATCTGTTGCAAGTATATAAAGAGGAAAAATTGAAAATGCAACTACGGCAATACCAGAATCCAAGTACTGTTTCTGGCGGCGGGCCTGTGGAGAGACCAAAACGACGCTCTTGTGGGGTGGGGGGACTAAGTGCACATAGCTTGAGAGGACATCTTGGTTGGCAGGGCATACGTCATAACTACATGAAATTCTCACGTCACCAAGGTGCCGCTCGACCATGTCACCAAGATTTTCCGTAGCCTGGGGGGCGACCCTCTGCAGGTGGGTTTTAGTTCCTTACTGGGATTTTGCTTGATATACGCGGACTGTGTCGTGTCCCTTGAAGCGACTCCATATAATGCCAAGTCGCCGCTTGGAAAGTTTAGCACAACTTATCAATCTACGCAGTAATCAAGTTGTGCGGGAGCGTTCTAAGTGCCTTTACCACGACTTAAATGGCTGACGCAGTCATGTTACAGTGAAATTTTCAGCTGTGATCCATGATTTACATATAGGACAGGTGTCGTGGCTAAAGAACCATTGACCAAAGCAACTGGAATGAAAGATATGGTCGCATTGTAAACGCAGAATTCGGTCCTCGTCCAAAAAGGATTCCAAACAAATTGCACTGGAGTGTGTTAGAAAATAATCTTGACTTATGTTCGACTCGTATGCCCACCAGATATCAAAACAGGATCCGATGCTCGTCAGTTCACTCGTTTCAACCCTCCACTGCTTGTATGTTCGTGTTGGGGCAACGCAGTCCAGACCCGGCTCTAAGTTACTATCGCTGTCGTCAGACGTATCGTCGTCAGATGTGGTCCCATAGCTCCCAATCACCGCATAAGAATTGGAATGCCCATGGAGCTGCATAAGCCAAGATCTCGATGTAGTTCAGCATATGTCTCCATACAACTGTATAGGATAAGGGGGATTAACATTACGTGAAATATTAGTGCCAGGAGGACGATAGCGAGGAGGATGAGGCCAAATGGCAAGTCCGTGTCTGGCGCAGGATGGTCGTGGGCTTTGTTTGATGTAGTTATAGGGGGAATGACTACCATGTTGATGATGGTTGACTCTAATTTACGTGTCGGAGTCGATATATATTATATAGGTAGGAAATCTAATAATGTAGATACCCTACAGGCCTTTTATAACGTATCCGTACGTCTCATCCGCTAAGAGCTTCATTCACAAAGCAATGTCGACACAGAGCCAGAATCCCATTAGCGCGTATAGCAGGGCAAGGAGGTGCGCCACATGTCGATATTAGTGGTTTGTCTGAAGGTCTAAGAGCCACAAATAGGTCACAGCAAATTTCAACTTTGTATGTCCCCAAGTGTTCGCCATTGGTATTCCTGGTTGAGCATATGTTTGGCTAAATTCTAATCTCACTGATAGTATTGAGTGTATTGAGCACTCTCAGTATTGCCACAGTGTCTATAGCCCCAGGTGAAGTATTTGGAACTGCGCTCCAGTGTCCGTCAAGATATAGTGGTATGACAATTTAGAGGCAAAGACGGACACCACCATGTCCTGTGGTACAGCGAGTGCTAGTTACAAGTTCAACAAACGAAGCCAGACAGGTGCTTACACAAAGGCTCACCCCGCAACTAACTTAACCGCGAGCAATGTCTTGCGTGCAGACAGCATACTACCCCTGCAGCGAGTTTGCCAGTTGCAAAGATCAGTCTTGAAAAGCAGCTCGTCCTTTCCACTCGGAAGGTTATTCAAAATGTTGTAGGTATGTGGTCGCAATTATATCTTTACCTAGCAAACTAAAGTCATGATCCAGATATGTTCTGAACCTCGCCAGTTTCGGGAGAGGTCAACTTCTTGGCTTCACAGTCATCTGTTGAATGAAGGTAACTAGCCATACTAGAATTCAGCTCCAAGGGAGAAACAGAACCTGTGCATCCTGTGGTTGGAGTTTGGGGGCATGAGGCTGAGGCGTCTGTAATGGTCCTTCTGAAATCAAGGATGCCCTAAGCCACGCATCATTGGCAAACGACCCAATTTGCGGAATAGTGCATCGGTTGCACACCTGCACCGCGTGCTGAAGCCGGCTCTCGAGCACTCTGCACCCAACAGTATGTAATCCAAACTGAGTTGGCGGCCACAGAATATCGGTTTGGTCAGCATATTTGCGATCTCGTTTCCGGTGCCGCTGCTTAATACCACAGGATAGTACTTGCCACTTGGCAGCGAAATCTCGGAGTCTGGCCGAGGATATGACGTGATGGGCATGTTGAGACTTGCGGCGCTGAGAGAAGGGATCCCTTCAACAGATGGGTACTGCATAATACCCAAGGATTAGGCAGTCCGTGTAAGTTCGAGTGATGCACGGAACATATGAGTAATGCTCTGCAAGGACGTCGTGCGTTGGTTCATAGTCGAGGAAATTCATCTGACCAAGCAAAGGCGAAGGTTGGCACACTCGCAACTCTGCTTCGATCCGCCTCCGCTCGTAATGGCAAACGTGTGGCAGTCCCTTCTTACGCCCAGGGATGGCGCCAATTTCAACAAGTTCCAGTACCAGGTATACTTTCGCATGCTCGGCGTCGTCAATGACCTCTTGTAGAAAAATTACATTATCGTGGTGAATTGCTTTGAGAATGTCGATTTCCTCGAGTAACCCCGGCGTGGTGTACACATCCTAATGTTTCTCAAAACGGCGGGGGACGACCTTGATAGCGACTTTCTCACCTGTTTCGGCGTTACGAGCTAACTTCACTTTGCTGCGTCGTCCCCGGCCTAGCTCCTCCATTATTTCATATTGGTTGATGGTTTTGCGGCCAGGGAAAACATCACGCTTTATTTTTACCTTACTTGTACTAGTGGTGTCAGCAACCTTGTAAATTGCATCAGAATCTGCCACGGCGGAAAGACGGAGTGGAAGGTTCTTCTAGCTGGCAATAATGACTTACTTATGGATTGTACAGCAAGAAAGTTATAGTGGCGACCTATAAAAAAGATCACATATAATTTTACACAAATCCATCGCCCTTGTATATCTTAATCTAATTTATATATTATTCCATGACCATGGGTGGTTCATGGAGAATGTTCTTGTAATTAACAAATTTGTTTCAGGGAGAGAAGCAGCTTATGTCTCGTGCGTCATTACAGTGTGAATCCCCCAATCCGTGGGTGGCGACGCTGCTGCGGGCCACACGCACTTCAGCCCTTCGAACAGCTTGGTGGCAAGATCAGAACGATCCTCCTCATCGAAGCCAACAATGAAGCCACCACCATCAGTCAAGCCAAAGGGCAGTGTTGACTGCTCTGCGTGCTAATGGGAGTTGGGCTTTTTGCCAACAGATCACGCTTTGTGAATGAAGCGGAGCTAGGTTTGCGGAATTTAAGCGGAAAGAGCGAAAGGAAGCGATAAAAACATCAAAGCTTCAGCGACTGTAACATATTCACTATTAAAATTAAGTATATTAACAGCGAAATGGAAAACTATAGAGCGGACTATATTAGCAGCAAAGTGTAGGCCATTAACTACTGTTTAACTACCGTTCAAGACAGAGAGCGGGAATGAGATGGCTATAATGGCTAAATATCGGATGAGCCTCAACCCTAAGAGAAGCTCGCGTAGCTCAGTTGGTTAGAGCTTCGTACTAATACTTCAACCTCAGTTGAAATCTTGGTAATGCGGAGGCCGCAGGTTCAAGCCCTGCCGTGAGCATTCTATTTTTGCCTTTTTTTTATTGCTTGGTTGTTTTTCCTTTGCGTTTTCTTTCAGTTGGCTAGAACGATTTTCCTCAAACGAAATGTTAGAAAATGGGTAAGGGAAAAAAAAAAAAAAAAAAAAAGTGATACACGAGTGTTCGGAATATTGGTCGTGCAGTTCATCCGAGGGACCCAGCTTCTGGATGGCTTCGAGCCTTCTTGCACGAGTGCGATTTGGGGCTAGGTTATATGTATAGTTATTTGTGACAAACCATAAATGTGAATTTGTGAGGAAAGAGATTTCGCACTACGAAAGACGTCTTGATTCTTGTCATACATATCGATCTTGGATGAACAAGCATCGGTTCATTCGCCAAGATAAGTAATCTTGAAGCCAAAGTCCACGGCCCAGCAATGCAAACACGAAAGAGCATGTCTACATAGAGACTACGTGTAAGCGTGCAGCTTCATTCACATCGATATGTCGAGCAATATATAAATACAAAGATAAAATTAATATTTAGTTTTCAGATACATTCCGCGTATCGATGTACTACATAGCTTCAAACACAGGTCATATCCAAACACCTTTTTGTCTGTTCAAATCGCAAAAATCCAGACCTAACTATTTTTCCAAGGATTCATATTCATTAGAAACCTTGCTAGATCCATCAACAAATATCCATCCAAATGTATTTGCGTGCAAGTGACGTAATGCACCAAACAGGTATTTCCCAGCTCTTGACTTCTCCCGCACAAACGCTCCCAACTGCCTAAACAAAAAGAAGAAAAATACAAAAGGTATAAAAAAAAACATAAAGCAGAACAAGTAAAAACGACTTGTAAATACGCGTAAAGATATATCGGCTAGATACAACGCATATCTAGAATGCTCAACGCCAATCGCCAGTGCAAATGAAGTTGCCATGCACACAATGCGGATATGGTACACACCCGTATGAGGCTGACGGGGATAATGAAACAGACAAAGGGAACCAAAAAAGAAAAAAAAAAGTAGGAGCACAAGTTACTAGATCCCCCTTTACGCCTCAACCGCAGCCTTTGGTGGCAATGGCGGCAGGGCACATGTAGGTGGTGGTGCTGGCGGTGGCATAGCCATCCGCGGCAGGCTCTTTTTGCGCCCCATACTCTTGGAGTAATTGCTAGAAGAGGACGATGGCCTCGATGGAATTGCCGGAAGAGGTCCTGTTGGCGGCGGCGAAAGCTGGGGAAGCGACTCTGCAATACTTGCGATGGGATGCGCCTCCCCGGGAAACGACTTATCGGAAAAGGCAGACATGATGCTAGCTCGCTTAGCTGCCCAAGAAAAGCCCAGATTAAAGCCCCGCGAAAATTCATCTACATCGTCGACTGAGGATCGATTCTTCTTCGTCTTGTCAGTCCAAGAAGCCGAGAGGGGTGAAGGCAATGGCGAGTACGACCGGTCAGTGGCGGGCGATGCCAAGGGGCTAGCATCTCCAAGGGTCGATGATGAAGTTTTGGCCTCAAGCTGCTTTCGCAGTGCGTTGAGACTGGCGAGTCTCCGAGGGCTGTCATGTGCGTTCTCATCGAGGTAAAAGCCAGGTGGAGTGATGGGACTCGGACTGGGGCTCCGCGTTGTCAACTTGGGCACCAAGCTCAGGCGTCGTGAAGGCAGCGACAGCCGCCCCAGCACCTGCGGGACGTTTGGCATAGACACGAGTCTCTCTCGAGGCAGCTTGGGGACACTGGGGATATCCAAGGGCGGCCGAGTCTCCGCATTATGGCTCGTCACAGGTCTCTCTGGCATGACGTTCTCTTTGGGGGACGGCTGGTCTTCAACCGTGGATAAGGGCCGCCCTACACGGATATTCGATAGCTTACGTTGCGATCCCCGGGAGGTCGAAGCGACAGCATCTCTTGGTGACGGCGGAGAAAAGAAATTCTTTACATCTAAAGCAGAGGCCACCTTCATGTGAGAAGCCCGGCGGCCGGTGGATTGCGAGGTGGAGACTCCAAAAATGTGAGTGCCACGGGGCTCAGTAGGGGATGGGATCACATCATTTCCAGCGGCGTTGGCCCAGGGAAGTGGGCTGAGTTGGTGATGCTCCAGCATACCATCTCCACCAAGACTGGCCTCCCCAATGAACGGTCCCATAGTCTGCAGTGAGACTCGCCGATTTGCAATGACGCTGGCGTTGGGTCTAGGCCGTGCCGTTTCCGGGATAATGGTAATGTCTGCTGATAGCGGGAACCTTTCGCGCACGGGCGAGCCCGCGGGCGAAGAAGTGGTCGATGTCAAGTTTGTCCGCTGGCCAGACGATAACTGCGATAATCGCTGCGAGCTGTCGCGAAGATTTTCCAATTGGCGACCGTCATGGGATGCGATGCTGTTGGTTGCTGACTTATCGTCGTATGTCAAATCGTGGCTTATAGAATCAAAGTCAACCACAGGAATTGAGTAATCAGGAATCCTAGAACTTCGTTCTTGTTGGGGTGCCGTCGAGGGAGGAATGGAATTGGCTTGTGCAGAATGAGAGACATCTCTGACAGAAATGGATTTTAGGCTTGGCTTCTCACGAACACGCAAAGTAGGGGCATCTTCATTCAGCTTGGCCTCGGCTTCTCTGAGCAGGTCAGCCTCGGAGATGCTCCTTTTGCCTCCAAGCCGTTCAATCATGGACCGCAAGCAGGTCATCCAGCCGTCCATGTCCTCGGCGTTTTCAAAAACCATGATCATATTGGATGTGTTGCGCTTTTCTGGCGATCGGAAGGACAGCTTCGAGAGAAAGGATCGGGGGTCGGTTAATGGCGGTCTGTCGTTGTTCTCTGTGGTAGATGTAACCTGCAGCACAAAATGGCGACCCGGAATCATATCAGTGACAAATGCCGCCGAGGACGCACCCAAGCGCAGCACCTTTTCAGGCAGACGGTCAATAGCGCCTTCTCCAGCATACTGAAGCAAGTAGCCAGCGGTGACAAGAATGTAAATCTTGGTGGTCCACTGCAGATTACCGGCAGACAAGGAGTCTCCGCGGTTTCTTCTCCTGAACTTGTCACCGGTGCTAATGCCAGCGCTGCTCATCATGCTTGTGTCTGTTTCGGTGAGAGGTACGATCATGTCGGCCACACTAGACTTCTCACTGAGTTTCAGAACAGTCTCTGTCGGCATGGTAGTGGCAGACAGCGTTTGCTGTTTGTGCGCCTGTTGGTACGCCCGGATGAGAGGCGGTAACGTCCAGACGGTGAGAGTCGGACGAGGCTGCCTGGTTATTGACATGCCTGGCGCGCGCTTCCCAGAAGAAGCAGAAGAGCCGGTGGCAGGAGTATGTGGACGCGGATCATGGCTGTCGTCTGGTTGCTCGTGGGATGCATCCCACGGATAATCTGGCGTAGAAAGGGCAAGTTCAGACTTGGCTTGTTGCTGTCCATATGGCCAACCGCTGATATCCGCGAGAGACTGTCGAAAGCCGCCGCCAGACCGAGAAGGCGGCCGCCTGCCTAAGTTGCTGAGCATGTTGAGCGAGTTGAGCGAACTGGGTGATTTGAGAGAAATGGGTGATGGTAGGCTCTCTCCCGCCTTAGATAACTTGCGACCAAAGAGGTGTTTTAGGCCGAGCTTGGACCCTCGACGGCCTAGTTTGCTCTTTTTCAACGGAGCTGAAGCCGAGACATCAGAGTCAAGCGAGAATTCGGAAGCCGGTACATTTTTCCTTCGAGGAAATGTGTTGCTGCCCTGAATGGCCTCGAGTCCACTGCCAGGGGTGGCCATGGCGAAGCCAGTTAGATAGCCGATGACTCGCACTGGGGAAGACGCGGCACAACCAGGATAGGCCAAAAAAGATGAGAGTTGATTTGTGTAAGTGTGTACGTGAGTGGGAAGCTGGAGTTGTTTGTGACGACGCTCGGTGGACCCATGAAATGTCGGCGATTGTGAGAATGTCAGTTGTGGAGAAATGACTGTTTCAGAGACGGGCGAGGAAGAAAGAGAAAAGTGGAAATGAGTGTTGGAAGCAATGTTTTGTAACACTCGTCAATGGCTGGCGCTGTGTAGGTCTTTGATGGGAACTGCACAAAGGGGGACTCGCAGACGTTCTGAGCGATTGACGGAACAGAATTCGGTACAATGGACTGCAAGAATGTAAGACGTCGACGGGATATACGGCAATTATACAAACAACAGGCTGACGATGCTTGGCTATAGATGGGAAGAGAGCGTGGTGCGATTGCGATGAAGCAAAAGAGAGCACAGTGGCAAAGAAGAAAAAGGCAAAAAAAGGACTGCGTAAGGCAATTTGCGCTTCCTCTCAAGATTCCATTATCCCGAGGAAGATTGAGGTTCCCTGGAGATGCAGCAACCGTGAGAGGAAGAGAGGCGGACGAAGGTGGGACTTGGGGACTAGTAATACTTGGATGCGCCTGCCACCCAGACTGGCGTTTCCATTCATCCATTGCCTTAGTAGGGCTAGTGCTGGTACCGTAATCTAATATCTAAAGGAGGCTGCCTTGCTAACGGCAGTCGGTACATGCCGCCGAGGTATGAATCACGGACACTCACAGATCAAAGCTTTGTGGAGGGCCAAAAAAAAAAAAAAATGACCAGGACATGGGTCCTTTGAAGCCCTGTAGCGGATGTCAAAAAAAGTGCATGCGTCGGATCCACCCAGCAGGAAAAAGCTTTCATACTGGAAGTTTGTGCCAGGGGTCAGGGGTCCAGGGTCAAGGCGCCAACCAGAAGAGCCCCTGGTCAAGAGCCTGAGGCTTAGAAGAGTCAATTCAAAGAGGTGGGCCGGATGTGGTGCTGGACAGTGCGGTGACAGGCGGGGAGGGGCCCTGGAGCCCACTGAATCCATCGCTTGAAGTATATGCGTAACGAAGGCTTTGCCAGGGCTGCATCATGCCCGCAGAGGGCGGCATGTGTACAGCATGCAGCGCGAGATAGGCTGCCTCTACAGCTACAGAGGGCCAGGCTTTGGCTTCGGCCGGGCTGGGCTGAGCTGGGCTGCGTGTTACTGAAACTAAAAATAAGGACATGGAACCGAGAGCATGGATGGCGTGGCTTTGGATTCAACTTCAATAGTAATGCGGGTATTGTAGCGCCGCGAGTACCGTGACAAGTACCGTGGGCGCGACGAGCTAAACAGGCCCAGAGCCCACTAGAGAGGGCCAGCTGTGGATGGCCATGTCCGGCCATCCGTAGCAGGCTGAGGGGCAGGGCTGTTGCGCCTGACAGGCTATGGTGCGTACCGGTACTTGCACGACAAATGGGATGGCGTTCAGCTTCAGGTTCTACCCACGTAGTTGATATTAACTATAATTACTGCCACCGTGCTAGCTAGGGCCGAAGGCGCAAAAGGAAAGAAGAGAGAAGAAGAAAAAAAAGCAAAAAAAAAATAATATGCATTAATAATAACGGACTAGCTGTGTAGCATTGGAAATTCGGTCTTTGGGCACCTTCTCCTCCTCGATGATATAATCTCTGACCATTTTTCCTTCCTAAAAGAAAACCTTGATGCAGCAAAATGCTGATAGCTTAATATAATTTACTTTTTCAGCAGAACGCAGCTAAAGACGTCTCGCCACCACCGTGTTTGCCGATAAACGTGGAAATCTCTCTCGCCAAGAGAAATAGCCGCATTGCATGTATGTGGTGAAAAGTGCGGGGGACCACCCAAACCTCCACGCAGGACAAAGAAATTGGTCACATTTGACTACCAAGACTAATAAGTATTGCCAGGATTTGATCATATTCTGATTTTTTTTTTCTCTGGTCCGCCTTGCTTTTTATTTTACTTTTTCTTAGCTCAAAAGCTGTGCCTCACGTTTATCTTGTTCTGTGCAGGTCGAAGGCAATAGCGGGTAAACCGGCGAGGGGGAAAAAAAAATCACAAAAGCATGATAAGGCTTAGCCGCCAATATTCGCAACAACAAACAGTGGCTTCCATCCTACTGGTCACTTTTGATGACCCAGCTCCCCTCGAGAATTCGCCAGACGGACAAATCAAGCTCTGAGCTTGTGCAAACGTGTTTTTTCTTCCTTACTGTACACCCGAGGTCTTTTGCTGCTTCGGCGAATTACAGAAGCTGTGTTGTGCCCTCTCCGCTGAGATAAGAGGGTAAAAAATACACATAAAGATAGGCACATCATATACCTATCTGAGCAGGGGTCTCTATAAGGAGATTTTAACAGAAAGTATTATTACCTATCGGTTTGCACCGACATGAGAGATGAGCCGAAATGAGATGAGAGTGAGAAGTGCAGTACATGCAGGCAATACTGCGGACAGAGTCATCGTCAATCTCGATGCCAGCAACACCAGCTCCCAGTTTCTCGGATCCCTTTCCCCCCCTTTAATTACCATCGTCACTGCTAGTAGTACTGCTTGTATTGCTGCCGCCTGGCTTATTACAGGATGTACTACTTTGCACAAGGGCAAATAGGGCATTGGCTCGACGTCTTTGTCTCCGGCGCTTTGGGATGGCCCTGCTAGTGGTCTTGGCCCGACTAGGGTTGCACAATCTTAAAAAGGCTGTTGACCCACGGTGCTCCGCAGTACGCCGACGGCGAAAGCGCGAAAACAAAACAAAGCAAAGCAAAGCAAAGCTCAGCTGGGATGGAAAACCTGCTTGGAAAGAGAAAACTATCGCGGTAGGGCCGAGGGGCCATCGCATGGCATCGCTTCGCGTCGCAGCATCTCGATTGTGCGCGGGGAAACAGACGGGATTGGCTGAAAAGACAAGATGAAGAAACCGGCCATACAAAACTCTCTCCCGCGGCAATGGCTGATCGATCCCGATTCGCCAGATGTTAGTCGAGAGAACTTGCGAGCGCCCTGTAGGGCCAGCGGTAGCGCAAACCTTTTCCCGTAGCATCGGCGCCTGTGGTGCGTGCAGGCAAGGCTCGCTTTAATGAAAGCACGAGCATAAACGCATGACATGCACGATAAGCATGTGCTATGTGCGTGTGTGTGTTGCTGCAGTAGTGCAGCCTGCCGTCAGTGCAGAGCAGGATAGTATCAGCAGCTTCAGGCAACATGGATGGAACATGAAGCTAGGCCGGGCAACCATCACGGCCACAGAGTTTCCGTCGGACCGTCCTCGAGCAGGGGTTCGCGCCCGAGCGACGATCGTGCAGCGCCCAGATTTCAGCTTCATTCTTCATCTTCATTCTACTCCATTCCATTGTTGCGTGGCCCTCATTAAATCAGACCCAGCGCTGCCAGGTTTTTGCACGAAATGCTGCCCCGTTGGGCCGTCATAATTACAGCCACCACCACTACTACTAGGTAGGCACCTATCTACTAGTAGTAGTAATAGGTACTAGACTGCTAATAATAACAAGTACTACCTACCTGAATGCTTCGAATGTGTATTAGCGTTGCTACTACGGAGTGCTCCGTAGTAGAGTATCCAACGATCTGCATTCTGCACAGTGCAGCAGCAAATAGTATAATCTGTCGTTAATTAACAGATACGAGTGTTACGAAATAGCAGTGCTTCGTGTCTGCGTCTGGCGGCTCCGGAGATGCAGCTTGTCGAGCCCGCAGGGGGATGGGCCGAGACGTGATTCGTCCGTAACTTCAGCTGGTCTTGAGGACTGCATGAGATGTGAGATCAACGGCCGCTAGGATCAAAGCAGCACTAGGAACCACCACGAGCATGAGCTGCGATGGATCAAACGCAGTTGACCCACTCTCGAGGCCACTCTCGAGGCCTACAGCATGCCTTTGTTACATAACTATCAGCCCATCTCGAGATGCTACAGCATGTAGACCATGACCCACGCAGCAACTGCAGCTCGACGGCCGCTTGGCCATGCACGTCTGACCCTCTCTAACCCAACTCTCATCATATCCCAAGTTGCTGCTAACAAGACTAACAAGACTAACACGGCAACCAACAACTCGTATATGGTTTATACAGAGTTTCGGCTTGTAATACCTGCTGCCGTTTCTCTCTCCTCTCCCAGATGCCACCTTTGTGTTTCCCCAGCAATGTTTACTCCCTGCACCAGCACAGAGCAGAGCTGTGCCCTGCCACGGTGGTTTTGCGAGGCAATACGAGCAACATATGGGGGAGGGGCAAATGTTCCTGCAGTAGCGCGTGATGCACAGTCTTTGCGCATGTCTGTGCAGCTGCAGGCCAGAATCTCGGCAGATGCTGTTTCACAGCCTGTTACGGGTAAGATTGAGTAAGCAGCAGGCATTGAAGCTTTCATGGACCCAGGCACTGCGATATTCCTTCCAGCTGCCAACTACCTACTACCTAGTACCTAATCCATACCTACATGTAGACATATTACCCGCCAGTCCCTTTTTTTTTCCAATTTTTTCTTCCCCAGATGAGACGAGGCCCGCATCGCGATAACAGCGAAATGCGACGATTGGCCAAAAAAACAAGTAATATCGGAACGGTCGCGGCATTCTTTCAAGTGCAAGCCGTCATGTGCCCATCAACAGTGGAGCATGAATGCAATCTTTTTTCTTTGTTTCCAGTACCAGAGCAATCAAGAGCCACGGCCGCGGATTTCCGAGCCACAGACATGTTTTTGCTGATTTGAAACTGTCGGTTTGGGCCGCGGGCGCCGTGCGGCTCTGGGGCCGATGAAGCCTGGGCCACTCTCTGGCACATACGGGTCAGTCCACGGTTCAATGTTCGCTCGCATTGACGAGACCAGAGAGATGCGGTGCCTCGTGACCCCAGATAATACCTATGCATGTAGGGTCCATGACAGAAAAACAACACAAATACTAGTACTGTACTGTAGTAGTACTGTAGTAAAAAGTTCAAGTAGCAGACATCAGTAATATGTCGTGTCCCTTGAAATCTATTTTTACCCGGCACAATATCGCGGACGGAGCATCCCGTGTCATGGGTAATTTACCCAAGGCAGGTAATTTCATTGCATATACGTATTGCCTCTTGCTGCCCCATGCTATGACGGCCACGGCGATTGATAAGTCAGGCATGTTAGTGACGATTTGACGTTGAGCATGGCATGGCCGATCACCAAACTTCACAGGCCGCACTTCTGAGCCGCCTTGATGGCTTTTCCCCATTTCATCTCATCTCATCAGCCGGATGCGGACCAAAGGCCCGGAGCGACGGTCATCAGAGCCATGCTCATTCACTGCAAGTCTCCCAGTCCAAGATTAGGTGAGGCTGGCACGGGCCGCAGAGGAAGCGGAAACCCTGATAGCCAGGATAGCCAGGCCCTGCTTGGCCATGTCGCTCCCATCCTGCTGGAATGCTCAGCGCCACTCTGTGATACAAGTGACAGGACGGTGTGAGATGCGGATAGAGTCCGATTTATTGCGGCTTACTCGGGCATGCCTCCCCAGCTCAGCCACGTTTTCTTATTCTTATTCTCTCGTCTTTGCCTTCTTTTTTTTTTCTTCGCCCGTTCTACCCTACAACTCGTCGATTTGGGACGAGTTCATACGAGGCCCGCCTCATTGCAGGCAAAATGCATATATACGTGTAATTTCGGCGAGTTTGACATGCGTTGAATATGCGTACGTAGACCTACTTGCGAGTTGGGATTAGTCATAAATGTTGAATACATGTATGCACGGCGACGAAGCCGGACTCTCAACGAGGAAAATCATAGAATGTTCTCTTCTTCTTTCCTTTCTTCGCGCGTCAGCAATAATTTTTTACGTCACCACACATGCATGTTATTTCTTCATTATACTGTACAGTACGACACAACTGGATTCTTGTAGATTATCTAAAAATGTTGAGCCAGAGACGGTGGCGGTTACGAATAGCCGGATAGCCTACCGACAATCAGCCAGTCCCAACACGGACACACTTGCACACCACGGCCGAGGAATCTCATCCCCAAACGCCCCGAGAATGCATCTGGCTGGCATGTGCTAGGGTTTTCTATCCTAATCTGGAAAAAAGTGTTAGCATCTACGCCACCATCGGGGCTGGCGGAGGCTGAAAGGGCCTCGCAGGTAAGATTCACGTTGACCACAGCGGGTTGCCGTATGGGTTCCCGAAGAAGCAGATGAATGGCCAACAAAATCCGATGCTGCATCTCTAGTTGGGGAATTGGGTTTGGTAGATTTAAGGAATTCTAAACAAGTTAGATAGCCAGAAGTCAAGATATATAGCCTTGACGCCGGTGCCGTTTTCTTGACAGATGGATAGTAGCATTGTTTAAACATCATTCACACACATCAGTTAATACACACCACCAATAAACACCATACCATCACATCATAACAATGTGCGACTCACACTCTGACAAATACCAAGTCGTCGACGACGTGCCATACCAGCTAGGGCAAGTTCTTATCCATCAACTTCCATCCCATCTCTCACTCTTCCCTTCCTTGCCCAGTTCTGTTCATTCCGTCACCTACCTATCCAGGCATGATTTTATAGGTACAAATAGCCAACCCACTAACATCACACGCATATAATGTAGCCGTCCTATGCCCGACGTCAACATCGTCTTCAACAACAAGCTGCCCAATTGCCCCGGAAAGTCAGCCGTCGGCCTCCTGGTTGACTTCCCGCCAAACTCATCAACACCGCCTCACACCCATGCCGGCGCCAGCGTCTCCGTCGTCGTCCTCAAGGGCACCGTGCTCAACAAGATGAACGACGGACCGACATATGTGATTCCCACGGGCGGCACTTTCTTCGAGGCTCCTGGATGCCATCACGTAACCAGCGACAACTTCAGCACCACGGAGCCGGCACAGATCCTCGCAACAATGGTTGTCGATACGAAAATTGTGGAAGAGGGCGGCGTGGCGGCGCTGGTGGTGATTGACCCCGAGTATGTCGAGGCCATGAAGGCCCAGGGATCCGGAAAATAGAAAATGAATTGGCAGAGGATCAATCATTTATGCTTTGGATTGCATGTGGCAACAAGTTATAGAGATGAATAAAAAAAACCCAACGAATGAATGGATTCCACAAATATAGCTGTCTAGAGCCCTGATTGCTCCTATCACAGCTCGAAATAGTGTGTTAATGTCAGTACTTGTAACTGTGCACTAATACCCCATATTAGTGGCGTCACGGTTACAAGCCTTGGGGCGCCAAGTAGGTATTTAGCAAAGACATGGCCGTAATCGGTATCAATGGATCGTGGAGCTTTGTGCATGCTCAATGTCAATAAATATACCTTGACTAGGGTCGCCAATTCTACAGAAATCCTTGGTCCGGTTGACGCATCAATTGGATGCACATACTAACCTATTGATGTTTACATGTACGTAGCAGGTACTTCCCGTGACCTTCCGAGAACATGAAATCGGTGCAGCTGAGCGCCAAAAGCGACAGCCACAGCGGGCTCTAGGCTTCCTCTACAGGGCTCGACTGCCTGCATGCAGTGCTTGATTGATCCTATGACTCCCAAAGTGACGGCGGTGGTTCGAGGTTCGAACCACCCGCCGTCAGCTTTTTCGCCTTCGCCCGCATATTCTCGAAGCGGCGATCAGCAGCACGTCACGCAGTTTTTTGGAGTTAGGCTTTTGTGCACCCAGTAATAAAACGCCAATGAGCCCCCATACTGTGCTGTTCGCCTGCATCTTGTTTGTATTTATTTCCAATTGCAGCACTTCATCCATTCACTACATTGGTCCCTCATCAATCAATCAACCAGCCAACAACCAATCGCAACGAAAAGACGAAGCTCTTCAAACATCACATGTGCTGTTACTCCATCCGCGAGTAAACGCATGCATCTACAGTTACCACTGCCTCTATAATCGCAAAAAAAAAAAAAAGAAAAAAAAAAGAAAAAAAAAAAAGATATAAACAATAAAAAGCTTCGCCACCACGGGCGACGTTACTTTTACTTATACTTTCTATATACCTTGGCTTGTGTGGTGGCCGATCGATGCCTACATTGTGCCGCTGAGCCAAGCCTCGATACGGAATAACACAGCACAACCTTAAACTGACGGACAACGAACAAAGCAAGCAACGGACGAACCTTTTTCCTTGGATCAGCATCAATCAACCAAAATCAATTATCTACCTTACCCTTTTGATATAACTTTCCTCGCGTATCCAAGCCGCCTCGAATCTTCTTTCTTCCCCATCCCATTCCACCAGCAAACAACGAGCAAGTCGCAAACATTTTTTTCTGCAGCACAACATCACGCGCCGCTCAACAAATTATGGCGGCCAACGGTGACGTCTCCGTGCCCCGCTCCGAGTCCCCCACTGGGTCGCCTCGATCCGCTTCCATTTCCCTACAGGCGGCCGCGGCTATGAACGCCGGACTCCAACGAGAACCTTCACGCAGTACGTCGTATCCAGCGAGTCAGAGCGTGGCCTTGTGATATAGAGAGCTGCTGTTCCCGCACTTCTCTGTCTCTCTCTCTCTCTCTCTCTTCAATCTTCAATCTTCCATCCCTCATTACCTGTCTCTCTAATCATCCAAACATTTAAGGATCCTCCAACAGCTCCCTCCCACGCGGCTTCTCTTCTCCTTCCTCCGGACGGCGACGATCAACCATCCTCATGAACCTCCAGCTAAACGACCCGTCGGTGCCCGCGCCGGGCGAGATGTTTCAAGACCCCATACGAGCGAGCCCGCAGCCCATCGCCGGCGCTGCCCTGCCGCCAGACGCGAGCCGACACCACAGAACTCCAAGCTTGGGCGAGCTTCATCAGGAGCTTGAGGCAGAGCAGGAGGGCCACGTCGTAAGAAATCCTACTCGACTGATCGAAATTCCATTAGTGAACATGCAAGCTAATCTCCTGCGCTTCGCAGAACCGACTGCTAAACATGATCCGGCAACAACAACTGGAGCTTCAGCGCCTTCAAGCAAGCCACCCGCAAGCAGTAGCTGCAGACGAAGCTGCCGCAAGCTCCGAGAGAGCACCCCGATCGCTCCCCGTCCCCATCAACACCCAGTCTCCAACCGGCAACCACATCCCGTCAGCGTCCAGCTCCTCCTTTTCCCGATCGCCAATCTTCCCCCACCATCGAAACTCCATGGAGATGGCCCGCGCCGACATGCAGCGCCGGTCCAGGACGCCGAGCAGAAACGCCTCCCCTCGCTTGCGGGCGACTTCCATCAGCGCCGAGAGTGGGGATTGGTCTCTGTTCCGTGACGAGAGCGCCTTCTATCAGGCCGAGACGCAGATGTTGACCCGCGAGAACCAGATGCTCCGGCATCGGATTCGTGAATTGGGTAAGCTGTCTTTTTTTCCTCCTTGTTGCTGCCTAAATGAGAAAATGGCTGGGTATACGACTGTCATATGTACACATGCTAACTTGAGTTGCGTGTAATTTAGAAAAACAAGTCAACGACTTATCATCCAACTCTCCAGTACCAAACGAACCTTCGGTATCTTCTAATCTCACTCGATCATCAACCTCTGCTGAAGAGGTCGAGCCTGCACCCAGAGCAGCGTAGAAAAACGTTTGATCTTATGTATCTATTTTTCAATTATGTGGCAATCACGGATTATGATTGATATGCGGGAACCTTTCTAGCTCTTTGAGATTGGCGGACTTCTTTTCCTTTTCTTTTCCTTTTCTTTTTCTTTTCCTTTCTTCCTTTTTGTCGACTTGAGAGCCACATATATTGTTACGCAGGTATTGTAGACACGATAGTCGCAATTTGCCATTTTAGCTGGCGTCTAGGACGAAGTAAATTGTTTTAAATACACAGGACTAGCACAAGAATAATCCCAAAAGAACAATGTGTTTCTAATCAAAATAACTTTCCTCTTCATGGTTGTCATTTTATGTAAAAGTTCCGTTGCCGGGGCCCGCAGGCCAGCCTAAATGCTGTAGATCCAAACTCCGAGAACGCAATGGGCCAACTCACCCATCGGAAACCTACGGGCGTTGGACAATCTCAACCTCGGCTTTGGTAAGAATCACATATAGAGATGAATTGATTAAAATACGAACATGTTCTATAAAACCACATTTTATTTTCTAGTTTTATTTATTGTCATCTGTGGTTTTTGACAGCTTTATACTGCAACTACCGCAAGTACCGCAAGTAGTCCGGGGTTATATGTGGGGCCTCACATTACTTCCATCTTAAAGCTGCTCTCATGAAAGAAACTACCCTGAAACTAGCCCAGGCGACCTCAATTCATTCTGTTACTTGAGCATTTTCTATATAAAACAAAATTAATTTAACAAAAAAAAAATTAACAAGATGCTGGCAAGGAAAGCAGCGAGATTGGTCTGTTCATCCAGCCATAATCACATCCAAGCCTCACACTTTAGCTCAACAGCAGCTGTCAGAGCAGACTTTACTCACGCGGTAAGTTGAGCCTATGAGTTCACAACATCAAGTGAGAGCTTCATATACATACATCTCAAACGACTCAACGCTCCCCCCTAGCCACACTAGAAGAACAATAAAAAAGCTAATACATATATATACAGGTCATCGGCGGCGGCGTCGTCGGCCTCGCCATCGCCCGCCAACTCTCCCTCCGCAGCAACTCCTCCACCGTCCTCATCGAGCGCCACCCCGCCGTCGGCACCGAGACCTCGTCGCGCAACAGCGAGGTCATCCACGCGGGCATCTACTATGGCAGGTCCAGCCTCAAGACGAAGCTCTGCATCCGCGGGAAGAACCTCCTGTACGAGCTCTGCGAGGCGCACGGCATTGCGCATAGGAGGACGGGCAAGTGGCTCGTTGCGCAGAATGCGGTGCAGAGGGAGGGGTTGGAGAGCATCTATGCGCTGTGTCGGGATGAGATTGACGTGCCGGTGAGGTGGGTTGGGCGGAAGGAGGTAGAAGAGAGAGGTGAGGGCGTGAGGGCAGATGCTGGCGCGCTGGAGAGTCCTACGACGGGCATTGTTGATTCTCACGGCTTGATGCTTTGCCTTCAGGGCCTCTTTGAAGACGCCGGCGGTGTCGTCGCGCTCGGCTCCCCCGTCAAGGCTATACGCGCCTCATCTTCAGGATCATCATCATCATCATCATCATCATCACTCCCCGGCAGCTCAGGCTGGGAAATCGACGTCTCAGACGGCCCAGACGGCGACATCTCCACCATCACCGCCGAAACGCTTATCAACGCCGCCGGCCTCGGCGCCGTCTCCATCCACAACATGATTGTCCCGCCCTCGCAACACAAGCAGCTCTTCTACGCAAAGGGCAACTACTTCTCCTACTCGGCTTCGCAGCCCAAAATCTCCCGCCTTATATACCCCGCCCCTGAGCCCGGCGCAGGCGGACTCGGCACGCACCTCACCCTTGACCTGGCTGGGCGGATCCGTTTCGGCCCAGACGTCGAGTGGGTAGACGATCCGAGCGATTTGACGCCAAACGCCTCGCGGCTGGACCAAGCCATTGCTGAGATCAAAAAGTACCTCCCGCGAGTGGATGCCGGTGCTCTTGTGCCCGACTATGCCGGCATACGGCCTAAGCTTGCCCCCAAGGGCGCGGCGTTGGCTACGGATAAGAATTTTAATGACTTTATCGTTCGAAAAGAAGAAGGTTACCAAGGTTGGGTGAACCTCCTGGGCATTGAGAGTCCTGGATTGACAAGCAGCCTTGCCATTGCAGAAATGGTGGACCAGCTCTTATACGGTAGCCAAACAGGCACTGCGGACTCGGTACATGCATGAATACATCCGAAGAGATACACATACACAATCACAATATCATCTTATTTCATCAGCAAATAGTTGATAGACACAGAAAGAGAACAAATCTGCAATTTCCATAGAACCGGATATCATATACATTGAATAACCGAAACCCTGCAACAAGTCTGTATGCCAAAGAGGCTTAAAAAAATTGATATAAAAGAAGAGAAAAGCAAAGGGGGAAAAAAAAGGTGCAGAAAAGACACAATGATCAAAGTGTCCAACCGCCAGTGCGTTCCGTTTCATAGACCATCAATTTTAGAAACCATTAAAAAGAGTGATATGTAAGTAGAAGAAATGCAAAGAGAAGGGGAATGGTAAAGCAAAAAGAGCAGCCACGCGAGTGCAAAGAGAGTTCCTAAACTTTTTTTCCCAGTGTTGTCCAAATCGGCAGCTTGCTGCGCCTTAGACACAAAAATGAAGAATGCCAACGCCATCCAATTCCTGCTACATGTGCAAAAAAGAAGAAGAAAAAATGCATGTTCTGTGATGAGGTTATGATGCCCTTTCTGGCGGGTCTCAATGTGCCTCGACAAAACGACGTCGTATTAGCGCATTGAAATGCTGTTGTAGTACTGCCTGGCATAGAGGTCCACGCGTAACTGATAAATGCCATTTTGAGCACCAATGAAGCTATAAAGATGGCATTTGTTAGCGTTGGTAAGAGAACGTAGGTAAACATATTAGAATAGACAAGGATGGATGATGGCAAGAGTACCAAGAAAAAAAAAGAGTAAGACTCACAGTATGGTGCCGTCTGCGCTCCAGGACAAGCCTGAAGTATTATCTGGCGAGGGCGGAACCTCAAAGACACCATGATCGGGCGCTAGCGTTCCTCGCACGGCGCTTTCCTCCCAGCGACTTGCTAGTATTTGGCTGGGAATGCCCGGAATGGGACGGTCATCGACAGCACTTTCCGCCGAGGACCGCTCTCGAGCCTGAAGGATCTCAAGAACGGAGAGATACGACTGATCTTGCCTCTCTCGCTGCTCCCGCGAGGCGGCCATCATCTCGTTAATGCGTTCTATCCACCGCTGGTCGGCCCGCCCACTGCCACCTGAGCTGTTTTCCCGCATGAGCTGGCGAGCATTGCGCACACGCTCCTGAGCTCGTTCCCGATGGTCTCTGTAGACATTCATCAGATCGTTCGGACCAGAACTGGTGCCTTGGCGGGCCGCTCGAGTAGTGAACGATGATGTCGCGGGAAGCAGCCCGCTGCCTCGATCATCACTGAAAGGAGGGTTGCCTCTCTCTCGCCGTCGGCGTTCGCTCTGAATCGCCTCGAGGACCCTAGTTTCGGCAGGCGTCAGCGGCTGGTGCATCATCTGAGCCGTGAAGAAGCTCGTAGCCGTAAGAGGGGGGTTTAAAGGCTCTCCCCGTGTCATTCGAGTTTCCAACAGCCGCGGATCAATAGTCTGTGTGTCGAAAATGCTGATGTGCTCATATTCCTCTTCTTTATTGAGATCAATAATCTGCCGGACCATAAAATTGTGCCTCACATCGGCAATACCAATGCGGCCGCGATCTTCAGTCCATGCGAGCAGGTCATACGGGCCAGGGCAGAAAGCCATGTCCCGAACAGCTCCCGGCCCGCTATTGGGGCGGGAGGATTGGAATGTAGTGATGAGCGGTTCAACCGTCTCATCCTCCAATTGTGTTGCGTTGAATATCGAAATGGTGCCGTGCTGAGTTCCAACAGCAAGATAGGTGCCGGACGCAGAGAAGGACGCCGCAAAGCTTCCGCGGCTGTCCGTTTTGTCGTCTTTCTTCTGGCTTCTGAGCAGGATTCTCCGCCTAAGCTCCCATTGCGCTGGCTCAGCGGAAATCCCAACACGCCGGTGAATATATAGATATGGATCGTCCAGGATTGCGATTAGGAGGCGCCCATCAGGCGAAATGATGGCCCTATTAACAAAATCCGGGTACTGGACAATCTCCAGGGGCTCAATGTCCTCATGTTCCTCGAAATCATTCAGACTGACAATGGCTACAGTTCGATCATTGTTCGCCAGAACTGCCACGGGCTCATCGTAAGCATGTCTACTGAGGGGCAAACCTTGGCCCGGGGGAGGAGGAAACCACAGCGTGATGCAGTTAACTCGCTCTTTGGCGAGCTTCATGCTCTTTGCGGTGACTTTATGCGCCTGTTGAGCCGCGGTTGTGAGCATGTTGAGCGCAGCTTCCTCGGGCGAGGTTGTGGACTCATCGCTGGTCAGAGAGGGGCCGGCACCAGAAGCCGGGTCAAGAGTAGGGTTCTGGGAGGTGTCCGATGCTTGGCCGCCCTCTTCGTCGAGTCGTATAGCCACAAATTCGCCCGTCTCGCTGCCACAGCACAGCCATCCGTTCTCGCCCACAAGACACCGCGGTGCAAATGTAAGATGCTTGATCGTTTCGCAGCTGCGAGCCTGGGTATTAAGCCGCTGGATTTGGCGGCTCCCAACACCGCCGGGGTAAAAGAGGTTATAATTGTTCTCAGCACTTATGAGGGAGCGCAGCTGCCAATGCCTGAACGCGAGTGGAACCAATGGGTTAGTAAGTGAGATAAGCTGGAGCTGTGAGAAGAGCGAGCATATCGACGTACTGTGAGCGGACCGGAACCCGGAAGTGCGTGCGTTGTATTCTGGAGATGAGGCGGTCGGAGAAAACGAAACTATATAGACGTTTAGAATTGATGTGCTTAATCAACTTGGCGAGGCGAGCGATAGGACTCACGATTCATCGTCTCTGCGAGCCATGCTTGCGTTGTCGGTGGATGATTCGTCGTATTGCATTAGATCCAGTCCAATGACCAAATGGGCTCAGCGGCGTGCGCTGCAGCACCCAAAGAAGGTGAAACCAGGCACAAGAAAGATGCACAGGCTATAACACCACTTTGGGTTCGGTGATGACGCTGTTATGGAAGTATGTTGCGTGCCTCCAAATAGAGGGTTTCGAGCCGGATGAAGGATGCCGCAGGACCAAGAAGCCAAGCCAATGCACCAGGCAAGGAACAAGGAGACAATCCTAGGATGGAAGCAAAGCACGGATGTGCTCGCGCGAGAGCATAGAGAAGTGTTGGAAAAGGGGGCGGAGGAGAGCAAGAGCAGGGAGATGGCGTGAGGAGAAGCGTCGTGATGCGATTGGGTTGGGTTGCAAAGCAAGCAGCAAAACACAGGCTTGGCGGGCTGAGATTGAGGTGGCGGGCTTATGCCAGAGCCTGGCCTTTAGTGAGGTCGCAGCGCTGCTGCAGTGCCGTACAGGGTACTTTCGCGCCTTATCGACGCCTTATCGCCCACTGGAGCGTCGCGCAAGTACCCTGAACCTTTTAGCTGGGGGGGAGACAGTCGTGCTAAGGCGCGCTACAGCGGCTCCCCGGATGGACGAACCGCGGATGGGTGAGAAGTGGATAAATGACGTCTGACAGTTTGAAGAGCGGCGAAAAGCTGCTTTACACCACCATCGGTGCTGTCACTGTTCGCTTTGCATGCTTCGCCTGGATCGAAGGGCTGGTGAGACGCGCCTTGCTGTAGTCGGTACAATGGGAATGCCTGCGTTGGTCGCTCAGAGCACATGCATTTGAATTTACAGCCTGCAGCTGAGTGATATGGGACACATGTATGCTGGCACGAGTAAGTTGGCATGCTTGCTGTGCGCAGTATGTGTGCAACGATGCATGGATGTCATCAAGCCCCAGTAAGGTCGCTTCGCTTAGGCGTCTGTCCACGAGCCTACTGCAATCAACGCCTTAGTACAGTCGCAGTGCCTTAGTCGTATGCTGCTACTGTAAGTAAACGATACCCCAGGAACTACAGGACAACTCCCCGGCAGTTGTAGCACAAGCTGTGGCAATGGTGCTAGCTTCAACTACGGAGCCATCTCGAAAGCAATAAAACATGCATTGACTTGGCCCCCAAGTGGTGCTTGGCTTGTTGACAGGGCATTGAGTACGGAGGTAGCTTCAAAAGCAAAGAGAATAACGACAGGGTTGTCGGGCACTGCAGTTGGTGGGGGCCATTGCTTGAGACATGGGGCAGCAGTGCATTGCATGTTTGCCTGCGTTTATGCGAAGCACTTCATACACGCAGTATGATTTGCGGTGGTTTGGGCTGGATTTTGATGCACAAAGGCTTCTCACCCATGCCGCACACCGGGCTGGGTAGACCAATAAGTTAGCAGCAATCGTCGATATTAGTACAGTGCTCTCTAGCAAATACTCATCATTGCTAGCATTCCCAGAGAGCAGACACAATCAACGGCGAAAGTCGATGCTTTTCGCACATTGAGCCGATCATAGCCTTGGCTAGAGCCATCATCGTGCCGATTCACCCCTGCCTAGCTCTCGCGCTCAGCTCTCTTTCTTCTCGCTTCTCCCGCGGCTCGCGTCTCGATAGATCCATCCATCCGTCCCCACCGGCGCTGCTATGCGTCAATCGAGGCATCAATCTCTTTCAACGGCTAGCCAAACGCCTGCTACGGAGTCCCTCGAGTGACCTCAATGCCGAGAACGCTGTCGGATCAATACTTGTTCCGCCCGCCTAGACCCGGGACTACGGGACGGGGCCCTTCGTTGCCTCTTTCTGTCGGCTTCTATGGCCGACCACTCACAGCACCAGTTGCGGCTTTTCCAAGGCTAGCGGAAAAAAAAAATTCGTCTCTCCACCATCTTCTTCTCAAGTATCCATTCAATTCTTCTCTCCATATCTTGACACCTCCATCTCCTCTTTCTCGGATCGCGTGTCCTTCCTTTTCCTCTTCTCTTTTTTTCTTCTCATCCATTGTATACCCCCCAATTCACATTCGTCATGTTGGCTGCGCGATTCTCCAGAGCTGTAAGTACCAAAACCACACGCCGAGTTAACAGCATCCCTCACTGAATGCCTGCTAACATGCCGTCTGAATAGCTTCCCCGAGCTTCTCCCCTCGCCGCTCGCTCGGCTGCCTTTGCCAGAGCTCCTTCAGTCGCCAAGTTTGCTCGCTATGAGTCAACAGCTGCTGAGGGCGACGGCAAGGTCCAGGGTGCCGTCATTGGTATCGATCTGGGAACCACCAACTCTGCCGTCGCCATCATGGAGGGCAAGACACCCCGCATCATTGAGAACGCAGAAGGTTAGTCACATTCGTGTTTTGCGCCGCTGATGATCGGCTCATTCGGTCATTGACTGCATCCCCATTCGCTTTTGCGCATTGCTAACAAGTAATCTCTCCCACACTCTAGGTGCCCGCACCACTCCCTCAGTAGTTGCCTTTGCTGAGGACGGTGAGCGTCTGGTCGGTGTTGCTGCCAAGCGACAGGCTGTTGTCAACCCTGAGAACACTCTCTTTGCCACCAAGCGATTGATCGGTCGCAAGTTCAAGGACGCTGAGGTCCAGCGAGACATCAAGGAGGTCCCCTATAAGATTGTCCAGCACTCCAACGGCGATGCCTGGGTCTCTGCCCGTGACCAGAAGTACTCTCCCTCTCAGATTGGTGGCTTCGTCCTCAACAAGATGAAGGAGACTGCCGAGGCCTACCTGTCTAAGCCCGTCAAGAACGCCGTTGTCACCGTCCCCGCTTACTTCAACGATGCTCAGCGCCAGAGCACCAAGGACGCCGGTCAGATCGCCGGTCTTAACGTTCTCCGTGTCGTCAACGAGCCTACTGCCGCTGCCCTGGCCTATGGTCTTGAGAAGGAGGCTGATCGCGTTGTCGCTGTCTACGATCTTGGTGGTGGTACCTTTGATATCTCCATCCTCGAGATCCAGAACGGTGTCTTCGAGGTCAAGTCCACCAACGGTGACACTCACCTTGGTGGTGAGGATTTCGATATCCACCTGGTTCGCCACATGGTTGGCGAGTTCAAGAAGACTTCTGGACTTGACCTCTCCGGTGACCGCATGGCTATCCAGCGTATCCGTGAGGCTGCTGAGAAGGCCAAGATTGAGCTGTCCTCTTCTCTTCAGACCGACATCAACCTGCCTTTCATCACTGCCGACGCTTCCGGCCCCAAGCACATCAACCTGAAGCTCACTCGTGCTCAGCTCGAGAAGATGGTCGACCCCCTCATTACCCGAACCATCGAGCCCGTTCGCAAGGCCCTGAAGGATGCCGGTCTCCAGGCCAAGGACATCCAGGAGGTCATCCTGGTTGGTGGTATGACCCGTATGCCCAAGGTTGCCGAGTCCGTCAAGTCCATCTTCGGCCGTGACCCAGCCAAGTCTGTCAACCCTGATGAGGCTGTCGCCATGGGTGCTGCTATCCAGGGTGCTGTCCTCTCTGGTGAGGTCAAGGACCTCCTTCTCCTCGACGTCACCCCTCTGTCTCTCGGTATTGAGACCCTGGGCGGTGTCTTCACCCGTCTGATCAACCGAAACACCACCATCCCCACCAAGAAGTCCCAGGTCTTCTCCACCGCCGCCGACTCTCAGACCGCTGTCGAGATCAAGGTCTTCCAGGGTGAGCGTGAGCTGGTCAAGGACAACAAGCTGCTCGGAAACTTCCAGCTTGTTGGCATCCCTCCTGCCCGCCGTGGTGTTCCCCAGATCGAGGTCACCTTCGACATTGACGCCGATTCCATCGTCCACGTCCACGCCAAGGACAAGTCCACCAACATGGACCAGTCCATCACCATTGCCTCTGGATCTGGTCTGTCCGACAACGAGATCCAGCAGATGGTTGAGGACTCCGAGAAGTACGCCGAGTCTGACAAGGAGCGCAAGTCTGCCATTGAGTCCAGCAACCGCGCCGACAGCGTCCTGAACGACACTGAGCGTGCTCTGGATGAGTATGCCGACAAGCTCGACAAGGCTGAGGCCGACGGTCTGCGCGAGAAGATTGCCTCTCTCCGCGAGTACATCACCAAGATCCAGTCTGGTGACAGCACTGCCACCGCCGCTGAGATCAAGGAGAAGACCGACGAGCTCCAGGTCGCCTCCCTGAACCTCTTCGACAAGATGCACAAGGCCCGCAACGAGGGTGCCTCTGAGCAGCAGTCAGGCGAGCAGTCCACCGAGGGCGAGAAGAAGGATGAGAACAAGCCTTAAATAGGTCTTGGGATCGAGAGCGAAGAAGAAAAAAAAACCCCAATTTAAAAAAGAAATTTCTCATGTATCAAAATCACATTTACTGTTCGGATATTCAAAAGAAGCACGGGGCGCGACATAGATCCCTCTTCTTGTTGTATTTATGATGTACTCATATCCCGCCTAAGCTGCTATGCAACTTGAACCTATTTCCTATTTTCTATCTCTTTTTTTTTTTACCAATGTCGTTAATACCTATTGGCTGGCGGAACAGGCGTTGGAGCATCAAAAAACCTGCGGGGGATTCTGTCTCCTGTTACTTTTATTTTTTATTTTCTTGTTAAGGCTGCTTATTGGAAGCATTGAATGAGTACGGTCACTAGGAAGTGGGTGGTATGGACAAAGGGACAAACTTGAGAAAAAAAGAGAGAGACCTTTGGGTGGATAGGTAGTTAGATGAATAATGATTTTCTCCCCTCTACTTTTTCTTGGAAGTGCTCCAATGGCTTTGTGATATGCTTGTGCATGTGTGATTCTTCTCATGTATGATGAATTGGTTTACAACCTTTATGCCATCCATGCCCATGGTGTGTTCAACGTATTTGTCCCATGCCAGTTGATTGAGTGCTTTCCATGCATATTTTCACCCTGTCCTGTAATAACCATATGAACTGAAGGGGGTTGCTCCAGCGGATTGTCGTATAATTCGCCCGAAAGCAGAGGCTGCGTATCACTCTCTTCGTCGCCAAGATAAACCCTTTCATCGCGGAGGAATATATCGCGAATATTGGTGATTCTCCTCTGAGGATTCTTGCGCGTGCCCAGGACGAGATGATCGTCGTCTATCACCGTCTCTGGGTCGCTGCTGGATACGCGCGGCGGCATGTCGTCATGCGCGGTGGCGCGGACCGTGAAGAAGACGAGGCAGAGGACTATGGACAAGCAGAGGAAAATGGGGAGAATTATGCAAATGGCGTTTGTGAAAGCCATGGCTGAAAGCATTAGGTACAGAACGACGAGAAGATGCACTTCATGAACGATGGAAAGAGAGGATGGTAGTGTCTTCTTTTTCCTTTCTTCCTTTTCCTTTATTTTTTTTTTATCAGGTGAATCTACTTCAAACACAACATTTCATGAGACAAAGTTTGGTTAGGAATTTTCATATTTTCCCTATTTGCTATAGGCGCAGAGTAGTATTAGCGTCATCCCCCCTTTTCATTCCAGACACGCGATTCCGTATCGTGACTCCCCATGAGACAGTCAAACATGGCAATCAACTAGTGAGACAAACTCCAACATACACTTGCACTGCAAGAAAGGCACAATGTTCATAAGGCATTTTGGGTCACCAGGTATATGATATTGGGATGTTAATATTGATATAGAAGGAATCGGAGAATATTTTGTCAAAAGTTTTGTAAGAGAGAAAACAGCTGCGTAGCTAGGCTTATCACCTCCCAAAGCCAAACCAGCCTCTCTTCTGAGCAGGTTTCTCAGCCTCAGCAGCAGGAGCAGCTTGATCGTCCACCTGAACCTCCTTTTGGGGATATTGAATGTAATTCCAGGCAACATCGAGGAAAATGGGCTTGACGGGCATTACCTCCAGCCTCGGAGGGAACTCGACAATGTTGTTGAGGTTGGCCCCACCGATGGGATATTCGTGCAGCTTCTCGACTAGAGGAGCGTGGCTTTGATACTCATCGCCTTGAGCCTGTTTCTTCCGCAGGTTGTCGACGTGGACGATAGCACGGTGGCGTTGCAGCTCGCCGTCAACCACTTGTTCTAAAAATTTGACGGAGGCGGGAGATATGTCAAGGCTCAAGGGGAGCTCGTCAGAAGGGGTCTCTGTGTTTGGAAGCTTGGCAACTGCCTTTAGGCTGAAGCTCAGAGCACGGTTGATAAGAGCCAAGGCGTTGGCAGAGTTGCCAATGATGGCGTGTGACCGGGCGACGGCGAGGTGTCTATGCGCCTTGGTTAGCAATTTGATTCAAAGTTATTTTTGTCTCCCTCATTGGTAATAAGGTGTTAGGGTAAAGAAACAGTACGTACTTTAACGCGATAAAGTATTGTTCGTAAGCTTCAATCCGCGCAGCAAGTTCTTCATCAGCAGCCACGCCAGGCAGCTCTCTAATGGACTCCAAGTTCTGAAGAATTCCATCGTAAAGAGCACCCTTCTCCTTGAGCTTGGCCAGCTTCTTGCCAGATGGCAATTCTCTCTCTTTCTTCGCATCCTCTGATGTTGCGTCCTTCTTCTTTCTCCTCCTCAGTGAGCCATATTCCTCTGTAGCTCCATCATGAGGACCCGTAAGAACGCGGTTACGACCGATTCTCCAGCTGATCATTTCATAGTTGACTGCCGTGCGTGTAATCTGTAACCGTTGCATTCTAGGGTCGCTTTGGCTGACGCCGTCTGCCTTGACATCATCAATTGCTTGTTTTGCGGCATCAACAGCATCTTGGGTTGCTATTAAGATTTCGTCATAAGCAGCAGCTACCTCGTGGAGACCCTTGTCCTGAGATTTGGCCACAGCCTGTGAAAGCCTCTCTTTGGCTTCACTAACAGTTGACCAAGCTGTGGCTATTTGGGCGTCCTCAATTTGGACTTGGTGACGGCGCCAATTGAGTGTCTGGGGAGCAGTTTCACTTCCTGCAATGTTATTTGTCGACTCTGGCTGCGCCTCGCCGAGAAGAGTGGCATCAATTCGGTTGATTTCCTGGACTAGAGTGTCGTCTGATCGCGGGAAGGCGTTCTTGGCAAGGGTTGCAACTGAGACTGTTCGAGGTGTCTTGAGCTGATACGCAGCAAACCGGATTGATGGCTCTACGGTCTCAGAGAGCAAATCCTTGTACAAGTCGCTTTTACTAGCGGTAGCCAGCGCATTGTAGATGACATATGTCGTAGCATAGCTCCTCAAACAAGCCTCCCAGCTGTTTTTTTCGAACTGCATGGCGCCCCGAATGAGGGACGCATATGCCTGAGCTTCGAGAACATCGGTGATGGTGGCACCACTGATGTCGATCTGCGAAAGGATGCGGACAACCTGCTCGGCACTTCGAGCTGCTTTCTCGAGCCGCGAGACGATGTGGGACCGAGCACGGCCAACAATTCCCCTCTGGTCAATCGAATGAGCGGCCTTGATGCTCATTGCCTGGGCCCAGGCACGTTCGCTGGTAAGGAGGAGCAGGTAGACATGCCTAGGAAGCGCAACGCGGCCAAGTCAGCTCCACTGCTGCCACAGACGGCGAATAAGTCACAGGGGTGAATGATATCATACTCATTGTTTGTCCTGACCTCCTCGGCGGTAGCTTGCTCGGCCTTGCGGAACTTGCCTCGATTCTTGGTGACGGTGCCCAGCTTCCTGCGCGAGTTGAGGAGGCGTTTGGACAGCTGGCCGTGGTAGGTGGAGTAATCGCCATAGAGCAGGGCCTTGTCGCGGCCCTGGATGATGAAGCTAGTGATGTCCATTGTCAGACGAGACTCTGGCCGCTTCCACGGCTGGGTGAATCAAGGAAAGCTGTCGGCGTGTGCTTGTTCGCAGCGGCCAGGCTGTTCTGCAACCAGCTAGCAGCAGGTTTCTTGGCCTGGGATTGGCGGGGATGGCGGGGCAGCCTCTTTTTTTTTCCCAGAGAAGCACGAGACGAGGCTCGCAGATTCGTGGCACGGTGCTTACATAATGCTGCTTGGATGCTGATATAAAGTTTGCGGTTTAAGTTCACTAGCGGTACTTCCCCGTCGAGTGCATGTACCTTGGCCAGAGGCAGTTCGACAGCCTCAATGTCTGTACCGATACATCCATGCACGACTCGATATATCGTGTCGGCGCAAGCAGCATCGCTTATTGACAACGCAGCATTATTATGCGCGATTTGATTTAGAGTTTCTGGATGTCTTTTGTCGGCTTTAAGACGTGGCCTGGCACAGGCTCATCATTACCATTTGGAGCATTGCCTGCATCTGCGTGAAGTGCGTGAGTGAAACATAGAGCTCTTTGGGTCTGATAGAATCCTGCCTACTAGGTAGGTATACAGAATACTGCTAGTAGGGACTGATCCATGTTCCATAAATAGATTCAGGCCAACTATTGACACCGAAAAGGACCCCCACTGTAGATGAAGCAGGCGGCCGAGACAGCCTCTGAGACATCCATCCACTGCAATATTGGGCGATCTTGGGTCTTGGTGCGATGGACACCGATTTGTCCGACTTTGCCTTGATCGATTACGCTGCCGAGATAAATCTGGATCGGCTTCACTGTGGGTGCACAAAAGGTCTTACGATTATTGTCTTGAGCTCATACGACCCCCAGGACGAGCGTGGAACGATGCAGTTGTGGCAGCCGATGCTAGCAGTATGCATGTCTCGCCCGACAGACTCGGATCCATCTTGTAGAGTACTTGCATGTGCTCTGCAGCAGCAGCAGCAGCCATAGCAGGTGGGCGTAATACGCACATCGCCGACGTGTAGAATATTACCAATCCCGTCGTCGTCAGCACTCGTCCAAGGTGCGGTCTGATGCTGGGTGTGATCCGATGTGGTGGTCGGCTCTCTTCATGCAAGCACGGCTCAAATGCTCCTTTTGCCGGGGTCTATGCGGCTCCATCGCCCTTCAGCTCGGATGATCCGAAGCTAGCAGCCTTGTGACGGTCCCTTCCCTCACCATGATGTTGAGCAATACCAATGCGCTACTGAGCAACCCGTGTCTTGCAGCCTTTTCTCAATAAGTCTTGGAGAAGAGTACTTGATATCGCCTCGCCTCACTGTCTTGCTTTCCCCGCTTCTCCCAGGCATCCGGTCCAAGAGATAGGGAGATGCGAATCGTCGATGGGAGCACATGCAAAATGCAAAAGCAGAGCGAGAACGCACATGTATCGCGTATGCAGCCCCGTCTGCATGTCTTATCCTTCAGCCCCCCATGAACGAATGGCATTTGGCAGCGGCAGCGATTGGTGTGGGTGGTGTATCCAATCCCTATTGTCCAGCGTCAAAGGTCGGTTACGACTCGTGTCAGCCATGCATATGTGCGGGCACGCTCTGGAAGACAAAACTTGCTGCGAGCAAACGAGACCAAGGAAGCCAGAAAACTGATATGATACAACCCAATATGCTTGGACGGAGGTCGGCAATCGTCGATAGTCGCTCGGGGGATTTTGGTGCGCATCGGTCAGGGATCACGACAGCAAGGGTGGTGACCTTGCAGGAGGAGATGCTGGACTTTTGCATCACGTGCCCCCATGCATCTTGCAGTGAGGCCATCTGCTGGGGCCACCCACAGGGCAGCTCTGCTGGCATCTAGGCGCTGGAGAAAGGTGGCTTCGGGCTTCTGGAGCACTGGAGCCTTCTGGGGACGCGCCACTGCAGTGGAGGGTGCACGGCCCACGGCGATCCCTGTCGCTGCAAACGGTGCTGTGCAGGTGACCTGCTTGGCTGCAGTAGCTGCTGGTTTTTATTTCTCTGGCTTGCTGCCACTCATATGGCGGGCTGGTGTGGCGGTAGCTGCGGCAGTGACAGGCAGGATTTGTCCTTGTTGACGTACAGTATGATGAAATCTGGGCCCGACATTTTTGTTTGGTTGTCGATGGAACAAGCAACCTAGAACGCAGGTTGCAAGGTAGGGTGGTATTATATAGTTGTATGCAGTCCGCAAGCCGGCAATGCTCCAACAACAGCGAGGACATGAATAATGTCAGCTGCCAAAGTTGAGAAAGAGGGTATGCCGTGGACTGTAGAGAGAGGACCCGTTTCTCCACTATGAAATCGTGATACTATCAAGTAGCCAAGCCTCTCTCCCTCTACGGCATCTCAAGGCTCTACTGCAAGCCAAGGGCTTTGCGGCAATGGTGCTAGTGGAATGGCTGCTGCATGTACTTTATCACAGACATTACAAAACCAAAAAGTTAAAACAAACAGCATGCATCACATCACCAGGCAATCGCACTTCCAGGCCAGTTTGCAGGCACGTTCGCCCCTTGTAGCAGCCTCAAGCAAGCCCCAAGCAAGCCCCAAGCAAGCACTACCAGCAAACACCAAGAGCCCACCTCCAGTTTTTTGCAGTCGATTTAGCGCCCCGCCTTCCAGACTATTTCCTCGCTGCTGCAGCCACTCAGCGTCCGCCGATACCAGCTGCACGCTCTGATCAGAGTCCCGCTACATGCCTGATGCTGGGCCCGCCGCCCACTAAATTCCCACTACCGCTGCGACCTGCCTGGCGACATGTTTCTGCATCCGCGAAGGGCTCTGCCGAATAGACTCACTCGCTCACGCCAATCCCATCGCCAGTAACGGGCTCTTTTCTTTTTCCTTTTCCTTTTCATTTTCTGTTTTCTCTCTTTCCCTGCTTCTCTCTGCTCCTCCGCTCCTCCTCCCTGATTTTCCACCGCCACTGGCTGTGTCTCTGCCGCTGTCTCAGCCGGCCTGAAGAGAAACGAAAAGGACGAGCGCGTTTGCGGCTGAGACAGAAATCATCGACAAACAACGTGCATTGCGGCCTCTCCACGGCCTCTGATGCCGCTGCGGCCACCAGCTGGAGCCTTGTGCTCTATCACCGTCAAGATCCCAGCCCCTTGTTGACGGCTGCCATTACTTCTTGTTTTTTGCCTCTTCTTCTCGAGCTGCTTCTCGGTGCCTCAGATTATTTATCTCGTGCTCTCCTCTTATTCTTATCCCGCATATTCGCCTCCCGCTATTTATCCCTCCCGCGCTCTATACCGAACATAAAATTTTCCCCAGCGCCTCCCTCTTCCTTCTTCTGTTCGTCTCAATTTCATCCTCGCAGAGCGTTTACTCCTTCGCATCGGTTCTTCATCAACTATCGTAGGGGAAGCTACGCTTTGATATCATCGTTTTGGCCGGCTACCACGGCGCATTCACGCTTTATTTGAACGATACCAAGCATTTATAATACGGCACTCCTCGCCTCACGCCACTGCGAGAAAAGGGAGAGAACGGTTCAGAGTGAATACATCTCCTTACTCTGATCACCCCCATCCAGCATTATTCTTGCATCAACTTCTGTGATGACGGATTAGGCCTCGTCACATATGCGGTAAAACGCCTTCTTCCCGACTCCTTGATTCTCACTTTTGCACTTGCAGGCGCTCTTTGTGTAGCCTTCAAGTGCCACATACTACTATACTGCAAATGGCCACAAACGGTAATACCTGCACCTTTTCTCAAATTCGTCTCCATGTCTCTTACTTTCTACCATGATCCTTGACCTGTTGTTCCACTGCTACCACTGGGACCCTTGCTCCAGCAGGACTGTGGGCGAATTCATATTTTCTTTTTCCTCTCTTCTATCATCACTGGCTTCTCCCAAGAAGAAATCATAGTCTTAGGTTATGCTGACTCTCACTTAGGAGGACCTTCGCAGCCCCCTGATCCCGGTCCAAATATTGCGCCGTCATGGAACCTTGATGCCTATCCTTTGTTGAATATTCCATTTCAAGACTTCAGCAGCTCGCAAATCACAGATAATGGGCCGGGTCAGCCCGTAATGCCGTGGCAACAGCTCCCCGTAGATGAACCAGGACCCGAATCTACTTCTTTCACGGCGCTGCTCAACAGCCCCTTTGATTCATTGACAACGAGCCCAGCCCCTACAGCGGATACACCAATGGCTGAGATGCCGGTCGCTCAAACTGCTGTACAGAATGGCGGCCACATCCCGGCTTCACAATACGGAATTGCCACTGGATATCATTCCCAAGCTGCTCATGGCGTCTTGATACGGCCGAAACCCGCACCCATTATCCCTCAGGCCGATTCAGATGATCGAGATGACGAGCCCATTCCCATTCCCAAGCGCAAGCGAGTGCAGCGTGAAGGACCACCTCGGCTTCCGCCTTTCTTGAGAGAAATGCAGGCTGATGCGAGGAAAAGACAAGCCGAGCTTTTGGCTGCACAGGCTCGGGCTGCTAACCCTCAGTCTACTGTTGACTTGACAAATGGTATGGATCGCCTCCTGCACTGCTTGCAGCCTCTTCTTCTTCTCTCTTTTGCTAACTTTGTGGAACTCGTCAGTTAACGACGATGCTTCTCCGCCCGCGCCAGTTGATCCCAAAGAAGAAGAAATTTGTTATGGCATGATCAAAACCCGCGCAAACTGCACCCGAGTTCCATCTCCAAAGCCTGGCGTACAGAGCATGTGGGGCGCTAATTATCAACCCAGCATCAAGGTTGTCCTCAAGAAGATCGTCAACGACCGGAGTTCGAAAATTCCTATTATTGATCACACAAGAGAAGTAATAGGCTTCGTCGATGCTTCTTCTGCCAATGCCCTAGGGCCTCTATTGGATTTGAACCTTCGTGTCAGGACCGACGCCCGTATTCCTCCACAACCTATTGCCCCTGGGCAAGAACCTGGCCAGCCCGTGTCACGTTCTTATATTCTCGACATCGTCTTGTATGGGCCTTTCAAATACGCCAGGAATGTTGGCGCTTTTATGACACGGTTCAATATTACTCTTCAGCAGCCCTATATCGTCCAGAGTGGCATCAAGTTGATAAACCCGCACCACCCAGAGCACTTGCAGTCCCTGAAGAGACCACCCAAGGCAAACACTAATCGTGATCTTGGTCGTTCTGGCACTGTCACTAATTTCACCCCAAGAACTGTCGAAGAAGTTCGCTCCGAGGTCATGGGAGTGTTCGATTCTCTTACTAGGAGTGACGAGTTACCCACCATGGACCCCCCGGCATCCATCTTAACCCCCTTGCTCACTCACCAAAGACAGGGTCTTTACTTCATGATGGCCAGAGAAAGGCCACGTGAACTACAGCTACAGGAGAAGGCCATGGTATCCTTTTGGCGGACAAAATCCAACATGAATGGGCATAAGGTGTTTCATAATGTCATCACTGGCGAAAACCAGGTTGCCGCCCCCTCGGATACTCGTGGTGGTATACTTGCTGATATGATGGGCCTTGGTAAAACGCTTAGCATCCTGTCGCTCATTTCAAGCACAGTCGAGGAAGCCCGGCAATTTCAGCATCTATCACCAGAGCAGCCGTCCGCCCCGGAAACTAAGCCGACAAAGGGCGATATGGATGCCTCACAGGCGCCGTTGGGCCTTACGCCGGTGGTCCGAAATACCAAGGCCACCTTAATTATATGCCCCCTCAGCACCATTACTAACTGGGATGAGCAAATCAAGCAGCACATAGCTCCCGGTGAGCTTTCTTATCATATTTACCATGGACCCAATCGTATCAAGGATATAGCGCGGCTCGCCTCATACGACATCGTTCTCACAACCTATGGATCTGTCTCAAACGAGCTCAGCGCTCGTCGCAAAGCAAAGAGTGGCACTTATCCGCTTGAGGAGCTTGGATGGTTTCGCATTGTTCTAGACGAGGCACACATGATTCGCGAGCAGTCTACCATGCAATTCAAGGCCATCGTTCGACTTCAAGCCCAGCGGCGATGGGCCGTAACCGGAACTCCCGTTCAAAACCGACTGGATGATTTTGCGGCTCTCTTGTCGTTTCTTCGCTTGGAGCCTTTTCATCACAGAGCGAAATTTGTACGCCACATTGTGGAGCCATTCAAAGCCTGCAATCCTGAAATTGTTCCCAAGCTCCGTATTCTCGTCGATACCATCACTCTTCGCCGACTAAAAGACAAGATCGATTTGCCCTCTCGAGAGGACCTCATTGTCAAACTTAATTTCAGCCCAGAAGAGCGAAGCGTATACGATCTCTTCTCACGGAATGCGCAGGACAGGGTCAAAGTCTTGGCCGGAAATCTCACTTCTGGGGCTCTTGGCGGGAATACCTATATTCATATTCTAAAAGCGATTCTTCGCCTCCGCCTGCTTTGTGCACACGGCAAGGATCTGCTTAATGAAGACGACCTGGCAACCCTGCGAGGTATGTCAGCGGAGATGGCAATCGACATTGACGAAGACGACGATAAGGTGGATGGTCTTTTACTTTCCCACCAGAAAGCACATGAAATGTTTACGTTGATGCAAGACACCAACAACGACACGTGCATCCAGTGCAACAAAAAGATCTCCTCTCAAGAGACACAGACGATAGACGCTGAGAATGAAAACGATACCCTGGGATACATGACGTCTTGCTTTCATGTTGTTTGTCGATCATGCATAAAAGCCTTTAAGCAGCGATCTAGGGCTGCTTATGCACCTGGCCAAACGTTCGCCCCTTGCATCGTTTGTAACGCTCAAGTCCCGTTTGGGTTCGTTGATATTTGCAGATCAGACGTGGAGGGTGAACATGAAGGTACTTTAAAACCTAAGAATAATAAAGCCAAGCAAAACGGAAAAGCACTCGATAGATATGACGGACCCCATACCAAAACAAAAGCTCTCCTCGAAGATCTTCTTAAATCCAGAGCTGCAAGCGAAGCTAACCCCCACGAACCACCCTTCAAGTCTGTTGTCTTTTCCGGTTGGACCTCACACTTGGATCTGATCGAGCTGGCGCTCAAAGAGGCCAATATCTCGTTTACAAGATTGGATGGTAGCATGACTCGGCAAGCACGCACAGCGGCCATGGACAGCTTCCGCGAAGACAACAGCATCCATGTCATACTTGTCTCCATCATGGCTGGTGGCCTGGGTCTGAATTTGACCGCTGCCAACAACGTGTACGTGATGGAGCCGCAATATAACCCGGCAGCCGAGGCACAGGCAGTCGATCGTGTACACCGCCTTGGCCAGAAACGACCTGTGCGCACCATCCGATACATTATGCGCAACAGCTTCGAAGAAAAGATGCTTGAGCTGCAGGAGAAGAAGGTGAAGCTAGCCAGCCTCAGCATGGATGGCCAGAATAAGGCGCTAGACAAAGCAGAGGCTGCGAGACAGAAGCTCATGGATCTTCGCAGTCTTTTTAAATGATGAGACTTTACTATTTATCATGAATATGATGACACACGACTCCCATAACGAAGTAATGAATATTAATATTGGTTGTTTTCTTCCTTTCTTCTTCGAGCTTCGATACATCGACACTTTTTTTCTAGCATTATAACCATTCATTTTTCTTCTTCCTATTTACAAGGCATACACACGCATATATGCTATAATCTATTTATTTCATTGATACGCTCACCATTCTATTCGACGACATATTCACGTTGGGAGAGCTTGGCGGATTTCTGGGAGGCTGAAGAGGAAATTTATCTCTACCTCCTTTTTTTTCTTCTATCTATATTATTATATCTCGTTATATCTCATCTCATCTCATCTCATCTCGGGTATGGCAAACACCCTGGATCCGTGGCATTTGTGGCATTTTATACATACCGAAGCTCTCACGAGCCATGCCAAATCTTAGCGGCGCCCGGGATCTGGTGACATTTGGCTTACATTTTCTTTTCCATTGATTCCCCCTTTTCTTTCCCTTTTCCCTTTCCCTTCTCTTTTTCTCTCTTTTATTTTGGGACGGATGAACGAGTGCATGAGTAACTCGTATACATATGGGAGGATTTAGTCCGCATCTATGATTGATATTTGCTTACCAAAATTACTATTTCTTTTTTTAATTCTCTTCGTGCACATTTATCATGTGAAATGCGGTCTAGCTTCAAAGGGGTATTACCTATGCCTTTTCTTTTCTTTTCTTTTTCTTTTTCTTTTCTTTTTTTTTTTTTTTTTACCCCTTCACATCAAAAAGTTTCCGTCGAATAGCGATTTGGCAGGAACTAATAAGTGATGTTCGACATGATAAGATCTTTGTTGCAAAAACATGTGACTACCTAGTAAATACTGGCGCTCATTGCCCGTCCCCTTGGACCCTTTTATGCGCTTGACATGTCTAACGCCATACACCAAAAGACCAACAGCTAACAGATTAACTTGTCTAATAAACGTTCAGTAAGCATTCGTTAAAAAAAGTAGATTGCACATTGACGTTTCCCCCCTTTCCTTATATTCAAAAGGGAAGAGGCAAGGAAGGACTCTATGCTTGATCATCCTCCTCAGCTCCAATAGCAGCCCACTCAGTGCCCTGATTCACAGAGCTCAATCTGGCACATAGACTCAGCAGCACCACAGTCTCCGTCGCAGCGTAGTGATTAAGCGAGTCTGAGAGAATCTTCATGTGACGGCCAAAATTGCTTTCCCACTTGCGGATAATGTCGGCAAGATTGTTGACCCGCGACTCAACGGTTTCTAGGGTCGAAGCATCATTCTGTGCGGACCCTGAGCGCGGGGCGCTGCTCCTGGAGGCCTGGAAACGCCGCCATTGGTCGTCGGTCATGGTGTCGGGCTTATTACCGCTAGACAAATCAGGATCAGACTTTTCAATTTCACGGGAGAGGAAGCTCGTATAGGCAGCGAAGATGCTGCAGGACTGCATAAGCTTTGAGTTGACCTAGAAGTAGTACGATGTTAGTAAGGCGTTGGCAAGGGGTGGAGAATGGGGGCTCATCATACTTTTAATAGCTTGCTATTGGTGAGCATACACTCTTTGAGGCATGTGTCTAAAAAGTCCACATGGTCTTGCATCAGCTCGTCTACCGTCCGGTTGACTCCAGATTTTCTGTCAAAAGTGTCGTCCTTGGCTTTCAGACGAGACATAAACTTTGTCCAGTTTGGTTCGATTACTTCGGCAGTGCAGAAATACAGGACTTGCTGTACATAGATGAGCATCCTTGCTCGCAGCGTCGAGGCTCGTCGCTTCCAGGTTTCGAGCTCTTGATTGACGCCTTTGTGGGCCCATGTCACGCCCTTCGTATGTGTCTGCCAGGTCGATGATAGTTGAGACTCTAGGGTGCGTAGAGAAAGCAGGAAGCGGAAGAGTGCTTGATAACGCCACACTGTCTTGCGGCTGATGACCAGAGAGACGGGGAAGGGAACAGAGTAGTCAAGCTGAAGGGATGTGAAGCCCGTCGCGTTCTTATCGGGCTCAATCGGTGGCTGGTTAGTAACAGGCTGCATCACTTGGCCCGACTCTATTCCTGTGATGTTTACAACCCGCTGGAGATTGTTGATGAGAGTGATCTCGTTCATCTCCACCTTGACATCCTCTTTGAAGGGGTCAAGCGAGGCCACAGTCCCAGGCTGGCGCAGAACTATATCCAGCAGAGACTGCAGCTTGCTTGTGTTAACAGACTTGACGGGCTTTCTCAATTCTGATGAGCCAAGCTCGAGGAAGTATGAAAATGAGTCTGATGGGTCGAGGAAGAAGTAATGTTTGAGCGAGCGTAGCCGTAGCGGGAGCTCATGTGTGGTAAGGAGCAGCTGCATGAGAGACTCGTTGGCATGAGCATAGGCGTTGTTGACGTTCTCAAGGAATCGTTTGTCGTCGAATGAGGTTGGTAGTTCTGTCACTATTTTACTTACGTCCACTCCGCCACATTCGCGAACGACGTTGAGGTATTTTCCAGCCAGCAGCACCTTTTCTTTGACACCTTCCAGTTGCGGAGGCACATCCTGGTCACGAATGGTATATCTCCTCTCCCAGTACTCATCGATGTAGTCTCGCTCGAGCCTCTCTCGTCCTATGCTCTTCTGTTCCCTAATCATAAACTCAGAGTGAGGATCATGGATACTGCCATGGTGCAACCATTCATTCAGCATCTTCATATATGGTCGACTCGCGTCCCGCAATAGTGACGTTAATAGTGATCGGGCAGCCGGGTCACCACCCATAGACTCCAACCTTGAGGCCAGCAAACCCAAAACCCCGCCGCCCTTGCAGACTTTCAGGGCTTTGGAACTTCCAGGAACGAGATCTCCGCCCTCAGCAAGCCTCTCAAGGACTTTCTCGTAGTCGTCTATTTCATCGTCATCTTCCTCATCGCTTTCATCATCCAGCAGCGCGTTCTTCTTTAGGAGCTCTTGTGCCATGGCGTAAAGGTGGGACAGCATCTGGCATGTAGGTAATGTATGTATGTGGAGGACATGGACGGTAAATGACTCGCTCGTCAGAAACTGTGTTTCGAGCTGGGCAATCATAACCAGGTAGTCCTGCAGGCACTTTCTCACGGAAGCACACAGCGCATGGTTGACTGCGCCGAACTCTTCGCGGCTCTGCACGTCGACAAAGGCTTCCAATGCTGAGTAGTAGGTGGCCATCTTCAGCATCGACTTGGTCAAGTCATGCAAGCTGGGGTCAAGGCCTGGCAAGATCCTAAATGGCGGCCCAGACAGTCGATCTCTCTCCTCGTGAGGAGTGTAGCCCCTAGCATATCGAATGTACTGCCCCTCATAGCCCATGAAAACATATAACAGATCTTCCACAATGGCTGCCTCCTGAGCCTCCAGCGTTAACTCGTTCAGAGGTTTCGGTTGTGGCGCAAACGGAATCGCGAACGCAATGGGAGGAATCGAGATTCGCGATGCCAGGGCGGCAGAAGTGTGCGGCAGAAGCGTCGCCTCGGGGTTCCAGGTAGCTGGTCGTTACAAGTGTTAGCTCTCCGTAGGAAAGAAGAGGAAATGGAAAAATGTAAAGTCCAGCATATAGATCATCTCGTCTCTCATTTCATTTCCATCAGAAAAAGAAAGGTAGACCGTACCTGGGGGCGTCTCTGCCCGCATCTCTCTCTGCCGCAGGTCGGTAGACGATTTTTGTCTGCGCATTTCCGGCGGCCTCTTCTCCGGAGGCTGCTGCTGCTGCAGCGTCGACCGTCTTTGTGGTTGCTGTTGCTGCTGCTGCTGCTTCGCAGGGCTATTTGTCCGCGAAATCACTCGCTCCACGTGAGCCTCAAAGGTCCTCTCCGTGACTTTGCGCTCCTCGTAGCGCCTCTCGTCCTTGGCCCTGCTCGCGGCCCTCGCATTGCCTGCTGGCGACGATCGCTTATGTGATTCGTTGTTGCCAAATGGGCCCGCCTCTGCATTCTTTGCATCCGCCGCGCTCCTTCGCAAATTTCCATTGGCTCCAGGAACCCGGGATCGCTCGTCAGCAAAGGCGCTGGCGCGGCTCGATGCCCTCGTTCTTACGCCAGACATCGCAGGTTTTAGCTACATCCGAAGCTTGTGTATAAACGGACGTGCCCGCCTGTGCTGTCACTTCGGGCAAGCCTCGATGGGGGAATGAAAAACGGAAAAATGAAACGCCCTTCACGCTCTCAGTATCATGGAGAATTGGTACTAAATTTTCTTCTTCTCTTTGTTTGTGGTGTTGTATCCGTCACAAGTTCTGGCCTATGCTGGGTATAAGTTGATTGTGGCTTGTATGTCACAAAGAGCAGGCAGCTTAAGCTTGCACCTGCCTTTCACTGCATTGCTCTCTCTATTGACCAGCCATAGTGGGGTGAAACACGGCCATCAGGCGCGTCGCGGTTGCCCGTCTATGCGCCGGATTAATATGAACCGCGCTTCCGGCTGCAGTTCTCCATCTGCTGTGGCGCCAGCTGTGGCGGTGCGCTCCAAGCCTCGTGCTTGCTGCCTCACCCCACCAGAAGGTACCTACTAATGTATTGCGTACCTGTGCTGGAGTTGCAGGGAAGCTGGATGCGTAGGCCCAGTGTTTGCCTGATAGCAGCAACACCAGTGCCAGCTTCGTCTTTCTCTCAGCCTTTCTCGCAGCCTCATCATCCCTCCTCTGCTCCCACTTTCTGCTCTTTTCTGCCATTCCTTCTTGCTGTTGATACATTCACTGGCACTTTAGGCCAACCCACATTCACACAATCCGCCAAGATGTTTATGGCAAGATCTGAATACGGCAAGCATCTCCCCGCGCCCTCATCTTCTCTCCCCTCCTCGTTCCTAGAGCTCTTGGTGAGAGCACACGAAGAGACAGGGGGGGTTTGTAACGAGAACAGACAAGCAGCCAGATAGATATACCAACAGACGGCCAAATAGTGCAAGAACCTCTGTGCTAACTGCATTCTGCCATCTCCAGATCGGGGTATCAATACCTTCTCCCCCGAAGGTCGTCTCTTCCAGGTCGAATACTCTCTCGAGGCAATCAAGCTCGGTTCCACCGCCATCGGTATCGCCACCTCCGAAGGCGTCGTTCTGGGTGTCGAAAAACGAGTCACCTCCTCCCTCCTTGAAACCTCCTCCGTCGAGAAGATCGTCGAGATCGACCGCCACATTGGCTGCGCCATGTCTGGCCTCCAGGCCGACGCCCGGTCCATGATCGAGCACGCCCGCGTCGAGTGCCAGAGCCACGCCTTCAACTACAACGAGTCACTGAGTGTCGAGAGCTGCACGCAGGCCATCTGTGACCTCGCTCTTCGCTTCGGCGAGGGTGCTGACGGAGAGGAGACCATCATGAGCCGGCCCTTTGGCGTTGCGCTTCTCATTGCGGGATTCGATGAGAACGGACCCCAGTTGTTCCACGCAGAGCCCAGTGGCACCTTTTATCGATTCGATGCCAAGGCCATAGGATCAGGCTCGGAGGGAGCCCAGGCAGAGCTGCAGAACGAATACCACAAGGTCAGTTTCCTCACTTATACGTCATACTATACCGAGACAACCCACTAACGAGGACATATTGGTAGTCTTTAACAATTACTGATGCAGAGACCCTGGTTCTCAAGACGCTGAAACAAGTAATGGAAGAGAAACTGGACTCAAAAAACGTGCAGCTAGCCAGTGTGACCAAAGACAAGGGCTTCAGAATATACACCGATGATGAGATGGCGGCCGTTGTCGATCGACTACCATCAAACTAATCAACTATCATATGCATAACGAGAATAGAAAATAATTGCATTGCAGACTCCTTCTGTTCCAGTCACTCGAATAACCAAATGAATAAGTGCGTGTATGCAATGCCACTCGAAAAGCCGCCAGGCATATGTATATCTATCTATATATATATATATATCATTATTTCTACTTAGGTGGCCGTGACATCATGACATAGGATAACAGCATGAACTCTTAAAAGAAGAAGATGATGATGATTAGAATGCAGAACAAAAATATTGCAGTTTTGCTGATTTTCCTCATTATTAGATTCCCCATGCTAACAAAAACCCTCCTACTTTTTGCTTCTTTCATCGAGTTATACCCTCCTTTTTCGCTCTGACGAACCCTCATTACTCCTTCATAAATACTGCAAAAATTCGTTTCAAAAATCCTTTTTAAAAAAAAAAAAAAAAAAAATGCTGCCTTATATCTCAACGTTGTGTGCTGAAAGCAGAGAGAAGTAAACAATAAAAATAACAGATAAAAAAAGGAAAGAATTCCCTGTGACTGTGAGCTTACATGTCTGCCAATCGATTACTTGAGCCTTTTTCCCCTTCCTTCTTTCTTTCCTTTCATGCTCTTCTTCTTCTCCCCTTCTCCCTGTATAATCTGCCTGTCTCTCTACAACATCACGCATTCTATACCGGTCGTTAGTTTAAATCGTCTCGTAATTCGAGTCTCGCGAGTTCTGTTTCGATTGCTAGTATCCCGATTGCGTAATGTGTTCTTTCAGCCTTGGCCAGTACTAACCGCCGTTCATCGTTTGACTCTAATTCGTCGATTTTCTTATCAATTCGGCGAGGGTTTTTCCATATGGAAGATGGGAAATCATTGATAATTGTTGGTCGCGAATATTCTGGCCCACCCATTGTGCTTGCTTTGATCCATGCAGATTCACATCCACAGGCAATTTGCATGGCGGACTGCCATCCTGTGAGGCGCGCGATGTCATGCATTCTCTGGATAACCCATTCTCTCTGCGCTGTTTCTTTATACTAAAAACTATGTCAGCATGCATTGAATGTAAACAGGATGGAAAGAGATTGGGAAACTGCACTCACTTGTATCCCTGCAACAAAGACACAAAAAGAGCTCTCAATAAGAGCAGCACCAAGATAGGTGTTTATCTCTGCATACTCAGAACAATCTGCTGCAAGTCCAAAGGCAATTTGTCCAATCTTGAGGGCAAATCCCGCCGTCTGCTTTGCCATTAGCCCTGCTGCCCTCATTGCCACTGGAGGCATCGAGGGGTGGCTTCGATACAGATGGATGAATCCCATGTAATAATTCATCCAGATGCCGGCGATGGAATATGTCTTGAAGTAAATGGCATTGCCAAAAGGCGTCCTTGTTCCTTTTTTATCACCGAATTCGTCATTGATAGGCTGAAATCCGGGGCCAAGATGACTCTTGAAAATCTCAAACGAGCGATAAATGCTATTCCACTCCTGGAGCGCAGCTTCGTAGCTTGCTTCGGGATCAATATCGTCTTGGGAATCGCTCTGTGGTGTGTCGTCTCGCGGAGGACTAAAGCCCATGGGCGCTTGTACTTTACCAAAGGTTGGAAACATGCCCGGAAACATAGTTGGGGATCCAGCTCCCGCTCCGCCACCTTGAGCCTCTATGGCTTTCTGCTTCCGAAATAAATCTTTCGAAACAAAGTCTGAAAGCCGCCCGAGCAACAAGATCAAATGATCATATGTTCCATACCTAACGATGTGTAAACTGTTAGCAGTCGTTTCATAGAAACCAACGAAAACGCGGGGGATTAGGGGTATAGTAGACTTTGTTTTTCACGTACGCCGCAGAATATGTTGAGAAGGGGGCTCTTGGAGGAATCTGTGTCCAGCATTCATATTCCATACTTTGTTTCAGTTAACATCACATTTTCTTTCGATCAAACAGTGGAATGGGAAGAGCTTACAATAACTTAGTGCCCCCTAGTATGCTTTGATATACGTCCATTTTACAGTACCACCAGAAGAGATCGCAAATAATGTCATATTTTTCAATCTCTTCATCGGTTGCTGGAGCATTCCTTTTGTCCGAAGGCTGTCTCTCTCCTTCGCCGTAATCTTCAGGAGTTACGGTGAGTCCTGTTATAGCATGTATAAAGTCGTAATCCAGAGAATTGAGTCCACCCTGTGGTGATACTGGCTGCTGATGAGAGCCATAAAATTGGGAGCTTATGTGGCCCAGTTGATATCCAGTGGCTTCTTGGCCTTGGCGCATACGCTTTACGGGGAAGCATAATCGAGTCATGTCCCCTAAGGACATCTCGCGGAACAAAATCCTAGCACCGAATAGATGATTGCACCACTTGGTATGATCAGACGACCAAACTTCAAAGTATCCCAGCAAGAGAGTGGCGGCAAGGGTTGCCGGCTGAGTTCTCTTAGACGGCGACTTTACACTCTTGGCTACACGGCGAATAGCGCAATGGTAATGCTTCAGTGCTGCTGTCGGAGGGCTGTCTCGAAGTTTGGCTAGCTGGAGACTTGCCAACGCGAGCATAGCATGAAAAAGCCCTAGATGCTGGAGTGCCAGGGTTGGAACGGCGTCTGTAGAGACAGTTAGCGACACACAACATTCTGGCCCTCAGGTCACAATGATCGACTCACAGCTCCACAAACTCTGTCCAGATCCTGCTGCTGTCCTGCTTTTACCTCTCTCTGACGCACAAGATATGTTTCCTTCAAAAATTGAGATTCCAGGCCCAGTGACATTGATAAAGTGCGTGAAGACCATGTTTAGGCCACTAGCCCAGTATTCAGCAGAATAGGGGGTTTCCATGTACGCCAATACATCATCATTCTGGGCAAGGGCTGAAAAGATGCTGGCGTCTTCAGCATTCAAAGTCCAGCGCTCTGATACCATGTTCTTTATGGGTGGCATATTTCTTCTAATATCCGGCATATCGTCATCAGAATCTGGTATAGAGGCTTCATCATCCAACATATCATGTTCCCACTGGTTATTCAGGGGCTGGGGAATAGCGGCGCCTGGGTAGGCACTGAGCCCATTATCACCATTTAAACTGCCGAAATTGGAAATCGCGTCATGAGTTGTAGCTCTATCTGGGACAGGGAAAAAAAGGGCCTCGGAAGGAGCAGTGGCAAAGTAGCCAGGTCCTCCATTGGCTTCCGTTGCAAGCAGTGGGTTAGGGAACTGTGCGCTATATGGAGCCTGAAAATATTGATTTGGACCCATATTGTAGCCTGGTGCGTTTTGTAACAATGTCCCTTGATGAAATGGATGCTGGTATGGTGCTACAGCCGATTGAAGAGGCACGACGTGTTGATGATGATCAAATGAAGGAGGTCTCGGCGCAATAGCCGGAAATAGCCCCCTTGATGGCTGCCTGCCGGGATGCGTGGACAGCGGATCACCTGCGATGCCCGATGGACCAGAGGAATAAATGCCTTGGCTGAAAGGGGACGAAAAAGAGCCAAGAGGTTCCTTAAATATGACTCTTTGACTATACCCTTCGCAATCGCGTCTGGACTTGATGCAGTTGTTGCAAACTGGCCTGCCTTCGTCGCATTTAATTCGCCTCCTACGACAAGCTAATGACGGCGTTCTATATTAGAGCGGGAAAATCAAAGTATAAGAGGAATGGAGAAGATCTGGTGTCAAGAAGGGGTAGATTCAAACAACGACTCACTGAGACAGCCGGTCTTGGTTCGCTTCCTGGTAGTGCCTGTCTTTTTGCGATTCGCCTCGTCCTTCTCTCCGTCATTTTGCAGCAAAGAGTTCCCTTGCTGCTCATGCGAGGGAGCCTTTGCTGATGCCATAGATTGTGCGATGGATTGCTTTTCCATCATGGTATAATTTGTTTTGAGGAGATGCTGGAGATTGAACTCTAGCCTCTCTTTCTCTTTGGTTTAAAGTTGACACCGATGCAAGAAAGTGTTTCGATAGTGCTGAAGGAGGATTCCAAGACAGCAACTTTATATATGGAAAAATATGGCTTTGAAGCAGGCAGAGAGATAATGTACCGTAGGCAACAAGGAGGGAAAATCACCATGTGAGGGGGCAAGACAGGAGTACGGCGGCCACGAAGCCCACAGCGGCACGGCAGAAGAAAAGAAAGACGACACCACTTGCTGCTGTGCTCAGCTGCTGGGAGAGAAGGACGGTATTAGCACGCCTTGCCGAAAGGATGAAAGCATCAAATAGCGGATGGACAGGAGGAGGATAGCAGCAAGTGGAACATGACTGGTGTAACACGAGAGCAGAGCAGATGCCAGGATGAAGCGTCGAGCGGTACGAAGATGAGGCCCGCTTGTGATCACGATCACGCAGCTGGGGACGATACCGGCGACGAGAAGATGGGGGACGACGCACAGAAAGGCTAAAATAAAGGAGACGTAGGATGATAGTGGAGAAGAGAGTAACAAAAGATCTGAAGGATGTGTGTAAAAGAGGAAAGTTATATCGTAGCAGAGAGTGTGTAGGAGAAGAGGAAAGAGAAGAGAAGCAGAGAAGAGAAGCAGAAAAGAGCAGAACAGGCGCACATGCGAGTGACGAGAAGTCGTATCCCGGCAAATGCTTCTTTTCCTGTCGACAGCAAAGTACCGCTGAGTACAAGTACTAGAACATCTCGAGATTTTGCACGAGGTGTTGAAGAGGGCGTGGCGCTTTGAGAGGGGGGAGGGGTGGAGCAAAAAAGACGAGAAAATGCGATGTTGACGGCGGTTGCCCAAACCAGGGGAGGAACTCCCCACCAACTTACCTGTATTTCCGTTCCTGGAGCCAACTACTACCTTGTACTTGGCCGAGGGGTCGCTGTTGATGCCTGGAGTTAGTGACGGAAGTATCCTGCCAGCAGATTCGGTGGATGAAGATACTTTTGCAACGCCGTCGGATATGCCGTCAATAACAGTGGCAGCATAAACCGCGCGTACCTGAGAGCAAGGTGGTGATGGTGCAACTAGACTAGGTAGGCAAGTACCAGTGGCCAGAGGAAGATTCAGAGCACCCAAGTCTCGTACCTAGAACAGGACACAATCAGTCACCTTGGCTTGTGTAGATCCCACCTTTGTCGTTGGCGATGCCAGGGAGAATTCTCAAGCAAACGTTGAGCATCCGGTGCTGAGAGCAGTTGTTAGCTGGCACGGTACGGGTAGGGCAAACGGCAGACTGGAGATGCAGCCAGAAGGATTCAATGACGATGTACACAAGAAGACACATCGTCACGCCCGCAGCCAGTGGCACCAACAGACGCAAACACCAACCTTGCCCTGTCTCAGGGCAGCTAGGACTAGAGAGCAGAGACAGAGGGCTTGATGCGCAGACACAGGAAATCAGGTTGTACCTACAGCGATAGTTGTACCCTGTTGCTTCAGACAGTCGACAGGCACCCAAACTAGGTACGTTTTCCTTTCGATCGAGACCCAGCTAGAGGGGACCAATCAATGGTCCAGTTCGGCGCTGGTCCGGCAAACACAGGCGCAGTTCTTCAAATCTCTCTCGCTCGCCGCGGGAGTTCGCAGAAAGGTCGCGGCACAGATGGGGAGGGGCAGAGGCGTGGAGTGCAAGAGCATGAGGTGCTAGGATGCCGGGACGTCAAAGATGCCAGCTTGGCGGATGGAACCGTGCAGTTGGTAGACTCGGATATAAGGGAGAGGGGGGAGAAAAGGGGAACGAGTTTGAAGGGAACCGAGACCAACTAATTGCTTACTCACTCATCTATTCACAGCGTGGCTGAATGAATTGACGGTTTTAAATCGACAGACACCGGCAAAGCAAAGTACCCAGAGGTAAGTAGAGGCAGAGACGCCGAAGTTCTTAGAGGACGGAGATGGTTGTTCTTTTGTTCCCCTCCTTTGCCTCCTCGCCTTATCTGCTCAGGTGGGTGGTATCACCGACGGAATTGGTCATCCAGATCTGCAAGAGGGGAACGAAGAAATATCTTTAACAATTCTTTTTCCCAGGCCCCTAGGCCCATGAGCGAGCGAGAAGAGCAACCTATATAATAAAGGAACACCATCCCTTGATTCGCATGGCAGACACCGAGGACGAATAGAACGACTCTCCTGCTGGACTGGCAACTCTAGCCGGCGATCAGCCCCGGCATTAGCCCACAAGGCTAGGTATGCATGTTAGATGTCCAAATTTTCTCTTTATTGTGCTATGCCAGCTTTACCCATGCACAGAGCTCAGTCCAGCGTCTCCTCCTTGGTGTTGATTCTGCGGCGGGCACAGGCCAGCTTGTGAACAGGAATGGGACGCTGCCTCAGGGCTGACAGCGCCGTCATGGATATGGGCCCATTGTCCGCTATCTATGTCCCTTGTTTTGAGGTGGGCTTTTTGGAGACATGCTTGCAGTCGTCAGTTGCTTCGGTGCCTGAACATATCCTATCTTTCTCCAAGAGAAAACACCTCGTAGGCCTGGAGAAAGGGCAACGACAAGAGAGGCCATAACGATGACTACCGCTGCCGCGGAAAATATTCCGATCCAAAAGAAGGGGGGGGGAAACAGGCAATAGAAACAATTGGTCGAGAAAACGGCGAGGATGGGGGCGAGAAGAGAGAGCTGAGGCCAATTTCAAGTCTCCTTTGCTATCACACAGCTTGTCAGCAGCTACAGTAGGAAAAGCAGAACGAGGCTGGCCTATTAGCAATCGACCGCTAGCCTGTACGCAATGAAAATATAGCTGCTGCATCGTTGCGTATCGTGTGGCGATAGATGGATAGTTGTCTAGCCAGGCTACTCGGCACTGTCAATCAACTGCTCGACTATTCATGCGAAAATCAAGGGCGTGGCCTTGATCTTGATGCCAGCCAAATACTATCCCAGCATCTTACTCAACCAAATAGGCTGCCAGCCTGTTCATACCGGCCTATGCTGGCCACGTCTCACGATACCACGCTTTCCATTCGCCAAACCTCAGTAGCTCCCCTCTCAGCTGCGCCATACCCCTAGCCAGCCTGGTATGATTCGAGGATGAGCTTCACACCAGTCCCAAAAACCCTTGTCCAGGCCTTCTTCTTCTTTCTTTTCGTTTTTCCGTTTGCAACACCAACGGTGAGGCGGCGGCGAAAGGCGCCAGAAAGGAAAACACTGTGTCGCACAACCAAAACGGGATGCTGTCCAAGGTTGCAAGTGTTTGTATATACGCCAGCCACCACCAACCAGACCAACACCAGAGGACAATTGCCGCCCAGACACTCGCCCGCGTCCTATGTGGACCTCTGCAATTATCTAATACAGCCGCTAGATACAGCCTTGCGGGCTTTGGTTGCGAATGTTTCGAAGCTGGGTGGAGACTCGGGATCTGAGATGGAGAGATGCCCGATGCTACCAGGCATTGATCACAATACCGTCCCTCAAAGTGCACCCAGTACTTGACTAGCAGATGCTGGTTATATTCTTAGTCTAAGAGTGTCTGCCCAGGTATCCTATTACCTGATGGAAAAGGGAAAGAGTGTAAGCTATACTAAGTACAGTGTCGGTTTTATATACAAGAGCATTCATCGCTGTTATTTCTATCATTCCCTGGCCTACCTCCTCTCTACATATTCTGCCTTTACCATCTTCTACCTATGAAGACTCCAATTACCCCTGATACATACATATACTCCCACTCACCGCCATCCATCCATCCATCCATCCATGATCCAGCTACAAACTCAACTTCTGGCTGTCTTGCGGAACATGGTTGCTCTAGATCATGCATCTCATCGCCCATCCGCCGCTTATGCCGGTCGAATTATGTTTCTGTGGTACACAAACCAGTCGCCACGTGCTACCTAAACTCTCTTGACTCCCATTTCCCATGGCATGATCCTTTACCGCTTTTGCTATTCAAGAGGCAAGCCGGCGGCGGCGGCAGCAGCAGCGTGCGAGTACAGCTGGGGTTGTGGTTGTGATTATATAGATGTCGTGGTGCATGGGCAGAGTTGTACCATGTCCTAGTTCACGGCTCCATGCCTCATCTCCAGAGTCACATACCGCCTACCTTGCATGGATGAGAAACTCAATAGGCGTGGAGTCTGCTGTGTAGGCTAGGGGATCAGCGCACACTGGCACAGACTTATCAGATCGTCAGCATTTTGGGGGGGGGCGGCGTTGGCTCGACTTCTATTTCGCATTAGCAGATCATGAAATATAATGGAAGAGCGCACATAACGATCTATGCCTTTCTCAGCTCCTGCGAGGGGCTATGGCCAGAGCGCAAGCAACCCCGGCTCGTCCTTCACTCCCCTCTTTTGTCCCCCATCATCGCCATATACACTGGCCTTGGACATGTCTGAGACTGCCGTTTCCGCAGGTTGCTGTTCCCTTGCCATCACCACAGGCTCCTCGCTCCATCTTTGTACGCGGCAGCACATGCAACGGCAAGGGACCGGGGCCCGACCAGATCTGCCGTCGTGGACCAAATCTCTGTAGTACCTTGCCGCTGTATCGGGAGCGGGTGAGAGATTATTCATGCCACCATGCGCCAAAATAGTGTGTTGTTGCCCCGTGGATCTGGCCAAAAGCGCGGTGCACGTTACGCTGCGCTCTCACTTCGCTTTTGGGGCCCGCAGCTCGCCATGCAAACACCCTCGCTGCCGTCTTGTCCCCTACCGCCTCGATCTATCTGTGTCTTGCCATCCTGGGTGTATCAATGTCTCTGACAAGCTTGGCCGGATGAACTCATTCATGAGGGAAAAGATCCGGTCTTGCCTTTGAGCCCCTCTTTTCATGTGTGCATCTATCATCTTGTCCTTTATTCGCACGCCCCCCTTTCTCTACGACACCACTAGCCGCGGTTGATGTGAGAGCATTCATATGTAGCTTCTCTGAAATTGCAGTATTCACCCCCGCATATGAAGAATCAAGGTTCCGATGTTTTCGGGTACGTGCTTAACCCGAACCTACATTCGTTTCGCCCCTCCTTCAGTGGCTTGCTCTTGTCTACTGCCTCGTGTGTGGCTCTTTCGACGACGACAGTAGGCCCAAGCTTGCGAACGGCAGTGTAATCTTCAATTCAATCCAAATTCATCCCGCCAGCAGCTAACCATGGCTTAACCACTCATGCAAAAGCTCGCATCTCGCATCAATTTCCCGCAATAGTTCTGACTCAAGAGATGTATGCAAATGCCGCCTTGTATCCCAAGATGCTCTCTGGGATCCCTCCAACTCCGACTCTCCTCGCAGACTTCCATATGCACACATAGGAAGAAAACTGAGCACCCTCATCAGCATTGCAAATTTGTTGTCAGACATGGCTTTTAAGAGAGTGATCATGATGGTAGTGCTACAAGCATACTAACTTGTCCTAGACTCCATATTACCTTAAACTCTTCTTTGTCTTCTAGAAGCTTTTCGTGAATGTTGATTGAGCAACCTTGATGTTTTACTAGCTGAGCTATACTTCTTTCTATCTAGAATTCAATATACCCGTTTTCTAATCTAAAAGTGCCTTTTCTGCCCTTGTGAAGCCCTGGTATGTATGGAGTCTGATGTGGTCTACCACGATGTAATTAGAATCTCAAGTTCTCCTTGCTAACGGAGTTGTACAATGTTTTGGTCGTAATAATAGTATTTCCCCTAATTAGACAAGCCTCTCTATTATATCATATTCCCAACGCTCTCTATACCCATAGAGAAGGATGTTGGCGGTTATAAATCCTCCAATCAATGTTGCATACGTGGCTAAGCGTACACTGTAGTCCAGTGCCAACGACAGAGCGCAGGAAAGTCCGAAGAGGCTGTCTCTTTCTAAATATCTTACCCCGCTCTAGCATTTGTATTGAGCCACTTGATGGGAAGATATGTACCTTGAGTGGCCAACTTGTATCTTATCTACTGCAACTTGGAATTGCAAGTATTTGCCGGACTGTCTCAATATACTATGGTGACAATCAAGACCACCTACCCTGTCCAGGGTATTCCTGTTAAAGTATAGTAATAGTTTAGTATAATCTTTATCTATCCAATCCAGTGAAAGTGACGCCCATTCCGCATTCTACAGTAACAGCAGCCTGAAAGTACATGTAGCATTATTATCAGTCTAAAGCCATCCCTATTAAATTGAAACATCCCAGCTTAACCATTTCTCCGCTATTTTTACTCAATTTCCAACTTTTTTTTTTTTTTTTTTTTTTAAAAAAAAAAAAAAAGAAAAGAAAAAAACACATTCCTATCACTCTACCTTGCATAGCTTTGATGCCCCCCTATACTCTTGCAGCTCGAAGTCCATCGTTTCGCCGGAGCAAACTTCAATGTGGTCAACCTTTTCAGTAAAGCACCAGGTAACCAACTGCATATTTCTTAGTGTAAATTCACATCATTCCATTTACTAGGGGCACACTTACTGGCTGCTCCGAGCATGTATCGCAATCGAGTGTTTTTTCGGCTGGATGTGCGTTTTCTTGGATATCTTCGGGTTCCAGTTCTTCAGGCTCTGGTTGTTCTTGCACAAATTGCGGTGCTTGAACTACTTGCTGTCTTCGAGGACGGCTAGAATGTGCGACGATGTTAGACATGTAGTAAGAGGTCTCAGTGCCATTGTACAAATCCCTTTTGAAAGTCAGATGGAAGACTAGGCGATAAAGTTCCCCATCAATCTCAGAATCGTAAATAATCTCAGACGGTACGGTTAAAGAGCCATCCCAACGTCCAAGAGCCTCGATCGTCTCATCAGTATGATGGATCAATAATCCAGCAAAACGGAGGCCGAATTCGGGCTTTCCATCGACAACATGCGTTTTTTGAACGCTCAGCTGCTTTATTTGACTCAGCTTCGCTGTCGTTGCCCTTCCTTCATCACACCACCAGCTTTCAAACACTATCTGTGGCACCGCCGGTAGAGAGACTTGCCGCTCAGACAATGGCGTTATTTCCCCTGTTGTACCAGAGTTATCCCTGGGCTCGCAGTGAACTCCGAACATTGTAAAGCTTTCCTTTGCCATCAGCAGAGTATTCACTATCATGCCTGCAACGGTGCATCCCTGCTTCAAGCGATTAGGTGTCAAGGACAAGTATCTGGCACCTTCCTCTCGGAGCAGCAACGGAGGCCCGAAATATACAAGACGCTGTCGATTTGTTCTGAGCTAATTGGCCATTCATCAGTATAAACTGCTACGTATCTGGGGCTACGCGAAGTATTAAAAAAGGGGGAAATGCCTTACCAAAAGATACGGGCCATGCTGATCGAAAGTGTCGACAGCCATCAAACCTAGTGTTACAATCTCCTCGCCTTCTTGAAAATAAAAAGATGTCGGTAGCCCTTGTCGGCCAGATACTGAAATTGCCACGTCAGAGCTCCTCTTATGAACAATAATGCCGTTAGTGCCTTTGTCGCAAGCATACACTGTTATGCCCTTAACGCAACTGCCATTTTCTCGCAAAGGCAAGTAACTACACATCGCTTGCGGCGTAAAATCTTTTAGCACCTTGAAGTATGGTCCTTCGTACATGTCGCCGACAAATGATTCTCCCGAGCCAGGTAAGTCCCGGGCAACGTTCCAAAGGAGTGGTATTGGTAGCTCTTTTGAATCCCTCACGCGGCTGAAGTGACGATTATATATATCGGCTAGTTGCTTGAGAACACTCTTGTGGCCCTATAATACTCATGTGAGATTCAAGTAATTGGGGAAAGACACACTCTCTTCTCTTATATATGAGAAATCCTTTCACAATATTACTTACATTCTTTAAAAGACTGATGTCCTGGAGCGTGACATTGAGTGGTCCGCAGCGCCATCCCTGCGCTGTGCTTCCCAACCAAGAGGATTTGGATTCGTCAAGAAAATAGAATCTGACAGCCGATATGCCGATTAGGCCAAGGATGAATTCAATTTTGCAGATTTGGTTCGTGTTGGCTTCAATACAAGCACATCGACGGTTCAAAGCATCACAACCAACTGGCGCGTTGAGAATTTCGACATGGCACAAGTAGTCAACCCCGAATATATTGGTGAAAGAGGCACAGAGATGAGTAGCGTTTGTATTGGAATCGGGTACGAGGTCTGGGGCGCGGTCAGGATGCGGAATTACTGTGGAAGATGAAAGACGACCAAGCGAACATGTCGTGACGCCTGTCAACAATGAAAATGCAGCTTTATCTACATTAGCGTAGTTTAAGATTTTCCCCTGTAGTTCGACGGGCAGCTGAGCACATTTCAAGAGCAATGATTTCCATTCTGAGTCGACAATATTGCTACCGCTTGCAAATGAGGCCAGGTGCCACGGATTTGGCGCCTTCAAGCAGTCCCTGGGCATGGTTTCACTTAGTTGCAGCCCAAGATTGTATAGGTCATCGCGTGAAGGCTTTTTCTCTACCATTTGGGCGAGTTTCCAGCACGCGGAATGTATGAAGAAAACAAGCCCAGCAGTGTTTGAAGATTTGAAAGGTTCGAAACCAATGGGTATATCCCGATCTGTTTGATAAACGGCATCTAGATAAACTATATCGATCTCGAAACAGAAGACATGAGGGAGGAGGTCCGGTTTCCGACTAATTCTAGCGTCCATGACTATGGTGAGATATAAAAGTGAGTAAAGAAAGAAAATTGAAGCGATTGGAAACATCACTCACAGCCTAAAGCCAGTACCGTCGTCTCCCATGGCAAGTATTTTGCAATGTCGTCTCTAATATCATATGCTCGGCACTCAACGTTACACATTGGGACCTTATTTCGGCAGAGGACACAATGTTGTTCCGCGACATAGGTTATCAGCTTCCTATCGCTCGACTCTACCTCTTGAGGATCCATATTTTTGAAGATGAGTTGTAGAATTCACAATTAAAGCTGAAGATGAGGGGAATAGAAAGTTTACCTGAGCTCTGGAAGCTGGACCTAGGGGATTCTTCTACAGCTTATAAGAACATTGCAGTAACGATAAATGTCGCCGAGTTTCGCGTCCCTGGACAAAGAGAACCTATTTAATCCTTGGACAGACACTATGGCAGCTCATAGAACGCTGAATTGGCACAATTGGAACTTCCAAAACATGCATTGAAAGAGGACAGTCAAACATTCAGGTGGCTTTTCCCCGAGGTTTCTTCCACGAATAACTGTGTTTTCCCATTTTGACGATTTAGGCATGTCTGTTCAAGTAGAAAAGACTCTTTCAGATTTGTACAGATATCTCCATGAATCTCAACTATCATTGTGGGATTCTTTGATGCTTTGATGCTTAATACAAGTTGCCTTTCAATCTCCTGGGCACACGCAGCATCTTGATCAACAAATATGTTATACAATTGTTAATATTAATATATGTATGCCTTTGCCTAATGCTAGCTCTCAATGACAAAAACAAAAAAAAAAGTCATGTTTTTATGACAACAAATAACAGTTACAAAGAATCTTCAAGCTAAGATAAACCACTTTACACACAAAGAGGAGAAAAACAAAGGTTCAGCCGTCTTTATTAATATAGCCGCCAAAGTCGGGTGCTCATACCATTGAGCTCTGCTACTTAATGACGTTCAACGTACATTAACACCCATATTATGCATTCCGTGTTCAATTCTCATAGCCCATCACGAGCTCTAAGAAAAGATTGAACAAGTCTGACAAGAGATGAATTATGGATTTACAGACATCGAAATTACCCAAAATGGTAATCCAGACTTACTTAGCATCGACCCACTGGCAGCATCGCCTCTCAAATCTCACGCTACAGTAGGCGGCGTCGCAGCGCATCCTTATCGATAAGACACCCGGCAAAAAAAGTTGGTGAGCAACCTCTCACCTAAAAGCCAAGCCAGACTTTTTAATCGCATCGCCAACCGCAGCTCCCAGCGTTCTCATCAGCACAACGCAGTGTGCCTTAATCAAGAACAGAAAAAGAGACGAGAGGCTAAAAAAGAAGAAGAAGATATGTTCGCTGTTCCAGGGTGGTCGGTTTCGTCCGACGCTCTCAAGACTGAGAAGCCCACTGCCGCTGGAGGTGGTCCTGCAGGCGCCAAGACCAGGAAGCGAAAGAGGACGACCAAGGAGGAGCCTGTGACAGCCGCCAATGTCGCTGATCTGTATGAGTCTGTCGTCGAGGGGAAGAAGAAGCCCAGCGAAGAGAAGGCTTCCCAAGACTCAAAACGCCAAAAGAAGGGATCCGATGAGAAGAAGGATGGGGGATTGAAGCCACAGGGAAGCGATAAGAAGAGCAAAAAGGACAAGAAGAGGGAGAAGAAGGAGAAGAAGGATAAAGAAAATCCCAATCTACAGCCTCTATCAAATAAATCAGACAAGAAGAACAAGACGGAGAACCAGTCGAAATCTCAGGACGGTAGCGCTACAGTCGAATCCTCCGAGTCCAAATCAGACGCCGCCGCTGCCAAGCCTCAGCAAGCAGCAATTTCACCTCCTGCGCCGCCCAAATTGACACCCTTACAAGCCTCAATGAGGGAGAAGCTCATCTCTGCTCGATTCCGCCACCTAAACGAAACTCTCTACACAGCGCCCTCGGAGGAGTCCTTCAAGCTGTTCCAAGAATCCCCCGAGATGTTCGACGAGTACCACGAGGGCTTCCGGCGCCAAGTCAAGGTGTGGCCCGAAAACCCCGTCGACAGCTTCCTGAAAGACATTCGCACACGAGCCAAGATCCGACAGCCCCACGGCAAGGGAAGACCCAACGCGCCGCAGGTCAAGCTCATCGACAGCCCTCTGCCCAGGACCATGTCGACATGCACCATTGCCGACCTGGGCTGCGGTGACGCCCGCCTCGCAGAGTCTCTCCAGGCCGACAAGGACAAGCTCCGCCTCGACGTCAGGAGCTTCGACCTCCAGAGCCCCAGCCCGCTCGTCACAAAGGCCGACATCGCCAACGTCCCCATGGAGGACGGCTCCGTCAACGTGGCCATCTTCTGCCTCGCCCTCATGGGCACCAACTGGCTCGACTTCGTCGAGGAGGCCTACCGCCTGCTGCACTGGAAGGGCGAGCTCTGGGTCGCCGAAATCAAGAGCCGCTTCGGCCCCGTGCGCAACAAGCACGCCCCCGTCACCCACAGCGTCGGCAACCGCCGCAAGCTGCCCACCAAGAAGGAGGTCCAGGCCAAGGAGGCTCACGTCGCGGGCCTGCTCGAGAAGGACCTCGCTGTCGAGGTTGACGGGCAGGACGACCAGCGCCGCGAGACGGACGTGTCGGCCTTTGTCGAGGCGCTGAGGAAGAGGGGCTTTGTCCTGCAGGGCGATGGGCGCGAGGCTGTGGATCTGTCAAACAGGATGTTTGTCACGATGCGCTTCATCAAGGGCGCTGCTCCTACAAAGGGCAAAAACGTGAGGCCGGACGACGCCGCTCCCAAGAAGAAGAAGATGTTTGGCCGCATGCAGGACGAGGATGCAGACGACAAGAATGGAGAAAACGAAGGGGGTATTCTCAAGCCTTGTGTTTACAAGATTCGATGAGACTAACTAAGAGGGTTGTTCTCGCCTACTAAAAGCGGGAGAATCGATTTTATTCGTACTTTTTACTTCTTTTTATGTTTCACATTAATGGGCACACAAAAGTTTTAGAGGCTTGATAGAAGTCAGGAGTGTATATATGTATATGTCACCTAATGATCAGTCGAGGCAAAGTATAAGCATTTCAACATACATCATACGCAAAAGTCAACATGTTTCTTTTCTTTTTACTTTCTATTACATTCCACTACTAGCTTCCCCAAAACGCCTGTAGATGCTGCATGGATTCTTAGCCACAACTTTATGTAAAACGCTCCTCTTATTAGGTAACAAGCAGAGAAAGCAGACAAAACGCAAGAAAACAAAAACCAAAAGTTTCCCACGCTCTACCCTCGTTGCAGGGCAATGCTGATTATTCATAATCTCATTAGGTAAGTAATTTAGAAGAAGATTAAGCTAGCCGCCATATCAACGTTGTCCTCAGCGGCCTGAAGAGCCTGGATTGCCTGTTCCCTAGAAGCTCCCATAGACATGAGACTGTCGATGTGAGCTGGTGTTACGCCGGTTGCTGCGGTTGCTGCGGTTGCCGGAGCTGCCGGCTGAGCGGGTGCCGCCGCCGCCGGCTGTGGTGGCCGTGCTTGGGCTTGGGCTGCAGGCTGTGAAGAGGTTTGCGAGGGGGTATCTTGCACCGGCATGACAGCTCCAGATCGTTGGCCAATGGCAGTACCCGCCGGACCTGGTATGGTAGGCTCTTGAACGGCAGCTTCCTCCTCTTCCTTTGGAATCTCGGCTTCTCCAAGGAAGGAGATTTCTTGGCCTTGGATGATGAGCTTGTCCTTTGCCAGATCGATATGGGCTTGGTATCTCTTGAGCATATCCAGGCCAAGAAGCAGCTCAACCGACTTGCCCTCCATCACGGTAAAGCTGCAGGGCAGAAACAAGTTTCCAATCTTGATCTGGGCTGAGTGAACGCGACCAATGATAGTAGCCGTTCCAACACCCCGGGCTACACCAGCAAACCTCTTATCTACCAGGCGCATGATTCCGCAGGCCTCGGCGCACGAAGGTGACATGATAGTGGCCTGCGCACCCGAGTCGACCAGCGCCTTAACCTTGTGCCCGTTGACCTCCACATTGGCGTAAAGCAGGTGAACGCGGCCAAAGACTAGGTAGGAGTAAACGTGGCAGAGTCAGCCCCCGCACCTCACAGGGGTCATGGGACGTCATCGTACATACCTTCGGGGTTATGCTCCATGGCATTTTGCAGGTTCTCCATGACCCTTTCCTGACGGATCATCTCCTCGATCCTCCTCTGGTTTTCCACGTTGAAGGGGTCTTCGTTCAGCCTTTCAATCTCCCGCTGGCGCATCTCTCGCTCTCTGCGTTCTCGATCTTGGCTATCGAGGAATATTCTTCGAAACTGCGCGGGGTCTTCGACGGCGGCGGCGAGCTCCGGGTGCTGCCTGGACAGCTGCTGTCTGACGGCGGGGTCGCCCAGAATCTGAAGACGAAGCATCTCGGTATCATTTCCGGCTCCAGCTGCGGTAGAAGCAGCGCTTTGCTGTTGGCGAACCGCGGATTGAGCCTGCCCTGATGGCTCCGGGGGTCCGGTGCTGCCTCGCATATCTCGGACGTGGACGGCCAGCATGTCACCATCGCCGATCTGCAGCTGCTCCATGGTCTTGGTATCGTCCGAGATCAATCGGCCGTTGTGATAGATGTGCTGTGCCGCCGGAGGAATGCCCGCCTCGGCCTGGACAGACTCGCGCAGAGTAGAAACGGTCATGTCGGAGAAAACCTCGAGCGTCACCAGGCTGTCCTGGTCTCCTCCCTGAGGGTTGAAGACGTTGAGTGTGATGCGCCTAGTAAAACGCTCCACGTTAATTCCGCCCTCCAGTCAGCTTCGCGTTAAGGCAAGACTTACATTTTTGTGTAAGGACAGATCTTTCGTGACGCTCAAGTTTCGCAATGGGGAATACAGCAGAGACAAAAGGGAATGTGCGGGATGAGAGAAAAAAAAAAGACGCCTTGGTTTGAAAGTAAGATGGAAATGTACGGAAGCTCAACGAAGTGCGGTAGTATGGAGACAGCCCGGTGGCTTTAGTAAGAGGCTTCTGCTTCTGCTTCTGCTTCTGCTTCTGCTTCTGCTTCTGCTTCTGGTGCGCGTCTGCCGGAAGGAAAGGGGCTTCTCGAAGAGGAATTATAAATCAGGCGATGGCCAGCCTCAGCGTAGCATTCGTGGCAGGCAAGCAGGCAGGATTATACAGTAGCAGTGGCATGCGGTCGTTTGTGTGCGTGCAAACTGTAGCTTGATGGGATGCAGTAGATTCAAGATGCGGGAGCAGGACGGACCGGGGAGGGGCAGCGAGTTGGTGGAGGGGCAAAAAGCTTAACGGGCGCGGAAGCTCAGCTCATTTCAGGCTGTTCCGGGCCAGGACTAGGCACGCCACGGTGACGACAGCGGGTAATGGTAGCGCGTTCAGCGGTCGTGGGGAAGCCTTGGAGCCTGCGCCATAGCCCATGTTTGCAGGGACAGGGGAGCTTGGTAGCACTGAGCTCTTTTAGAGTGGCCAGGGATCAGGAAGCTTTTCAAGGCCTCAGCTACTACTTACCTACTGATTACCTGCAACTCCATGACATTTGTGTACAACCAAACCTACATGTAACCCAACTGAACACATCAATTGCAATCACTCCGTCTCTGAGGCATCTTTAGATGCCGAGATCGTCCTCAGAACAAAAAGAATACATGTACCTTGATACGAACCTAGTATCTACCTTATACGAGCGACTACCTTAGGCACGGGTCTCTAGAGCGTGTATTCCCCGAGTTACCCGCCAGGAGTGTGAATGTCGATCGTTAGATTCGTCAGGCCGAGCTTGGCATACACAATTCTGGCAGTAAAAGGTGGCCCAGGAACTATCAAGTTGCAAAATATTGGCTCTTCAGTCTACTTCGGATAGGATCTTGGTATCCCAGGATGCCTCGGCGAAGGGGTCAGAGCGATGAGGGTAAAGGTTAGATAGAAATGCGTTCCCAAAAGAGACTGCAGCCATATATATAAATCCAATCCCAACACGTGCGACCAATTGCTGTTTCAGGCACACTATCTTTCCAACGGGCTAATATCACCCACCCTGGCTGGAGGATCCTTCGCAGCGAGAGGTGGGAGATATATGAAGTAGCAGCCAGAAGCAAATATGGACAACACAGGATGGACAGCAGCGTGGACGGGGTTTGGGCAACAAAGGCGGGACCATTGGAGAGGGAATAAATGATAGAGAGAAAACCCGCAATTAAGTCTCCAGACCTGATGTTGCGTCTATTACTACTCGATGCTCGTATCCAAAGCCTGATGCGGCGACTGACCCTTGAAGAGATATTACACCATGCTTGTACATACCTGCCTAGTAGGTAGGTAGTAGATAGCCTTACCAGGTGTCTACAGGTACCTGCTGAAAGCGAGTAATGCGCGCTCACGCTAGTAGCAGAGCCTAAAGCTTACTTGTACCTACCTCGAACCTACTCTCTCCAATCTCATTTTTGTCGACATTGAACATCAATTGCTGCTACATAAGATACCTTACCTGCATACTCGTGGTAGTGCAGGCAGCACCGCATACAAGAGATTTGGCATCTAATCCATGTGACTGTGCGGGGAGGCAGCCCTAGAGTATCATCCGATGGCATCTAGGCTCTGAATCTTGTACGACGTGACGCTGGACGCATTCTGTTGAGGTATGTACCTATTCATGCATGCCAGCAGCATCCATCCATGCAATGCGCACATACATACGAATACGGAGCGAGCATCGTGCAGCGCCTTGCAATGGCTACTTTGCAGCATCCGGGTTCTGGCAATGTTGCGAGGCCATATCTCGCTTATACCCGTGGAAATCGTGGCTGCTCGACACGTTCGTACGCCTGTCGTCGAGGCTAGCTAGTGCAATGCAATGTGCAGGCGTGTTAGTGATGGGTAAGTACTAGAGACACGCATGTACGAGGTTCGATGTATCTACTAGATAGTATAGTAGGCGCCTACTAATCTTCCTTTCTTTTTCCCTTCGTGCGACATACCAGACCTAGTAGGTGCATGTGCAGTACTTTGTACTAACAGATAGGACTCGGGTGCAGCATGCAGCGCTACTCACTCATCATCGTCTCCCCGCCTTCGCTTTTTCATCTCTCTCTCTCCTAGCCGGCTCTCAGCTCTGCAGCCACCCACTTGCAAAGCCATCAGCCGGAGCTGCATCTGCCTTTGCCAATCAGAAGCAGCCGAGCTTCACCGGTGCGGATCCTGCTGCTGCGTGTCTCGCAGCGCTCGCAGCGCTAACAGGCAGATTGCTTTTTGCCGTGTCTCTGGCCAAGCACGTATTAGAGCCGTTTCGTTTCACTGGCCATGGAGACTCTTGTCGAAACCCAACGACCGCGCAGTGGCTCTGGCCATCCGGGGAATGGGACCGAGTGCATACAGTAATGAATCATTGCTTCTGCTTTGCACTACTGTATCTGCTGTATGTGACGAGCTTGCATATGCATTGGTCCACCTACAAGACCAGATCATCTACCAGTTACCGGCTACCAGCGACCAACAATCAGCAGATGTTGGGTAGCATAGACTACGTGTTTGCAGCTCAGCCAGTACGGCATCATATGATATCTGTCAGAGGCCTATCGTTGGTCACTCTTGGCTTCTCGTTATCGACGCCGCATCCGTCATTACTTTGGGGGACACAGCAAGCAAGCAGTGCGAGATTCCGTGTCTTGGATGGAAGCCATACCTCCTCACCAAGGCTACTCCGTATAAGGAAGGGCTCGCGTTGTTCTCTCACCGAATTTGCAGTTGTCTACCCGAATTGGCATCAGAAACCCAGTTTCATTGGATGACTCGTATTGATTATTCTGTCTCTCTACCATTGATTTACAGCCAACTAAACTACTTTTACGCAGGTAACCGGGCATGGATCCTCTCTTGCAAACTTCATGCAGAGTCCGCCTCAACAAGCGTTGCTACTCTCTTTCCTTTTTGTAAGCGCTATCCTGACCCCTGGCCAGCTAGCCAGCACTAACCTCCAGGCATGCTGTTTGTCAGAGGAGTATACATACTTGTGGTGCACGGGGAGGAGTCGCCGGCCATGCAGCACGAGAAGCAAAGCCGCTACATGTATTGGTGCCATCAGGTCTAGTCGGCGGCTCCAAACCACCACCCTGGATGTTGCAAGGCCAGCAGCGTACAGGACGGCATGCATATGATGCTGCAAGGAATATCGAATATGGTTCCATCGCCGGCCTCCTCAGCCTCATGCATTCACAACTGATGGGTGCAATATGGCAATATCGGCTTCACTGGCCTTTCTCTTTCTTGATTTGCGGTATAACAGTACCTGTCCTCAATAGCTGAGACACACACGCACACACACAGGGATGCTGCCTGGGATATAACTACTTAGTATGTATATGTATTCATCAGGATATCAGATGACAAGGCTACGTCATCAAGGCGCTACGCCCATAGTGCGTAGCGATATCGAAGGGCCTCTCCCTGCCTAGGAGCTGATGGTATGGGGGCTAGTCACCGCTTGTTTTATTACACAAAACACTTATATCAGTATGATCTTCTGAGCAAGCCATACTGGATGCACCGCCATGTGATTGGTAAACTGGTGCATTTCCCCGCCCGGCAGTGCTCCCCCTTACTCAGATTTTGATACAGATTGGCCGTCTTGAAAGCCTCCCTCGCTTTATAAGGTGGTATTGCTCTGGTGAGAAGGCGGATGCAAAGTTGAGCATCCTACTCATATCGCTAAACACGTGTGCTGCTTGATACCCACTACGCAGAACCGGCTTCTATCCCGCCTTTCGAGGAGGGGTGGATGCTGTTCTAGCTGGCTACTGATAGGGCTACGACGAGTACTGAGTACTCCGTACCATACCATACATTTCATCTTGGATAGGCTGAGCCTAGTAGGGCGTCTCTAAGGAATAGAAGTTTTATAACAATGCAAAGAACTGACTAGGTAACCACATTTGTGCTGGTCGAATCAGCCTTGGCTACCGCGGTCGGGACCAGGGGGGGCTGCCGTCGCCCATCTGAACGAATGAACGGTGTTGACGCTCAGTCGGAAGCGAAATGTTGTCGGAACCAATGCACCCATTCACTTGATGCTAACAGACAGGCATTATTAGATCGGCCGGGAAACAGGGATGGAAGAAACCGAAGTAGTAGTGGATTGGCGCCTCCTCTGTTTCTGTCTGTCGGTCTGTCTTTCTCTGTTCATCGCCGTGGAGGTGGAATCTAGAATATTCATGACGATTGCCAAGTGCTACGAGTGCCGTGGCAACCTCAATAACCGTCGTTCATTTCTCTATTGGTGAAACCAAAGGTCAGCTTATCATTGTGATGGATGTGCTAGAAAGTTTAGTGTGAGTGAGTGAGTCTATTTCATTTACAAATATTGTCTCTCTCAACAGGGATTCGTGGAGATTCAGCCCGAGCGGCTGTATCAAGCCGGCTGCAGCTGCAGTTTTCTCAGCGCAAATTATTGTTTTGCATTTGAGACTTGGTTTTTTTTTTTTTTTTTTTTTTTTTTCTGGAGGCGTTCCTGCTACACGGCCCCATCCAGCATATCAATGTATGTCTTCAGCTCTGGCTATCCACCAATGATAAAAATATCACACCCTCGCATGACTAGCCGCCGTTAAGTTCGTCTGCCCGCACGAGTAATCAGGCCGTCTTTCTTATCCCTTATTTAGCTTTCTATCCCTTCATCAGTCACCATCTCAAACTACAAAGTAATCTGCCAAACACCTCTCTGCACCATCAACACAGAACAGTCAGAAGAAGCCGAGTTAGAGGAGGGGAGAGCCGAAATACTGAAGAAGATGCAGAGAACCATAAGATATCAGGCGTCAAAGACCATGGTTATCAGCACGCACAAGGAGCCTGCGATAACTGACTTCTCCAGCCTGGATATGTGTCTAGATTTCATCGCGGTTATGCCAATCAGCGCCAACGATGAGGTCGATCTGATCGATGACCAGGTGGAGCCTGACACTTCAGTCGACGACAGACTTTATCAATTTCAGTTCTTCAAGCCTTGTCTCTCGAGAGAGTTTCTCAAGGCTATGCCCTTTTGCTTCAATCCTAAGCTTGCCTTTCTTAAACCACAACACGTGGTCACCACAATCCATCTTGAGCAGTGCGCTTTTGAGCATTCACAACGAGGGTTCTCCAAACAACTGGTTAGTTTCTATGTCCGACGTCTTTCACTAACGCTTCTTCTGTGCTGCGGTCACGAGTTCTCTGCAAGTATTTCTAACCAAAGGTAGACCGAGTATCGCATCAGATTCTCCGGAACCCTCAGCTATGGTCTTTTCAACATTTGTGACGTAACTGAGCGAAAGGACTGGTTATTAATGATGAAGATGAGAGGCTGGAACATGCCCGACTGTCCTGAAGACGTGAGAAGATTCATGTTCGTCCACATGGTCGCTACAATGGGATGCGACCCCGTAGTAACGGATAAGGACATGGACTGCCCCAAGAACTGGAGAGAGGTCCTCCACGGACGACAAAGATATCCCAGCGAGCCTGTCGGCCATCGATCGCACGGGAGGACGGTCTGCCTTCACTCCATCGTCGTTTCCCCTTGGCTACAGGGCCTGGGCCTGGGCACCGCTGCCTTAAAGTCTTACGTTCAGCGCATCCACAGCCGTGGTCTCGCAGACCGCGTTGCTCTGCTCTGCCGCAAGCATGAGATCCGATTCTTTGCGAAGTGTGGATTTAAGAACATTGGCCGTAGCGATACTACCTCCCTCCCTGGGCAATACTATAACATGGTCCGTGATACAGTCTATTACTCATGTGTTTTCCATACCGGGCTAGTACTAACTCTAGGTCATGATTATAGGTTTTTGATCTCCCTGATCGTGAGACACATATCAACTGGAAAGCAATTCGTGAGAACGCCGAGAAATCGTAGATTGCTTGGCCTTTATACCATCCTTTCTGCATTTTGATTTAGCGTACATTTTTCCCTTTTTCTTATGTTCATCATGAAATACAAAACAAGCAACAGAAGAAGAAGAAAAACCTATATATTAAGGAAGTCGCAACCAGAAAAGAAAAGAAAAAGAAAAAAAAAACTGGAGGTTGAGGAAGGAAGGAAGAAATAAAGGAAGGAGGGAAAAGAGAGAGGAGGAAGAAAAATAAGAAGGCAAACCAGCCTAACATGCATTTGAAGTTGAGCTACGACACGACACATATGATTATACGACTTGCCCCATGGTTACTTTGCATTGGAGAGGAATATGTGCCACAACGGGCACGGCGTTGTAAGTACACTTTATTATAGTCCTGCTATGTTGCTAACTTCGATAAAGGGTAGAGGAAACGGTATAAAAGGCCCTGGTAGGGAAGATAAAATAATGGGAATAGATTAATGGCATATTAATGGGATAGGACAAGGAAAGAAGTGAAGCAAAAAAAGAAAAGAAAAAAAAAATTATGACATTCATGACGGATATCGGATCCATTCAGCTCTACGTAGATTAGACAGCTAGCAACTAACTATGATTTAGGGTATTATTTTTTCCAGGTATAGGAGGAATTTAATGAGACAATTTCCCGTTTACTTTTGTTCTTTTTCCGTCCTCTTCAGCCAAAACTCAAGACTCGAAATGGGTGAAGACATATTACTACAGTGAAGTAATGTTTTTACTTGTTTACTCGTCTACTTTGCTCAAACACCAAGAGCCCAGCCATATGCTTTTTAATCAGTCGCCTTATACTTAGCCCGGTACTCCTCCGTGTTCTTGATATCCTCAGCAGTAGCAAATCCCTTCATTCCATCGATAATGTCGTCCAGTGTCAGGATGGCAAAGATGGGAATGCCATACTCCTTCCTCAGCTCGCCAATAGCACTGGGGCCAGGCTTGGAATCATCGCCATCAGCAGCGGGGAGCTTCTCCATGCGGTCGAGAGCGACGACGATGCCGGCGACAATACCACCCTCCTTGGTGATCTTCTCAATGGCATCTCGCTTGGCCGTGCCGGCGGTAATGACGTCGTCCACAATGAGAACCTTCTTGCCCTTGAGGGGAGCGCCAACAATGTTGCCGCCCTCGCCATGGTCCTTGGCCTCCTTGCGGTCAAACGAGTACGAGATGGTGTCGAGGTTCTGGGGCGCCAGCTCGCCCAGCTTGATGGTGATGGCCGAGCACAGCGGGATGCCCTTGTAGGCGGGGCCGAAGACGAGGTCGAACTCGAGGCCGGACTCCTGCTGCGCCTGGATGATGGTCTTTGCGAACGCGGAGGCGATGGCGCCGGCAAGGCGCGCGGAGTGGAATTCTCCCGCGTTGAAGAAGTATGGTGATATTCTCTTGGACTTCAGCTCGAAGCTGCCGAACTTGAGGACGCCGCCGTCAATGGCGGATTTCAAGAACTCTTGCTTGTATGCGGGGAGCTGGGAGGCCATTGTTTCTTTTCTTTCTTTCTTTTTTTTTCTTTGCTTAAGATCCACGTGAGAGGTTTGCTTTTGAGAGTTTTTATGAAAGTGATGTGAAGAGGAAAAAAAAGTGATGATTGTTGTATGAGCTCGAAAGCTAAAGCCGTCGTATGAGCTTTTTTTTGCCACTGACAAAGACGTGTTCTCTCAACCTACCTTGTTTGATATACTTTGATAGCAATGAGAAACAGAAACCAAATGATTTGTCACTCTTTTCAAAGGAGGTTCTGCTTGCTATGTGTTTCTTGTCGGTATATGAAAAGAGAATCTTGGGGATGGCGGGGCACAAGATAGATAGTGAGCGCAAAAAAAAAAAAAAAGTAGCTACCAACCAACATATTTGCAATTCGCACTGTATGTTATTTTTTAGCGTCGCTACCATGTCGAATGCTCTCAACCAGTATCTCAGGTAACAAGCGTTTAGCTTTATTATTGCTATTATATGTTGTGTATTACCTAGTAAGTCCAATTCTAATCAATTCAATTTTACTCATTGTCTCTTATTCTTCTTACATTTGTAATGGAAAGTTATGGCTGCTATGTATGGAATTTGGGCATACACTGAGCATTAGATACTACTTTTTTTTTTTTTTACAACAATCACCATAAAGAGTGTTGCCCCATGGTTAGTTGTATATAACACTCATGATGCTACACATGCACTTAAATTCATCGCATAAAGACCATCAGACCCATCAAGGCAATGAGAATCACGAGCCAAACTCTCCGTCTTATCTGGACCCTCCATACTGTGCACACTGTATCGTTCAGCTGCATTAGCGGGGTTCCTAAACTAAACTCTTGCCATTAATTGGTTATCGATAAGACTTTTTCCTGCAGACTCCGCCCACAGAGAAAAAAAAAATTCACCGCCTAGCCTAGACCGGGCATTTCGCTAACCTGAAAGTCCTTCCCCGTCAAAAAATCCTGACAACGAGGACATCTCAAGCTGTAAACCTTCACCTTTTACAGCGTCCCTCGATCAGTCAAATTGCCCGCCATGAAGACCACGTGGAAGGACATTCCCCCGGTTCCTACTCAGCAGGAGTTCCTGGACATTGTGCTGAGCAGGACCCAGCGCAAACTGCCCACCCAGATCCGCGCTGGCTTCAAGATTAGCAGAATTCGAGGTTTGTCGCATTACGCACGACGAGTGTTTACCGAATGCAACTTCGTCCATTTGCTTACAAAATAAACAGCATTCTACACCCGAAAGGTCAAGTTCACCCAGGAGACCTTCTCCGACAAGTTCGCCGCCATCCTCGACAGCTTTCCCCGGCTTCAGGACATCCACCCCTTCCACAAGGATCTGCTCAACACTCTCTACGATGCGGACCACTTCAAGATTGCCCTTGGACAGATGTCCACTGCCAAGCACCTGGTCGAGACCATTTCCCGAGACTACGTCCGCCTCTTGAAATACGCACAGTCGCTCTACCAATGCAAGCAGCTCAAGAGAGCCGCTCTCGGTCGCATGGCCACGCTCGTCAAGCGATTGAAGGATCCTCTGCTGTATCTTGACCAGGTCCGCCAGCATCTCGGCCGTCTGCCTTCCATCGACCCCAACACCAGGACCCTGCTCATCTGCGGTTACCCCAACGTTGGAAAGTCCAGCTTCCTCCGAAGCATCACCCGCGCCGACGTGGATGTCCAGCCCTACGCTTTCACCACCAAGAGTCTGTTCGTCGGTCACTTTGACTACAAGTACCTGCGATTCCAGGCCATTGATACCCCCGGTATTCTCGACCACCCTCTCGAAGAGATGAACACTATTGAAATGCAGAGGTAGGTTGACGTTTTCTAAAACTTATTGTCAAAACATCAAATTCTAACCAGATTTTCTTGAAAACAGTATTACGGCTATTGCTCACTTGAGATCTGCCATCATGTACTTCATGGATCTGTCTGAGCAGTGCGGTTATACCGTCCAGGCCCAGATCCAGCTTTTCCGAAGCATCAAGCCCCTCTTCTCCAACAAGCTCGTTTTCCTCGTCGTCAACAAGATTGATGTCGCCCGACCCGAAGATTTGTCGCCCGAGCTACAGGCCGAGCTGCAGTCCATCCTCAAGTCTGGTGAAGTTGAGATGCTCCAGCTTTCTTGCAACACCCAGGAAGGTGTCCAGGAGGTCAAGAACGCCGCTTGCGAGCGGCTGATCGCTGAGCGTGTGAACCAGAAGCTCAAGGCTGGTACCACCAGCAGCGGAGCCATTGGCGGCCGACTGGCCGAGGTCATGGCCCGTATCCACGTTGCCCAGCCCATGGGTGGCCAAACCCTGGAGACTTTCATTCCTGAGGCTGCCAAGAACAAGAAGAAGTACGACAAGGAGGACCCTGACCGACCCAAGCTGGCCAAGGATGTCGAGGTGGAGAACGGCGGTGCTGGTGTCTACAACGTTGACATGCGCGCCGACTGGATGCTCAAGAACCCCGAGTGGAAGTACGACAAGATGCCTGAGGTCTTTGAGGGCAAGAACGTCTACGACTATGTCGACCCTGATATCGAGGCTAAGCTGGCCGCTCTGGAGGAGGAAGAGGAGAGACTCGAACAGGAGGGATACTACGAGTCAGACGAGGACATTGAGGACGACGAGGAGGCCGAGATCATGCGCAAGGCAGAGCTCATCCGAGAGAAGCAGCAGCTCATCAGAAACGAGGCCCGCATGAAGAAGAGACTCAAGAACCAGGCCATCATTCCTCGCAAGTTTGTCAAGAAGGGCCTCACAGAGATGGAAGATGCCCTCGACTCTCTGGGTGTGGACACCACCGAGATTACCGAGCGAGCCCGCGCCACTGCCATCCGAACTCGTGGCCGCTCATTATCTCGCGCCGCCACTGCGGATGCCGACTCCATGGATGTCGATACTCCCAAGACGGATCGCGAACGTCTGCGCTCTCTGAGCAGACCTGCCAGCAGAAACCCTGCTGTGAACCGCAGAACCGACGGCGTGCAGGACGAGGCCACCAGATCAAAGGCCGAGCGGATAGCCAAGCTCAACCAGAAGCGCATGAACAGAATGGCCCGACAGGGAGAGGCCGACAGACATACTTCCGCATCTCTGACAAAGCACTTGGTAAGTTGGGTTCTTGAATTAAGTTTTGCGTTATTTCATTATACTAATCTCTTTTCTTTTCTTTTCTTTAGATTGCCGGAAAGCGTGGTATTGGCAAGACCAACAAGCGATAAGCCTTTGTTCTTTTTTTCCCCAAAAAAAATGCTGGAGCAATGTTACCCCGTTTATACACATTCTTGCTGGGCTCCCTTTATATATATATATGTATTTCACTGTTTTTTTTTTTTTTCTTAATTTGTCAGTGTTTCCATCTTCGCACCATTTTAAACGAAGAGAAATACATATTGCTCAGGAGTTGGGCGTTCTTGAAGGGTATTTGAAATCCAGAAAGAAAAAAGATGATGGAGATATTAGTGGAGAGATGGAAGGGGAGAATAAGATGAAAAAAAAATGGCAGGCATATACAGTTCATTACTTTTCATCTTCATATTTTTTATGAATAGGATGATGGGGCATGCTGCATTCTTTGAGATGAGAGCGAAAGAGGAAAGGAGCATGGCAAAACTGCTGAGTTGCTTATGACAATGATGCAACATGAGCAAAACCAGATAGATGCATGAGCATGACACTATTTAGTAGTAATGGCTTTTTTCGAGTTTCAATTAAAAGTATAAATGCATTTAGCTTGAATTGAAATAACAAATGCCTCTGTGAACGAGTCTCCTATTCAACTCAGGACACAGTTATTAGAAGTATTTTTCGGGGAAAAAAAATCTCGATATTATATCCTTTGCCAGAGTTAAAGTGCCCCGGCCTGTTGATGTACTAATATTTTCTTCATGATTATTTAGTTGATATTTACCGAGCCAGAAACAAATAGGAAAAAAAACATGGTCGCTCTTCGCAAATGTTGAAGGGAACAAGTATCAACTCCAAAGATCTCGATAGCATGGTTTTAACAAGAACAAATTTGGCATACTATTTCGCTTCTTACTCCTCCGCAACGTTGATGCCCTCCCTTAGACCCTCAACCTTGAGCTCCTCACCGGTAGCACGCTGGTAAATGTCCTTGACATCATCTGTTGTTGTCTCAAAGTGGCTGGTGGCATCGTAGCTCTTGGAGATGAAGATGTTGTCCTTGGTTCCATCCTCAAGAGGCTCAGAAATGGGGATAGGAGCTCCCTATTAAGGCGTTTGTCAGTATCCTAGAATTTGGACTGTTTCAAGAGCAAAAGCATTCAAGCAGAGGAGCGCTTACCATAAACTGCTCCTCAATAGCACCAAGGCGGTCCAGACCGGGCTGGAGCTCGAGGTGGTGGTTGGCAGAAGTCTCGGCAATGGTGGAGACGATGGCAACCCAGTATCCCTTGGGGCACACGTTGTGGGCCGATGAGACGCAGGCAATGTAGATGTCTGTGAAGAACGAGTTAGAATGATTGATTTCTAAGATGTCAAGGGTTTTTGTTTGGGAGCCCAATTCTTACCGTTCTTTCGGCCGACCTGGGACTGGGGGATGATGATCTGGGCAGAGTCGCTGTCGCTGGTTCCAGCAAGGGGGTGCTTCAGGATGCAGATGGCCCTCAGCACGTGGCCGACAACCTTGGTCTTGCCGGGGAAGTATGAGGGGTCACCAAGGATCATCTTGGCCTTGGTCTCAAACTTCATCTCCTCGACACCCGTCATGGTGGCCTTGATGCCAACAGCCTTGTCACCCTCGTACAGAATCTCATCAATGTTGGTGTTGAGCATGTAGGTACCGCCGTAGATGGCGGACAGACGAGCGAAGCCCTGGGGAAGCTCGCCAAGACCATACAGGGGGTAGATGTAAGGAGACTTTCCGTATCGAGCAACAGAGTTACCGTACAGGCGGATACGCTCAATGGCATCAGGAGCCTGGCCAGGGGCGGTGATGTAGTCATCAGTGAGGTACAGAGCCATGGAGTGGCCAATAAAGTCCTTGGTAGCATCTTCGAGGCCGAACTTGTCATAAACATCCTTCATGGTGCAGGTGTTCATATCAAGACCTATCATGACGTGGGTTAGTCACTGCCGAATAGCGTGAAGTGAGCACTTGAGAACTAACCCTTGTGGGTGGCCGGGTCCTTGGCATCAAAAGTGCCAATCCACTCAATGAATGACTTCATGCGGCGCTTCTCAAAGAGACCCATGAGGGGCGACTTGAGGGCCTCTGCGGCATCTGAGGGGACCTTGGCAACGGTGGCCTTGGAGCCAGCGCCCTGCTGGACGTAGCTGCCAGCAACCTGCTTGAACTCCAGGTATCGGGTAACATCGGTAGAGACGAGGATGTTGGTCAGCTCGCCAGATGACATGAGGAGCTTGGGAACAAGATCAATGTTCCAGTCGTTGACACGGCCGTACTTCTCCCATGGCTTCTCACCAGCGGCAACACGGCCGTACTTCTTGAAGAGCTAAAAGGGGTGGGAAAAAAGGAGGTCAGATGCTGTAACAAACGTAGACTTATACACAAGCGTGCAATTGCACAGTATTGCGACTCGGGGGGTTGGAAATTGATTTACCGTCTCGATGTTTACGGAAGCAGCCTCTCTGCAGCAGGAATCGTCAGTAACAGTTGCGTTGAAGTGGTGATGCCACGTCGACGTAGTAGCAGCCAGGGGGGAGAAGAAGCATACCCTCCGTAGTGGTCGTTGCGGTCAATGTGCAGAACCTTTCGGCCCTTGACACTCAAGACACTTTAAGACAGGAAATATCAGTATAGGCTCGATTATGTATTGTCCATTCGATTTCGATCAAGTCGTCCGTCGCCTTACCCGGAAAGGATACACTCGGTGAGACCTGCAGAATAGGGGGGGTCCAAGTCAGCGAACCAGGAACCTTTGAAACAAAGCAATGGGGCAAGTGGCAAGTTAAACAGCAAGCAGAGCAGCTTTCTCGAGATGCCAGAGCCCGTCTCGTCACGATGCTGATGCTGGGAGCTGGAGTTGAAGCCGAAGCTCCAGGAGGCAAAAAGGGAACCACAGCTCTTTAGCTAACGTACCGGTGCCCAACACGATGACATCGTACTCCTTGGCGATTTCCTCCATGATGCTGGGTATATAGAACAAAAAGCGGTGATGACGTTACGAAGAGAATGGTATGGCCGGAAGTCGGGAGAAGGAAAAGAGAAGAGGGAGAAGCCGAAAGACTGGTGCAAGAAGATGGTTCCCTTTTGAAGGTTGGTTTGTTGTAAAAAGGTTAGTTGGTACGAAAGTACTTAGAGGGGTTGAGAGAAAAGGCGGCGGGGTTTTGGTTTTGGGATCGGTGAGGTGCGGAGAAAGCTTTAGGGGGCGCTGCCAATAGACTGGAGGCGCTGATTGGGAAGCTTTTGGCACTAGCTGTTAGCGGGCTGGCACTTCATCAGCGCGCTGCTTCTGGCTAAGGCAGGCCTAATAATAATATTAAAAATTAAGAATAATTAATACCCAGCAGACACGGCATGATGCTAATCTCGACATTGTTTGATTGTATTCTGCTTTGTATCTTTTCTTTTCTTCTTTTTTTTTCCCCTTCGTTCTGGAAATTGAGACCGGCCCGGCAGCTCAGCTCAGCTCAGTCTTGTCGAGCCATGGCCATTTCCTGCCATTGCCCCGCCGTCGCAGCACCGTCTCCAAATCTCATCTCAGCTCCCCTTCTTGCAGTATTGAACTACCTACCAAATTCCTTCCGTGAAAATCTGCATCCCATTGTCTCGGAAACACAGCTCAAAGCTAGATTCTACCACTCGTGGCCGCTCAGTTGAGTTGATCCAAGGATAGGTCGAAAATCAAGACCAGAGGAGCAGGCAGAGAGTTTGCCCCATCAAAACAAGCACCGCTGTCAGCTCCAATTAGGCGGTGGGCATCCCATTACCGTCCCCTGGTCTCACTTCATCTCAAATAGAACACCAAAGGAATATCCAAGAATACTCCACCGCCCCGTATCTTGCTAATAACCAACCCTGTCCGGGTACTTCCATTCGGCGCTGGAGCAAGCCCAGCGGCGCAGGTACCCTCTCCAGACCACAAGTTACGGAACCACTTTCCCGGCAAGAGTTACAAGAGCTACGGTCACCTCCTGATACCGCGCCCGTTGCAGATTCAACAATTACGAGTAACGTTGATGGGCAAACCCCCCTGTTCAATGACCGAATGAAACGGTCACGTTACGAGTAATACTGATACTAAAAGAAAGAAAAAAAAGAGGCCATAATGAAAGGAAGGGGTCTTAGCGAAATCGGGGTCCGAGAAAAATAGGGGGCTTCAAATGAGCATGTTCATTTCGTCTCCGGGCTCATATTCTGATTTTGTCTTGTGCACACGTCAAAGTCATCTCGATAAATTCGGTATACATCGTTCTAGTAGTAATATACATGCCAATTGCTTGTTTAGGTAGGAATACAGGTAGTACCATACATCACATCTCATACTCTTCCCCGTGATATCATATCAGATCATATCAAGCCCTCCCCCCTTTTAGCCTTACCCAGCTTTTCATTTCCATAATGACCATAGACTCTTTTTGTTTTTGGTTTCTTTTTGTTTTGTTTTCTGGCCCCCTCTTTACCGCACGGGTTCCTTCAGCTCTTTCTCTGATGCCACCCTTGACGCTTCATCTTCAATGGCCGCAACATCAACTTCATCGTACCCCTCTTCGTATGCGGATGGGTTGTACACCTGGCCCTCTCCTCCATCCAAGTTAATCTCAGGGTCCGACTTGGCGACCTCGACGGCATCCTGCCATGTGTAGAATCGCTCCGTAAGAGCATGCTTGATCGCTCTCATCGTCTTAGTGACCTGCCAATCGTATTAGTAAAAAAAAAATGGTAAAGAAATATATATCAAAGTGCAAGAGGTCGAAAATTTCAGACCTCTCTCTCGCACTCACCTCCTCATTCCGTGAATCAATCTCCCGCTCTCCAAACCCAAGCTTCCCCCTCAACAGCTCCTCCCTCGCCGTAGCAAGCATGTTCCTCTCCTTGCAGCACTTCCACCACAGCGCATGCAGATCCTCCCACGACTTCCTCCGCAGCTCCTCAACCATCCATGCGCGGCCGTGCTCCTCCGTCTCCTTGGGCGTCAGCAGGAGCTTTCCGGGGGCGGGGAAGAACCCCCACAGCCCGTGGTTCTCGTCGACCTGAATCTTGGGCTTGAAGTCGACGGGTTTCGGCAGCGGGATGTTGGACATGGACAGCGGCTCGCGGGGGCCCGATCCGTAAAGGCTGCTGACGCCTCGTCGCTTGTTGCTGTCCTTTGTCTTGCGCTTGCACTGGGGCGCCGTGGTTGAGAAATTGGCTACTTGTGCTGCTCGCATCGTCGTCGCTGGAAATCCTGAAGTCTTCTGGAGGGACAAGCCCAGCCGCGATGCGCAGCCGGACGAGGCTCGCAGGGCATTGGGTGCTGCTGCTGCTGCGACTGGCATTGTGACGAATGTTTTGAGACTGAGGGCTTCCAATGGTTCAATCCGCCAGCATCAATCCAGTCTGCTTAGATAGATATCCGGCGAGGCACAAAATTTGGGAAATCGGCAGCCACCATCCCGCTCTCTGATTGGACAGCCTTGGTCACCCGTTGCGCCACCGCTTTGTCGTTGATTTTGACTGCTGAGTCAGCCATCAGCTAACCAAAATATATGGAGAGCTTACCCTAGACATCTCAGTGCAGTGTCGATGGAATCGCAGTTTCTTCTCCAACTGGTTCCTATATAGCTCTGTGATTGAATAAAGGAGCCCTGAAGGAAAAGTGATATCAAGGCAGGAATAATTCTGGATTAAATAGCTGTCCTTTATTGCTCCAGATGGGGCACCATAAATCAACAATAAGAACAATGTTAAGTTAAGACATGCCACACCAGAATCGTTTTATTTTATAAGATTTGATACAACATTGACAACTATTGAATTTTTCAGACGTAACATCTTACTTCGCCGCGTGTTAAAAACCTTTCCATAATATTTCAATCGCCCTCTGCCAAGACCTCCCCCAAAACCACCTTCAGCTTTTCATGCACACTCACTCACCTGCATATTCACATGCCTCGCAACAAACACGCCTCCTCCCCTCTCTTCCTGCATCTCCTCCCTACTCCCCCCTGCACTCTTATAGCTAAACACGTTTTGAACAGCCACCTTGATATAAGCCTCACCCACGGCAAATCACATTACGCCAGCACTTGCAGCAAACAACGAATAAATAGTCGGTACCGTCCCTCAGTATAAAGCCGAGCTCGTGCATTAAACCAAGCCTTCCTTCCAACATCTGGCCGCCCGCACGGTCGCCTTAGAGCTGCCGCAAGGCCGAAAGCCTGCATATTAGCGAGTGAGGGGCGTGAGAACATCAAATAGCAGCAGCAGCAGCAGCAGTAAATCCCCCGGATCGCGTCAAGTCAGACCCGGAGCACAACCTACGGTCAAGTATCAAGCTAATGCACTTTAAGTTTTGTTTACCTACGGTATGTAAATATGTAACAAACGGGCAAACAAGCCAAAGAATGGCACCGTTACTTTCGATAGCTTCCTTTCAATCCTCCTCAGGTGACCCCTATTGCCCATGCAGGGCGAGGAAAGCAACTACTATCACATAGAAGCAAACACTACTACTAACACGGCACAGCGCAAAATCCTAGTACTCGCCACCCTGCATCGCTGGCTCTGCACGGAGGATTGCTTTTTGAAAAAAGTGCCCCGTACAAGTACATGTCAAATCGAAATAAATATTCTCCGGACGGCCGCTCCCGTTGCCTGCCTACGCTAGCTAGCAAGGCAAGGAGGTCAATACTAGGTAGTAGTAAGAGCAATTTCTGGTACCAGGTAGTAGTAGTACTACTACTAGGTAGTAGTAGCAGCAGCAACTGTACCCGTGTACCTGCACGAGTATGTAAGTCTCGCCCTACATATACGCGTCCACCACGTCCGGTACCAAGGTGGCATTCGTCCATGTACATGATTGGTGGTGATGCGTGCAAGCACATGCAGCAAGCCAGAGACCCTCTCGCAAACAATCAACACAACCGGATTACATAGCTTGGAGCCCGTCAAATTGGATCCCAGATGCCCACCGAAAGTGCCTGCTTTGGCCGAGTCCTCTCATGCTCCAACCCAGCTAACATCACAAGCAGGCAAGGAAAAGGAGGGAAGGATTGTAAAGTCATAAAGTGCAATGAAACCCTATTTGAAGCAAGGTCGGGAGAACTCTCTCCTCCCAGGCCGCTCGAACCCAAAGTTTCATGGCACGGACCAATGAGTTCAGAGTGACTTGTTTCATCTTGCGCCGATGTATGTCTCAGCTCCGGCTGAACACCTGGTCCTCGCCTGGTTACCGAGGAGGCTAAGATCTGGTCGTAAGCCTCCACTAACAGAAGAATAAAAAAGTAAAATAAAGTGAAACGAAGATGGGCAAATCGATAATGATTAACCATTGAAGCGAAACTATCAACCATCAGAGCACAATAAATCCGCATCACTAGATGCTGAAAACGTAGATAGAAAGAGCGAGAGAGGTAACAGGCACCGTACGCCTCGCTGCGCTCTCCCTTGGTAACCAGCTCACGGCTAGGCCAAGGCGAATAAGAATGGAACATACCGACCCATGCACTGACACGACGTGAATAGAAACATGGCGCCTCAGAACCACCTTTAGCCACTTGACCAGCCGGGATCCCGCGCTGCATGGCGTACGACAGCCGTACTCGCCGGGATCCACGTAGCACACTCGGCGCCGTCGAGTGCATCCGACTGGTGCACGTATCCATTGAGGCGTTTCCCCGTGCTTCGTGCGAAGTATATCGCTCCCACACAGAGGAGCTGCAGGGAAGCGCGTAAGAGAAAGGGAATCAAGGGATAGAGTATTCCCAAAAGGAAGAAACGGAAAGATAGAGCAAGAACTGTACAAGTTTTCCCTCAAGCACCGGAAGCAATTGTCCGCAGCAAGCCCTCTTCCTCCTTTATTGCTGCGCCGACGCTTGTTGCAACGGCTGTTGTTTGCTGCCTCTTCGCCATGCCTTGTCAACTGGCCAAGAAATGTTGAAGAATCAGTCATATTCTTCTGCAGTAGCAGGAGTAGCTAAGCACTTCCCTTGTTCTGATAATAGAACAAGAGTAGGTAGTGCTGTACCTAGTAGCAGTACTACTACTAGGTTACTATACCGCTAGTAATGGTCTTGTGTGCGTGGACCAAGGCCCGGCTCTCGGGGTTTTCAAGTCGCATTTGGGGTATCCGGGTTGGGCAGCTTTGCCTCTGGAGACTGACAGCTGGAGACAGGAATGCGGAGTAGCTCTGCCTCAAAAAGCAATGTGGACATATTCCCACAATTACCGGCACCTACCCATTTGGTGTTGTTCCCAACTCTGGTACTATACAAGCACATGCCAGGCGAGACTTCTTTTTTGTTTCTGTCGTTTTTCCTCTTTTATCCAAATAGCCCCATTCAGCCCTTCGTATGGAGTACATGGCGCAATGTCAGCGGACTGGGCCCGCAAGGAGGCGGCTGATACGGGTGGCATCACAAATGCCGGGGGTGGAGTATGCACTCGAAATAAAGGCTGCTCCGTACGAGTTTTTGAAGCTTGTACGAGTAGCATATCAGTGCAACTGCCTTGGCCATATTTTGTTGATGTCGTCTCATATAACGCCGCATATTACCTGTATTAGCCTAGGGATAACAATAACACACTGGACTCGTACAAGTGCGCCCAACAAACACATCGGAAATATGACCAGGGCCAATCTAGTACTATTAGTAGGTAGTTGAAGTAGTCGTAACAGCGGAATAAACCAACCTGACCTCCCCTCCTCCCATTGTGGCAGTGGGAATCAACGCTGAAAGATGACGTGTCTTACATCATCCTTCTGCTAAAATCGAGGGCAACGTGACATGAACTGATTGTCAAATGTAGAGAGGCTTTGTAAAATCGCAATCAATGGCTGAGCCAAAGTCTTTTCGCCTTCCCACCCCCCCATTTTGGGAGCAGCTCTTCCTGCATGGTATTGCCGCGGTGGGCTGCCTCGTTCTACTCGTGCAGCCCAATGCTGCTAATGGACAGCGCGGCAGACGAAATTGGATTCAGATGCATGGAATGGCGGCGGCTTTCGGCTACTGGATATTATGAGTGGTGCGCGTAGCCCGAATACTGCTGCTCCGTACTACTACCTCTTTCTTTCTTTCTTGCATGTGGCTGCCGCCGCCGCCCAGCACAAGCTCCGCTTTTTCCAGGGTTTGAACAAACCGCAAAAAAAGAGAAAGAAAACGAAAAGAAAAGACTAATAATAGCACTGACTTATTATGTAGGAGCTGGCGGAAGGGGAAAGAAGGAGACTTCGTTGAGGATTGGAATCGTCTTTCCGTACCATTCGACTCCATACTCCCTAGTAGTAGTATTATCCATTGTCGTGTACTTGGTCGGACAACGAACGGCCGCTACTCTACCTGGCGATGTTGACGTGTCTCGGCAATGTACTGTCCATGCATCGGTACCTAGCGCGCTGGTAGAGAGAGTTCCATTACGCCGCAGCTGCCGCTCCACGCCTGGTATCTGATCCAGCGTGGGGGTCTCTTCATCTGAGACCACTTGGTGGTACCAGAACGTTTCCTGCAAACCCGACTGGCCAGCATGGGCGTTGAGAGGGGGTTGGAGAGCTTGCCCCCCTTTTCCCCTTCGTGCTTTGCGCGTATGGAGAACCTGGTACGAATGGTTGGGTAGCAGGTAGGTATGTACTTGGGTACCTATAAAGCGGTCCGATGCTTTTCGATAATGGGAGGCACCCCATGTCGCTGCTGGGTAAGGGTGGTTGGGTTGTCCAAATGCCCAGCCATCCCAGCCATTCAACTCCATCCAAGAACAGCAACATACCTAATACAAGCACAAGCCCTGCCCTCTTCTCGGTGCCTGATTTGCATTTGCTAAACCAACATCGGTGTCAAGGGCTTGATGTTTGTCCATACTCATACCCGTGTACATACATAACTGGTGGCCATTATGGGCTGGAACAAGTCGCTTTTGTAGCCCCACAAAATGAGCTGTATACTGCTACTATACTTGTATGAGCAGTAGGTTGGTATTATTCTGGCGAGATGACACGAGCCGTGGCAGCTAGATGCCATCTCCTAGGCAGCAGTATTTTTTTTTTTTTACTGCTCTCGTGACAATAGCATAGCAGTACTGATAACTACTCGTAGCACGTTTTGTATATTCCCCTTTTCGCCGGCGCTAGCTTGCCTATCCGTTGGACAAAGCGCTTCTCATGACCTTCACTCCTCTCCTCTGGGATTCGCTGCGCGTTATGTAATCTGAATGGATAGCCTGGCAATAGCCTGATATCAAGAGCGAGGACAAGTCGGCTCCATTCGGCAAACTTATGAGAAACTCCTCGGTTCCACTCGGCGCTTGTGCTAGCAAACGAAAACATGGATGCCGGAGCTAGATGGACAAGGGTCTCAGAGCGAACACTTGAGAGTGTTTAATCGGAGTTTAGGCCCGTCGGCAAAATGGGACTCGACAGGGAATTGATGCTCGTGGTGTACTCCGTACTCGTACGAGAGCACAAGGAATATGCTATTGTATCATGTACATGCTCCCTGCAACCTGATGGGTGGCTGTTGAGCAGGTATGCACGTTGATATCCCAGCAGCCACACCATTACGTTTTCTTGTAGTAATATGTGCGGTACACAGCGCAGCATATCATCAATGCCACTGCTAGGTACTACCTATCGCAGCCAGGGAGCAACAAATCCATCATCAGGTGATATGTCTGATTTTGAAACAACATGTTGGCCTCTTTCCTTGTCAACGCACCGGCGTGTCTGACATGATTGTGGCAGTGATGACCTATGGCTGTGTATTTCTTTTTTCTTTTTTCGCGTTGCATACGAGTGTGCGGGCGCGAAACAGTTCACTTTGGCTAGCCGCTTTTCTACCTTTGGATGCTCTGGCTAGTGGTCAGCATCATCAAAAAGGGTCGTTCTTTGGCATGACAATGAGCGCGCTTGGCCATTGGGTTGGCCCTTGTTATACCTGTACGACCTATTTCCATGGCTTGACACCGCAAAGAGCCTTTTTCCCGCTTAGCACTGCAAATCGAACGAAATGGTTGCATGGCGGAATTCTCCTCAACGGCTCTCCCACGTGGAAAGCCTCCAATAGTAGCCGGGTCAAGGTGTCCACAGCCCAGAGCTACGCGTGCTTTTGCTCTCCAGGCCTCTTTTTAGCTCGTCCATGGCCAATCTGCTACTCTCCTTCGTACTACTACCTAGTAGTATGTAGTAGCAGTATCATAGCGTGAGAGTCTTGTTGTCGTTAGCTTCAACTAACACTAGCTTATTGTCACCGCTCTTCATTGTACCCCCCAGCCGCCGGCGGGATTTGATCCCCTCGGGGAATGTAGGAAGTTCTATACAGAGAAGCAGCCATGCTCCCGTCATAATGTCTGAGCTCGTAATATATCTCGTCCGGAGTACATTTCACATTAGGATGAGCCAAGCAGCCAAGCTCTAGAAAAAAATGGCGCTAGCATGGCCAGTATCCCTGCAATTTCGGGGTTATTTGGCGGGCCAGAACGTTGAAAGTGACGTCGAAGCAACTGAGATGGTTTCCTGCACGCCAAAAACTGCGAGGATCGAATGGTAGTGGCTATTTTGGGGTTAGCCCGAGCCTGGGATCCGTCGCAGCCGGCGAGAAATTGGGGCGTATCTTGATGAGCGGGAAAGAAGTTCGGCAACACTGGAGACACCCTCAGGACCAGGGTCTCAGGTAGATGGTACTTATATAAGCGACCAAGTCCGTCACCAACCCAGCTGCACATTGCGGCGATGGCAGTACTGTAGTCGCGCAATCACAAATGCCTGTTGCAGCGCAGTGACCGAGTGGTGGGAAATGAAGGGAAATGAGACGAACTCATTATTAATTTATTCATCACATTTGCTTTTCCTCCTTTTCACTGTCGGGTTTGGTCTTTGTTGTGGCGATACAACGCTTGATAGAGGGCCCAGGCCACGTTTCCTGTATATTTCGACGTGGATTGGGTTGACTGAGCCATCAGTGCCGCTAGAGGCTTGCAAGTGTGAAGCAGATGCTCAATGTCTCGTACTTGCCGTTGTGAGGGGCAGGAGAAGAGTTCTAAACACGTTGATACATGGCCTACTTCGTAATCCCATCCTAAAATAGAAATTTGCTTCCTGGTTGTGCGTGCGTGTGTGTGTGTGTGAGTGCGTGTGGCAGTTGCATCAATGCATGAATAGCATATTGTCCCAGTCTTACTCGTAATATGGAGACCCGTCCTGGTGCGTGTCATTGTGCATAATATCGTCAACGGAAAAAAAAAACACATGTATGTATGTACGGAGAGATGTCCGCTGTGGTACTGCTCGGATGCGGGCGTTGGTAGGCTATCAGAGGTCCTCAATCTTGATTCCAACGGATCTGACAACGCAGTGGAAATGGAGCCGATGGAGAAGTTCGGAACGGGCAGCCAACGTGACAACTCTCCACTCGTGCCACCGGTCCCGCTGCATCGCCAGGAACGTCGACCCCAATGCCGAAGTGTGTGGACAGAATGGATACCAGACGGCCACCGTGGTTTTCACCAGCGTTACACAAAAGGCTTACATAGCATTCGCGCGTTGAGATTCTCCCTCGATCGATCGGATCCCAGAAAGTTGGAGTCGACGTTGGCGCGCCAGGACAAAGAGGAAATACTGTAACAGCAGCCGCCCAGCCCCTCCCTCCAAACCAAGGACGCACCATTGATTCGCCAACTCTAGCATTAAAGCGCACGTCACTTATATTCCCGCCAGCCACAAAAAGAATGTCAATGGTTGTCATTCGGTTTCCCGCTTTGAGCAATTCCGGTTCCAGAAACACATAATAACGGGCAAGGATTTTCAACAGCTGATATGCGTGAATCGTGATCATGCTCTGGGATCGAGCGTTTAGCACCTCAGGTATAGAATACACCGTACGGCCATCCCTCATGCCCAAAACTGCGCGCGGGTATCAATGCGAATCTTCAGCACAAGCAAACTAAGCGGGCAGTTGTGTCACCAAACGCCGTCCCCTATACCGAAGCAGGACTCGCGCAGGGTGTGTGCCGTGTCGGGCCATCACATTGCATTTCTTACACCCGTTTTAATGCCTACAGGTGCTGGTAGTCATCTCAGGTAGCGAACAACTAGGCCGCCCAGACTTACTCGTATCTGACGACTCAGTGTATCTCGTTAGGGGCCACTTTGGGACCTGTCTTGTCTAGCCACCTGTCGCCGGCGATGGCTTGGATTTGGTCGCCGGCGGGCATGCTGCCTATTTAGGTCATGGCGTAAGAGAAATGGCATGCCAACTCTTCATTTGTCAGCCTAGCCGGGATGCCTCCATTGTCTGGATTTCAGGCCGCGCTAGTGGTGGGAATTGACTCGTTGCTGGAATAAGATGTGCATAGAGATGAGGCCAAAAAATCTGCACGTCAGGCGGTGAGGCGCAATGGTGTCGCAGCAGATTTGGCACTAGGCTGCTCGGGGAAAGCTCGGGAGGGGCACTATTGCAATCTTGGATATGTTACTTGTAAGTTGGAATAAAAAAAATTTAGGGAAAAAAACAGAGAGAGACAGAGAGGCAGCCGTGACGTAATTATGCGCGACCCTCATTAACCGCAAAACCAACGGGGCTTGAGCCACGGGCGCCACAACAATAATAGTTTTCGAAATTTGGCTCTAAACAATTTTTCTTCTCTGGTGGTTCTTCACACGGTTTCAGATCTGGCGAAGAGGCGAGCCAAACTAGCACTGGCCGAACGGAATCCGTGACCGATCCAACGCTTGTCGAATCTCTCTCTTACAATGTGTTGTATGTATACACCCTAGTCTCGTTAGTGCACAAATATAGTGTCTTCAAGCAAGTCTGTCCGTTTAGAGGAGCCCGCTACGGATAAGAGAACGGAAAAGGGAGCCAGAAACCCCCCTGTTGCCAGGCTGGCATGGGCTTGAAAGGCGCAGAAAAAAAAAAAAATAGAGCGAGACATAAAAACTTGACAAGCAGTAAAAAAAAAAAAAAGGGAAAAAAGAAAAAAAAAAGAAAAAGAGGGAAGACGCTGTCTACTAGGGTTGCCTCCGCGGACAATTCTCGCAATGGCACGGCTGGTTCTCTCCTGAGCCCCTCGGCCGTTGTCCGACGAGGCGTTGGTCCTATCATATGGTAGGGAAGCTAGGGGCGCATCAGCCAAGGTCATCGTCTTCATGAGAAATCCGAGACTGGGTGAGTGCGATGCGGTCCGGTCGGCATTTAAGAGGCGCCACGGAGATGGGTATACCGCTTTTCGAAGCCCTCATACTTGTATGTATGTGCGATCGTGGATTCCAGTCAGGAGCCGCAAAAAGCTAAAGCGAGGCGTTGACACCCGGGCCAACGAATCTACACGAATCTACCTGGGGGCGAGAAACGGGGTCCTCCAAATCTGCGTCCCTCAGCGGGAAGACTCCACTACTCATGGGCTCCAGAGCTTCTGGAGTGCACGTCGAAGCTTTTTGGGCTCTCTGCCCAGCGGATCGCTACCGCTGAAGAGTGGACGCAAGTAATGGAGCGAGCATGGGCCTGAGGCCACTCGCGAGGGAACTGAAAAAGAGGGTGTGGCCTGGGTCCACCAAGATCTGTCCTCTGTGGATTCGATGTCAACTGCGAGGCCGTGGTTTATACATAACCATTGGCCGCTGCCACTTGGCAGAGCAGGGCAGGGGGTACTTTGGAAGGCGCTTGCACTTGTCGACGCATAACGGTAATGATTGGTGCATGTGTCATAGCCAAGTTGCGTTTCTGCCGCCTTGATCGGTCCGTATAGTAATAGGCCTCGTTTTGTAATCCGACAAGTGCTGAGATGGGACAGCTACACAGTACGCGGCGAGAGAAGCAAGAGATGACGTGATCTCCAGCGAATGAAGCCCGATGCAATATTTGGGATGAGCGAGCATTTCGGCTGGTGGGGGGGTAGCTGTTGATCCTTTTCTTGCAACACTACTACCTGGAATAGCACGTAGTACCAGTACTTCATCCTCGCACGAGCGGAATTTTTTCCCTAATTAGTAACTTCGTGCAGAACTCCCTTTTCAATGCTCCGAGGTCGATATCCCAGCAGTATCTCATATATCGGACCGGAATCAAAACTACAGGCGCACTAGGTACTGCTACTAGGTAGTAGTACTCATATTAGCATGTTCTTGCTTGACTCGTGCGCATAGCTGCTTATAATGCCAGCTGTACAGTAAGGGACGTTGTGCTCCGCGCTGCATACTCTGTCTGGTATATTGTAGCCCAAAGGTTTTGCAAGCGGAATGATAGGCCTTGCGCTTCGGCCCCAAGAAAGAGAAGCAGAAAGAAAAAAAGAAAGAAAGAAAGAAAGAAAGGGCTGATTTGGAGCCAAGATTGCGCTAGCAGGGTGTTGTAGAGTATTGCAGCTGATCTCCCTTTGTCAGAATCCTTTTGTGGTGAAGCGTATTAGTGACTTGGCCGTCTCCTTGTGAGTATTGCCCGACGTCCACCAATCAAACCCATGATACGCGTCTCATGGCGGGAAAATAGCACTCTTCCCTTGATCTAAACAGGCATTTTTGATAGTCATGTGATGCAGAAGAGGCTGATAAATTCGTACCACATTAGCGGTGATACCCTGCGCAGCTGTATTTTGACAACCCGCGTGATGCGGAATTCGAGCGCTGTTTCAAAGTGGCATTGGGCATTGCTTTGATGTCCATGGGAAGCAGTTGTTTCTATCCTAGTATGGAGTGCTGCATAGATACAAAGTATGGCTAGCACTTGCAGCTTTGAATGGCCACACATACACAGTATGCACCACGCTAGTACAGGTAGTAGGATTGCATTGACATTAGGCATGTAGGGTCTGCTGTGCCATGCCATGCACGGCTAAGGTAGTCGATTTTGATTAGCACGCTGTGAAGGATGTGTAGGTGCAGCATCGAGTCCAAAGTAGGTTGAGCAGAGCTGGCACTTGGTTGTATCCGACCAGGTTAGCAGTGGACGAGACAAAGGACGAAAGCAAGGGGAAGGAAACAGGCTAGTGTTGTGGCTAAGCCATCGCTATAGCTTGCATGTCACCGTACGAGAGCCCTGATCCCCTACTGGGTGGTAGACTCGTACGAGGGAATACGTTGCTCGGTAGCCGGGGATGAAGAAACGACTGGGCCGCTGAGAAGCAGATTGATAATAGGTATACAAGAGCAAACGCCGAGTAGGTTCGATACGGCACATAGCGACGTCGGCCATTTTGATTGACCGCCGGACCGCTGTCTATGAGGTAATTAGGGAGCAGAATGTGCTGCCGTGACTGAGAACGAAACGAGAAAGATGCAGCAGCATAAGAGAGTTGGCTCAAACGAGGTTGCAACAACGAACTTTTTGCGTGCCTCGGATTGAAAAGGATGCAGCCAGCAGGCCGTCTCTGCTATTGCCACGGAGGGAGGTAGATTCCAAAACAAGCACTCATTCATTGTAAGTTAAGGCATATCGCCGATGCCACTACCATGTTTGGGGAGTGTGTGCGTGCTATGATATGGTAATGGTGATGGTGATGGTGATAGTGACGATGATGACGATTGTGCTGCTGCTGCTGATGCCAATCCAGCTACTCGTATAGTCGTAGTAGGTATTGGCTGCAAAGAGGTTTGGGCCTGTTCGGTCTCTCGCTCTCTTTGGGTTCCCATGCGGCCCGTGGCTTGAGCATACTGTACATTGTCATTGTGCCATGCCATATTGGTACATGCCATGCTGTCCCATGGCATCCCAATACCCGGATGTGGTATGTCGTACAAAGTAAGATAGACGGGATAAACGAGCACGTCAGGCGCCGCACACGGTAGCATTGGGATGCCACTTGGCAGTGCCCTCACGACACAGCAGCTAAGAGAGATAGCGCGTCCTCGTACAAGTAGGGAGCAGGCTAGGGAGAGCGATATGGAAGACATGGGGATATTACCAGCGCAATCCGCGTCTATTTCTCAGACAGACAACTCACACCAATGACAATGGCCAGGGCCTTGGCCGCAAGCAGGGCCAGAAGAAATGATCGCTTCTCGCTGAGACGAGTCGTGTCATGAAAGACACCCCCCGAACATCGGCACCGTCTGCCGCCAACGTCCATTGACGACCAGAGATCCCTGTTCGTTACGCGAAAGAGCAAAAAGTGCCGCCCCCTGGTCGAGGCGCCGGGATCATTTGAACCCTGAGTAGCTTTTTGGAACCTGTCTTTGGCCAATTTGCCATCAGCGCAGTGCGCCGAGACAAGGCGGCTGGGAATTCGCTCGCGAAGAACGGCATCACATCACATCAAAATGACAATTGCGCCGTGTGTTGGGTGGAAATGAGCACTGGCGCTCGCCCTGCTTTTCAGTTGGCGCGAGTTGATAAACTTTGCTGGCGCTACGTAGGTGTCAATACCAAAAGATGATGCCCAAGGCATCGATGCTGCAGCGAGTATACATCGGAGGTACCTGCTGCCGCCTGCGATAACGGCTGGATGCGGCAGGTGTGCGGCAAGTACCAGTACTGGCCGTGCTGCTTAATTGATCATCCGGTGGCGGTAGGTCGCCAGACTAATCAAGAAACGAGAGGAAGGAAAGGTGCGTGCGAGCGACTAGCCCCGTGCGCAAAGGCCGCCGTAGCCCCGACGGGAGCTGTGTGTACGAAAAACTTCGGAAAGGGCGAAGGCGACGGCCACGGCGAGGCGGCAGAAGCGCTGCTATTTTGATGCCATGTACGAGTACGCGGCGTTGTGGCTGCTGGGATGAACTGTGGTGTGTCTGTGGCAAGTGATGCGCAAATGCAAAGGCTGCTGCAGCAGCGCCGTAAAAAGCAAATTCTTCCTAGCGGGAAACTTTATACGGCCCAGTGCTCAACTGGCGCTTTGTCTGGGACATGTTTTATTGCTGCAAGCAGGCAGATAGTAGGTAATACGTTGAGTATATGATGCTGATACTGCCGTTAGAAGTAGTATTACAAACTATTACCACATATGATACTGGGCTGCAGCAGCTATACGGCCGTAGAAGCTTGTTTTCATAAAACTATAGAGGTATATATATATTTTGTCTTTTTCGATCCAGTAATTGGCCGACGCGTCAAGCACAAAGTATCGGGTACCGCCAAGTCTACTGTATGGCGACTAGCGCCCTAATCCCTTCTCCCCTGCCCGTCTTTTCTCCGGCCATCTAGTCTTTTTTTTTTTTTTTTTGACGTGACGAACTCGAGCCTACAAGTACTCTTTCCTTTGAGACTGAGCTTTTGCCGACTTTTTTTCCCGGCTTTCTTCTTTCCTCCTTCATCCCTCTCAATCTTGCTGGGGCTGATTATCTGGCTATCTTTTTTGTCTTTTTCGCCCTTTGATCCCATCTCGATCTCATCTCGTGAGCAGAAGCTACAGCATATTGGAGTTCAGCCGCGGCATTGCTACGGACGGTGAGTGCACAAAAAGAGGGCCCCTCAATGGCCGTTCCGTCCCTTTTCTGCCTTCTCCAAAAAAGACCACAAAAAAAAAGAGCGAGAGGTCAATCCTCCTTGATGCTGGATCCCCTCCCACCTCCATTGCCCCAGAACCCGAACCCTTCCTTGCTCTGCTATTCCCGTCCCCATCCTGCTAGGCAGTACTCTACATGCCGCGATGCCTCACCCACATCCCAGCGCTGCATTCGCAATGTTTTCCCAACGTTCAACGCCCTCCTGTGTTTTTCTGCTTGCGGCCTTCGCGATGCCACCTGATAGCGATAGCGCTGCCCTTTGCTTTGCCCCACTCGCCACCGCCCGCTGAACGACCGCTACGGCACAGCAGCTGCGTCTGCCAACGTTCCGCTGCAGCGCACTGTACTCGCTGCGTTGTACCGGTACAAGCGCTGGCACCCTACTCGTACCCCACCCTGCGCTTTCGGCATCCTGGAAAGGTTCTTGTTGCCACTCCACCCTCCCCTTGCTAGCGCGTTGTTTTTTTTTTTTCCCTTTCTCACACACCTCGCCCCACTTCGCGCTCGACCTTTTTGGCACTTTTTTTTTTCTCTCGCTTTTTCCTGATACAATACTTTTTCTTTGTACCTGACAGTTCTTGCGCTCTCCAGGGCAGATAAAATAGGAACGAGACCCAGTTTCTCCACCCCACTCGACTGTTCCCTACCTAACCAACTTTCTCAATTTGAGGGACCTGTTATACTGAGAGCCTCATCCAATTGACCTCCACCTTCCCCAGAGCCTTTCGCAACATCACGCGTGGGCCTCATTGAGAGTTGAGAAGAAGAATTGCAATCCTCGTCTTTTATACTCGTGACGAACACACTTCGTCGCCTTCCGAGTCGACCAACGCCAATTCCTACTTCGCGCACTCGCTGTCTCTCCCTCCCTTGAGGTAGTAAGAGGACAAGGACAAGAACAAGCACAAGAAGAAAAAAACACACGTCTTCCATCTCGACGCGTCTTCTCACAAGATTATGGACGGCCCTCAATACCCGACCAATGGTGTAAACACATCTGCGGCTCAAACATACCCATCACCCACGGCCATCTCGCCTCACCAGCTTCAAACTGGTTCTCCTCTGCCGCAGACGCTTCCGCCTCTGCAGCCCCATACCGTCGCCATGCAGCCTCTCTACGGCAGCCACCCGCATACACCGCGAACTCCGGGCACTCCAAACACTCCAAACCAGAACCTGCCCAGTTACCAGCAGCAGACCTCGCAGCCTGGCCACCGTCCTGGCATCTACTCCATGGCCCAGAACCCGTACCCTCACCAGGGCTATGCTACCTCTGCTGGTATGATGCCTCAAGCCACCACTGCCGTCTCGCATCCGCAGCCCATTGCTCCTGCGCCGTCTGGTGGCCGCGGACCTCCAGTCCTGCGCCCCATGCCCCCCGGTGGCATTATGCCCCAGCCCGGTGTAGCCTCTCCCTACGGCCCTGGTTCTCTCATGCAGCCCAATTCCATCCTCCAAGATGGTGAGCAGCCCACCCACGTTGTTGGATCTCAGGGTCGCCGAGGAATCCTGCCTAGTGCTCCTGGACGCCCTGCTGCTCAAGCCGCTGGAACTGGTGCGAAGAACACTGTTATTCCCGTCAAGGATGCTGATGGAAAATTCCCGTGCCCTCACTGCACCAAGACTTACCTCCATGCTAAGCACTTGAAGCGCCATCTCCTGCGTCGTAAGTCCTATATTTGCATCATCAATCTCGCGTGAATTCCTTGTGTATGCTGACTATACACTCTAGACACTGGTGACCGCCCCTACATGTGTGTACTCTGCCGGGATACATTCTCTCGAAGCGACATTCTCAAGCGTCACTTCCAGAAGTGCTCTATTCGCCGTGGCAACCCCACCGGCGCTAGCCATTTGTCCCACCCGCAGGCTCACGTCAAGAAGAATGCTCAGGCTCAGCAGAAGGCAGCTCTTGAGAACGGAGGAGATTTGAACCACTTGAATGGATTGGGTAACATGGGTGGAAACAACATTGTTCATCCCTTTGGTATTGTTCCCGTTCAGGATGGCATGAACGGCATGGCTGGCGACCAGAGTCAACTCTCCAGGTCTAGCAGCATGGGTAGACTTGATAATGATGCGGACCGGAGGAACATGACTGGGCCTGTAATGGGCGCCTCGCAGCAATATGCGGGCGACGTTTCTAGCACCATGACCAATCAACAGATGCCAAACTACAGTATGCCCCCTGGCCAGAATGGTATTCCCATGTACGGCGGTTCCAACCCGAACCAACAGCCTGGCCTTGATTGGTCTCAGGTCTTCCAGCCTGGTGCGCATCAACCTCAGATCCATCCTCCTAATTCAGCCCCTAATCATGGACAGACGCAGACCGAAATCAAGGCCGAGCCTAATCTGGCCGGTTAGAAGCCAGAGCCGAGTCCACATGATGATGACCCCCCCGCCAGCCGATCTGGAGTATGAATAATCTCTTAGCATTTTCAATCCAAGTCTGGATTGTGGCCCTTCATCTAGCCTCCATTCCGCAGCTGTATGAGAAGCACGGAAAACCGAAAACCTGGGCTGAGCGAGCTTTGAGAACAAAGAGATCCTTGTACCCATTTCGAAAGCGGGGATTTCTGGAATTCACCAAACTGCACTTTCAACTATGCTAGTTGTTTTAAGTCGTCTTCGTCTTTGTTGGAGAAAAAAAGGTTGCAAGACAAAAAAAATTTCCCCAAAAAATTCCCCAAAAAAAATCGAGGGTTGCATTGAGAGGCGTTTCGATTTGATTTTATGTTTTCTTTTACGGTTTGGTTTTTTCTAACGTCTTTTCTTTTTATTTTCTTTTTGGTGTGAGAACGCAACCGATGGAACCGCGCATATGGGCGACTCTATGAGCGACAAATCCATTCGGCTTGCTTTGCATACATGAGGGTTCGGCTTCGGTGGCGTCTTGTGTGCTGCAAATTGCATTTTCAGTACGGATAGATAGGGTGTGGAGTTGACTTTTATTAGACTTCGATCCGACATAGAAGGGAGGAATTTTGGCCGGCTGTGATAGTTTCCTGGTACGCCATTATGATCTCGTGGACTTGGTTATATAATGAGTATTGTTCCGTCTTGCGTTACCAACGCTAGATGGGCGACGTGGAGGATGGTGGAAAATTAAAAACAAAATGGGGGTGGAATTGGATGATGGGAGTGGAGGATGAAAGGTTGGCAAACTGTTAGAGACTATGTAAAAATGGAAGAGCCCCCTGATGGTCAAACAGGGCAGAACGAAACAGAACGATAGTCATCACAATAGAATCAGTTTTTTCACAACATGGCATCCAGCAATCCAGCATTTTTCTGACTTAGTTTTTTATGTGATTCGCTGACGCTGTATATACCTATTTACATGTGCTTCTATGAGCTTCAACTATTGTAAAATGCCACTTTGGTATCATTAACAAGGCTTGTATAGAGTCTTAACAGCGACTTAGCTGTAAGTATTTTGGGAGACTAGAGATAACACAGAAGTGCTGCTCATAATGACAACGGCTAGTGAGAGTGACTGAGAAAATACGAGACAATGCGTATGAGATGGTGAAATCAAGTATAGAAGGCTCCCATCTTTTGTCCTTCAACGCTCTTGACTTTTGTCCACGCTTGTGATTTTCGGCGCCATCTCACGCAGCGCAGATCTGTCCTCTTCCGTTGGCGTATATCCAAATTTCTCCTCGGCTTTGTCGGACAGGTAGAGCCCAGCACAGCCCCAGGCGATGATGGCAACACCGACGCCGAGACGGGTCTTGGGGGCCAGATTGGTGTAAGCCCTGTAAAAATTGGGAAGGGGTGTAAGTGAAGAGTTGATATGCTTTGGGGGGGTAACTATTGCTATGATGATATGGCCCACTTGAACATTTTCTTTTTTTGAAATCTTTTTCCTTCTCGAAGATGTTGAGAATGGATAATGTGGCTGAATAAGACAATGTACTGAGTTTGAAACTCGGTTGGTATCTCGGCTAACCAAGTAACAGGCAATGAAGCCAAACAAATGGACAAGTGTGAATATTGGATATACAGTTTAAAATGACTGCATGGCGTTGGAAGTTCCGTAAAATGTACTTGGTGACGAGAAAGAAAACGATGTCGTTGAGAATGGAGCTGGTCACATGACATGTTTCTCCATGGCTCATAAGCTTGTATCCCTTAGCGCCAATGCTGAGAAGAATGGCTTATAGCCCGCTAAGTAGATACTTGAACTGAATCAGACTCAGAAGACAGACGTTGATGAGCCTAATTTCCTATTGTAATGCGGAAAAGCCGTGAATATCGACAGCTGGATGATGTTGTAGTATTGAAAGGGCCGAACTGAAACAAATGTAGGTGACTTGTGATGGTCCGACATCAAATCACGGTCATGAGATGAGAGTTTCCTCTGTGAGGTGAGGCTGTGAGACTTGTTCAATCTCGGCCTCATTATTGCGCAAGGTTTCGCCGATGATGATGGCAATGCGCTTCAAAATAAAAATAAAAATAAAAATAGATAAAGTGTTTAATATTGTGGGAAAATTCAGGGCGTTGGATACAACGGACTTTTTTTTTTTTTTTTTTTTTTTTTTTTTTTTTAGGTGCGCCTAGGCAGGTATGAAATTGGGTACAAGCAAATGGAGTACATAGACTTACTCTCCAAAAAGCCATGATATCGTCCTCTAGAGAGTCATTTAGACAATGTAGAAAGACATGTCATTTAAGAGGTGTAAACGTATGAATATTTGTCAGTTTCCTCGGAATGGAAGTTTAAAAATAAACAATTTCTGTTTAATATGCTTGGTCGTAGCCTCTGAATTAAGTTTAAGCCTCAACCGCGGCCCAGAAGGCTTTCTCGTATTTCCCAAAGATCAACGGAAACAAAAAAAATAAAAAGACAAGATGAACGTAAGTGGGAGGTAAGGGGCGTCAGCTACTGTAGCTACAGGCCACGAGGCCAAAGACGACGTCCCGGAAGGCAAAGGTGGCTGAGGCAACAAAAACAACTTTGATATACATGTATCTTTCTTATCAGAGGCGCAACGTGGAAAAGTAAAGCAATCGTATTTTAGAGTAGGATCGGAGGGGCTTATCATGGTTAGATTTGATAGTTTGGGATTCTGTCCTTTTCCATTGCATTTGTCTTGTTTTTTTTTGTTGAGGACCCTGTCCAGCTGACTCGGCCACTGACTTTATTTTACTAGCTTAGATAGTGTAAGTTAGTATAAGATTCCCTGGTTCCTATAAAGAAATTAAACATCTGCAAGTTGCACTGCTACTAATCCGAATTCGACCATCGCCAGAAGGGAGAAGAGCACGGAGATACTTCAGTGTGAAAGCCTAACTGGAGAGGACAGATAAAGCCGGCAACTAGATCGCCTTTGGTGCGGCGATAGCTGCATAAAGCGCCTGGGCTATTGACTGCGCGAGGGAGGGGGGACTCATCCCTTCCAACATGGGTACTAGGTGGCAGTATTGTATATTAGCAGGAGAGGCTGCCTAATTTAAATTGAGTGGTAGCACAGAAGAGATTGCTTCTGTTTTACTGTTTACCATTAGGGGTATGCATGTTTCGTCACATTCTCTTGGCTTGGCAATTGTCGTAGGTAAAAAGGTATCAGAGTCGTACAAATTTGAAAAGAATAGAGGAGACGAACGCTTATTCTTGGGCTGGCGGCAGAGGCTTGATCCTCTGCAGATAGGCCCATGTCGCTATTTTACTTTGGAGAAGCAGTAGCGCCATTGCCTGTTGCTCCATAGGTACTACTTGTTTGTTGCCATCTCCCAACGAAGCGGCGGACTGATCTAGTCGTATCTGATCTCGGGAACGCGAGCGAGAATCCAGGGCTCGTTGGCGCAAGCGAATCTCATCGATCGGCCTCGTCTGTTGCTCTAACCACGACAATAGCGCACCAGGGCCCTCTTTTTGACTGTTTGACGGGTCCCCACGAGTTAGCAGCATTTTCGCGGACATGGATCCCAGGGCCATCTGTTTCTCGCTCTCGCTGTTGTTTCCCGCGCTCTAGCAGCCCTATTGCGCCCGTGCTGCACGCAAACGCCTTTGCTCAATTGCGCGTCCCATAATTAATTCTAGTTAAAATGGCTTCCGTAGCTATCTGGGTGGCGATCGGGGGTTTAACTGGATAGCTCGCCCTGCAATGCGACGTCAGTATCACCCGAATAGATGCGCTAATCGTTTGATATGCTGAACAGGGGAAGAAGGAGAGCGAAATGCATAGAAGTCTCCTGGCCCATTTTCTCCTTTTTAGAGAGCAAGAACAAGAGCAAGAGTGAGGGCAAGAGTGAAAGTGAGCGTGGTGATGAATGAGGCGAAGTGCATACAAAGGCCTGTGCTTTAATGAAGAGCTCATTCGAGTGGAGCCGCATGCGAATCACTCGTGTATGTATGTATGGATGTGCGTGCAAGCATGGCGAGTGGAGATGCACGCTTTTGGAGCTGAGGAGCTCAGAAGCTTTTCCTGTCCCGCCCCCAGGTTGCTGTCTGCCGGCCATTGTCTACTGCAGAGAAGCCGCCGGCCTGATGAATACGAACGTGTGACGACTCAGATCAGACCAGTTATTGCGACGATGGAGGAGGGGGGAATGAACGAAGGCCCCGCCGTTGATGGCGAATGCTGATCGGTTCTCAATGCCTTTAAGCAGCGTGCCGCATGTAGACGAGATTGGCGGAGGAAGACCAGCCCCTGTCTGAGGCTCGAGTCGGCTGCAGCCACGAAGGATTGATGAAGGGCCGTCGGTTTGGCAGCCTGCATTTTGTACGACGATGCTGCCGCGGTGGGAGACCACTTCTAGATTTTAGTACTAGGATTAGTAGCAGCAGCAGCAGCAGCAGTAACAGTAGCAGCACTTTTAGTACTCGCAAGCTGCAGGCAAAAATGCGGAGAAGAGATTGCTCTGCCGTACAAAGGAGCACTGCTGCGATGCACGAGCGCCGCGAGGCTGAAGTCGGAGATACTTGCTCCACGCAATCTTGTCTCAGTTTCCTGTGGTGGCTGTCTCAGTGACGCCACGTACCACCAGTCGGAGATTGAAAGGCGGAGAGGCGAGAAAAACAAACAAACAACACGCTTGTGTGTCTCTGAAACGAGAGGCATTCCGCTGTGCTTCTCATCGGCATCTGTCTGCCATTGTCCCATCGTATGCACGCAAGCTCACCATCGTCGTCATCATTACCAACGCTGCTTGCAAAATAGCAGCCCAGCCAGTGGAAGACTGTTACTGCTACTAGCTCTCTAGCCCCCCCTGTATCCTCGTCGTCCTCAGGCCTACTTTGCCTTAGTAGTCCGCTACTTTTGTCTCGTAGCGGCTTTCCAACCCCTGGGGCCTGGCGACGGCGAGCCACTGAACGCCAACCCAACTGGGCGCCTTGTGGCCGGGGCCTAGTCCCAGGCGGCCCAATCGCTGGGCTCAGCTACGCCTTGGTAATGGATGCGGCGCTGCAGCCGGCCATGCACTAGCAGGTTTTTTTTCTGTTCAATTTTTTTTTTTTCGTCCTGTGTTACGAGCCGGTAGCGTCACGACTAGGTGACGAGTAGAATTAGCGCGTGGGTTGACACCTCTGGAGCCAGATCCGGGCCCGCGCCCGGTGCCACCCAAAGAGCCTGGAGCCAGGGCCCGAGAGGCTCTGAGGCTGGGCCTGCTTTAGTGTTCTAGTGAGGGAGCAGTGCATGTCAGCGCTGGGCCGTTTAGTGATAAAGGCTGGAGCGTGCCGGCTGGGAGCTTGGACTCCAGCGCCTGAGACCTTTTCCTCCCTACTTGATCTTGCTCGACTTGTGCTCGTCAATCCTCCAATCCACCCTCACCCATCGCCATCCGTCGGCTTCATCAGCGTCGACATCCACGGCTTGGCTGATGCTGTCCGCGTCGCCCGCTTTTTTTTTTCTTTTTTTCCCTCCTGGCGGTTCGCTTCCTTTCGCTTCACCATCTTCTGTTGCGGTGACGGCGCTTACGCCCTGAACGGCCGAGAGAGGCGGCCCCTCCAACCCCCTTTCGAGATTCACAGCCATGCAGCGCGTTTCTGCTTTCCTGCCCTCGTGGGAGAAGAGGAATTCCGGCAGCAACAAGACCGGGACCTTCTTTGGCCGGAGAGCGTCGCAGCCTCCGCCTCCCAATGGCCTGGCCAAGATCAACACCGAGACGGCGAATCTGGGGGCCAAGCGAGTTCAGCGAGAAGCCTTTTGGCCTGCGACGCTAGACCTCGAGTGCGATAAAGCTGCCCGTATTCTCAAATCGTTTTGTGGTATGTGTATATCCCCCCCCCCTTCTTTACTGCTTCTACTTGGGATTTATTCGTTCATTCTACGTCTCGAAATTGAGTTTAGGAAGAAGAATGCTAATTGGATTGGATTGGCAGTGGATGGCTACTTTGCCCCTACCGAGAACGACGCGCCGGCGTCTCCGTCTTCCACTTCAACAGGCATCAAGACGCTGGACCAGATCCCCAAGAAGATCCCTAGACGAATCATACAAAATGCCGCTGGAATTGCTGTTTTTACATGTATGCGAAGCGGCCTGTGGATGACTGGTTCGGGCGGCTCAGGCATCCTGATAGCTAGAAAGTCCGACGGCACCTGGTCTCCGCCTTCTGGCATTATGCTCCACACCCCGACTCTCAGCTTCATCATCGGCGTCGACGTCTATGACTGCGTCCTGATCATCAGTAGTCATACTGCACTCGAGTCCGTCACTAGGCCACGCTTGACCCTGGGTGAAGATGTAGAACTCCGGGCTGGAGAGACGGTCTCGCTCGGCTCTGAGGAGATTGAGATCAATTGGAAAGAGCTGGGCAATACCGTGCTGACGTACATGAAAGCTCGCGGCCAACAGCAATCAGTCAATCTATATGGATGCATGTTATCCGAGCGCAGCAACGAAAATGAGCGCTTTTACGCTTCTGACGTCACCCACATGGATATCCTCGCTGGAAACGTTTCTCGAGATGTCGAAGAGACGACTGCTTTGAACGAGGTACTTAAGATGGCCGAGGGAAGAACTGACTACGACTCGTCCATCATCAACAAAGTTGCCGCAGAGCCGGCACCGAGTGATGCCTTGATCACATCAACCCCTCCGAAAACGGCATCCATTCCCTCGTCTCCTCACTCTTCGTTTGGAGTTCCTCAGGCTGATGATCCCGATCCCTTTGGTATTTTGGCGCTGGAAATGGCCGGTCTTGAAATCCGCGAGGCTGGCTCTCGCATCCGGCCGACTAGTAGCTTATTTGATATGAACCAGAACCCTATGAGCCCTGTTGCTTCGTCCAAGTTCAGCCGGCAGAGCATGGATACCTTTGTATCAAAAAGTAACCGAGGAAGCTATGTGTCAATGCGAACTATTAGGAGCCAGGTTACTGATGCCGGTACCCAGACTGATACGGGCATCACCCCAGAAACGTCCCCGAGCCCAGGTCCTAGTGGTGGCAGTGGACGAGCTTCTCCTGCTTACATTCCTGCGGTGAAGGAAGAGGACGAGGAAGAGGAGGAAGAAAAGATAGAAGAGCAGCAGCAACAGCAGGAGGAGGAGGAGGAAGAAGAAGAAGAAGAAGAAGAAGAAGAAGAAGAAGAAGAAGAAGAAGAAGAAGAAGAAGAAGAAGAAGAAGAAGAAGAAGAAGAAGAAGAAGANGAAGAAGAAGAAGAAGAAGAAGAAGAAGAAGAAGAAGAAGAAGAAGAAGAAGAAGAAGAAGAAGAAGAAGAAGAAGAAGAAGAAGAAGAAGAAGAAGTGGCTATCCCTCCTAAATCTGAGAATAGACTCTCTAAGGATGTAGCCGTTGGCCCTGACGCTGTTGATGAAGACGAGCTAAGCCAAGGTGATACCGAGTCTCTCTCAGAGAGCCTTCGCCGTGAAGAAGATGCATTGAGCCACGGCGAATCAAGTGAAGAGGAGGAGCTATACGAAGATGAAGACGAGGAAGACGACAGTGACGAGGAATTTCATGATGCTGATGATGAAGACGAGCCTGTGGTTTTCGAAGTCGCTGCGGTACAGCGTACTAGCACACAGATGCGCTCCTCCGGCATGATCCAAGCTCGAGGTAACGTGGTGACCATCGCCAAGAGGGTGCCTCCGCCACTGCCTACACGCAGCCCGGCCAGAATGTCACGCATTGCCAAAAAGGATGCTAGCGGCGAGGGAATCGATCTGCAAAGTCCCCTGAGCCAGACATTTAGCAGTGATGGCGATCTGGATAGCCAGGACGCTGATGCCGAGAATATCGAGGCTGTGATGGCGAAAGAGGAGCAACAGCCGGAGACTGAGCATTCTGAAAGCGAGAAAAGCGAGAAAAGCGATGCCGTAGAGAAGCCCCATCATCAGGCTGAAGCCCAAGAGGATGATGCGTCTGATGTTGACGAGCTAACTGCCGATGAGACCGAGTTGGAAGCGCACAAGGAGGAAGCCCTTTTGGGCGAGCCCCACAACGAGCAAGCCGATAACTCGGATGCGGCATCGAACAAGAAGAAGCACACCTCATCCATTTACACTGGTGTGACTGAGGATCGCTGGAGTTGTGACGGATCATCCGTCACCACGCCCACCTCTGAGCGACGATTCTCCATTACCGAAGACAAGATTACCGATGATACAACCAAGAAGACTATTCAAGAAGAAGTAGAAGAAATTAACGACTCCCCTTCTGCGCCCACCGAAGCTGCACGCACCCCCGTGGCTGTAGCAAATTAAAGAACGAACCAACTCGAACACGCGACACGACGTCATATGGCATTCATTACCCAGCAGCCAAGTAAACGGTTACATGACATTATCATTGCTATTTATTATCCGCACTCTCTTTTTACATGTTTCTTTACCACCTTCGTTTTTTTATGGATATCGACTAATAATTGGCATGGCGGATCTTTACTGGGATAAAGCTCTTTATATCATATCGAGATATATACGGGCGGCGCTGTCAGCTTCGAGAAAGGAGCACTTGCTTGGGACTATTTTGATGAAAGAAAAAGATGTTAGCGGCGTTTGTGGACTTGGGGAATGCGATTTTTTTTTTCCTTTCTAATATCATTATATATAGATACAATGCGTTCTTTATGCGATTGCATAGAGCGATGATGGGAGTTGCAAATTGCAGAGGTTTGCTGCTGGGAAACAACTTTTATTTTTCTTTTTGAATGTATGATTATGATGGGAGGGCCATCGACGGGGGTCAATTATGTCGCAAACAGGATACATACTGCATACGCGGCGACCATTAGCTTATTTCATTTGGAATCTCCAAATATCTTCTCTGTTGGTAATTCTAATCGAAGAGAATGACAAAAAGGGTTTGCTGTCTTATGAAATGCTTACCACATGATTGTGAGAAGTATTCGCCATGTGAATAAGTAAACTACTACGTACCTAGTTACCAGTATCAAGGCAACTTCCAACAACTACGCTTTCCTTGACGATATTTTTTTGGATTTCAAATTGACAAAGTAGGGCAAACGTGAATGCATGAAGCCGTAGATATGGAGCCCGATGACGGACAGCTGCTGGCCGTCTTGACGGGAGCTGGCAGCTGGCTGTGTGAATGGCGGCCATAAAAGTTCTGCTATTTTCTCTCTTCTTCTTTCACAAATTGACTCTATATTCATTTTCTCTCTCTCTCTCTCTCTCTCTTTTATCTCATGCTTTCTTAACCCTTCAATTTTGAATTTCTGTTCTCTAGATTTCCTCACTTGTTGCTTATTTCATGGCCAAATCGCTATATCACGACGGTATATAAGAGCTCCAAGAAGAGAAATAGACAACATAATGTCGAAAAACGCACAAAATGACAACACCAGAGTCAGAAATACAGGAAACTTCTGGCCCAGCAACAGGCGTCAAGGCCAAAGTATTTTCCGAACTCCCAGAAAGCAACGAAGCCAAGTCGTGACTGAGGCTGAAGAAGCTCGCCTCGAATCTCAGCAGGCAGATATCAAGCCTAGCCTTATTGGTAGCACCTGCCGCACCGCCACAGTCCCAATCACCGCCCACGAAAACGCCACTTCAACGCCACACCGCTACGGTTTGCGCGCGCGCAGAGCATCTCGAGGCTCGTTTCCGACTCCCTCGCGTTGTGGCCGCACAGCATCCCGGCAGAAGCTCCAGCAGCAGCTCCAGCAGCGCAACAACGTCAACGACGGCGGCGCGGCAGCAATTCGAATCGGCTTCCAGCTCGACTTTGGCATCGTTCCTCACAAGGGCGATTTTCTTAAAACGAGAGGCAACAGCAACAGCAACACCACCGCTGCCACTAACAACACCCACGACTACGCCAACAGTTACAACCAGAACCACAGCAATAGCAACAACCAATTCGCCATGGCCAGCGGCGGCAAATGGCGCGAGGAGCAGGTCCTCGTCATCTGCCCCGGCAGCAGGACCACCATGGCCCAGCTTGGCTGCGGCGAACTCTCGCCTCCACACCATCGCATCCCCACGAGGATGTTTAGAGACGAGGAGGATTCGAACCTGTGGCGGCCGTACTACACATATAAGAGGGTGACGACGATTGACGGCGTGGAGAATGAAGAGTGGGTGGAGGATGTGGACGAGGATAAGGGTGCCGTATGGCCAATCGAGGGTATGTTTTGTCCCCAGAATAAGACATGCGAACTGGAGGAAGCAGAAGAAAATTCTGTATCTATAGAGGGGGTGGCATAGCTAACGTCTGTTGTTTCTCTGTGTCGTATAGGTGGCCGCATCGTTCAGATGGATGCTTTTCTCGCCTTCCTGGACCACGTCCACGGCCTGCTCACCACGACATACCACAACACACCCATCATGCTGATGGCATCTCCGCAGTGGACGCGCCCCGACTGCGAGACCATTGCGCGGTATATCTTCGAGAAGACAAAGACGCCCGCGCTCTGTTTGATTCACAGCGGCATTGCCACGCAGTACGGTCTCAAGTGGCCCAACATGACCGTCATCGACATTGGCTACGAGAAGGTCGATGTCACGGCTATCCATGACGGACGGGTCATTAACCACATGGATCTTGGCCGACCACAGCCTGGACGACACATTAGTGGAGGAGAGGTCTTTACACAGAAACTGCAGCAGCTGCTGACGGACAAGGGCTTCAACCACGACATGGCTGAACAGCTGAAGAAGAGCGGTATCTGCGAAGTGCTGCCGTACGCTCCATCTCAGAAGAATCTCGTTGTGCTCCCCGTTGAGACTGCAGACGCAGCACGCTCAGCGGCAGCTCAAGGCAAGGCAGCGGAATCAGCCGCAGCGGAATCTACAACGGCAGACGGATCCGTGCAGGATGTCCCCAGGATCGAGGAGCCTACTAGGACGGAGGATGTCGCTATGGAGGACAACGACGGCCTAGACACCAATGTTGACGATGATGGTGTCCTGGACGTTGCCACCATCGTCACCAGCGGCCAAACCAAGGAGTTCCTGGCCAAGAAGGAAAAGGAGAAGGAGAAGGGCAGGCCTGGGCGAAAACCGAAAGCGGATAAGGAAGCGGAGGCAGCTGCTGCTGCAAGGCCTGTTCGACAGCCCAACTCCAAGAAGGTGCGCAACACGTTTTCATATGAGGAGATTATCATGGAAGAGGTCCCCAAGGAGGTGCCTGCGCCTATAGCTGAGCCAGAGCCCACGCCTATGCAAGGTGTGGAGAGCAACAGCGCCGCCGAAGGCGTTCCCGCAGCAGCCCCGGCCGTTGCCCCAACAGAATCAGCTGCAGAACCGGCAGCGGTGCCGGCAACAGAAGGATTGCAGAGCGAGAAGCCTGCTGAGCCCACGTCCGACGCAGCAGCGGTAGGAAGTGAGGCTGCTGTCGATGGCGCCAATAGCAGTGCAGACTCTAAGCCCCCTGCCCCTGAAGCAGCAGGAACCGACAACGAGCCTGTTATCAAGTCCGAAGTCAAGTCCGAAGAGGCAAAGGTCAACGGCAATGGCGATGCCACAACCTTGGCTACAGCCCCAGAGTCCAAGCCAACTGAAGCCGTCAACGGCAACAACGGCGACAAGCCCGATGCCGCCGCCGCTGACTCCAACGAACCCCCCGAGCTCAGACCGCGCAAGATCCGCCGCGAAATCGAAGTCGGCCTGGAGCGTTTCCTCTTCGCGGACCGCGACGAAATCGACCGCATCGTCACCACCATCTACCGCACCATCCAGGGCGTCGAGGACATGTACATGCGCCCGGCCTGCTGGGACAACCTCGTCTTCGTGGGCAACGGCTCGCGGCTGCGCGGCCTCAAGGACAACATTCTGCAGACCCTGCAAGCGCGCCACATCATCTCGCCGTCCACGGCCACCATGTTCACGTCCGAGCTGCCCTCCAACGTCGCCACGCCCGCCGGTACAGGGGCCCAGACACCCGTCGGCAACTTTGCCGGAGCGCCGCACCAGCTGTCCACCAGCAGCGTCAACCCGCTGCTCCAGGCCGCCACCACGGCCAGCACCTTTGGCATCCCCGGCAGGGACACCATTCAAGTCGCTACGGGATCGACGCCCATGGTCGGCTCCGAGGCTGCTGGCCCGGCGAGCGGCCACCACTTCCACAGCCAGACGCCCACCAGCATCAAGACCATTGCGCTGCCGACGTACCTCAGCGAGTGGAGCAAGAACGGCTTCGAGGAGGCCATGTTCCTGGGCGCGCAGGTGGCTTCGAGGATAGCGTTTTGCCTGCACTCCAACATGGATGCTCAGGCGATTGAGGCGCAGAAGTCGATGAGTTTGAGCAGAGTGGACTACAAGTGAGTACTATTTTGCCCGTATATATACACAATCATATGAGACACATTAGTTTACTAACCAACCTTTTTTTATTTTTTTTTATTAATAGTGAACACGGCCCCAAAGGCATCCGAACACACTCCATGCTCAGCTAAAATCAGAGTCAACAACAATATCAAATGTAATAAAAAAAAGACAATAAATTCTTCCATGTTTAATCTGGAGTTTTAACGGACGACACGAAATGGGCGTGTCAGGGTGAAATTGTAACAAGTGATACAAAACCGGGAGACGGAGGATTTGATAATTCCGAGAGACCAAGGGGAGCCACGGGTAGATATAAGTGTTCAGATTCTTCTTCTTCTCCTTTTTCTACGAGTTATTCTTTTTTCTGCCGATAAGAGAATAAAAAGATACCATGAAATAAAATGCCCGAGCTGTAGAAAGATATTAAAAATTCCGAAATCATCTTTTGCTTTTTAACCCAAAAAGAAAAAAAAAAGAGAAAAAAAAGTATCTAACACACAAACTAACATATAAATACATGTATAAACATGAGAGGTATATCGTCTGCTTCCATACTCAAGACTTTTGCAAATGTTCCTTGGTAAACTCCCATTTTACCTCTCGCTTGCGAATGACTCCCACCAACTCTCTTTGATACGTCCCTCCTTTTCAGCCCCTTCTAAGGTCCTGTGGATAGTAAAACAAAAGCTCGCTTCGCTCAAGATATTACCCTTTGGTTGATTTTGAATCATGGACGTCATGGACATACTTTTGTCATCTTCTTCCTCATTAAAGACCTTGCATAATGTATGTATTTCCGCAAAGAGACATGGAATGAGTGAGCGTGCGCCACCAATCAACGGTTTCTAGCCCGCTGCATTTCTGACGGCAGCCTCTCGAGCTGCTTGTTTCCAGTCAGTCTTCAACAGGTAGGTATATTCGATTGTCGTAACCCTGTTTCAGATTAGTATCTAAAATCGTCTCAAATCAAGCTGTACGTCGAACGAAGAAAGGGAGGGGGAGGGGGGAAAAAGAATCAACATACAGGAATAAGCCCACGCTGACACCAGCCCATAGACCTTGCAGTTTCCAGCCAAGTCCAAAGGACAGTGCGAGCGAAATGGGCAACGATATAGCATAGTACGAAATCAGGTTCACTGGTCCGCCTATGCTCTGTTTGCCGATACCACGTAGCAATCCGTGGGCACCAGCACTCATGCAATCGAACACCTGCATGACGGCGACAACAGGCAAAATGCTGGCGACAATGGAAATAACCGTCTCATCGTCGGTGAAGAGCAGAGGTAAGTGAAATCGAAGGCTGCTGTAGAGTGTGAAATTGAGCAATCCAAGGATACAGTGAATGACAAAAGTCTGCGTAAAAAGTAAGTAAACCGAAGAATCGTGAAAAAGCAATATAACAGGAACATACCACTTTGCCAGTCACTCTGGCTGCGTCGACAAGGCCGGCTCCAATCAAGTTGGCAACACGGGTAGAGGCAGCAATCGACATGGGGAAAGGAATCTGGTATGAGATGGACGCAATCGTCGAGACAACGCTCTGGGCCGCCAAGTAGTCAGATCCGAAGCGGCTGGCCAATAGGGTCAGGATCTCGAAAGCGAGCCACTCGGCTTCGACCATGATCATACCCGGCAGCGCCAGCCGGATCATGACCCACCAATTGTTAAGCGCACGCCTGCTGAAGCCGCCCCAACATTCTCGGCCGTTGACAAAGCGCACATAGCAGAAGAGGAGAAGTGGCAAGATGTTCTCCGTGATGGCAACGGCCATGGGAGCGCCGACGAAGCCATACTCGAGCTTCCAGACGAGCAACCAAGTGAGGAAGACGTTGAAGGGAGCAGCGAACAGGAGGACATAGGTGGTGGCCTGGAAGAGGCCCTGCGCCTGAGTGAAGCGCTTGCCGCACTCGAAGAGAATGACGCCGGGAATCGCAAAGATCATGACTCTGAGGTAGAGGGCGGCAAGTCGAGCAGACTCGGGGTTGGGTACCATGCGCTGCAAAATGGGCTCGGCTCCAAACAGCCACAGCATAATTACGGGCACAGAGAGGGTAAGCAGGAAGCATGCCATGCGCTGGCACTGCAAGCCGACGAGATGCTTGTGGCCAGATCCATAAGCCTGGGCGCACAGAGTATCTAAACTGGTGGCCAAGCCTTGGAACGGGGCCAAGCAGGAGATGGCTTGCGACATGTTGGCCACTGATTCTGGTTAGTCTCTCCATTCTTTTCTTTATGTTTTACTCCCCATTCTGACTATTTGGAAGCACTTACATGATATGGCCCCCAGCTCGATGGTGCCAATTCGACCAACGGCAAAGATGCCCGCAACGTTGATCGAATATTGCAGGAAGAAGGTGACGATAAGAGGTCCACAGTAGGACAAAACCGTCTTTGCTTCACGCTGCCATGTGGTGCGAATCCGCCCGGCCGTTATGGCTTCCTCCCACTGCTCATCCACGTCTTCCTCTCCCTCCACTTCAGATCGCTGCCGTCTGGGCTGTGTGCCGTAGTCACGGTCTGGATCACGGGAGAGCAGCGGCTCGTCCTCGTCGGTCTCGTCGCTGGATTCTTCGACGGGAACCTTGGTACTGAACAGCTTTCGGTACATTCGAGCGGGCAACGACTGGCTCTTGTTGGCGTGTTTCGGGGGAAGGACATGGTTGTCTCGCAAAAGGCTGCGCTCAGCATCGCGAGACTGCTTTCGCTCCAGCGGTGTCAATATGGGCTCTTCCAGCCCACTGGGATTGAAGGCAGGCCGCGCTGCTCCGTAAGCCACGCCGCTTGGTCGGCGGTACATGAAGTGATGGGGCTGCTCGGGGTCAAGCAGGTCATCGGCGGGGTCAAAGTCATCGTCGGAGCACGCTGCGATGTCTTGGGCCAGAACCTGCTCGGCAAGAGGCGAGCCCGAGCGGAACGAGGACGAAAAGGCCGGGTGCTCATGGCCAGAAGGCCCAGAGTTACCATTGGTCGCGGGACTCATGGTGGCTATGGCTGGTCTCTTCTACGGAGAGACGAAGGAAGAGACGGAGAATGAATATTTCATATGATTGTTTTTTTTTTTTTTTTTTTTTTCAACGTTGTTGTTTCAGAGGAAAGGCTACTATCGGCTGGGGCTTCAAACTATACGAGCGATCTCCCAGCTCCCCTGCTCTGGATATTTCCAGGCCCCGTTGAGTCACGCAGCGTCTGCGGAATGTGCAACCAGGAGGAAATCCGGACAAATGTATGGAGACGAAACTGTTTGCACAAGAGAAATGGCGAGTCGTCGAGGCTTCAGTATTAAGCAGTGGGACGGGCACAGCGCCGCCGAGAGAAGCGAGAGACGGGAGGGCAAAAAAAAAAAAGCTTCTCGTAATCGGCGCTCTTCCACTTCGGTGTGCGCCCAACTGGCAGCACAGCACACCGATGGAGAGGGAAGAGTAGAAGGAGACGAGGATTCGAGACTGGCAAACGTCTTTTGGGGCGTGGCGGACCGGAAGAAACGAGGGATTTGACACAGGGAAGGAAAAGAGAGGCTGAGGCTGGATCGAGGAAAGGAAAGCGAAAAAGAATGACAAAGATGAGATGATGAGCCAGACGGAAGCGACGCTGCAGCCACACCGAGCACCATGTGCTAAGACCCGACTAGGCACTGCTAGCACGGCAAGGTGGTGGCACAGAGACAAAACTACGGCGCATCGGTGCTAGCTGCAGCCGCTGCGAGGGGCCTTTGGCGGAAGAGTCGATGCAGAAATATTGGTGCTAGTACCGCTACGGCGTGCTAGCGGTGTTTCCCCGTAGAACTAAGGCACTCCATCCGGCCTGTTCAAGGTCGCATCGCCATGCGTTGATGGACAAGCCGAGTGGCTACCTACATAGTACTACTGCCTACTCAACTACTGCACTGTACTATATATGGAGCTGTCTGTATGCGGCAGGAAAAACGAGACGAGCCCACTATTATTACCTAGTTTGGCTGCTACAGAAGACGGGGGCTTCGCCGGTGCGGTGCCGCAACGACGCAAGGACTCACGCATTTAATGCTTTACCAACAGGTAGTAATATGGTGTATATAGCTTTGGAGCAGGTAGGCAGATACCTAACCATGGACACGGCACGGAGCGTTGGCTCCAAGTTGCTAGCATTTTGGCACTATAAATGCATGTTTCAGACCAGCTGTGTCCCGTATAGGTACTACTTGTAGAATCAAACAAATTCACCATTGGTGGTACCAGCTGCGTGATCGCGCCCTTCACGCCATATTCCCGGTCCATCTGGCATAAAGATCGGCCGATGTTGATCCGATTAGGCGGGCGGCTAATCCGAGCGGAAGGAGCAAAAAACCGTGCCCCAGCACGTGCCCGCGGCCAACTTTTAGGCTCTCATAGCACTCTCTAGCTTCTCAGCCGTGTCTCGGGCCGGCTTAATTAGTGGAGGGGATGACGCTGAGACCCATCATCATCGGCACAGTACAGTGCACTGCTATACAGCGCTATGCCGCTCTTCATTATGAGTGTCTTACAACTCCCAACCATCATCTCGATACAGAGTCTAGTAGTAGTAGTAAGCCGGAGATGGTATTTGCAGCTGGATGAATAAGCGGAGCTTGATATTACGTCTTTGGCTCCAGAACGATTACTCATCCAAGTCTCTTGCATCAACAAATACATGTACATGTAAACATTCACTGCTGATGGATATGCAGCACTTCTCTATTCAGATATAGCTGGCTGCATCTATATGTAGCAAATAGAGCATTCTCATTCTTCTTTAGTGCCCAAGCACCAACGCTGTGCACTATCCGGAGCATGATCCACGATCTGCATCCTGGCCAGCAGCCCCCAAACGAGGCAATAGATAGACAAGAGGAATGAAGAGGTCAAAGCAGCGAGCAAACGCCAAAGATGCAGTTGCGCAGAATCAGCCGTGCCACGTCAGCCGTCAGACCCGATCGTACATGCGCATGCTTGTGCATGAAGAATGCTACAGACAAATAAATCTGCGTGCTCGAGAGTGACGAATACATGTAGGTATGCACCTGTCCTGGTACTCCAGCCCCTGTTTCTGCCGGACATGTACTTCTGTTTTCCGACTGAGCAATCACGGGTCGGAGCAGCACACCTTTTGCCCTTTATTGGATGCAACGTAGTCTATTATATCAAAATGGAGCCGGGTTTAGCCAGACGCCCAATCGCGGCGATCATGGCGGCGACTCGATCTAATGGCGAGCCTCGCCGCAGCGCATACCCCTGTTCACATCGCACTTTTTAAGGCACGTCAATCATCATTGGACGCACCAAGATGTCATTGCGCTGATGCTGAATTGTAGACTTCCATGGTCCGTTATCTTATATATGCTCATGTCTGTTCTATACTGTTCGACATATTATGAGACTCGTTTCGCTCTATAGAGTATCCTGTAGATATGTGCTTAAAGCAAAGACAATGTACTTACTACTTGAGTCTTGTGCACAAATGTCACCGCGCTCCTTGGTAGCAAGTGCGGCAACAAGCTTGGCTCGTCTATCATGATGAGAACGCAGTTTTGTTATTTTGAAATGATTTTTTGTTTTCCTTCTTTTTTTTTCGTTTCCTTTATTCACTGTTGAATTCATGTAATTACGTGGATTCACCATTATCTATCAAGCCCAATTCTCTTGGCTTTTTGCATGGTTCAGAGCCTTGCCTGGTCGTCGCAAAAATAAAGTAACGGGAGCTGCTGCGGGAGCTGCCTAGCAGCCATCGCCCCCACTTGAGCACCACTAAGGCCGTCACTATGCGCGGTTCGCGATTCCCCAAGGCGGTGGATAGGGATATCCTCTTCCTTGGACGGGCCATTCTCTTGCATCTCCCATCACAACATAATAGCATATTACCGTTCAGACTATAGCCAAGCGGCCACTTAAATTATTAACTCATCCTATCAATTCGTATTCCCAATCGAGCCCTTCAATAGTTCAATAACTGCACATAGATGAGCGATGTCTTTACGCTCAACTTCGCAATCCTTTTCTTTCCTCAGAAGAGCCTCCTGTTTTGTTCGACAGAGCCTTTGTAGCTTCAACATCACGTCTTGATTCTCCAAAGTTCCACCATTCGACAATGATCCACTGTCTATCCTCGCCGCGGGGATGCTCTCTTGGTGTATTAGAGGTGCGCTTGTAATATCATCGGGCGTAGAGACGGCCATGGGTGGCGTACTTGCCGTGCTCTGGTTTGACGAAGTTGATGGCACCCAACCCTTGCATGAATTATTTTCATGTTTTTCTAACTTATCGCGTCTTTTGAATCCATGGCCCTTTTCAGATTTCTTACAGCCCAAGTTGGGACAAAGAAATTCTTCTACAACTTCGGTATGCATTTCGTTCCTATGACGTTTCAAACTATCTGATCTGGCAAATGTCTTGCCGCAGTCCGGACATTTGAATGGGCCCCGTTGGGTGCGCCTGCTGATTCTGCCATTTGTTAGCTACCAATAAACGTCTAATAAGACATAGTGATCCTGACCTATTTGTTGAGCTGGAGGCGCCTGTGGTTTGACTCGTAAGATTGACATTCATTTGAGACTCGTGGAGAGGTTTTGATGCAGAGAAAGAAACAGCGTTTGAAAATTCATTCGAAAGAGACTGATTAATGCAAACAATTTCGTTTCGACCAGGTGTCATCGCAAATATAGCTGCTTCGGTCTGAGTCGTCTCATAGCTAGCCCCCCAGTCAGGAATAGCAGCCCAATCCCAGGGAGATATCGGGATCGCAGTATTATCGGTTAGGGCCGTAATGGGCAAGTTTATGCCGGTATCATTTCCTAAATCACCGTCTTTCTCACCATTAGCCATCAGCCATATGATCTCTGATTTAACGGTACATACCTTGAAGATTCAATAATTGCCTCTGCTGATCAGAAGGAAAAAGAGATTCTCCTTCAGGTGCTTTGTTGGACCCTGATTCGGACCCTGATTCGGAATAAAACATCCAACATACGCCCCATAACACCACCAATGCTGGCCAAATTGTCCATGGCATCGTTGTACAGAGGTGTCTTATACTGTTTGGAAACTCATTAAAAAGACAGAAAAATATCAAGACGTAAATGAGAAATTGAGAATAAAAACGCCGAAAACGTTCGAACAGCTGGTCAGAAAGTAGTTCGATCTTTTTAAGCCACTCTAATAGCTCGTCTCCGATCATGTCCAGTGGTATCTTGGCATCATATAGCAAAGCCATTGTAGACGAGACCAAGTCGAAGAAATTCCTCATTTGTTCCAAATTGGATCGAATATTGTGTTTTAAAGATTTGAGGAAGCCTTGTATTTCATTTCTCTCCATTCTTGTGTGTATACTGGATGTTGACTTTTGTCCCCGTCTGCCCGAAAACTGACTCCGTGAACTGTGGGAGCTTGGCCAGGCTTTAGAGTGTCCATAATTGAACATACTGTACGGCGTATTCAGGGTCGTGTGCTGCCCTTCATGTGGCTTGGCCGGGCTTTCCAAGGCCTTCCAATACCAGCGCAGGGGGTCTTTGATGGCGTGTATTGAATGATAATCGAACGTCCATTTGCTTTCTGCCACGGATGAGTCCTCGTAGAAGCCTTCGAGTTCGGTCAAAAGCTGCTCTTCTGTCTTGGGCTGCCCAATCTGGCAAGAGGTCTCATCCACCGAGCTCTGGGTAAAGTTGGACGCATAAGGATGGGAAGAGTGTGGACATTGATATCTTTGATGCATGCCTTGAGCAGATCCTGGATCGTTTGCAGAGAGAAAACCGCTGTCCTCGTGCTGGACCCTTGGTGGTATCGTTATATTATTACCAGATTGGACCCGCGTAGTATGTTCAGCAAGTTCAGCCAAACGAGACCTGATTCCATTCAAGGCAAAAAGAGGGTCATTGAAGCCACCCTTGCTAGGAATGCCATCTGAGGTAGGCATAGCATTTTCTTCTAGGATTCTTCTGGGTAGGAACCTGTCCAACCAGAGCCGATGCTCTAGGTCCTTCCAACCGCCATTATAAATAAACAAATCGTCTGCCATTGGCAAAGTGAACGAGCGGCGTTATATGACAACCCGAGCGAGTGTCAATGCAATTAGCGAAATACAGTCCGCCAATTAAAAAGACAAAATCCCGGAGCTAGAGTCTGCCGTTCCGTAATATCATGAGCAGCGATGACTCTGCTAGGTATAGACCGCCTGAGAAGAAGATTTGCTTTGAACGGTTGGTCTACCGATTTGCATAAAATGCGTCACAACAGATGATTGACGAATTGTTATGTTCAATTATGAGTAGGATTGCAATTTTGAGTGATCTATGATCCAAATGGTAGATGAAGGTACGGAGTAAATATAGGCTACTTATAAGTACCTAAAGCAAGCTGCAGGGTGGCTCTGTTCGTAGGGCGGTGGCTATACTCCCCAAAAGGGTGGCGCAACCAGGGACAAGGGGCGGAGGGTGGGGGTTTTGTGCAGAAAGGCTGCCTCCAACGAGGTGGGCGTTTTTGTGATGGAAGTTGGGATCAAGTCTGTCCGCCTTAGCAGCCAGTCACTTGACGTAGGGCGGCAATGATAGTACATGCAGGAGTTGCTCGCTAGATAAAAAGAAAAGAAAAGACAGACAGAGAAGCGGTGTCCTGTTGTCGCCCTTATTGTTCGTTATCCGCTCACAGCACGAAATTTGCCCCTTCAGGCCGACAGAAGGGCCATATTAGGTGCTACTCGCTATCAAAATCTTGGGGAAATGTCATCAAGTTCTATGCAAGCCATTGCCCATGAATGAGCCCAATGCCGTCGATCATACCTTGCAGGCATTTGCGGGCATTCTCATGATCTCGATATATTTAAATAGCCTTGAAGGAACACCGTATTTGGAGAGCTGAATAAGGCCCATGAACTGTTTCTATAATCTTGTCTAATATCTAGAAAAGCTATCGATTTTTTTCCCCTTAAACGAAACCATCTTTTCAATTTTTACCTCGCCCTTCAAGCTGCCATCAATTGTACCGCGTTTCGGTAGCTACCTGGTGTTATTCTTCCCAAAAGTCACTGTACTTGATAGGGAGAGCGCTAAGAGCAGGGCTGTCTTTCAATCCTGCGTCACTCGAAAACATCCCAGCCGTGAAGCTAACATAAGCGCAAACGTCGAAAGGCTGGCTAACATCATTGCAGGAAGGGGGAAGTTCAGGGTGAAGCTGCAGGCAATAAGCGCCCTAGCTAATAGCCTATTACATTGCTACAAGTAATATTTACATATACAATACTTGCGAGGCCATTTAATCCACGCAATGCACATCATAGTCCTCGTATCAGCTACAGGCTTGCCACTTACACGCAGTATTCCCGCTAAACTCCAATCTCAATCCCCACCCAGCTTAAGCGCTATTAGCATCGCTGCTCGCATATGTCCACATAAAGCCCTTCCAATCGGGCTCGGGGTGGGCCGCGGTCGCAGCCCAAGGCACTTCGTGCTTTCCATAGGCCTGCAGAGGCATGCTGTAAGGCATACGGAGGCCCACGATGGGTCTCTGTGCCTGAGAAAAAAACGACATGTCTGCGGTATCTGACTGAAACGAGCTTACCATGACCCCGTCTTCGCAGAGCAAGCCCGGCCACACCAGTACGCCAACTTCCCAGGAAGCGATCCGAACTTCCCCGGTAGTGAGCTTCAGGGTATCGCCCCACGCCTGCTTCGATATGTTGGCCGACGTTAGCATGGCCCAGTCAATTGTGTTGTTCTGGTTGAACCGGATGTATGTTTTGACGTGTGGAGCAGCACGATTTCGCCCGCTGTCGCCACGGATAAGCACCTCTTCATACTCTTCTATCCCAAGTGTCAGCTCAAGCTTAGAAGACGCATAAACAACACGTGCATGATCCCTTTCACAACTGACTACGCTATTTTACCTAAAACAAGACAATTGGCTCGACAGAATGGGGCAAAAATAAAACAAAAGGAAACAAACGTTGTCAGTACTCACCTGCTCCATCCTTACTGTCATTGGCCCAGTGATGCAGCATTGGTTGAAGATAGTGCAGCTGTCGAATGTGCTGCACTGAATTGATCTTGGTATGAATGGACTTCCCCGAGGCGTATCCGTCCAGTGAATTCCGGATCTCGTCTGCTGTGGGGAAAACAACTTTGAAATTGGGCCTCTTCACATTCGGGGTGAGAGATGTAGCTAGTGAATCAAACAGCGTGCGCTGCAGCCAATCATCCTTAGCACCAAGCGTCGCAATGGAGGATATTTGGGCGACGATTTCTGACTCTCCTGGTTCAACGGGCACCGCTCTCAAACACTTTTGCAGCCCAGCCCAGCCCCAAGCAGGTCCAGAAGTATCGCGAAAGTCATGCTTGCCGGGAACACTGGCAATGAACGCTGCCCGTATGCTGGAAAAGTCAAAATTGACGAGATGATCTGCCAGTGGCTTACAAGTGACCCTATACGAATCATACAGCATCAAATATGACAATAAATCCGCTTTGAATCTTACGCCACTGCCAACGGGAAGCACCTGTCCGTGTTGGAATATGACATCTGGCTCCGATAACAACGGGAGTTTTGGAGATTTCCACACTGCATTGGTCATATTGGTCCAATCCTTTGGGATCATGTTTGCTGTATGAATAATGATTTGGGCCGTGCTGTCGGAGCGAAACAATATCATCATCTTGGAGTGGTGTGTTCCAAACATTTCGGGCATGGGTGCGCAATGCAAATGAACATTGGGATACTGGGCTGCGTCACCCTACATCATTTCAAAAACGAGAAAATAATAATGTCAGTCTTAGCCTACTTCAAATATAAATTCTTCGTTAAAATGAAAAGAGAGAAATAGAGGAGAGAGTGTGTGTGTGAGTGTGTGTTTGCAGCGGCAGAGAGAAATGTGGCCTACCGAAAGAACAATTCGACTCAGGTCGCTTCTCCTCCAGAATCCATGGACTACATGGAGCATAACCAAGTGTTTAATGCTTTCGTCAAACGAATTCATGACAAAGGGGATGTCATGCAGAAAGTTGAATTGCCAGCATTCTCTAATCAGAGGATCGCCTAGAAGATCTTTGAGCGAAACGGTATCCTTGTTTACTTCATCTGGGAGATCTCGGACTCGAGTGAGCTGCCATGGTGATTTATGCATGTCCACTTGACGGATTTTCTTGCGCGGTGGGCTGATGGGTCGTGAAAGAGATTCTAAAGCTCCAAACCCATCGCTTCCATCGCCCTCACCAGCATTTCTTGAACGCTTGCGAGCGTAGTCCATGATCCCAGGGTAAGGCTTCCAGATTCGACAATGGTTCAAGCTGCTTATTATTCGATGACAGAAAGAGAATATTGGAAGAGGCTTGATTAAATGGAGACTATGAAGCATATAGAAAGAGGTGTAGAAACAATTGCTGCGGCTGTCAATGTTTTGTAGAAGTGGTGTTTTCACTGCTCGCCTTGCTTCACGGCAAGAGGTACCTCTTATTAAACCAAAGGCGGTACACGGTGACGCTGTAGCATGAGGTACAAGCACTTTGTATGTCCCCACCCCATCTCAGATTCCCAGTAGGCAGCCACAGGCTAGTTCCAAATCCGGCAGTCCAGCCACACCACTCGCCTCGCCATGCTGTGGCGCCAATTTTGTTGCAAACGCAACCACTTCGTCTCGTCTCAGGCTCCGTATTTCCAATCTCCCTTTCAGCGTCTAAGAGGCAATCATCACCAGCGTGGGCTCGCATCTCAGCACGCAGCCTCCATCTGGTCCCAACCGCCGAAACACGGGCTCTCCAGGCATCGCTGGGGCTGCTCCGTCTCCATCAGCATCGATCAATTCCGGCGACAATCCATTCCCGCGAATGGATCGATTTATCTAGATTTGATATCCCCATCATCGCGTTATCTACCAACTAGCTGCGCCCCGAATCTGCGCCCACTTTGCACATACTTCTTCGTCCTCCAGCGCCTTGACGGCTGCTTTGCATTTAGCCCACCATGCGGCTGACATCTCTTACTCTGCTCTCTGGCCTTGCTGCCTTTGGGCTGTTTGGATCCTCTGTCGCCGCCGACGATGATTCAACGGCCCCGAAAGAGACCTACTTCGACTCTCTCCCAGTGCCTCCCTTGATGGAGCTGACCCCCAAAAACTTTGAAGAGGTAGCGAACAAAACGAAATGGCTATTTGTGAAGCACTATAGGTATAACATGGCCCCATCCCCCTCCATCGCGCATCGCTACCATCCAGGAGTTGGACCTGCTTGCTAACCTGCTCTAGCCCCTTTTGCCACCATTGCATTGCGTATGCCCCGATTTTCCAAACCGCATACGAATTCTACTATACATCTAAGCCGGAAGGGGCTGGCGAGACGGACTTCACCAAGTTCTATGACTTCAAATTCGCTTCTATCAACTGCATTGCTTTTAGCGACCTTTGTGTTCAACATGACATCAAATTATACCCCACCACAATTCTCTATGAAGAGGGCAAGGTGGTCCGAAGCGAGACGGGTGGCCAGAATATTACCTTCCTCTCTAGCATTATTGAAGAAACTTTGGAGAAGTCGAAGCCTGGTAGCCGACCGAAAACTCTCGATCTGCCCAAACCAGGGGATAAGAAGCGCCCAGCCGTCGATCCGAAACGAGCGAAAGAGGTTGAGGCTGGCAAGGTACCCAAGAAACCAGTTGCCACGCCAAATGAAGAGGGAACGTCGGTACCCTTGACGGCTGAGAACTTCCAGCGTCTGGTGACAATGACCCAAGACCCCTGGTTCATCAAGTTTTATGCTCCTTGGTGCCCTCACTGTCAAGACATGGCGCCTACCTGGGAACAGCTAGCTAAGACTATGAAGGGTAAGCTGAATATCGGAGAAGTCAACTGTGACAAGGAGACGCGTTTGTGCAAGGATGTCGGTGCCCGAGCATACCCCACGATTCTCTTTTTCAAGGGTGGTGAGCGTTCTGAGTATGAGGGGCTTCGAGGCTTGGGTGACTTCATTCAGTATGCTGAAAAGGCCGTCGATCTCGCCAGCGGTGTTCCTGATGTCGACCTTGCGTCATTCAAAGCCATGGAGCAGAAAGAGGATGTCATCTTTGTCTACTTTTATGATCATGCCACCACCTCCGAAGACTTCCAGGCCATTGAGAGGCTGCCTCTCAGCCTCATCGGGCATGCCAAGCTTGTCAAGACCAAAGACCCCGCCATGTATGATCGCTTCAAGATCACCACCTGGCCACGGTTTATGGTTTCGAGAGAAGGGCGCCCCACCTACTACCCCCCTCTCACACCCAACGCTATGAGAGATACAAATCAAGTGTTGGACTGGATGAGATCGGTCTGGCTTCCTCTTGTCCCTGAACTGTTGGTGACAAACGCGCGCCAGATAATGGATCACAAGATTGTTGTGCTGGGTGTCTTGAACCGGGACGACCAGGAATCATTCCAGGGCGCCCTTCGAGAGATGAAGAGTGCGGCAAACGAATGGATGGATAGACAGATCCAAGAATTCCAACTGGAGAGGAAGAAGTTGCGAGATGCCAAGCAAATGAGAATCGAAGAAGCTGAAGATCGAGACGACCAGCGCGCCCTGCGAGCTGCCAAGGCCATCCATGTTGATATGAACAACTCTGGGCGGAGGGAAGTTGCTTTTGCCTGGGTTGACGGTGTTGCCTGGCAGCGCTGGATTCGCACCACCTATGGCATTGACGTCAAAGATGGAGAAAGAATCATTATTAATGACCAAGATGTAAGCCCACCCTCTTTTATAAATGCCTCTGATACAGACCTTGTATTCTCTTCTTGCGTTGAAACACAACTGATTACTAACAAACCTTTGCATAGAACCGAAAGTACTGGGACAATACCGTGACTGGCAACTACATTCTTGTCAGCCGCACATCTATCCTCGAGACCCTCGACAAGGTCGTTTACACCCCACAGGCCCTGAAGCCTAAGCTTACCATTTCTCCGTTTGAAAAGGTCTTCTTTGATATTCGCCTCTCTTTCACTGACCACCCCTATCTGTCACTTGGCTGCGTTGTTGGCATTGCCTTTGGTATCTTCTCCTGGCTGCGTGGCCGCTCTCGTCGTGGCCGTGGCCACTTCCGGCTGGAGGATTCTATCAGCATTAGGGACTTCAAGGAGGGGTTCCTTGGTGGTTCTAACGGCAACACCAAGGCTGACTGAGCGTATACTGTGAAAATATTAGGCCAAAATTAATTTTCTCTAATTCGGAGTTTTTTCCTGGTGGGAGGGGTAAATGGGTTCGGCTAAGGGATCAAAGAGGAGGGCGCGTGCGCATGGAGCTTTTGAGGAATCTTTGACAGAGGATCCCGAGGAAAGCTATGCCAGCCATTTAATGGATGAAATTATTAAAGCGGAACTCATAACCTTGGCGGGGTGAAATGTAGTCGACGACTGGCTCAAGACTCTGGTAGTAGACCAAAAGCCCTGTCGCAACTCATTTGGCCTCTTCTGTAATAGAGTCCGGCAAGCTATATGGGGGGGGNGGGCATTTTCTTGTCTCTCTGTGCGTTATTGGTTGGTTTGTGCTTGCATATGCTATTTTTACATGTCATTGTAACTACTAGGTGGTTCTTATTCAAATCTTTTGTTACGGCATAATAATGTAAATAGTCTGTCGGATATATTCCTGCAGCTATCACTCTCGATCTAGCAACTTTAACTATGGCTTGCTAAGTGAACCAAATTCTATTTCCTTTTATGTGTAGAGCTCATCCGTCAGTCCGTTCAGCGTCAGGCCCTCCTTGGCAATCTCCTCGACCTCAATCAAAAACTGCAGAGGCATCTGGATAAGGTTGCCACGGACGCGGCTGAGCCATTCCTTCAGCTCTTGCACGCCACCAGGGAATTCCTCGCGAACCACGTGTCCGTAAGGCACTTTGCCGTCGTTTTTGTCGTCGTCCTCCTTGTTGTCCTTGGCACTGGGGATAGTAAAGTACTTGGAGAAGAACTGATCGTAATCGTCCCAGTTGCGAACTTTGTCATCAGGAACGGGGTGGAACGCCCGGCTGAACACTTCGGTGTTAGTGGCGGCTGTATCTTCCCAGAGCTGCAGGAAGTCGGGGCTCAGGGGGTCCTCCACGAGCCGGTCGGCAGATGAGCCCCAGTCGTAGTCATTAGGTGCGTCGGTTACCGGCAGCCAGTTTCGGTTTGGCTGGTCCCATCTCTGGTCAGGGAGCAGGCCGAGATGCTTGCGGAAGATTTGTCTTCGGAGAGAGGCGGCAAATTCGCTTGCTGCGTACTGCTCGCCGTTCATGTAAGACTCAACGGAGTGGGGTCCCTCAATCACCACAGCAATCTCGGAGTCGTGGGTTCCAAGCTGCGAGCGATCGTTCAAGTTGGCAGAGCCACAGATAACCAGACGATCATCGGCAATGAGAAGCTTGGTGTGGATGTAGAGCTGCTCGCTGACAAAGGCGTCGAATTCGTCCTCGGGTTCGCCATCCCATGGAATATCGGCAATATTGGGGCCGTGTCTCATATAGGCGGCACTCACCGTGTCCAGAGTATCGTCCTTGACGGATTGAGCCTGGCGCTGATATCTATCATAATATTGAGAATCTTCATCGTCCTGGCCATAACGCTCTTCGTTGACATAGTCGTCGTGATACCGTCGGGCGTCTTCATATCTGACACCAGAGCGGGATTCCACCTGTCGCAGGGTGCGGGATATATTGATCCGATCATAGTTTCGAAGGTTGTAGAAACCAATATACTCCCTAGGATTTTGAATGCCGGCGGCAACAAGCTTTTGGATAATGGAATGTCCACCTCTGCTGATGGAGTTGTACTGGTATTCCATAATGGCCCTTGTCCCAAGAGCCTCCTTCGACTTCAGGTCTCCCGCAAAAGCTGGGACGGAGGGCATCACCACCCAGACCTTGAAGGGTTGACCTTCTTCATATGCTCGAACGATGCGGTCAACAATGGCCGCGCCGATCTTGTTAGATACAGGGCGCTGTTCATCACTTGTAGCTGTGATGAAGAACTGGTTGGATGTTAATATCCATCTCACGCTCTTTGTGACTGTTGCTCGTTTACTCACCTGATTTTCGATATAGACAAAGTGCCTAGCATTCGTTATGGCACTTATATATGCGTTTGCGATCGAATGCTCTGTTGGGTGGCCGGATGACCACTTGGTACAACTGAAATGAGGCTTAGCAGTCATCACTTTTACAAGTGTCAGCCATTTCTGCTTACCTTCGTGTAAGCTGAATGTGAGTAGCGCCTGACCCCCCACGCGCGTGAGCACTCCTGTCGTCATACTCATATCCATCAGGGCGATACTCTCGCTGGCCTTCTTGGGGACCTTCTCGACGGCTGTGTCGATGGCCTTCTGTGAGGCCAAGGTTTCCCATTTCCTCAGACAGGTGTTCAGCGAAACGATGGAGCATGCCACGGCTCCGCCCTTCGCCCTCCTGCCGCCCATATTCTTCTCGTCCAGTTTCCTGTTGTTCATATCTGTGGTGCGATGGACGGTGACCTCCGCCTAGGCTGAGCTTTTCATACTTTCCAGGGTCTTTGTCATTGTATTTTGCATCGAATATGTAATTCCTAGCTCTGTTAATCGCGGTCAAAACGATGAAGCTTAAGATATTATTTCTCATACCATCTGTCCACGAAGTGGGAAACAAGATCAGATACAATTGGACCATTCATAGAAAGGGCCACATCTGACCAACCCATTCTCGAGCTCTTGGTTCGATCCACTACATAAGCCATTAGTGCTTGGAACCCTTGTATGTGAAAATAAGGATGATCTCACATTTATTCTGATCCCAGTTGCCAACGTCAGCAAAGTCAAAGATTCGGGCGTTGTTATAATCTTGGCCTGGGAAGATGATGTTCTCCAAGTTTCCAGGATGAGCATCTGCGATAGGATGGGCTGGATGTATATGTTAGTTGAGGCCCTTATAGGTTGCGATACAAGTACCCACAGTTGGTATCCCATCGCCCGAAGCCTAAATATACAATTAGCAAATGAGATGCTCTTCGAACACTGAGAAACATAAGGAATGCATACATAGATCGAGGCCTCCCATAAATACAAGGTGACGGTCAATAACAAGGAGCTTTTCATGGTGAGCCCAGTAGAGGACAACATCGTCTGCCGCGCCATAAATCGCCTTAAGTGCGTCTTTGGATACAGTGGCCAAGTCAAAGTTGGTCAAGCTTTTGAACGAGTTGCCGATTTCCGAAGTCAGGTCATATCCAGTAGGAACATGGTCAGGGTGTCGGAAGACTTTGATATTGGGGTGTAGCTTCTCAAGAGCATGTTTGGTGTGCTATAGATGTTGCGAATGAGCCTCGGGAGAACATTTCGGATGGTGAAAAAAAAAAAAAAAAAAAAAAAAAAAAAAAAAAAGAGAGAGATATCGAATTGCATACCGCAGAATCAAGAGTGAGGGCAGCCTCGACTTCCTTGTACACAATGACATTGACTTGGACTCCACGTTCGGCGGCAGCTTGAAGCATAGCATCAAGGCGATACTGCTCGTTGTGAGAAGGGGGCCGACGAAGGTACAGCTCAGGGCTCAGCCACCAGTCGAGGATATATATACTCTCCTGGGCGCCTACGAAGAGAGATGTCAACATCAATGAAATTGGCAACAACCAGCTTGTAACACTCACGTTGAAGAGCTTCAGATACTGCCCAAAAGTAGGAGGCGCCATCAACGAACCACTTGATGTTGCCCGAAGAAGGGGCAGCAAAGGATTGAAACCGGTTAGCAGCGTGTTCAGCGTGAAGATCATCGCATTGATAGCCCGGGTGCGAATGAGAGTGTTTTTCAATGTTAGGTTCGCCTTCAAAGAAGGCTTCGACTCTATCAAGGAGACCCATGGTGCGGCTTTACGGATTGCTATGGCCCAGCGAATCAGATCCTGGCCAGGAAGACGTGGCTTTGGAGAAAAGTTGCGGACGGGGCCAGCCGTATTGAAGAGCAAAATTGATAACGGTGAAGGAGGGGGGAAAAAAAGCTACAAAGCACAGGTGCTATAAGTGGATTTGACAAATCTTGAATCACGAAAGGTGGCCAAGAGCATGTGCGTGATGGCACGAGGTTTACATAGCTTATGATGAGAGTGATGAGGGGTGAGAGACTGCATTGAATAGATGACAGCGGCCTAGCACGGAACTGTCAGAAATCAAGGGGGTGCAACCTAGTCAAGTTGCGTGTTCGTCTGAGGACTACATCGTATCACTGGTGGCCCAGAGCCTAAAGCCCCGTTTCTTATTGGGCTCAGTGGATCGAAGCACAATGCACGCACAGCCACTGACCCTCAGTTTGTGAGGGTGTTTGTGCTGGTAGCAGGCGTTTCTGAAAAGGAGGGCGCGGCATTAATAGAAACAAGGTGGCTCTGTGCAGAGCAGGCCGGAGGAAGGGCATTCGGTGATGAACTGATTGGTTGGGAGCCTAGAGAGAGCGGTCAATGCATCTAGACAGACAGAGCAATATGTTTCGAAGCAGAGCTGGCACGGCAGAGCTCCTCCGAAGATGAGCTGGAGCTCCGGCAATAGAACGAGTCAGATGTGCGGGGTTACACAATGGAGCAAGGGATCGATGATTTGCTCCATCCTTGGCTACCGTTGCTGCCAAGCTGATTCGTTGCTTCAACTACATGAGCCAGGTCCAAGCTGGCCCATGATGATTGATCCAGCAGCGATAGTGCATCGCTCTGCGTACAGGCAACAGGACTTGAAGGATCGTGGACCCTGGATGAGCGGCACTGCGATCTTGATGACGAGTGAAGCGCACAGTACGGAAAACGGAGTAATCTGTACATGTATCCATAGCTTAGCTGGCTTATTTCAGCACTATTAATTACCTAGCAGTACTTGGTTAGCTTGTGCATGAACAAACAACGCGATAAAGGCGTTACTGAATATATCTCCATTTGTTTTCACTTCGTTTCTCATCTATTAACCTTTACACTCGTTTCTCTTACCTAGAAGGCGGAATGTGTAAGTACAAGATATAGATGGAGATTGAAGTTGTAAAGAGGAGAAGATGGAAACCGCGGGCTGGACGACAGTGTCATCACGTGCGGCGCGACTGACCAACCTCAGCTGGATTCATGTCGTATGCCTGAGTGCCTACTTCATAGGTATCTTTAGCTGCCGGTCCTCAAAATTTCAGGATCTTTCTATAGCTCTATATCATATGCGCCATTAATCCACTAATTGGCCATTTTGGGCTAACACCCAGCGCGAGGTTCCAGATGCTTTACAAAAGCACTCATTGGGGTCAATTCCTTGCAATATCCAGAATAACTGCTACATCTCTCGGGGCTGCATAAAGTTAAGAGTTAGTCGATGTCTTATTTGATACGTTTGAGACGAATTATCAATTCAAATGAACAGAAAGGTGCCATTGATATCATCTTAACATCAAATATTTGTGGGCTCAGCTGGGATTGGTAAAATAACAGTTGCAAAGCATCATGGACAAAAGACGAGGGTTTGGCAGAGAGAAAAGCCCGACAACATTTGTGTTGAGACTCTGCAAAGATGAGAGTGCGGCAGAAAATGGCTGGTATCCGCTGGAGGATATGAGTGTTTCTCAGGCGCTGAAATCAAGAACAAGACTATTGAATATCAATTCATCAAATAGATTCTGATAGAATATTGACATGCCTAAAAGATGAATTGGCAGGGCGTTGACTGAAGCGGAATGAGAGAAAGGATGATGATGCATGTATGAGACTTTTATAGACCAATGAGAGAGACACGGGAATTCAATGCGTCGAATCTGGCTGGCTACATGTACTCATATTTGCAAGTTTTGACTTATTAAAGAAAGTAAACTTTACGTCATGCCTATTTCCCGCCGCTGGTGGTCAATAAACCAAGCCAACACAAGATGATGGTGATGATGGCACCAAGATCAGATGACACCTCGGATGAAGTTGCACAGCCGTGTAAATCACCGTTATAGCGGCTGCCAGGCCCTAGGCCCCTTAAGGCCAGTGGCATTAGCGCGCCATCAGGCCTCCAATTATGAGACCTCGGCGCTGCAGACGTTCGCTAATTAGCCTCAAGCCAGGTACCATCCCATGTAAGGTACAGGCACGATGACGATACTGCTGTGCACTGAAAATTCTCACTTGCCGGGGCTCGAAAATATTATTGCCTCCATCCAGCAGAATAACGGGGACACGCCAAATCGCTCATTCATAGGCTAGTTTGAGCTTGAGAGACATTTATCGATATATTCTTGTACCTACTCCAAGACAGCATCTGTCATCCCACTTATTACTGCTGAGCTTTACAGGCAAAATTTCTATCAACTCGAAACATAAAAAAAAAAAAAAAAAAAAGCTGAGCACTGAGACATCAGCGTTGGGTACATGTAGGTTCGCCCAATTTTCTCTGATATCTATATCCATATCCAAATCCATATTTATTCCTTTTTTGCTGTGGTTTCTTCTTTTAAGAGAAACATGTGAAGATGAAATCTTTTCAAGCGAAGAATGTGTAATCTTTATGTTTCACTGCATGAGTTTAAGGTTGACAAGATTGCTAGGAAAACTTTTTTCTGTTTTTAACCTTTTTTCACCGCCATACTTCTGCAGGGCGTTGAGTCCCATCTCTGTCATCTTCAAGAAGTGGAAAAAAAAAAATACATAACCCACATATTCGTTTTCCACTGAGACGTCGAGCACTTTTATTGCTCACGCTCGCATATATTCTTTTCATAAAACCGCCCTTTCTTTAAGCGTCATATTCGGCATATCAGTTCTATAAAATGTCCACTACTCCTGGTATCATCATACCCTTTGACGTCTCAGCGCACTCTCATCTCGTTCCTTACCTCGCAGCCCTTCATGCTTCATGCATCACACATGATCACACAATCGCTACATTCTTGCTTCCGCTGTCACACGAGAAGCTGCTAGCGTGGTGGAAGGAGCGCATTGGGGAGACAAATGAAGAGAAGAGGGTGATGCTGCTTCTGGTGAGCGACCTGGATCCAAACGGCCCCATCAGGGGCCCGGAGATCAAAGGAGTCGTCATGCTATGGATGCCATATTCAGAGACGGGCTCATTCCGGGGCTTCGTAGAAAACCTCCTCGTGCACAAAACCCATCGAGGCAAGGGTGGTGCAAAGGCGCTGATGAGCGCAATAGAGGCAGAAGCCTTGAATCGTGGTCGAACGTTACTGGTAGGTCGCATCAGCTATATTGTGTTCGCATCTATATCATCACTTCCGTATGATGAGTTTGAAGAATATCATTGGTATGATAAAATAGCACTGACATGTCTTATTAGCTACTCGACACCGAGAGCGGCAGCCAGGCAGAAGCAGTTTTCAAGACACTCGGATACACTGAACTTGGAAAGGTTCCAGGATACGGCATGAGCCCAGCAGGAGGCTTGAGAGATGGCACATTTTTCTACAAGACGCTTCAGCTATGACAGGAAGACGTTGGCGCTAATCGACATTTTATGGAAGAAACTATTTTAGCGAATGGGCTGTAATAATAACGAATGAGACAAATTTGGCGTTTCTTAGAGACAGACTTGGCAAGCCCAGCGAATAGCAAGCATCCAAGGTCGCATTTACGATGCCACGTGGATGTAGGAATCTATGTAACCGCATATTATAGGCTAATGCGAGATTAACCTGTAGCTGGTTGATGAGAAGTTGGAACTGACAACGGCGGAGATCTCGTCCTGTTTTGGACAGTCGGTGAGAGAAAGGAGGAAGGTTGGCTTTTCATTCTGGAGATAGAATAAACCATTGAAGGCTTTGGTGATTCTTGTTTTTAAGCTTGAATTATTTTTAATATGATACAAACTGCCCATCGTTGATAGCCTGCACAGGCAGAATGGTAGATTTAGACCGATTACTATATCTACCATTAGTATTTATGTATGTCCCTATGGGATTCAGCTGCGAAACCACAAAGAGTTATCAAGTCCCTTGAGCATTATTACAATATAACCAACTGACTGCATGTACTAGGTAGTAGTGCTCTCACCTGCAAAGAGCAAGGCATCGATAGAGAGACAAATGTACACATGCTTCTCCAGTGGCGCATCAAGCTATCAAAAGTTCCGAGAAAAAAAAAGGCCCTCTTATCGGAGGACGCCGTCATTCAATTAATCCCTGTCGGCGCATACACAGAATCGCTCCCATTCGCCGCTCTTCGCCTTCTCAACTAGGGTCTCGGCACCGTGCCTTGTAGACAAGCGCGGACTTTGCTCAATGCGGCATGTCAAAAAGGGCATTTTGAAGTGCTCTTCTCTGTTTTTGTTCGCTTTCTGTATCGACTGACAAGGATGGCGGTGTGGGACGGCGTCAATTGTCGGCATGGTAGCTACACAAGCGCCGTGTATAATCTGGAGAAGTGTGTTGCCCCAAGGGAGTGCCTACATATAAAGCCAAGGGCGCGGCTGAGCTGCAGACGCTGATCTTCTTTTTCTTCTTTTCCCTCTTGTCTGCCTCGTATCAGTCCAGATCGTAGTTCTGGGATTGGCCCAAGGAATCGATAGTCGACATTTTACAGCTCGCAGCGATGCATCGCAACACCATCGCCGTGCTTGCTGGCGCCCAGCTTGCTGCTGCCGGCCTCTATCCCGGAATTACAGCGGACAATCACACTTGTGTGTTGTGTATGTTGTCACGAGTCCGATTGGCAAACAATTCATTGTTACGATGCTGAAGCTGACTACCCATAGCTGAACCGGTGTTGTCCTGCTCTAAAGGAGCTGTCCCCGAAAAGGTGGACACTTGCTGCGTCGAGACCTTTGGAGGATTGGTGGTGCGTATTACACTCCCTCCACCGCAACATTGATGCCGCGAAGCTGTTGTGAAGAATGTTGATTGACCGGAATTGCAGCTCCAAACCCAGTTCTGGGACACTCACTCCGGCTTCGAAAGCCAAGGACAGAAATATCCTCCCAACACGTGGACCATTCACGGTCTCTGGCCCGGTATGATTAGCTACTTCCCCTCCCCATTGTATAGCTTTGAAGACTAATAGCTCGATTAGATTTTTGCAATGGAAGCTATACCCAGTACTGCGACCTAAGGCATGCTCTCCCAACTCTTCTGTTCAATCAAACGGCCAGGCTGGTACATGTATTAATCGTGTGTTATTCATTATAGCCGCCAATATGACCCTTATCCTTCTCCCAATACAACCGACGGCACTCCCCATGGAACTCCCGTCCCTCCATACACCGGCCCATCGATCGACACCTTCTTCGAGCCGTACGGAAAGATGGATCTCCTCGCTTACATGAAAAAGTACTGGGTCAACCAGGGCGCTCCAAGCTGGGAGCTCTGGGCCCACGAATTCTCCAAGCACGCCACCTGCTACTCTACCTTTCAAAAGGAGTGCTACGTAAGACCCATCTTATAACTTGATTTATATCCACCCCCCAGCTCACAATTGGCATCATACAGGGACCCAAGGCCAGCGAATACGACGACCTCTTCCAATTCTATGAGACCGTAATCTCCTACTACAAGACTCTCCCCACCTGGCGCTGGCTCTCCGCCTCCAACATCCATCCTTCTAACAAAACCTCTTACTCTCTTTCCCACATCCAAGCCGCGCTGACCCACGGCTACGGCGTCATCCCCTACATCGGCTGCGGTGGTCCCAGATACAACGAGACAAAGGCCGGCAAAGGGTCTCATGACAACGGTGGCACGCAGCTGAACGAGGTGTGGTACTACTCCCACGTCTATGGCGCTCCCCAGCGAGACCAGGCCAAGCGAGTGCCTGCTGATATTGCCGGCGGTTCGCTGTCAAGCTGTGCCAAGACTCCGGGCGCCATCTGGTATTATGAGCGCGCTCCGGGCAGCGAGACGAAATAGGATTGGATTAGATGGAGAAAAAAACACACATAAGGTGCAGAACGGAATGAAAACACAATGAAGACAAAAATAAACAAAAAAACAACCCTTTCCATAGCTAAATCGTACAAACGCCGGCTCCATATAGGAGCGTCATGAAATAAACTCTAATCTGCCAATGAAATCCCTTTTTGCTATTTCTTCCAGCTTCTCTCTCACATCGCGAGCAGTTATACATATAATAAAGCTCCAATACACGCTCTCCAATGGGGGGCGACCCACTCCAGCCCTTTTCTTACAAATACATTTCCTGTCTTCATTCATCGTCTGCCAACTCCTCCACCTTGGGGGCCTCATAGGCCTTTTGCTGCTGGGGAGCGACGTCGACCTGTGTGTCGGTGCCTGTTGTCGTTGCAGTAGTCGGTGCGATTTGTCCAGTAGCCGCAGCCATAACAGAGTTAGTCGCAACAGACTTTGACTTCTTCTTCTTCTTCGGCTTCTCGGTCTAAAAGTTTGGTTAGATACTGCTATTTTGCGCAGATCAGAAAGAGAAGAGAGGAGCTTACCTCATGCCAAGCCCAAACTGGTCGGAAACTGTCCATGAAAGAAACGTCCTCCCAGAGGTTGGGGTACAGCCAGAGACCAGGGGGTACGACAAAGTATGTGATGCAGAACAGGATAACACGGAAAATAGCCATAGCGAAGAAGAGACCAAGAAGACCAAGCATGCCCCAGCTCAAGTAGTAAACACCTTGTCGCAGCTTCAGCGGCCAGAGAGGGTACAGCACGACGATGAAGATGATGACCAGGGCAAGGGCGGCATACAGCTGACGCTTGACCTGGCTACCTTCCCAAAGCCATACGTAGTACATTTCCTCCTTGGCCTCCTGCTGCTGCTCTATTCTGACATTCCACTGGCCCTTGACACGCTTGGGCTTCTTGCCGTTGGGGCCGGGCTGTGGCTCGAGCTTGGAAACTCGCAGCGCAAGCATGCTGAGGGGCAGCAGCTTAAAGGTGTTCTCTAGAGACGCCCGGTCGGTGATTTCTGGCAGCAGAGGATTCTTCTTTCGAGCCTTTTCATAAGCAGGGGACTGCAGCGCTCGCAGGGCACGCTTGACTGTGGATTCGGTCAGTTACATCCAAGTATGCATTTATACAAGTCAAATAGGGAAAACCTGTCTACACACCCTTGAACATGTCTTTGCGCTCGCCGTTCAGAATCGAGGTACGTGGCTTCAAGTCCTGGCTGCGCAAGAACTTGGCAACGGCCAGTCCCTTTGGATTCGGCGGGCCAGGGGTGATGGGCTGAGGCTGTCCCTGTTGAGGCTGGCCCTGCTGAGGGTGAGGGTGAGGGTGAGGGTGAGGGTGCGGGTGAGGATGGTTATGGCCCTCATGTCCTCCTTGCTGCTGCGCTTGCTGCTGCGCAGCGGCCTGTTGCATCGCGCGCATGCGCGCCATCTGCTGCTGCTTGATGTGCTCGATAAATTGAGGCACCGACATGCCAGCCTTTTGGGCATCTTCAGCAATCCTCTGTTGAATCTGCTGGATCTGCTCGGGCGTAGGCTGCTGTCCCATGAAACCTGGGCCAGGCATGGGCATTCCCATGGGCATTGCGCCTGGAGGCGGCCCTTGCGGCGGCGGCGCAGCCATAGCTATGCGTTCTTCTGGCGAATATTAAGAGAATGAAGGGAGGTAGGGCAGGAGCTCGATTCGTTGGGGGTAAAACGATGTGAGGTGAGAAAAAAAAATAAAAAAAAATTGAGTGAAAAACGCACGACCGCAAGGTTGTCAAACGGGTCTGTACGCTGTATTATAAAGTGGCATCTCGAAGTCACTGGTGCTGCCAACTGGACAGATAGCAATGTGTTCACTTTCATCTGACTGGTTGCGCCGGATCGTTTATTCCCCGATTTCCGGCTTTTCTCCAGCGGGTGTGACTTACACAGTTTCCCGCACAGTATTTGTAGCTTCAATGGGGAACTCGATATCGCACCGCATCGCGCAACTACTTCAAGCAATCGTCAACTCCAACTTGTAATCTAATCAAACGGAATGGGGGACCGACTCACGCAGCTGCAAGATGCAGTTGATCAGGTATAACCATTTTTCAATGGCGATGCGCATTGCGAGCTTAGCTTACTGACGGTGTATCACCTCCAGTTTGCACAGCAGCTCGTTGCTGCTATGCACTTTGTCCACGTCCACCACGATCTCCAGACGCTAGGACCGAAAGACAAGATCCGCGAACCCAAGGAGCAAGTTCCAAGAGAAGGTACGGAATGTTGCATTCAACGGGAGCTTAGGCGATCCTGCTGCTGATAATGCTTCTGTAGTGGACGCGCTGCCTCCTCAAGACTTTCGAGCTGGCATGGTCGAGCTGTCGCGCGACTTGATTGTTAAGGAGCAGCAAATCGAAGTCCTCATCTCCACGCTTCCTGGACTCGACAATAGTCAACAAGATCAAGAGCGGCATATCAAGGATCTCGAGGAAGATCTAAAGACGGCCAAGACGCAGCGGGTGGAAGCGCTGAAGGAGAGGGACAACATATTAACCGAACTTGACGCTATCATCCGCACCTTACGGCGGCCATGAGCTGTGCGTACCTCCATTTGGCATGCGTAACAGCTCGCCAACCTGCTTTATTTGCATAGCGAGGCGTTTGGGTTATCGAATCGAATCGGATCTCCATCATCATCTTTGAAAGATTACAGAATAGATTTGGGAAATACATATACTAATAATATGACTTTTTTTCTGCTAATTATAAGGTATCTATATGTATTGAATACGTCTATGTGGCTATCAATGAAGGTTCTAGTAATTGTAGGGTGTACGGTGCGCAGATCACCAGGTCTGAATAGACGCTGCTTGAGTTCCTCAAGATTCAGCAGAAGTGCTCTTGAAAAACTGGGGATAGACTTGTCGCAGCTCGCGTAGGTGGCGGATCTGATACTGCGACGCTTGAATCTTGGGAACTGGGATATCTTCCTCCACCAGGTGCGCTGCCGTCCAGCCCAGCTTCTTCGCAGCGGCGCAATTAGCGTAGCTATCGTCTACAAGCAGGATCAGTGATTTTTATTCTCGGTTTCGAACACCGGTGGGAGGCCCAAAGATGAAGAAATGAACTTACCAACGAAATAGCAGTCTTCCGCTTGATCCACTCCGGCATGCCTCATGGCCTTTTTATACATGTCTTCGTGAGGCTTGCAGATCAAGGGCATTTCGCCGTAATCGCAAAATGTGAGGCCTTCAAACTGATCCTCGATTCCGAGCAGTTTCACGACTCGCTTGCCGTGATTGACGTAGGCATTGGTGAGAAGCCACACTCTCACCTTGCTCCGGTCGATATCCTCGAGCAGCTGGCGCAGTTCTGGGTTGGGCTTGATGATGCCCTCCAAAGGCAGAGCGTCGTCGACCTTGGCGTTGTAGTCCAAGGGGTCAATCTGGTGGTGACGAACCAGCCCTTCAATAGCCAATCCATAGTTGGTGTAATATTCTTTGTGGAGTTTGACGGCCTCGTCAAAGGGCAGGCTGAGATGCTTTTCAAAGTACTTGTCAATCAGCTCAGCCATGAGATCGTGCACTTTGGTGCCTGAAGCCTGGTTAGAATCCGGGTTGAATCATGAGTCATGCTGTGCCGTTTGCTTCATACTTCTTGGGTAGAGACAGTTATCAATGTCACTAGAATTTTGTCAGAATTTTTTTTTTTACTTGATAGATCATGAATAATCTACTCACAAGAAGAGTACCGGCTTACCGGCCTTGGTGCCATTGGGAACAGTCATTGTGAGAGGTGGAGAATTGGGATATCCGTGCAGTGCTCGTAAGGCTATACCAAGAGATGGCTGCGGTCGAAAGTTGATATATGTCTTATTAAGTGTCTGACGAAGATTATTTGTGGACCGAAGAGTTAATGAGACGGGAAGCCTGTAAAAGCGCATGTGGTCGAGGGTGTGATGAATAAGGAAGCAGATATTTATCTGCCAAGCATGATGACTCCTACACCGGCATGTACTAAAGTGGTGCTAATTGTTACTAGTTGCTAACAATTCTGCCACTACACTAACTTCAGTGGCGGAGGTCGCCAAAGACCGCGAGTCTCAAACTGCTGGATAATTCTTCATATGCAAGAAAATGTGTCAAAGAAAGTGAACTTCTTCTAATATCGAATAATTGCAGCAAGCTAATGTGGTCAGCAAAGACGTCTGAATTCCCATCTTAATCAACTATCAACTTACTCTGTATGGTGGTGAAGATCGCTAACCGCCTTGCAATGTATAGGATATTGCAGAGTATAGCTTTCTCGCTTAGTCATTCAAAGAGATCGACTTCAGAATCGGAAAAGTGAAGCTCCTCGCTAGACATTAGGCCGAGGCGCTCATAAGAGTACATGTAGGAGGTATTAAGACTTTTGCTTTTTATGCAACATAAGTCGGCATGCCCGAAAACTTCCGCAGCGTGGATGCTCATTTATATGAGGAAGCTGGGAGCGTGATGTCACCACCAGAGATGGGTTATATGCTACCTGTGGACAAGCATTTCATGATTGAAGCATGTCAATACTAGGAAAATATATATATAGCGCCGACGGCGACCATAAGCAGGTGAGCGCTGTCTTCAACGTTATTTAGACAGGTGCTTTTGATCTGTATTTTTTGAACGGTCCATTTTGAGCATAATCTAGCTTATTTGAAGAATGTATAGCCCTTTCTCATGCCTACCTCCAAATTGAGTCACTATTAAAGAAAGAGCTGCATTGTCTAGTGCATATTGTAGCGGATTGAAGGAGGAGTTGGATCGGTGGGAAGTCTAGGTATGGAGCCACTCAGTACTAGTATAGAAAACAGTCTGTACTATTCATGATCACCAATATAAACTCTTTGAGAAATATTCCGCTTATATTTCTCTTCATTGCGGCAACGATGGCTGTATGATTGAGCTATGGCGTACCGCTTAGAGCACAGCGTCATTGAGCCCTCGTCGGTGTTGGCCAGATATACTACCAGCCCATGTACAATGGTACATGGGGCCCACTTTTATGGATTCTGCCCAAACGAGCCCTGTCACCGCCCAAATTATCTAGCTAAAGTTGCCTCAAAAGGGCCTCCTGACCTAGATTTGATGCTATCGTTGCTACTCCAGACATCAGCACATATCGATCACCCACTATGAGCGGTGCATCGTGGAAGTAACCGCTGATTGTTTCTTCTGCCAAGACGCTTCTGTAGCTTCTACAGAGAGCCGATTATTCAACGACGCGCGCAACGCTTTTTCCCCTTCGCGTGTCTCACCGCGCACTGTTGACGCGGCATTCCCGTCAATGCTAACCCAGAAAGTCTTTGTTTGCCATGAATCCTAGAGAAAACGGCTTGGCCGTTGCCGCCCAGGCAAACTCCATTGCATCAACCAAGCTGACAGAGAAAGAAGCAAGCGAGATTGCAGAGTACGAAAAGATACTGCGATTTCGCGATGCTATCCTTTCTGGAGAGCACCCAACCATCAAGATTCAAGGGAACGTAGCTCTCTCATCCAATGCCATCCCCAGCGATACAAGAGCGCCATCAGAACCCGGTGAAGTAGACACAAGGTCACGCGCTCCAAAGCCGCCTTTTGCAAGTACCCAGAATCAGAACCCTACTTTCCCGCCGCACTTAGCGGATGCTGGTGCTAAACCAACTGATTCTAAACACCCAAGACCATTTGGGGCTGGGGCTGGGGCTGGGACGACGCAGATCAATCCCATTTTTCTTGAAAAATCTGACGAACTTGTTAGGGCTGAAATCCAGCTTCAGAGACAAAGGCTTGAACGTGCCCTAAGAGAAGAACTTGAGAACCATCGAAACACGAGGCACGCAGAGCCCGTCATCGAATTTGATCTATCTGATGTGCTCGCCAAGGCCTTGACCCTTGTTCAAGCCTCTGCTACATCTTTTGCGGCCAATAGAGGCTTGACTGCTAATTCTGCAAGTGATTCTTTCGACGATAGAACATACTACTCCTCGCAGCATGAAACGCCTGAATCTAATCTAACTTCACGTGTGCGCCGCTCAACCGATGAGGGGATGACGATGGTTGACGGCCGCAGGAGATCTCAATCAAGGCCTCGTGAAAGCTTGAACAGTGGTAGCCATGTGGCAGCTGCTGTGAGAGACTACCCGGCCGCAGGCCCTTCATCTCAGCCCTCGTACCAAGCTCCTGTTCCGACGGCGAACACTACTATCAGTAGGCCAGGAAAGCAGCAGGTTCCTGGCCTTCATCATTTGCATGTCGATAGTGGAAACCTACCAGTTGCCCACGCTCCAGCCATTGCTGCCATCGGCACTGGTACAGAGGCCAACCGGGCTGCAGAAACAGACCACCAGGGCCCTGAACACAGCGTACCTCAGTCTGATCAGAATCAACCTGGGCAGCCACTCCCCCCTTTGATTCGGAATCATAACTTGATACCTGTTGCCCCTCAGCCGGCAAAGATTGCACCCTTGACCGTAGTCAACGTGCAAACCCCCGTCGCTGAACCAGTATCCGCGCCTCTAGTTGCACCAGCACAAGCGCAGGTGGCAGCTCTTAGGAATGAGCCTGCTGCTGCTGCTGTCTCCGACAGCTCTTCCCAGGGTGCGAGAGATGGGGACCAGAGAAGAAAGAAGAAGAAGAGAAAGGCCGAACGGCAAGCGCCAGAGGCCGAGGCCAGCCCTCGCATCAAAGTTGAGCCTCGTTCACAATCGCCCGTGACAGCTCCAGCGTACATCAGGCCCAGCAAACGACAGAGACAATCTCAAGGACATGCTAATGAATCTGAACGATCTGAGCCGAGATTAACCCAGCCTCCATCAAATGCTTCCTATGAGCGGCAATCATCACAGGTATATCGAGGCGAGCGAGCTCCCGTAACCTACCAGGCTCCTGACCCTAGGCGAATTGTTCTTCGCCATGCTCCGGGCACAGAGCCCGCTACTGCTCTCAACTATGACAGAGATTTCATCGATGATCGTCATGTATCTGGCGAGGGCTTCATACGCGCGCCTCCTTCAGGCGAGCACTACGTACGCCGGGATTACGCACGTGAGACGGATGCTTTGAATAGACTAAGGCATGGGACGATTGTGAGAGAGCCATACGTCATCTCGGAAGGCCCATATCGAGAACCTACACGCGTCTATCACGAGCCTCTTGAAGCGCCACGAGCGAGCGTACATCCAGAGGGTGAGTCTTTCATAGTTCCTCCCCGGCCACCAACGCGGGTTATGGTAGATTCATATGGACGAGAGTACATCGAACCTGCACTTTCCTCTGCCCGGCAATCTGTTGCCCCCTTGCCCCGATCTGGAGAGCCAGAGGTAGTTTATGAGCGACTACCCACCCAGTCCTTGTCAGGCCACCCTGGGGCTGGAGTACCATACAATGAAAGCGGTGTGGTGTACGCCAGACCTCTATCTGTCTACGATCCCGCCAATAGAGTATATGTATCTCAGCCACCCGAGTATCCTTACGACCATAGGGATGGTCAGTATCGTGAACATCAGTTACAGCAAAGAGGCTATATTCAACTTGCGGGACCTCATGATCGCAGAATCGTCGAGGAACGGCCGATAGAGTATGCCTCGCGAGCGGTTGGCTACCAGCCACCCGATCGGGTGCGGCTCGAAACTACTGCCCAACCATATTATCGCATGCATAGCACACACCCCGAGGCTGGCGGGAGAGAACCCACCTCTGCTTCGACTCTCCGCTATGACAGTCGCCGCCCTGATGGCCCTCAGCCGTACATCAGGGAATATGTTGGCAGTCCTATGCAGCGACCACCAACTGTTCACAGAGAATACAGCGTGCGGCCCTCTGAGCGATACCAGGGGCCTCCAGCGCCTGCAAGGGGATCCAATGAGATTGCCTTCATTGAGCAGCCTCGGGCAGCAACACGGGAAATCGTGTACGTGGATGACGTCCGAAGAGAAGTTTATCGGTAAGGAGCGGCTACATAACCGACTCTTTTTTTCTTTTCTTTTCTATGTCGCGTTTGTATAAGATCTTGTATGACTACTTTTTCGGAAAAGGCACCTGGGACCTAGCAAAATGGAACAAGGATAAGGCATTTGGCATTTGGCAACTGGCTCAAAAAGGCTACTGGTATAAAAGCGTATAGGTGATTGAATTTTCAAACATTGGAGGACAGTGGATTTCTATGGCCCATACTGAGGCTGCAAATACGCAAATAACTTGAGCATGTACTCTTGAGCTATAATGAAGCTATCAAAGTATCGAAAACAAAATGGGAGTCCATAGGTAAACATTGCTATATCATGAAATATGCTCCAAAGAAAAAAAAAATGATTCACAGTATTGCGCCATAAACTACCTAGTTTAGCAAGCTAGAGGCGTCTACATTCATGCAAGAAATAGCCCAATGATGTACAAAGGGAGCGTTTGGTCAGAACTATCACTTTTCATGTTTTCTGATTTTCGTCCGGCTTGCTTTAGACAAGTTACAAGTTTTTTTTCTCCCTCATACGATGATTTAGTGTGGCGATCTTGTAGGTAGCTGCCCCTGACTTGGAATAGGAGTTGCCGTATTTTGTTTTTGTTTTGTTTAGCAAGACTACTGTACGTGTGGCTTTTGCGTGACATTGAGAAATCGAGGCGAGTCAGGCATCTGGGACATTGATTCTCAGGCGGCAGAGGTAGCAATACTTCCGTGTGGCTATCACAAGCCAAGACATGTCCTCCAAATTCACGCAAGCACGCGGCAGAGACAAACGGTGCACATTGGTGATACATACATATGTACTCCGTACCACCGGATCAGAACCCGAGGCCCCGAGGGGTGTTGGTAAGAACCGTTGGCCAGTATGTTACAAATTGAAATACGGTATGCGCCTATTGCATAGGGTCAGTTTTCTGGCGATTACTGCATCTGAAGGATGAGTTGGTTGTGGCTGGACTAGCTATGACGGAGATCAGAGCAAAGGACAACAAACGCCATGAGGTCATCAAGTAGCCAAGGGAAAAAAAAAGGAGCTTTGAGCTCTTCCCACTCGGCCCGTGTCGGCATGAAATCGTCCGCCGGCTACGTGCTTTTCACTAGATGAACGAACCCGCACAGGGCCTCACTTTCACTTTTTGTTTCCCCTTCTCCGCCGTCCCTGTGGTCTGTCTGCATTCTGTGGGGAAAATAGCCATTGGAGAGGGAGGGTTTCGGTAGATTGCGCGCTAGAGCATGTACGTAGGAGGTTATTTGCTTCTTAGCTGCAAGTATCCGGGCACCGGATAAGACGGGATACCTCTTTTTGTTTTTAAAGTCGCAGACGGCAGAGGCGGAAAGGTTGGAGGACGGGTCATGGCCTGGTCCCATTTGGAGTATCAGCGTGGGATGTAGATGTGAGGGACCTGATGGTTTTGTCTTGTCTCCTTTTGTGGTGTTGGACAAGTAAGATGAGATCCTTTGCAGACGGCAGTATGATAAGTGGTACTTGATACTACTCCCAGTGTGACAATTGAAGTACAGTACAGTACTGCCGTCTTCTTTCTGATCAAACAAGCGATGGTGTCCACTTCAAACACAACCCCCATACGTACCGGATTCGCGGAATGGAATGGAGGCTCCAAAGTCGGTGCTTTCGGCTGGCCTCTGCTGGCGCACAACCTAGCTGAGCTGAACTGACGGCGGAGTTGGGGCGACAGGATAGGGAAAAGCCGACGGGACTCGAGTGTTTCAGAAAAGCTTGAGATTTTTTTCCCTTTTCCCTTTTTTTTTTTTTTTTTTTTTTTTTGTTGGTAGCACCCGGCTTAGTGTGTACCGTACGTAGTACATATACTCCTCTAGGTAGGATGTGATGGACGATGGTACTACAGAGCACACGGCCCTTTCAAACGTAACCAATGACCTTATCTCCAGCCCGTCACGGCTCCAGGATACAGCCGTGGCAGACACTCACTATCTTGCGTGGTTGATTCGATTAAGCAGGCAGAGTAGTAACCGGCCAAATTAACAAAGAATTGCGACTAAACCACGGCAGACACCCGCAGTGCGTATCACAGTGGCGACAGTACTCATTTTGAGACACGGCATATTTCGAGTCGGCTAAGCCAGATGGAGGGAGAGGTGCAAGACACATGTGTCAGTTCCGCCAACCTCTGCTCGTTCATTAATTCATGGTAGCTGCTTGTAACAAACACCAGAAAATCACAGCTGCACCGCCTTGTTAGGTTCTTGTATGGCGGCTCTTAGAGCATCAAGTGCCTCAGCAAGTATGTAGTGTATCCTGGTAGCATGCCCTATGAGCCTTCACGACGGCCGGCTTTGGAATTGTAACCAGCAGCAGTGCTAGCAGGGTTTCCTCCTTCATCCATTTCGTCGAACACCGACCGGAACATGCCAATTCCCGGAGCGCCGACCCGAGCCTGCTCGTATAATTAGTACGAAAATATCGAAGCCTCGCTTTGAGTGAATGAGCCCTCGTTTCGTCGAGGAACAGGGAAAAAGCTTGGTTGATGGGCGCCCCTCTCTCGCACATGCTCGCACATACTGTACTCGTATACATACAGCAATCGTCATGATTTGCTATTTTCTGGAGGGCGGACCCACTGCATTCGTCGCTGAACCTGAAGATCTTGGTGTCGATCCTGGCATCACGGAGAGGTAGAATGCCAGTCAAATCTAGCTGGCAACGCCCCGGCAAGCCAAGGAGAAGGAGACGAAGAAAGCGTAAGCACTGAGACTCGGTTGTATGCGTGCTGTTGCACAAGCCGATATCAACACAAGTGCGCAGCATCCCCTACGCTGTCTCTCGGTGGATGATCTGGGTGATCCAAGGTGGCTCAGTGGGTGAGGGCTGCAGAGCTTGCGTGTGCCACGGAGAGCAGCATGGATAGTCCCGGCCAGGCGATGTAGGGAGTGGACACGACGGTGGAGTCCGGGATCGAGAGCCTTCGTGCCTTATTGTGTAGCGAGTGGGTTTAGCCCGGTGGCAGAGAATCTGATCTTCGCACTCACAAACGCTAGAAGGAAAAGAAGCTAAGAGAATGCAAAAGACGGAAGCAAAAAAAAATTCAGAGAGTGAGGATTAAACTCTGCGTGCTGATGATCTCTTCGTATCCGGTGCAAGAGAGTCGAGGCCACTCTGTCGTCCTCATCGCGCTCGCAGGCTCTCTGATGAGCAGCAGACAACAGGTGCAGAAACAGGCTAGGGGTGCATAGGGCCAAGGTTTCGCAGCGAAGCCCATTCTGCTGACCACGGCATCTCGTTGGCTCTGCAGATTGGTGGTGCCGCAGTGGCCTCAGCCAGTAACGGCCGCGAGCTGCGATGTCTGCAGCAGCCTGTGGTGCTACGGCCCTTTGGATGCTAGCCCGCATGCCTTAGCATCCACTAACCCTGAGATATCTTAGCAGCAGCAGCGACATGTACACGCATGTACGGAGTACAAGCACGGGAAATAGCCAAATGCCCAAGATGGCCATGCTGTGAGCCGCTGTTCGGATGCGCAGAGGGAGCGTGCCGCATCTGCTGGTGGCCCCGAGCACAGACGATGCCTTGCCTTGTTGTTTTGTGCGGCGGCGAATGCCAGGACAAGACAAGGCATGGGTTCTGTCCAAGCTTTTGCATCTTCCATCTCACCAGGCAGGTAGGGTATCTGGAGGTAGGTATTCAGTACGTACCGCTGGTTGCGCGCACTAAGGTAAGTTCCATTGGTGGCTGCATCTAACCCCCCCGGCCGCCATCAAAGTACCGAGACCTACAAGTAGACTACCGGTACAGCTGGCTGCTGCTTGCAGTACTGTAGGTAGTCTACTAAATGTGCTATGTGTTAGCCTTGACGGCAGCACATTGTTATTGTCCATCGTGTCCCATATTGGGACTGTCTCTCACACTCCAGAGACAGCCCGCCTTTGCTGATAAAGCGCGCAGCAATGTAAGCGTGCTCCGGCCATTTCGTACCAAGTACCTCACTGCCCCATACACAGAACGCATCAGCGGTACTTGTGCCCGACAGCCTGCACGACCCCCGGCCAGCGCTTGGCGTACCTGGCGCCAGCGACCCACCACAGGTCTTGCCCAGCAGGCTCTAGGAACGCAGCGCACCTGTCCGGAGAACGGAACTCGAGCACTAGCATCCCAAGCGTGCACGGAGCCCTGGTGAGGCTTTGCTTCCGTGGTGCTGGGCCTGTCATTGTCTCTGGATCTCTTGGGGTGGGACAAAGCACCCGTTCGTACCTGTACTTTGCCACGACCCCGGTACACCTGTGTACCGCACAAGCATGTAGCACTTGGAGCACAGAGAGTGCGGTGCACTGCATATTGATCTGTCGCACAAAGAATTAGCAGTGCTGCCGTTAGCATGTATCGTCAGTGCATGTAGCAGTAAGTAATACCTACCTAGTAGTCGTAGTAGCACTCGGGAGGGCTGCTGATGCGCACAAGAGTGTGCTCGTGCTTACTCGGGCCACGCTGCGACTCCGTAGCATTGCAGCAAAATGCCCGTGTGGGTGGCGCCGGTGCGGTGCCGGTGCGGTGCGATGCAGTGCAGCTCCATATGCAGCAACGCAGGTAGTTGCGGCCCTTGTTGGCCTGTCTTGTGTACCGCACAGGTGCAGGCGATGCGCTTGTCGCTGCGTCTCTTGTCTGCGTCGCCCGCCGTGTACATGTCGGTAGCGGCAGCATATCCCTTATTTGTGCGCCTGCAGCCTGCTGTGCAACGCTGTTCCTTGCTTTCCCGGACCTAGGCATGGAACTCGAGTTTGCACCATGTGGATTTCGTGAGCCTGGCCTGGCCCACGAGAAGAAGAAAGATGCTACTACGGAGCACATGGTAAACGATTGCGTTCTTATGCCAAAACGAACCCTACCTTGGTGCTTCCTCGCATCGTCTTACCACTTTTACAGTAGTACCTCAGTGCCTTGCCTTATCTTGATGGCACTGTACACAATACAAGCATGCTCGTTCAAGGAGACGGCACAGCCCTGTCTGAGCCAGCCCTTGGGCTCCCTCAATGCTCGTAGTGTCCGTAGTATCTGCACCTTTCGCAGTATGGCTTTGAGGTGTGGAATCGAGCTGAGTCGGGCTGATAGAGGGCACTATTCTGGGCTCTTTTTCGAGACTGGTCGGTCTAAAGAAAAGAAATGCAGTTGCTCCAATACAGTAGCAGCACTGCCTAAGCTGTAGGCTCTTGGTCGGGTCAAGGTACAGTACTTGCCCATGTCCCGCCAGCTGGTACTTGTACCACGGGGGCTACTCAGCGCGGTCCAGGCCCCCGACAATCCCACAACTGACCACTGACCTCGCCTGACTAAAACATGCCTGGCCTCTCTCAGCAGCCACCCTCTTTTCTGCTCTGTTCCCTCTTCTCCAATCCGCTCTTCCCACCTCCCCTCTGGCTCTCCAACCTCTCTCGAGATACCTGGAAAAGGGCCTGTGTTTACCGGCTCTTGTTCCTTTTCTTTTCTTCTTCTTCATTTCTCCCAGCTGGATTCTTTTCTTTTTCTTTTTTTTATCTGTGCCCCGATCGATACCCCTTGCATTTTCAACCCCCCAGTCTCGTCCTGCTGATTCCCACCTCTGAGGCCGCCTTTTCCTCTCTTCCTCCCGCCATTGCGAATCACGTCGACTCGACCTCTTGCCCGGCCTTTGCTTCTTCTCGCACATCATGAATAAGCTGGCGAACATGCGCCACTGGTCCGAGAGGATGAGTCCAAACTTCGGCATGGGTCGACCCAGCGTGCCCATGAACAACCTGAACCAGCACTCGAAATCCGTCTCCCAGCCCGGCCTGCCTCTCACTTCTCCCGCCGCCGACGCTACGATACACTACTCGTTCAACATCCCGTTTGCCTCTGATCTGGCTGGTCCCAACACCGAAGACATTCTGCACGCTACCACCGATGCCGTTTTGAGATGGACGCACCCAGAGGACGCACCGGACGATGTCGACATCTTTGAGCTCCCTGCCCATGCCCAAAACCTGGCAAACCTGCGCAGGCTCTGCAGGGATTTGTCCAGCGGGCCTCTGCCCATCGAAGCTCAAGTCCTCGTCTCAGCCCCCAAGAATGGCAAGAGCCAGCAGATTACCACTGTCTGTCTGACGGGATCCCCGGAGCTCGTCAACAAGAGCCGGGAGACCATTTTGAACGAGATCCCCATCTCCATGGTATGCTCAATCCCTCCCCTCCAAGGGCCCTTGGGTGTAGTCGTAGTATGCTAACTCGCCATTTACAACTGCAGCGATGTATCACAATTGATATCGATGGAAACTTGGTCTGTGACCTGAGCGCTGGCGTACTCAAAAAGCCCGTCCTGGACAATCTGGATTACATTTCTAAATACTGCGGTGTCGACATCTTTCTGTTGGGGCCTAAATTGACACCAATGGTCGATGGAATGCTGGGTGATTCCGAGATGCGAATGGATCAACGCTGGAGAGTTGCAATCTACGGCGATATCTTGTCGTCCGAGCACGCCAAGGCCCGAGTGCTTGTTCAAATCGATACTTTGGTTCGTGCTTCCTTCCCCGCAACATGCCTTTGCATACTACATATTCTGACATGACTATCGTTTTAGCTTGGCCGAATGGTGGATGGTTTGAAAATTGAATCGTCCCTTCACCAGCTTGTCTGTGGACGACATCGCAAGAATATCAAGCTCATCGAGTCTTCAACCGGAACTGCCATCTATTTCCCTCCTCTCTTCTCGCAAATGTATCGCTACTGCCCACCCAATGCGAATCGGCGTGAGCCTGCAGACGTCTACATCACAGGAGACTCCCATCAGGCCCTTGAGCTGGCCAAGCAGAAGCTTCTTGAGACAGTTTCTCGCATTCGGCTCTTTGTCAAGGATGTAAATATTCCTGCTGCCAAACTCGACAACATCCTTCTAGGCCGCCTGGATAAGGTCCGCAAGATTCTCGAGGCCAATGGAACGTACATTATGCTTCCTCAGTTGGCATGCCAGCGCACAGCCGTCCGAGTTCACGGAAGTGAGGGCCTGCCCGTTGAACGCACCGTCCGGGAGCTCATGTCACTGGCTGGCCAGTTTTATGGCGCCGGATGGTACCTTCAACAGCCTGAAAACAGGACTCTTCCCGCCCCCCACGAAATTCACTCCATGCTCGCGGATATCTGCGCCAACTCTGATGCGGAGGTGTCCTTTGATAAGGCATCCTTTACCGTCACCGGCGCCGATGACTCTGTCAAGTCTGCCCTGGCCGCCATCTCGGAGTTGAAATTTGCAACCATCGCTCCCTATCAAATTCGTGTTAAGATTGAGCTTGCAAATGAGCACAAGGAGTTTGTGAGTGGTAAGAAGAACGGCAAGATCAACAAAATTATGGGACAAAGTAGGTTTCCCCGGACCCTGCATCCAACTTTTTCGTCGTCCTTTCGAACTAACCAAATATTTTTCTCTTCTTCAAGGCAATGTGCAGATCATTTTTGACGGCTTTAACGAATACAACTTCAATATCGACGTCATGGCTGCTACTTATGAATCCATGAAGCAAGGTCTAACCCTGGTTGAGCAGGAGATGCCGGCATCTATCTCTTTCCATGTGCCGGATCAGTACCACAAGCGCATCATTGGCATCGGCGGCCAGCACATTCAACGTATCATGAAGAAGCATTCCGTCTTTGTCAAGTTTTCAAACGCCATGGACAGAGGTGAGCAGGACCATAATTCATCAGTCTATTCTAATGAGAACGTTACTAAACAGCAAATCTTAGGTGGCATGGGACGTGAGGATGACGACATCAAAGTTGACAATGTCATTTGCCGCACGCCGGCTCGCAACGCCCAAAACCTGGACGCTGTCAAGAACGAGATTCTTGAAATGGTTGACCGAGCTGTATGTACTTTGAAATAGCCCGCAGAGGCAATTGTTTGACTAATTTGGATGCTGCAATAGGACTCCGAGTATACTTCTCAGATTGTTAGCGTTGATCGATTGTACCACCGCGAACTGATTGCTCGTCTCTCAGAAATTGACGAGCTTGAGCAAAAGTACAACTGCAAGATCAACTTTCCTAGCACTGAGCAGGCGAGTGACGAAGTCACTGTTACTGGCCCCCAGTGGCAGGTGCCTCATTGCGTTGATGAGTTTCTCGGCATGGTCCCCGATAGGCATGAATTGGTGCTTGCTCGTAGCGCCAAGCTGGTCAAGTTCCTGGAGTCTCCTGAGTTTGCGCATGATCTTGTCCCCAAGTTGAAGAGTCAGTATGAGGTGGAAGTTACTGTTCATCAGAACCCTGACGAGACCACCGAGGATGGCTCCCCCACTGCTACTCTCCTCTGGGGCTTCACGCGCAACAACGCAGGAGGTCTCCGAGACGCAATCGACTTTTTGCTCGCCCAGTTTGCTACTGCGGGCGTCGAGGCTGATATCGTCAAGGGCTCCATCCCGCGTCCCAAGTCCGATTCGTTTGAAGATACGCTTCAGTATTTCGATTCTAAGCTTCTTCAGCACGCACCCGCTTCGGCAGCCAGCGACTCTCCCATCAAGAATGCCTTCAATGCAGACATTGCTCGAGAACGCAGCAGCATTCTTGATCGCCTCAGGCGCCCGGGGAGCATGACGTCCATCTCTTCTTTCTTGGACCGCAGAAAGAACAGCTCACACTCGGCCGCCGGCAGCTTCTTCAAGGGCTCTGCCAACGTCTCCAAGTCGTCGCTCATCTCGATCGAGTCAACGCGCAGCTTCAACGCCGATCGAAACCCTTGGAACGACAGTGGTGTCAACCTGGCTGATGATGAGAACCCCTGGGCTCGTCCTATGAGCAACCACCACTTCGAGAGCAAGTTAACCATCCCCCTTCCCAAAGACGCCATCACTCCACGCCACACTACCCGTGCGTCCGGTGATAGCGGGCGACCTTCTACTTCACACTCTATGAATTCAGGATACCCCGCCCCCATTGGGCCTTTCCGTTAGACTTTGCCGAATTAGACCCATTACATGCGAATACCCCCCCGGCTGGATATACCCCGGAGCGTCCAAAATTGCATCATTTTCTGGCCTTTCACTTTTGCTGGAGATGTTGGCGCGTTCCTCTTTTTTCTGCTTGTTGCTCTGTTCCGTCTGATTTTTGCGTTTTTCCTCTTTCTTTCTTTCTTTCTTTCTTTTTCCTTATTTCCGTTCCTATTCAATTTGCTTTTTCATCTTTGTGATTATGTTTGTGTTGTGTTTTTGTCCTCGATTACCGTCTGTTTACGAGTCATCTTTCGCTTACTGAATTTCGTGATGTCAATCTTGATGGTTGGCATTCACTTTTTTATACCCATTTGAACGTCCCAGACGTTGAAACATAAAAATTGCGAAGAAAATACCCATAGGCGCAGGAGCTGAAGAATTTGGTTTGCAAGATTGATGATTTTGATTCCCTCATGGGGTCTCGCCAAGTAGCAGCATTGATGAGAGATGGATGGTAGTGGTTCAGCCTGGAAGAAGAGAGACATGAAGAAGAAAGGGGGGAAGGGGGGTCCGGTATACGCATTGCTGATGGAAAGCGTTATGTGTGTGTGTGTGCATGCGTGCATGTGCGTCTTACATTCATGTGGAAGGAGACGATTGAATTTTACATCCTAGATGAAAGTTCTGATGGCCTCTGATTTATACATATCCTTTTTTTTTTAAAGGGGGGACACAAAAGTGTCTTTTTTGTTTGTTTGCCTACACCATGTACGGTTACGACCTGTCAAAATGGAAAGATCATGATACCCATGGCATTAAATTTATATATCTCGAACGATGCGTGAGGTGATTCTGATGATGCAAGTGCTGTGATTGCGAAGACGATATCGAAGAGCGATTGAATTTCATCCCCCCTTATATATGATTTATCCAGATGCTCAACAGCAAGCTGACCCATTTCATAATCGTTCCGTATACTAGAAGCCATCTATGCACATAACATTGAGAGTATCGGTTTCCACTCCATCTATCCTAATCATACACTGCGTTGCTCATATATGTATATATGTTGTATATCCCAATAATCAATCACCCAGCCCTCCCCCCCCCAAAAAAAAAAACGCCTAAATAACGCCAGAAGTTGGAATATGCGCCCCTATCAATTCAAAAGAGTCCCTTTTTGTTCATCAAGCCGACAGCGGCCCAACCCTAACGTGCTCCCTATGCCGCCAACCGTCAAGCGTAGTCCTTGTCTTCTCCTTTCTTCGCTGCTCTGCTTCCATGCGTGCAAATAGGCCACGCGCCCCGTGCTTCAGCTTCGTGATCATATCGGCCGCTTTGCCCTTAGTCAGTCCCACAGTCGAAAGCGAGTTGCTGCTCTTTCCGCGCAGCTTGTTGATGAGATCAATCTGGCCCTGGGTCGGGGGCAGCCTCCTCCACGACTGGCGTCGCTCTATAAAGGTGTGTGGAAAGGCACCTGCGGCGTAACTGTCTGCGCCGTGGACTGCGTCGTCGAAGGTGGCGGCCTTGAGGATCTCGCGCGGAGCGCTGTAGGGCGACTTTGCGACGCCCAGGGGAAGGGCCCGGATCTCGACTGCGCGGTACGTAGGTGCTTCTGAGGAGCTGCCCTTTTGTTCGCCAGCGATTCTCTCGATGCGGATGTATGATCCACTGGGGGCGGAGAGGACGAAGCGCTCTGGGTCGACCTGGACCCAGGCGTATTGGCTGATGGAGCGGATGTGCCGCTCGCCGGAGGTGTCGGCGATCAGATCCAGGACCGAGGAGTAATCGGTGAAGGTAACGGCCGGAGAAGCGCTGGAGCTGGTACCGGAAGAATTTCCTTGTTGCTGCTGTTCTGCCTCTGCCGCCTTTCGGTCCTTGATCTTCCGCATGTCGTCGACCGAGGCTTTTTCAACTAATTCGTTGGGGTCAAGGCCAAACAGCGTCGGGGTAGTGACGATGCCCGTCTCAAGGCTAGAGACCATATCGATGATGTGGCAGTTCTTCTTGTCGGGGTGCAGTCTCATGCCGCGCCCAATCATCTGCACCAGCAGGTTGCGCGACCTCGTCGGCCTGCCCAGCACGATGCAGTCAATGTTGGGGATGTCGGTACCCTCGGTAAAGACGCCGCAGTTGACGAGCACGGGGAACTCGCGCTTCTTGAAAGCCTCGAGAGTGGCGCTCCTCTCCACCTTGGGCGTATCCCCCGTGACGAAGCGGGCGTCGAAGCCGAACTCGCGGAACTTCTTCGTCAGACCTGAAACGTGTGCAAGGTCGACGCAGAAGACGAGCGTAGATTTTCGGTCGGGTGCCTTGGCGAGCCAGCTGCGGACGGTGATCTCGTTGATGGTGTCGGTGTTGACGGCTTTGGAGAGCTCGCCTGCTTGAAAGTCGCCGAACGCGCCGCTCTTGACTTTGGACAGATTGGCGGAGGATTCGACTGTGGTGAAGACGACGTCTGAGAGCCATTTGTCTGATATCATGTCGACGTAGTCCTTGTGGTAGACGATCTCGTCGATCGCGGCACCGAGCTTGACCCCGTCGAATCGAGAGAAGGTGGCAGACACTCCAATCAGGATTGGCGAATTATACCTCTTCTGATCGAGACCGAAGTGCTTCAAGGTCCTGAGATAGCCCGGAGCAACGATGTGATGAGCCTCATCAACGAGGACGAGCTTGAACTTTGCAGGATCGTACTTGTCCAGTCGGTCCCTGGACGTTATGCTCTGGACACTCGCAATGGTGATGTCTGCTGTGCCTGAGGCGTGGAGTGATCCCATTTCAATCTCGATCCTCTTATCAGGATACGCAAGCTGGCAGTGTCTGGCTGCTTGTTCTACCAGCTCACGGCGATGAGCCAGGATGAGAGTCTGGCTAGCATTTTTGACACGGTCGTAGACCTTGTCGATGAGCTGAGTGAAGATGACCTTTTGATGAGTTAATTAGCTTATTATTTACAACGCGGAAATGAAAATGAGACAAGGGAGGTTATTTACTGTTTTGCCACTACCGGTGGCCAAGGATATGCCAACCCTCTTATGCCCTCGTTCGAGAGACAGGACTACGGATTTGATGCATTCTTGTTGGTAATCCCGGAGCTTCAGCTTATTGCTGCGCAGAGGAGCGGCCGCAGCCGCATATTGCCTGGCCTGGCAGATCCAGGCTGCAGGGACGCCAGTCGCAGAATTAGGCCGGAAGAGACGTCTCACGACGGTTTGTAGCATTGCACATGGCGAGGTGTGCTCTCCAGATATCGAACCCGCCTCGAACGAAAAAAAGTTGGTGTAAGAGGAGTCTTCAGTAAATTTCAGCCACTGTGGCGCTAATCGGAGATGCTAGTGCTGCCGTGCTCAGGGAAGTGGCTGAGTCAGCTACTTACTCTAACTATGAGAAGCATGATTTTAGACTCCCGCAGCCAGCAGGGCTCAACTTGATATCTTTTTCTTTTTCCTTTTCTTTTATAATCGGAAATGACATCAAATTTGATGTTGATCTTTCCTCAACCATAATATTTGGTCCCAATTCGGTCGCTGCTACAATGTTTTCTCTCTCCATCGCAGTCTTTAGCGCTCCAGTGACCGAAGGACTATGGACCAAGATTCCGACTACTCATATGAGGAGCAAGAGGCGCCTGCCATCTCATCACCGCGGACCAAGATGAAGGAGGTTTCCAAGATACTTGCAGAAACTGAATTGAGCACTGGATATGAAAATAAGCTTGAACAGCCAGGCAGTAATGAAAGCGATTACGTTGGAGAAGATGAAGAAGGCGGTTATTCATCTGCTGCGGAAAGTGATAGCCAGGAGCTGCGATCGCAACTCAAGAGACCGCTAGATGATACGGAGCCGATATACAGGCCATTCAAACGGCAGAGAGGAGAACTGAATCTCGAATACTTGGAGCTTCTCAACAACGAAATCCAGGATGCTGCGCAGCAGAGCTCCTTTGGCGACCTAAAGGCACTCTCGGCGAGCCACATCGGCCTCACTCACTGGTCTACGGCAGAAAAGCAGAAATTTTTCGAAGTGGTAGCACGCCTCGGAAAATACGACCTCCCCGGCATTTCCACAAAGGTTGGAAGCAAGAGCGTGGCAGAGGTCAGCCACTACTTGGAGTTTCTCCAAGAAGCCTGCGAGTCAAGACGGCAGCAGCAAGGGTCTCGCACCATCTTGGAGCTTGCAGAGTATCCTGCTGCGGTAGAGATTAGCCAACAGTGCTGCCGTGCTGAAGAAGAGGCTGCAGATGAGATCTCGCTTAAACAAGAAGCGCGCGAGGAGATACGGGAGCGAAATCGATGGGGAGATGTATGGGACATTACGCCGAAAGTTGCCAGAAAACTCAGCAAAGCTATTCATAAGCAGGACGAAAACTTGGCCAGCATTCCCCAGTTTGCTCAGCTATTTCACTCTTCGACTTGGCTAGAACTTTCTGCGCGGATGTTTATGAACTCTTCAGTTCCGGGTAATAACTGGAACTCCATAGGCGGAGAACCTCCGTCAATGTGGGCAACTACTTTCGAAGACTTCCACTCATTAACTTTATCCATCACTCGCAGGCTTGTTCAAACAACCATCTTCATTGCAATGTCAAGGATCAGATCGAAGAACGCGACCAGAAAGAGGGTTAGAGACATGGTACAACTGCAGGATGTTGAAGCAGCCATTTCATCTCTGAATCTGACTTCTAAGCTGAATGAATCATGGGTTGGCAGCGCTCGAAGATTACGTCTGGATGTTTATGAAGATCCTACTGAAGGAGACGAGGAGTTTGATGAAGAGCGCATGACATATGAGGAGATAGAGAGAGCTTTATCCGGCGACAACACTAGTACGCCTGGAGAGCAAGCGCAGCCAGATACCCCCTTTTCCACCCAGCTGAGTGATGTTGAAGACGAAAACGATAATCTCTCGGATGTTCCAGCCGAATCAAGCAGATCACCTTCCCCTACAAATGAGGAAGAACGACAAATCGACATGGAGGCAGTGGAAGTCTTGGAATACTCGGTCATGGGAATCCGAAGTAATAATGCTACAAGAAAGGCTCTAAAGGCGTTCATAGCTACGGACCGGCAATTGGAGAGACAAGCTGAAGAAATCGATCAGTATGCCAGCTACAAGGCAGAGATTGAAATGTGGAGCTTGTTGCAGAAGAAGCCGCCCATGGAATTGCCAAAGAAGCATGACCCCGGCCCAGTGAGGCGATCAAACCTAAGTCTAGATAGCTTTTATCCCAGCGGACGGGATTGGGCGCACAGGCTGGCGTATTATAGCGAGTGGGAGACTCTGCCACTGTCTGAGCCGGAGCTGAAGCCGGGGTCTACAGAAGAGGAGGTTGTAATCAAGGAAGAAGCTGGGGATGAGGGCGGAGATGAGGCTGAGGAGGGAGACCGGGAAGAAGCCGAAGCCGAAGGCAATGAAGCTGAGAGTGTAGATGACGATAATGATAATGAAGAGGAGGAGGAGGAGGGGGAAGATGAAGAGGAAAGTATTGATACGGAACAGGAATAGATAGAATCAAAGGACCCAATTCAAGGACACACAACGCATAGTGAGTGGAAAGAGGAGACAAGCAAGCCATCCTTCTAGTTATTATAAAAATATAATGTGTTTGAAAATCGGGTATCTTGACTTTTAATCCAAGGTGCTTTGCCAAGTCCATAAAGGAAAAACAAAGAAACGCCACCATGCAGCTCTATCCAACGCTTCAACCTCCCCTTCCTCTCCCTCTTCTGCCTCGTCCGCGACCTCTTCCACGACCTCTCCCCGGGCCTCCCCTCGCCTGTTTCGGCGCGGGAGTTCCGCTCTCTGCGCTTCCGCTATCACTCTCTTCTGAGCCAGACTCTTCTTCCTCCTCGGACTCCTCCTCTTCATCTTCAGAATTTTCCACCACCTTTTCTATTTCCACCTTGGGCTGACTCGTCGCTCTTTTGCGGCCTCGCGTGCCCTTTGCGGGCTTTGCTGCTGTTGCTGCTGGTGACGGCGCAGAGGAAGACGCAGCAACACTCTCAGTATTCTCGACAGATACGCCTCTCGTCTTCGATGCAGTACCAGCTCGAGAGCGCTTCTGCGGAATGGAAGAGGACGGCGGGGGCGAAAGCTCCAGCTGGCGAGGCGACGTGGGCGCTTCGCTGGGGTCGGCGATGGCCCGCTGCAGCATCAATTCGCCGAATTCGTGGAACGGCAGCGAGAACTCGATATACTTGTCCTCGGCCTCGTCGTCGTCAAAGTTTTCCCGCTCGTCGATCAGGTCGAGGTCGTAGTAGGTGCGAAGCTTTTCCCAGATGTAGGGGATGCGCGTGTGTCGGTGGATGTCGGGATCGATGCCGTGGTTGCGCAGGTGTTCTGAGATTGCAATCATGCGAAAGTGCTTGTGCATTCCTAGAATGGGCATGTCTGGTCAGTATGGGGTTTCACAATTGCTCCCTCTCCCGCGGGACGAGACCAACCAGCAGGTTTCCAGCGAATGACGCCTTTGAACAGCGAGGATATCTGGTCATCGGTCCAGAGGTTGTCATATGGGGTCACGGGTATTATTGGCTTGAATGCCGAGGATAGAAATCCCGGTGTCGCGCTTAATCGAGGCGTATCAACGTCCATGGCGCTGTCTTCTCTGATGGTGGTTGGCGTTGAGGACACCTGCAGGCGCGAGCGCTTCTTTGGAGGCATTGTGGCGCAGTTTCGAGCCTGTAAGGCAGTAGTACTATTATAATATGTGAAGGAGAGGCAGGTGTGATAGAAGTAACTTGATAAGTCTAATCGATGTGCGATTCGAGATGCATTGAGTAGACAGGCAATGCTGACGACGGATCAAAAAAAGAACCAGAAGAATGAGGGCAGAGCTCAAAGCGTAAAGTTTTGGTGTTTGTTGCAGAGAGCAAAAAAGCATGAGATCATTGCTAGCTCTGGAGCTATCAGCCACTAATTTTCGCTGACAGCTGATTGACTGTTAGCGGCTACCAGCACTGGCACGGAGAACTGCCCGCGAAACAAACAAGCCGACTTTGATGCTTCTCAACGCCACCACCAAAGCTCCTGGGCTATCTTTCTTATTGCTTCGACAACGCGGTCTGCGCTGATGGCCTCAGTTGGCGCTTCTGCCGCATCTTATCCTCTATGCATCAATTGCTGAAGCGCGCGTGGAAGCCATGGCCAGCGATGGCTCCGACGAATATGTCTTTGCCATTCCCAACTTCTGGCAGCCATCGAAGCTGCTGCTAGACCTGGAGGCAGAGGCGCCCTCGAGCTTTTTCGCCAACGATCTCACAAGTATGCCATTGGCCATCCAACACACATATTTTGAGGTCTATGAGTTTTCTGAATGCTTACTTCTCTCCCCGCACGGCTAGACGCCTTGTCAAAGACAGACCCCGACCCCTTCGCGCTCGATCCCTTATCACCAACCCATGATGGTTTCTTCAAACTGATGCCGCTGCACGACACCCATAAAGAGCATGTTGAGACGGACAGCGAAAAGACTTCAGCCGCATCACCAGATTCAGAACCTATAGGACAACCAGAAAAGCCGCTGGACGATCCCCCAGCAGCGTTTAGCAGTGACGATAATGAAGATAGCGAAGAGAACGACATATGGCTGGAGCCGAGAATACCTGCCAAGCCGAAACCTCCGCATAGGACGTGGAATGGCTTCTTATCTGGCAATCCAGCCACAAAATTCCAGCCCATGATGGTCAGCGAGGCCGGTCCCGCTGCCTACGATGCCCTGCTGCGTTCTCCAAACGACCCGATGAAGCTCAGGAATACCGATACCCCGGTTGTTGATACGAAAACATATTTGTCTTCTTTGCTGGCTTTGGCGCTCGGCGGGGAGTCTGTACTCTTTACCAGAAAGGACGGCACGCAGAGCCTCAGGCCTGCACTGCCCAAAATGAGAGCCTCAGGATATTCTAGCCATGTCCTCCAGGCACTTGAGAACAAGTGCTTGAGATGCGGAAACACCTTGATGGGTCTGCGCGCGTTTGTGGATTCCGCCTTCTTGGATCACCCAAGCCGATGCGGAGTAGCTCTCGCCAGTACTATCAACCAGGTCCTCCAAGTTGTCCAAGAATGGGTGGCTTTTCATGGGCGAAACCCTCGCTCGCTCTTGCAGCTCCAGGCTACCGTTAACTCAGTCGTGGCCATCCTTCGACCATTCAAGGCCCTCATGTCACATCTGCGCAACGGCATTACGGACGAGGACATCTTGAATCTCGTGTTTCACCAAGCATACTCTGTTGATAACAATGAGGAGTATCTCCGCCAGATCATGCGGGAGGTACTGCGGAGAGTTTCTGGGCCTTGGATTGAGTTTCTTGAAGAGTGGATAGGGACAAGGCGCGAGCAAGGGCTGCCATTTACCAAGTCTAACCTGGGAGAAAGCAAGGGTTTTGTCAAGGTTGAGGCACGAGTCTTTCGGGATGATTTCGGTCGAGAGCTCGCAGAGGTTGATTACGTCTTGGACCCAAGTAAGATGCCGCCTTTTATGCCTGAAGATGTGACAGAGACGATATTTGAGACTGGGCGCAACTTGCGATTCATCCGGTCGTTTCATGAAGACCACCCACTGGCTCAACAAGATGTCATTGCGTCTAGCGATCCTCCCCAAGCCAAATGGCTCTACGACTGGGATGCTATACTGCGCCTTGAAAGCCGTGCTGTTGCGTATCGCGACTCGCTGATTGATGCCATTCGATCGAGCCGTGATGGCTACTCTCTGGGCTCTATGGCGGGATCCATTCATTCGCTGGCTGATAAACCAGGTTCTATTCTTTCATTCTTTGGTTTGGACCAAGTCGGAATGGAGGAGCGCATTGCAGCATCTATTGAACAGTTTGCTCAGCCAGTAGCCACCCACGATGCAGGAGACACTCTAAGTAGGATCGTGCGCGATCGACTTTCTGGGACACATATATCGACAATTGAACTCTCAAACTCTACCCCTCACTGGACATTGCTTCCCGTCCTGTCGTTCGGCGTTATTGCTTCGGCGCAGGCCCAAGTAGTTAATAAAGAGACTCTCAAGCTCCTTTTTACTGAACACAACCTACGAGATCACTTGAGACTACAGCGAGAATGCCAACTTTTAGGGAATGGTCTTCTTTGTAGCCGCCTCTCTCACGCTCTGTTTGATCCTAGTATGGACACGGCGGAGAGACGTTCAGGGGTCGCGAGGAGGAGCAATGTCATGGGCTTGCGATTAGGAGGACGCGACAACTGGCCCCCAGCAAGTTCAGAGCTGCGACTGGCGCTGATGGGTATACTTTCTGAATGCTACATCGCTAACCAGAATGATGGGAATTCGGAGAGGAGTGGCCGCCTCTTTGACAAGGCGAAATCTGGCCTACCGGGTGATATGAGCTTTGCTATAAGGGATCTATCCGAAGAAGAAATCGTCAAATGCACCAACCCCGACAGCCTTGAAGCCTTGGACTTTCTCCGCCTATCCTATACAGCGCCGCCGCAACTAAGCCCTATTATCACGCCGATGAATTTGCTACAGTACGACGGCATCTTCAAGTTCCTGTTACGTGTCTTGCGAATGACCTTTGTTGTTAACCAGCTCTTCCGCGACACAAACAGCCTAGCTCGTGACTGGGAGGATCCTGGCGATGCAACGCTGCGATTCGTAAAAGAAGCCCAACATTTTGTGGCGAGCGTGTCTACGTATTTCCTTGATACAGGCATCGCTGTTCCCTGGAGGGTGTTCGAGAGGAAGTTGGACCAAATAGAGGTAGATCTCCGCCGGCCGACAACGAGCAGTTCATCAGAGGATGTCCAGAGCCCGGATAAATTGCAAGACTTTCATTCACTCGTCCTGGATCGAATCATGCTTGCCTTGTTCCTCAGAAAGAGGCAGCAGCCGGTACTGAAGCTTCTGGAGGACATCTTTAATACCATTTTACGATTTGCAAAGCACGTCAGGCTAAAGTGGCTAAGCAGGCAAGGAGAAGAGACAGATGCCCAGACAAAGGCAGAGGCAGACCCCTCAACTTTATACGCAGAGTTTAAGAGGAAAGTGCAAATTTTCATTACAGTGTGTCGTAGCCTGTCGGAGAAGGCTCGTCGCACAGATGGAAAGAGAGGGAGAGAAGATAGGATATTCAAGGAGCAGTACGGGACTGGCGATGATAGCATGGTTGCGCAGCTCTTGGTCAAGCTTGATATGTTTGATTATTATCTTAAGCGATAGATGGACTACCTAGTTTATACGGGCGAATGAGGCGTCAAGCACATTTAGTGGAAATTTCGAGAAGAAAAAAACAATAATAAATTCATGATTAAATTTTATATATTTGATTTGAAACCCCGATTGTTGACCATTTACAACTTCTACTCTTGATATTCTCTTTACCTACTGCATTTTCTGTATGTCGGCATATATAGGTAGATCTATACCTTAGTAGGTAGATATACCTAGGTGCAGGTGGTCTAGAGCGGCTCGCTGCCCCTCCATTGACCGCCCGCTAAAGCGTAGAGAGATGCCCCCAATTTTGGTGCCCCTCGGCGCGTCTCCACGCGACCAAGACCGAGACTGGCTGAGCTAAACAATGACAGTCAATCGCATCAAGCATAGCAGCGCAGGAAGCATTCCGCCCGTTTACAATCTTTTTCCATGCTCCGAATCCATTAATTATCTGCTTTTTACTTGCGCCTCTGATCCAATCACAGCAACATGGCTCAACAAAGCGCCGCTCCACGCAATCTAAGCTTGACAGAAGAGCTCGAGAAGCTAGAGCAGTCTATAACTCTAACTTTGCAAGGTAGCTGGAATTCGTCCTCCTTCAGGCGCACCAAGAAGCTAAATCTGCTCTAGAGATTGACCATAACTTCAGCAAAGCTCATCGGATCGTCACAACGGGCATTTTGCCGGTGGTAGAGCGATATGGAGAGCATTCGCGAGCTGTCTGGGAAGCCTCCAAGGTATGCCAACAGCCTAACCCAGCTCCCTGTTTCCTTATGCATAACAGCCAGCTCATTGACCTTTTCACCGTCAGTTTTGGAAACAATTCTTCGAATCCTCAGCGAATGTATCGCTATCCGGCTATGAAGACCAGGCTCACGACAACGAACACGACGTCAGTGCCGCAGAGAGCAGCGCCATGAGAGAAGACTTCACGATCGATGTGACTGCCGACCAAGACGAGGAGGCAGCGAAAGCGAATGCGTCAGAGCACCACTCAGCACTACATGGCGACGAAACGATGCTGGACGACGCTGAGCTAGCAGGGAGCACGCCACGACCTCCGTCGACAAAACCTATCAAAGCCGAAAACCAGGCCGAAGCATCTCAGCTTGAGTCCTCTTACGAAGCCATGAGGCGCGAAATGCAACAAGAGGAAGATGTCGAAATGGCCGAAAAGGAACAGGAATCTGAAGCAGAGGAAGATTCATCCATCGTGTTTGCCCAACATACAGCGCGATTGCCAGATATTTCAGGGACGCCAAAGGAGACGCCAAAGGGGCTACCTAACCTGTTCAACAAGGATGGGTCAGTCCAACGACACGGCCAAAAGGATCCCCTGCTTCATCGCGTCCTTGACAAATCATACCGCCTACAGGCCACGCCTCACAAGCCGGCCGTTCGCATCTCGCCATTGAAAGGCAAGCAACCAGAGCTACAGCCGCAGAGGAGCGCATGGCAAGACTCCTCCATGTCGTCTCCCGAAATTGCCATCCCAAAGCTAAGAAGCGAGGCTTTCATGTCCCCGTATAAAACCAACGCACGGCAGCGTTTGGTGGCGGCAACTCAGGGCCCGAGAACGCCCGGCGTCAGCGTGCAGACGCCAGCCACTGCGAAGAAGACGCGGGATGTGTTTGCGACAGAGGGTAGCACCGCCGCCGGTTCTAAGAGAAAGGCAGACGAGATTAATTGGGAGAGCGATGACGATGATAATCTCGGAATGAGTCCGCCCAAGACAATTCAGTTTGCGCTGCCGCCCTCGAAATTGCTTCAGACGCCAGGTTAGTGTTACTGACAATCTATATCAGCAAATCCTCCTTTATAAAAGTTATGCTAACCATCTTTGTCTTTCTTGTTTCACACAGCACGAGAAGCTAGCAAGAGGATTGTTGACGATATCCTACTCGATGCTGGGGCGGGAGCAGACTCCTCCGAATATAGTCCATCTATGGTCAAGATGAATGAAGACATTCTCAACGATAGCTTCTAAGCGAAAGAAATGGAAAGAAAATATCGTCGACCCAGCAGGCCCAACGAAATATGAAGAGTTTTCTCGTGAAAGTATATTTAACTTTACAGATATTACTCACCTACTTCGCCCGACTTGGCGTATTCGAAACCATCATGTGCGCTTTTGGAGTGTCTAAGAGAAGATTCTTTTTTGTTGGAGTCAGATTCTTCATAGAATGTAAAACTTTCGAGCCATCTCACTTTGCTTCTTCCACATTGAGACCGTCGGCCGTGTGTCAGAATAGCACATGGGATGTCTCACCGATATCCGACCCTCGCCAAGAGACAACATGTGAACCTTACCAATGTACCGGTACTCTTCATACAAAAAGGAAATAATCACGATGTCACGCAATACAAAAAAAGGCGCAAAACCCTCAGCCACGCGCAGACTAAAATGTTTAAGCCTGAAGTTCCCGATACCCAGCATCCGCACTAAACAGGAAGGGAAGAGGGGTTTTTTATGCAAGGGAGGGCAGCCTGGTGTTTCGTTTTTTCCTCTTTCAGCTGGGCAATGTCTAATTACCTCCTCGAAAGATGATGCAAGACTGAATCGCGAGCCCGTCGTTTTGTGGTGTTGCGAGCGTTAGGTGTGTGTGGTGACAATCATTCTGGGGTAGTCATGGCTATGGCAAGCCGCTGTCTCATCCAACGCCCCTATATTACTCAATTTCTCTCCTCTCTTATCGTTAATCTTCCTTGTCTTTTTATACTTATTGTGCTATTCTTCTCTTTCCATCTTGTCCTGTTGTTATTCCTCGCTTGTCTTCTTGTCTTCTATCTGCTCTATCTCTTCCTTGGTTCTTCTATCTCCCCCTTTCTCTCTCTCTCTCTCTCTCTCTCTCTCTCTCTCTCTCTCCTCTTCAATCATATCTTCCGTCTCTGTAAATGGACCCCTACCATGAACACAGCTACGATGGACAACAGCACAGAACCTTCGATGGACCGTATTGTGGCTGAACACATCCATGAAAGAGCAATGTCCACCATCTTTCTGAATGAAAAGCTCATGAAAGGACCACCTCGTTTCAGGGAGGCAGACCTAAAGGATCCACGTCTCCGTCACTGCGCCTTTGACCCGGAGACTATTGTTTTCGAAGCTCGAATCGGAGGCGGGAAAGATGGCTACGTCTGGAGGGTTAAATTTGGCGACGAGGGACCATTTGTCCTGAAGGTTGTGAGTAACGACTCAGTTTAAAGAATAGCTGTATTCGCTCACTAATTGTGGTGACGATATACCGAAAAGTTCTGGGATCAAGTACCTCCTATCAAGGCTGGGGACTATTATTCGATGCAGCGAGAGTGCCAGAATGCTGCTATCCTTCAGATGATGGAGGCAGCCGTAGCAACGAAGCCAGTGCTTGTAAACGCTCGCCCCGAGACAAAACAGGCTGCTATATGGAACTATCTGTCATTTTCCGAAGAGAACTGCTCTCCGAGATATACCAGGGATCTTAGCGAGGCAGTTGCAGGCCCAAGGACCAGACTCATCTCATCATTACCACGTATGACCAAATGCTATGGCTGGCTGAAGCTGCCTAACGAGATTTGGATCGATCTGCCACCCCATCTGCAAGCCGTGAATGAAGATCCCAGAAAGCTCAGAACGCTTTTTGAAAATCACATGGGCTGCGTTGCGGTTATCTACGAGCTAGTTGAAGAAGGCGAAAATGAGATAGACACGGTGGAAGATGTTGATACATTTCTATGGCATGCTGGTTTTGCCTATGCGGTTGATCCACATCCAAAGAATTGGAAAAGCGGCGTCTTGGTCGATCACTCCGAAATTGTTCATATTCGCGGATATAAATGGAACATGGAGGATTACATCGGAAGGACAGCGGAGCAGATACTAGAAGGTGATGGAGCTGAGTAACAAAGGATTCGACCAGACGCAGAGATCATCACCTGGACCCCCCCCCAATTTTTCAATAGAGATTATCGTATGGACGAATGGCACGGCATAAACTGGATGGGCAATGAGGGTCTAATGGATTATATGGCAACTGGATTAGACGGAATCATTTAGACCACGACACTGGCTGCTCAACCGGTTGGACTATGACTAGAATGGCGATGTGGAAGAAGTTGAAAGTTGATCTATGTGTTTATTTGTCTGGAAAGTACAGAATGATGATGTTCCATGTCATTTTGGAGAAGGAGAGCTGCCATCTCTGCCGCGCTTCCACCCCCAAGACGACTGACTCCCTCGTCCATCTATTCTCATGCCCCTTTTTGTTCAGCTCTACACAATTATTTGTGCGGCTGAATCTAGAAGCTGAATCTAGGAATGTCATTACTTTTTCGCATATAGAAGCACTATTCCCATATCAATGATACAGACTAAATAGGGAACCACTCAGAGCCCAAGACACGGCACAGTAGCGCCCCAACACGACGCAAGGGAGGCTGCTCCAGCTTTTCGCACCACATGAGCATGAAGACAACAACCGAAAAGATTTTGGGTGTCAGTTGTTTCGGTATCGCTGGTGCGGAGTAACCCCTGCAAATCAGTTTTGCGGCAATGAGAATGTCACCATCTCCATCATCCCTTGTGTGAAGTCGCGATGCTATTGGACGCCATGAGAGCTCTGGCTGTCTCGTGCTTGGGAAAAGAAGAGGGAAAACAAAAAGAGAAAGGAAAAAAAAGAAAAGAAAATCAGGCGCCACTAATGTTACGGCGACATGATATAAAGGGAGAAACTGAATGGAGACTAGCCGTTATAGAAGTATCAGTACTTTGTTGCAACGAGGAAATATGGCTAATGTTTTCACGATGCCAAACATGAAGCCAGCCCTAGCAGAAAAATGAGACTGGGAGCTTTCTTTTTCTTTCTTTCCCCTCTCTCTTTTTTGGGGGTACCGCTTGCAAGACATTCCTCCCTGCCGCTTATTCTAGCCACGAGGGCATGCAAGGCTTAGACACTTTTTCTTTTCTTTTTTCTTTTTCTTTTTTTAAAAAAAATTCTTTTCCCACAGACAAAGTCTCAGACCAATTTTTCTAGGCGCCCGGATATCCTACGCACCATGCTACCTTGTCCTGCCCCATTTGGAACTAGCCGGGGAATGATGTCGGAAGCGTTGGAGGCCCCCAAGGTCGGAGCTGGAGCCGAGGGAATGAAGTGATAGGCGATATCCGATGGCTTGGGAGCAACCAGGTTGGCCGAGGATTGGGTGATGATGGGCTGACGTTGGCGGTCCCTGGTGATTTAGGTGGAATGACCAAGTTGGTGCTAGCATCTTGCAAGTCTCGAGGATATCAAGTATATTGTTCTTAGTCAGGCTGTGTAAAGTGATGCATGTCGAAATAGGAAGTTGGTAGTATATACTGCTTTCCATTACGATCTGCTACTAGGTACCATGATATCTGATGGCGATTTATTTTCAGCAAACTATATAGGTATATATATATTCTAGATTCTGTATGAAGAAATATTACTGGCTTGCAAATACATTGAGAGCCACATAATCCCGTGAACGCGTCTTCTCTTCTGTTCTAGAGACAAGTCATCATTTATTTCAATCACAAGATGAAGGCCAATCAAGTGGAATCTTGTTCAATTTCAACTTCTGAAAGAAAAAAAAAGAAGAAAAAAAACGGTATTTGGTAGACATATATGTAGTGTTTTAGATTGATGTAATCCTTCGCACTTTTCAGATATAGCTCTTGGGTACTTTACGCAAGCTTGGGCTAAAGGATAATATACACGTTGACTTGGCCATCTGACCATGGAGATCTGCGACCAACAATATCAAGATAATTATCCCTCATTTTTTTTTTTCCTGGGCTATTAAGCCAGTTTGTAGCCTTTGCAGACAACTTGCGCAGCTTACGTATAGAAAGACAAGTTTATAGTCTAAGGCGTCACAATAGATAGTCGTAACCTATAGCGAGATTTCGATAATGTAATCTCCAAGGTCTAGGTCATGGCTATTTCAAGTGTAGTAGTATACCTATATTCTCGAGGAAGGCCATGTGACTCCATTGGAAGAGCTACTGTCTATAACCTGTTACATCTTGCACATCAGTGCGCAATTCAAGGAGATCCCCGCTTTGAAGAAGGAAGGCAATCATCCAGTAGTATAAATCTTTCAATGCTGATAAAGTGAAACCAGTCAACAGTCAGAATGGGAAATTGCTCGTTGGAATCAAATAGAAATAATATATGTCTATAATTCAATCAAGTTGTCTGTTTAATATGCCCGTAACTCATCATTAACATTCGCCCTGTCCCAATATCATACCATGCTCTTTCACTCGCTGTGCTGTACATCTTAAAAAGCTCTCTATTTCGCGATCAAACAACAAAAGAAAGAAAAGAAAAGAAAAGAATAGTCCAAAAAGAAGTTGAGTAGTGGTGTGCTTATCGGAATCCACCGCGAGGCACCGCGCTCTCGTTGATGTTGGGTAATCTTGGTTCTTTGCGAGATGAGGAGCTTTTTGATGGTGATGAGGTCTTGCTCTTTCCTCCTAATAGACCCCTCTTCTCAGTAGCAACAGACGACAGTGAAGCGGTTTCGCTGCTGTCGTCTGCTCTGAGGTACGCCTCATCCCGGCGCTGTCCGTGGAGGATGCCGTTGAGCATCTGGCCTAGGCCGCGACGCTCAAGGCTTGGAGAGCGAGAGCCAGAAGGAGAGGAGGTGGAGGAAGTGGGCTTCTCAGCCTTTTTGCCTAGAGAGGGTCCGGGGCGTTCAGCCTTGCCAATGGAGAGGCCGCCGTTGTGTCCAATGAGAGACATGTTGTTGGTGTTTTCAGAAGAGTTGCCTGAGTTGCTGTTCATTTCAGTTGGTTTGATGTTTATGATTGTTGATGGAGCAGAGGTAAGAGGCATACAGTTGAGAATCAATTGTGATTGATTGCTGGGATTGCTGCTGTTGGCAAATTGTGTAGAAGCTGCGAGGAAGCTGCTGCTTTATAGAAGTTGTGATGGTAGTAGTGGTAGTAGTAGTAGTAGTAGTAGTGGTTGTTGTTGTTGTTGTTATTGTTGTTGATGTGATTGATGTGATTGATGTCTGCCTGAGATGGACCCAAGAACCAGGCATCCGCGAATCTATATATACTCGAATCTGGCCGTAAAGAAGCTTTAGAGCTCCCTCTGACCCCTACCAATGACATCCCCAATCATAGCTAAATTACTACATACTGCCACAACCACAACCACAGCCATGCGCCCTGGCCCACAGCCTACATCACGGCCACGAGGCTAGCGCGAACGGACAGACGCCAAGCCGATTGTTTCCAGAAAAATTTTGCTCTCGTCGTCTGCATCTGACAAGCCGGCAGACGCTAGACGATGGTCGAGGCTGCTTGTAAACGCACCACGACTCCAGAAAACACAGTCACAGTCACCGCTAGCCAAGCCGCGCACACTCAGCCCGGCTTTGACTCATGGCGCGGGTCAGCCGTCGTTCCGGGTACAAGTCGCGCGCCAAATGGGTCGCGGAGCCAAGCGAAGCTTGTCTTGCGGGGATGGATGGAGACGCCAGCGAGTGACGAGCCCGCAGGGGATGACGAGTTTCTGCCTGAATGAGTGCAACGACGTTTTGCTTACAGCACGATGGCTACGCAGACGCCTACGCACACAGATGGGATAGATGCGACCAACATGCGTGAACATTCCTACCGTGGATTAGCAGGTGGCAGTCATACGCACATACACGTTGCATGTAGTCTACATGTATGTACCTACCATCTTCTACCACGGCGATGCCGATTGCAAGGCTGCGCATCATGCCTCAGCCTCTCCGACTGTACGCGAAACGCATTGCCAGCCCAAACAGGAAATGTACCTTGGTGGAGGGGGAGTGAATCTCCTTCACGCTGTTTTGATGCGCGAGTGCATCTCATTCACGCCGTTTCACTTGCACCCAAAATTCGGGGCCACGATTGAAAGCTGGTGCCTGAGCTATATCAGGCCCGTCTACTCCAAGCTGCGGCCGCAGACACTCAATCCCGTAGGCGCCAGAATAATTAAAGAGCTGCCTACACATCATCCACCGTCTGGCCAAATGCATGTTACATGTGTCTTTTTCTTTGCCTTGCCTGGTTTTGCCTTGTTTTGCAAAGGAGGGCATCGCCATACGTCCAAAAGGATGCCTTGATCCCACCTGGAGGCCGCGCCGCCCAACTCGGGCAATCCATTGCCAAAACGAGTAGCCGTCTAACGACAAAACTGGTCAGTCAGTCATCTGCGGTGACGACAACCCAGCACGCAATGCTATCTGCAGGAGATGGCAGCATCAATACGCGTGTGTTTACGCAACCCCTCATAGCGCTGAGGCTAGAGCCGCCTTGGGTAGGTGTTGAATCCGCCTCATCTCGGCACAAAGTCTCCTCTGCTCATCCCCTTCGTCCAAAGCCGTGATTCCCTCTGCTTGGTCAAACTCTATATCCCGACAACTTGCGAACCTCTACATAGACATCGTCGTGCTGCGCCGGGATAGACTCACTCATCTTGCAGGGCGAAGCAGCGGCTACAGCACGTCGTGACTCTTCATCGCGCCCTGCAATTTCCGTTATGACTCCTCCTCCCAGCTCCCCTGTCAGCCTTATCCCAAACCGGCACAGCAGATCCCAATCGGCTGCGCGGCATTTGATGCGATTTGCTGAGACGTAGCAATGGTGTCCACATTCAAGCTGTCCCGTGGCTCTGGGGGTTTTTTTTTTTTTTTTTTTTTTTTTTTTTTTTTCATGGAGTCATCGCCGCTGGTCAATTGGGATGAAAGTGCAACTCTGTGTCCAGAAAGGGGTAGCGTGTGTGCTGGAGGGACATTCTATGCGTCAAAGGCATGTAAAATCATACATGAGCTTTCTTACAAGCCCGGCAGTTGGTTCCATGCAATCTCCGCCGTAAAATGCAATTGGATTCAAAGGTAAATCGGTGTTTGATTTTCAAAAGAATTTAAAAAACTTCATGAGAAATATGATTGCCTACCTAGCTGCGAAACCCACCTACATAAGCGTAAATATCGCTTACTGTAAGACACATTAATCAAAGTGGCTCCCAAAGCAATGACCATTGAGCAGAGCAGAGCAGACCATTGCCCCAAGATCCACGAGGCTTGGACGACGCTGATTATGGGGACTAGCAGCCAGATCTCTATACGAGGATCGCGTACACGTATTATGCCGCAAATGACATGAGATTTATGATCGATTCCCCTCTCCTGTTTCTGGGTACACACACTTTGTCATTAACGCAAATTTGCCTCATAAGTAGTAAGAACTTTATGTATATTAAAATAATAATAATAATAATAATAATAATAATAATTGACAAATTAAACGTATTCAGTATGTATCAATTCATATTCAGTTGATTGATCGTTTCAACAATGCATCTATACAAAGTGTTTAGCCCTTTGCAAAACAAAACAAAACCAAGCTAGTACTATATCCATTACCTTGATCTGTCATCTCGTCTTCTCCGCACTTATTGCTATGTGGAGCAGTCGCAGTATCCTGTACTCCACATGGCTGTATTCGGCCATACTGGTCACTGGTAGCTAGCACAATTTTGCTGAGCCACTCTTATCTCTTATCGATATGCACCACCTTATCGCTATCAGTAGAAAAATTTCCCAGTTGGAATCTCAAATTCTGCTACTGAGCGGCGACGGCGAGCGCTTGACGGACGGCCACGACAAACCACCATGGAGGATCAAGTGCATAAGCCGCATCGCAAGAGCAAGGAGAAGAAGCAGCACTCGGGAGGTAAGTGTCGCGTTCAATTGGGCACTTGAGACCTGCACAAAAATCGCCATGCAGATCGGATGTTGATTGAACCTGTGGTAGATCGCAATCCCAAGGCTTTTGCCGTTGCTAGACCCGGCAAGCTTCAGCGACAGGCTGCCAGATCTTCCGATGTACGTTTCCCATCTCCAAATCTTCTCCAACGCCTTTAGAGTGCGTAAGGTATTCAATATTGTTGCATATACTGACAACTTCCATTTCCAATCAGATCAAAGAAAAGCGTCTCCATGTCCCTCTCGTCGACAGACTTCCAGATGAGGCGCCACCGCGTCTCGTCGCCATCGTTGGCCCCCCGGGCGTTGGCAAGACGACTCTGCTAAAATCTCTCATTCGACGATATGCCAAGGAGACTCTTTCAGACCCTCAGGGCCCCATCACTGTCGTTACATCGAAGAAACAACGATTGACATTCATGGAATGCCCCAACGAGCTGGAAGCCATGGTGGACGTCGCCAAGGTTGCCGACATCATCCTTCTCATGATTGACGGCAACTATGGCTTCGAGATGGAGACTATGGAGTTTCTCAACATCTTGGCCGCCACTGGTATGCCTGGTAATGTCTTTGGTATCTTGACCCATTTGGATCTGTTTCGCAAACCGGCCGCTTTGAAGGATGCCAAGAAGCACCTTAAACGAAGACTGTGGACAGAGCTCTACCAGGGCGCTCATCTCTTCTACCTCTCTGGTGTCATGAATGGTAGATATCCCGATCGTGAGATCCACAACTTGTCTCGCTTCCTCTCCGTCATGAAGAACCCGCGACCTCTCGTCTGGCGAAACTCTCACCCGTACACCATCATTGATAGCTTCCGCGATATCACTCACCCCACCAAGATCGAAGAGGACCCCAAATGCGATCGATCAATCGTTCTATCAGGATACCTAAGAGGAACAAACTTTGCAACCCAGGGCCAGCGAGTGCATGTTGCCGGTCTGGGTGACTTCACCGTGTCTTCCATGGAAGTGCTGCCTGATCCTTGTCCTACTCCCGCCATGGAGCAGGCCTTGGCCAAAATCACTGGCAAAAAGGGGCGAAGAAGATTGGATGAAAAGGAAAAGAAGCTTTATGCTCCCATGTCTGATCGCAGCGGTCTGAAGATCGACGGCGATGCTATCTGGATTACCAGGGATAAAGGCTTCACATTTGACAAGGATGCGGGTTCCACTGAGCGTGGAGAGGGAGAGGAGATGATCATTGGCCTCCAGGCTGAGCGAAGATTACTCGGTCAGACAGAGGATGGAGTGCAACTGTTCAAGGGTGGCCGAGAAGTCAAGGAGCTAGCTGAGGAAGAAGATAGCGGCAGAAAGGAGCAGCGCAAAGCTAGAATTGCCGAGCGAGAAGACGGGGACGATGGAGAGAATGAAGACGACGAAGGCTTTGTCAGTGGCAGCGATGAGGAAGACCCAGACGAGGAAGAAGAGTTCAATGAGGGGAAACTGGGCAAAATGTTCCGCGGCAAAGCTGACAAGGAAGCCAATGGTGACGATGATCTTGCCTTTGCAGACAGCGATTCGGATCTTGGTTCCATTACAGACCTTGATGAGGATGCAGAGGATGACGAAGAATACGACTCTGATGAGGAGACTGCGGCCCTGAGATGGAAAGAAGGAATGGCCGACAGGGCTATGAAACTTCACTCCAGAAAACGTTCATACCACACCCCAGATCTAGCTCGTTATATATATGACGGCTCCATGACTGCCAGCGAGGCCCTGAAGAAGTGGAGGGGCGAGGAAGATGACTCGGAAGAGGAGGACATCGAAAATGACTCGGAAGATGAAGAATTTTTCAAAAAGAATTCACAGGAGAGCGAAGATCTGATCGAAGACCGATCAATACCAGATTACGACTACGAGGACCTGGCAGCCAAATGGGCCAATCAAGAGAACATTGAGGCTCTGAAGACAAAATTCACGTCGGGCAGGAAAGGTGGAGGCGGAGACGATGAAGATGAAGATGGCGAATTTGGCGGCTTTGATGACGATGACGAAGATGGCAATGGTGAAGGCGACGACGACAGCGAAGGTGACGGTGAATTCGAGGATTTGGAAGCTGATTCACAAAACCCCCCTCAGCAACAGTCAGCCGAAGATATACAGGCCGAGCGTGAGAAGAACGCCAAGAGAAAAGAGGAGCTCAAAGCTAGATTCGAGGAGGAGGACCGAGATGGTTTCATGAACGACAAGTCCAAAGCCCGACGAGAAGGAGGAGGCGATGGAGAGGAGGAATTCGGCGAGGACGACTGGTACGATGCTCAAAAGGCCATGATCCAGAAGCAGCTCGACATCAACAAAGAGGAGTTTGAAAATCTGGACGAGCGCCAGAGGGCTGCCGTCGAGGGCTATCGAGCCGGTAAATACGCGAAGCTGGTTCTGGAGGGCGTGCCCGCCGAGTTCATCTCCCGCTTCGACTCCCGGCAGCCCATCGTCGTCGGTGGCCTCTCGGCGACAGAAGACCGCTGGGGCTTCGTCCAGGTGCGCATCAAGCGTCACCGCTGGCACAAGAAGATCCTCAAGACAAACGACCCGCTCATCTTCTCCCTGGGCTGGCGCCGCTTCCAGACGCTGCCCATCTACAGCATCTCCGACTCGCGAACGCGCAACCGCATGCTCAAGTACACGCCTGAACATATGCACTGCTTCGCCACCGTTTATGCGCCACTGATCGCACCCAACACGGGTTTCGTGTGCTTCAACTCGTTCTCATCGCCTGGCTTCCGCATTGCCGCCACAGGCACCGTCCTCTCCGTCGACGAGTCCACCGAGATTGTCAAGAAGCTCAAGCTGACCGGTTCCCCTTACAAGATTTTCAAGAACACTGCCTTCATCAAGGGCATGTTCAACTCTGCCCTCGAGATTGCCAAGTTCGAAGGCGCCTCCGTCAAGACCGTCTCCGGCGTGCGCGGTCAGATCAAGCGTGCTCTCTCCAAGCCCGAGGGCCACTTCCGTGCCACCTTTGAGGACAAGATCCTGGCCAGCGACATCGTCTTCCTGCGTGCCTGGTACCCCATCAAGCCGCACCGCTTCTACAACCCTGCTTCCAACCTCATCGGCTGGCAGCCAATGCGCCTGACCGGCGAGGTCCGCCGCGCAGAGAACGTCGCCACACCGCAGCTCAAGAACTCGCAGTACCGCAAGATTGAGCGCCAGACCCGCCACTTCAACGGCCTGCAGGTGCCGCGTGCCCTCGCCGCCAACTTGCCCTTCCGGTCGCAGATTGTCCAGATGAAACCCCAGAAGAAGAAGACGTACATGCAGAAGCGCGCCGTCGTCCTAGGCTCCGAGGAGAAGCAAACGCGCGCCTTTATGCAGAAGGTGCTGACCGTCCACAACGAACAGGTCGCCAAACGCCGCGCCAAGAAGGAGGAGAATCGCGCTTCCTTCAAGAAGAAGCTGGCCGAGGGTGATGAGAAGAGAGAGGCTCGGGAGAAGAGGGAGAGCAAAGAATACTGGCGCAAGAACGGCCGCAAGAGGAGCGGCGGCGATGAAGATGGCGGCGGCGGCAAGAGGAGAAGGTGAAAAGCGTCCGATTTAGAGATATATATATATATAATGGCGGGAGTTGCGTACTTGTTAAGCATCACAAGTTGTTTTTGGCATCGGGGATAGAATTGGTTACTGTATCTACTACTATTAACTTGACTTATATACATACTTGTATAGCACCAAGGTTCTGCTACCATTGCACGCATACAAAAGTATGCCTGCTTGGCTACTTGATATCTTTATTTTTCTTTTCTCCATGTTCTTTTTCTCCTTCTTCTTTTCATATATGTCCCCTTGTATCGTCTTTCTTCCATCACATGCTTGTAAGCGCTCTGTAGAATTGCATCTATGCCGGCGGTCAAAAATGTGTCTCTGCTTTTCTGTCTCCCTTACGTCAAAGAAGCTGCCAAGTCAAAGGTCGCATCGTCTGCCTCGGCACCAGCAAATTGGCCAATCAGCCAATGACGGCAATGGAGCACGTGCCCCCCTGGGTCGAAGCAGCAGCTGATGCTGTAATCTGCAACTTTTTCTTCCTCGTGCCTTGAGCTAGAAGGGTGGGAGAAGCACAGGCGAGCACTTTTAGGCAGCTGATCGAATGACCATTTTTGGTGCTGCTGTGCTGAATGCTTGAGATCCCATCAGGATGGTTCCTTGTTCTACAGTATAGGTTATAGGATAAAAATGGAGACCGCGGAGAAGGAAGCTAAAGGGAAAAAGGTTTTGCGGGCAGATGCCGCCACTCCTCAGCGTATGAGAAGCCGCCGAGTAAGCGGTATCACCTGTATCCTGTATGACACGGTATAGTTGTAGCGGTTCATTCTAGATACGTAGCAAGCGACGTCTCCGGCCGCATCCAAGTAGATTGCATGGGGAGGGGTTTCGCATCAGAGAGGGCCTAAGCCTGTCTTGGTACTAAATCAATCTCTAACCTCTGACTTGTAGCAGCTTCTCATGCATGCGCGCGCACGGAGTCGATGATGCAGAAGCCTAGCAGTACTTAGTAGTAGGTAGGCCCTGGGTATACAGTATCATGCGTCTGGGTTTTTGCATGGCTTGAGATGGCATTATTGTACCTCCAAGTACAGATACAAGCTCGCTGCTCTCTGATGGGCTGCAGACTCGCGTCGGTGTCTCTGATGCCTTGGGCTGTTTGACCGCGGAAGCTGCATCCTTATACGCATCGCACTTGCCCGGCAAAAACTGCGACGATAGCGGGTGCGTCATTCATTGGTGGGCAGGTGACGAGTTGCTCTTGCTGCTTCTGCAGCTCCAAGTCCCGACCCTCGCCTTAGCGCCATCGTGTTGCATCACATCATGCCCGCAGCAGTCGAGTGGGCTTGTACCTGTGCGAGCCAAGCCTTGTACCTTCTTGCGTGTCTTTTCTCCGCAGAGAGACTCCACCGACGGAGCTACGGTACTTGTCCAAGCAGCGTCAGGGAGCTGCGGCAAGGAGTAGCAGGTAACCCCACTAGCACATGTTAATTTTGATTATGGATATTATTGGAAGGCGTTTGTTTCTTTGGTGGATAAAAAAAAAACGTAGATGAGATAGAGGTTAAATAAAGGGAGTCAAGCTAAAGAAAGTATGGGGATATAATTTTAAAAGGGAAGCGACAGGAAGAAGAAATAATCCTCCAAACAGCACAAGATCAAGCAATTTCTAGAGCTGCAAGAAAACAGGGAGGCAGCATCAAGGAGGGGCGCACCGGAAAACAAATAAGGAAAAATAGAAAAAAAGTGCAGCGTCACAACCACGTCGACACCTGCCGCTAACAAGCTCGCCCGTAGCTTCCACCAGACTTGCTTCGGTACCATCACATCACCTGGAAAAGAGCCTGGACCCGGGTTTCCAGCTGCCTAGCTCTCTTTTCTGGTCCTCTAAAAAAAAGCATCCCACCTGCCTGCTGCAGCGCCCTTTTCTTCCCCTCTTCCGAGCTGCGACTCTCTTCTCTCTTCTCTCTTCCATCAGTGTCCATCGCCTGAAACACACAGAAAAAGGTACGCAGTAAGAATCAGCAGCAGCAGACGAGTTGGCTTTTGCTTCTGCCTTGATTTCACCCATCTTGGCTCTGCGAAGCTGGCTTTTCTTCTTCTTCCTTTTCTGCGCTTCTCCTTTTTATTTTCCTAGCTCTGATACTGACACGACAGCTTTGCAGCGCCTACGACTCCAGAACCCAGAGCTTCCGACGACCTCCTTTCCGCCGCCACCGTTGCGCGACCGACAAACCCCTCCAACCAAGCTTCTCGACGACATACCCAAAAAAAATTCCCATCATCACAATGGCCGATTCTGCTGGCGCGGTAAACGGCCCCTCCAGTAAGGTACGTGGAAACGCAACCACCACACTTTCCATTTCCCACTTCTCTACAGCTGCGCTGCGATCGATCTCGTACCTACATATATGGGAACAAAGAGGCTCTCTTTTTTCCTCCCCCTTGTCCGGTAATATCATTGGCAGTGACGGGATGCTGACGCGTGGGTTGGGCAGTTTTGCATGTGATGACTCTAAGGCCTAAAGTCGCTGCCTTTTTTGGCCCCCTCTGGACGCAACTGACGAGGAGCTCTTAGAAGCCGCCAACGGCAATGCTGGACAGACTCTGACGCCGTATCATTCGCTCTTCAGGCATCTGTTTTCCTGGGAGAAGCCCCGTGAGTAGCGCCCGACACAAGCGGACTTATTCTTTATTTACTTTTGTCTCTTCTTACCTCAACTGCCTCATCCCTCTCGACTGCGCCATTGTATCCCACTACAGCTTTCCGGCTACCTAGTAGCAAGTATGCCACGACCTCTTGTGCTAACATTTTATTGCTTACCAAAGGTGACTCGGCCATCGCATATGCTTCCGTTGTTACCACCATCGTCGCTGTGAGGTACCTAAACCTCCTTAGCTGGACTCTTGGATTGTCCTGGATGGTCTTGGCCACCACTGTCGCTGCTGAGGTTTCCGGCAAGCTGATCCTTAACAATGGCCTGGCTTCCCAGTTCCGCCCACGCGAGTATTTCACCATTTCACGGGACACCTTTGAAGCCATGGTTAGCGATGCCCACGGATTGATCAACTTCTTCCTCATCGAAGCTCAGCGCATCGTTTTTGTTGAGAACATTGGCGTTTCGGCTGCTGTGAGTCGCGCACTTATTTTCTGCTCTTTTCTAATTTGGAGTGCTAATATCTCCCTTGCCTAGGCTTGCGTCGCTGCCTTTATCTCAGGCTTCCTCATCAAGGTCGCTCCCTACTGGGTTCTTGCCATCATTGCAACCACCATTGCTTTCTTCGCTCCTCTCGTCTACTCCACCAACCAGGAGTTCATTGATGAGCAGCTCAAGACGGCCGCCGATGCCATCAACGCCCAAACCGCCCAAGTTCGAGATGCTGCTCAGAAGCAGGCCGACCACCTTGCTGCCGTTGGAAAGCAGTATGCCGAAGACTATACTGGCAAGGTTCAGGACATTCTGCGCACTCGCAACCTTTCTCCTTCGGCGGCAAAGAAGTCTCCCGTCGAATTCCCCTCTCCTCCTACTGAGGAGCCCAAGGTTGCCGAACCAGCTGTCCCCCAGGAGCCTATCCATGCCTAAATGGGGCTTTTAGATCCGTAGGTGTGTTTACAGTCGAAGAGAAACGAATGCGAGCTTGAGCTATCCCTATGGCTGCTCTGTTTTACGTTCTCTACGCTGTAAATCATAACCCTACCACTGAGGTGATGGATATTTCCAAGATTGAAATCAAGATGGAGAGGATGCATGGTTTTAGGAGACGACGGTGTATCACCGTATCAGAGCATGATGATATCCGCTCAATTGGCACGAAAAGTTAAACATTTGGTGAACAGCAACTTTTTGTGCTGAGAAAGGCACATTCAATGGGGGGTGAGCGTGGAGGACAACGGCGTTTGCTACGAGACCGATAGGTTTATTTTTTGCAAATTCTTTTTCCGCTTTTCTTGTTATCAGTTTGGGATGGTCTTCTTTTTTAAACTCTACCTATCTTTTATCCTTGCCCTATGATGACAGTCTCCTTTTTTCTATATGGACTTTGGGGGCTGAGCAGACCAACTGTTTGGAATCCTGTCTTAGTCTACGTAGTGTGAACCGGTTTTGCAGGTTAGGTTGCATATTACTATCATCTCTTTTTTACTTGGCCGAGAATGCCTGAATTGCTCCGTATGTGATCCTTTTCAATAGTATATGTGCGAAATCTATACATTATATGATGTCACGAGCATGATAGCCATCTATGATGCCCCTCATCAAATGCATCTCAACTTGTGTATGTTTGCTACTATTTGCGTCTGCTAATGTCTGTTCTGTTCTGTTCAAGCTATCTAGCAAGCTGAATGCTTGCGTAAATCGTCATTTGACTGACCCGATTCCTATACCGTCAAAGGAAAAAAACAAACGACAAATAGGAAAACTCCGTGCTAAACAGGATAAAAAAAAAGATAAACAAACCCGCTCCATGAAATATGGGCTTTGTTCCCTAATACATAGATGAAAGGAGAGATAAGAAAGGAAATATACGAGCAGTTTCTCGAACCGCCCCAGGGAGACAAGTTTCTCTCTGTCTATTTCGTAAGGTCATTTGTCAACCCCCATCTCATAACTTGTTTGTGCCATCAATTGCTATGCTGTGTGCCCCCTGGATGAATGCGGATATTGGGTGAATAAGCCACGCAAGAGGCTCGTTTCCACAAATCTGCGCCTCTAGTATCAAGGTGCCCAGTAGCCAGCGACATATATATGTATATATGTATGTGTCTGTGTCTGTGTCTGTGTGTTTCTCTGTGTGGATGCGTATATATATATATATATATATGTATATTTCTCAATCCAATTTCGCTTGCCCAGTGACGCAATGCTATTATCCCATCTCTTCCATTTATTCATCTCTGCACCTCTCTTGTCGCTTCTCTCTTTTTTGCCTTACATGTCTTCTCACCTGCGCCAGCCCCAGAAACCACCACCACCTGATCCAGGAGACGTAGCTGCGGTCGTCGCAACTTTGGCGTTAGTCGAGCCTGGGGATACAGGACCGTTGGGGGAGTCGGCCTGGGCCTGAGCCTGGGCTTGAAGCTGAGCTTGAGCGTGATTATACATCTTCTTCATCGCCTCCAGCTGCTGCTTCGCCTCTTCGGCCTCTTGCTTGGCAATAGCCTGCACCGTCTTTGCTTGCGCAAGTTCCATCAGCAGCGTATCGAGGTCATTCTGAGGCGATTTGCTCTCGTCTGACGCCAATGGTGTTGGGGGCATCGACGCCGGTAGCGGTGGCACCAGGTCGTTGTTCTGCATCACCGAGGACTTTCGTCTGTTATATGATGAGCCCTGGGAAGCCATGGACTTACTACGTCCAAGCTTAAACTCCCTCAGCCCAGCGGGGGGCTTGGGAGTCCACTCTGTTCCCGTATCGAGACCTCCCAGGCCCGGATCACTGGATGTTGGTCTGGCTCGCAAAGCTTGTATCTGCTTTTCAAGCCGCTGCTTGTCCTGGTGAAGGGTCCTAACGTGGCTGTGACTTTCCCGGATTTGCTCTTTCAGAGATGACATCTCCTGGTCCAAGTCGTGTATCTGCCGGCTGAAATTCTGGTTCTGCGACATGGCACTGGCAAGCTGGTCTTTGGCCTGCTGTAGCTCAATCTGCAATTCCGAGTTCGTGCCAGATGCTGATGGCTGAGATTTACTCTTGTTGCCATCGTCACTGTCAGTTCCATTTCCAAAGCGGCTTTCCACTCTATCAAGCAGCTCTTCCAAGTCTTCTGCAGATGGCGCATCTGATATATCGGCCAAGTCATCATCAGCCGATTTCTCTGCTTCGTCTTCTTCTTCCTTCTCTTCATCCTCTCCTTGTTCATCATCATTTCCAGTAGCCTCTTTAGAGCTCTTCAAACTATCTTTTCCATCCTCCTCCTCCGCCTCCTCTTCTTCTTCTTCCTCTTCTTCTTCCTCGTCTGATTCCTCATCCGCGAGGCTTACTCTCTTCCTGAGCCCGTCCAAGAGAGATCGAACAGCTTTTCGGTCCTCTTCTCTCTCCTCTCGTTCGCGTTTCAGTTCGCTCGACAGCAGCGCATGATTACGCTGCAGCTCGCTTAGCACGGTGAGGAGATCTTCAATTTGGCCATGCAAATGCTTATCGTCTGTGTTCTTGCTGCTGCTGGCAGCGACCTTGGGTGCTACCGGGGTTGATTCTCGGCTTGCAGAATCGTCCTCGGTAGTGTTTGAAGAGTCTCTTGACACAGTAGTGGCATCTGTCGAGGATGAACTCATAACACTGGCGGAGCTTGCCTCAACCGAGTTTAGGGTGGAGGCAAGGCTTTGTTTGGAGGTGCTCCGACGCAACATACTCAATGGCCTTGATGGTGCACTGAAACCTGGAGCCAAGCCTGAGCTTCTGGGGAATGCACCAGACGATGCCCAGATGCGACCTAGGAAACGGGCGGCAGCGGTTGCAATATCAGATGTGCGGGCGGTATTGGCGGTCGCAACTAGAGATTCACGGTATCCCTGCTCCAGCTGGGCGAGCTTCTCTCGAGTGACAATGCCAGTGAGGCTGGCGAAATCTTGCACAAACTCGTCGGCGTTGTAGTGGTAGCAATCCCATAAACCCCTGGACAAGAGGAGCTGCATCACATCTTCAAGCTCAGTGCAAGATAGCAACCTAGCCTCGTTCCTCCGCATTAGTGATAGTGCGACGCGCATTAGTGTCTCAGGTGCGCCCTCGGCGAAAATCACGTCGTAAATGCGGAATAGCATCGGCAGGGGGCAGGTGGTTGCAAAGAAACTTAGGAACCACTGCGAGACGTAGGCTGTTTCTACCTGCAGATCTTCCAGGTGGCTCCACAGCGCGGGGAGATTGGCTCTCAAGAGCTCTCGGAATTGGTATATTCGCACATGAAGTCCCGAAAGATCTGGTAGAAAGCAGCTTCTCAGGTCATAGCGCTCCATGAGCCTATACAAAAGGGAGAAAAGGTTAGTATTACGTGTGCCACATCACATCGGGTCGGGTCGGGTCGGTCGAAGGGCTAGAGTCGTGCCACCATTGACTCTAAATTGAGAGTTGCAGAGGCAGCAGGGAGATGAGCAGGGGAGAAAAGCAGAAGAAGAAAAACAAAAACTCCTTACCGAACCAAAATACAGAATGCCTGTTTGTCAGGCATGTGCATCAACAGAGGGCCAACAAGAAACGCGAGGCCTTGACAGTATCCGATCTTGGTATCATACAGACTAAATGTCTTCAACACGCGCCCAAGCATACGCTGGCCGTCTCCGTCAGGGTCGCGAAACATTTCAACACCAGGAAAACTCCGGCCGAGATCCTTGCCAATGAGACCCTCATACGGGCTAGATTCACCATTGAGTCGCTCGTACTGCTCCTCCAAGTCGTGGTCACGAGAGCCAGACATGCTCTGCCACACAACGCCTCTCAGCGGCGGGGGGATTCCCTTGCGAATCTTGTTGGACAGCAGCGTGGGGAGTCTGGCTGCGGTCTGCTGGTAGTCCTTGACGAGAGCCGCGTAGAATTCGAGATCTGTCATTGGCGGCGGAGGCAGCATCGAGTATCGTAACGCGGCGGGCGTGGGCCCTCGAACCATCTTACGGAGCATAGCCATTGATGGTGGGCGCGGCCTGTTTGGCGGAGGCTTCTCGACGAGCTGGACCTTGACGGTCTTTGGATTTGTCGCCAACTTGGCATTTTCCTGTTCTAAACGGGCCAGAAGCAGAGCGGTGGACTAGAATACACAAGGGTCACAGTCAGTGAGGAAACTTGGAGCACACGAATAATGGCCAGCATGTCTCAATACACGTACGTTATCAGTCTCTTCGTCTTTGGTCTGTTCGTCTTCCGTCTTTTCAAGCTTTTCCCAGTTGACCTCCTCTGAATCCGAGCCATCGCTATCGGCATCGTCATACTCTCCGAGTTCATCATGGAGGCTACGGTTTGCCTCTGCGGAGGCAGACAAGGTGGCGGTCGAGTTTCGAGCGGCGTCTGGCGCATCAGAGCTGGTGATTTCCTCGATCGGCTCGCTGGTCGCTGGCAGCGTAGGTACCTCGGGTATATCACTATTTCGAGCAGAGGCGGTTTCCAACGTCAGGGTTGGCGGCTCGGAAAGCCTTACGGTCACCAGTGAATCACGGGTCGTCTTTGGGGTTACAACTTCGGCTTCGTCGATGGGCTTTGGGACTGTGTCGGCGGCGGCCATGACTGGCGTGGACGGCTCACGGCCGCTCAGCTTCTCGCCCGAGTCCATTGCCATCGAGGAGGGCCCTCGTAGCTGGTTGACGAGAGCGGGTTTGGTAGGGTTTGGGTTTCGCTGTGTAGTGGGCTCTCGACTCTTGACAGTTGGCGATCAGTAACTCGCAGTGCCGGGCAGGCTGGGTCGCTCCAGCGCCTTTGTCCCTTTGTCCAGGGGAGGGCTTGAGAGCTCAGATAGCGGCTTGCTCCTCCTTTCTGACGCTGCAACGCAGACAACGCAGAGGTGGTTCGATTCAAGGCCTGGTATGCGAGCAGCAACACCTATTTCGTGCCAGGTAGCAGCAGCAGCAGCGCCTCGTAGGCAGGCAGATCAGATGCAGCAAGGCACTAGAGACTCCGAATCTGCGCCGGCAGTAACAGTGACAGTGAGCTTCGTTTGGCTGGGTCGGTTAGCGGTCTTCAGCATGCGTAATACGGCAAAGACTTTGGTGTTTCATCGAGGGGCTGCGGGCTGGTCGAGGCTAGTCGGTGCCAGGAAAGGAGTTCGTTTGACGCCGGGGGGGGGGGCCGCAACCTCTGGGGGGTTTATTTTTGGCACGGGATTATTTTTCCCTGGGAGGGAGAGCAAAACAAGAGCGTCGAAAAGAGACAAAGGACAAGCAAGAGAAGAGAAGAGAAAAAAAAGGAAGAGAAAAACAAGCGTCGTGGGACAGGCCTGGACTGTGGGGAAGAAGCTGCCTGACGGATCGAATGTAATCAATCAGAAGGCACCAAGTAGTGCGCCGAGAAGCTATCGTGGAATCGACGGCGGAGCTGCCAGCCTTTGTTCTGGCTTCTGCGTTGCGTTTCTTTCTCTTGTTTCCGGCTTTTTTTTTTTTTTTTGAATGGCCTCGGAAGCGCCGTCAATCCGCGTCAATTGGCCCGGCAGGACTGAAAAATTGCAGCACGACGGGCTCATCGTCGAGTTTCGGGTGCTGGGCCTGCCAATGCCATGCCATGCGGGATGGGGTAGCATCAGGTCAGTTGATTGTGCTATTGGATGCTAAATGTCCGGGCGAAATGGGCTGTCGAAGCCGGACGTAGCGGGTACTCGCCTGGTGCAGTGGCCGGCGCGCAGCTCCAGGTTCCCAAGACTTCCCCGGCGCTTGGGATGGTGGTCAGGGCGGGTCGGCGAACCCCTGACGCTATATTTTATGCTCCAAGCACTACTGTGCATTCTGTCAGTAGGGACTACGGTACTGGATATACGTGTGAGTGGGCGCAAAGTTGACCGCTGGCCCGGGGTTCAATCAATGCATCTGCCTTCTGTAATCATCGCTAGCGTCATGCAGCGCCGTGCCTCTGGCGATGACCACATGCCATACAGAGTTGGTGGTGGCATACAAGTACTGTAAGACTAATATAAACATCGTCAACAGCCGTCATGCTTCAGCGCTCAACTTCCTGCATGAGAAACTCTCAACTTGGTCCCTGCGTCTTACCTCGTGCGTTTTTTGTCTCTTTTTTGTCTTATTTTCTTCTTTCAAAGGGGCGTCTGTAAATGATCATGTCCCTCGCCCTTCATCTGGTGTGTCTCTGCAAGATTTTCAAGCTTTGACTACGAGCCTGTCAAAATCCACCCCCACACACAATCTCAAAGTATCTACAGTACATACCATTGTATACCTAAACAGATCTTGTCAGCACGCTATATACCGGTACTGTATGCACAAAAGAGAATCCATAGAAATTTATCCGTCTTCTTAACCAATATCTACAATCATGGCTTCATTAGCCCTGCCCTTCGCCAAGTACATACATGGCCTGCTGCCAATCATGAAATTGCTGCTGGAAAGCAGAGGCCAAGTCCAATAACCGCCGGCGCTCTCTAGAGGGAAGATCCGCCCCACGCGGGACGACCAGGGTGGATCCTTGCCACCTCCTGTGGCGCGAGCTGGTGGGAGGACCGAGCTCCAGCCACCGCTATCCAGCGCCTAGATGCCTATCTAAGTAGGCAAAATCGGTGGTGGGATTTGAGAGCAACAGCCACCAATTTCGTGGCAGCGGCTGCCGCAGCAAATCAGAGAATGCCGTGGCTCAATCTCTGGACCTACTCGAGCTGTTGTGCTACTCGCAGTGAAATGAAATGCCCTTCAAGATGCCCTCCAAGATGCCCCTCCAAGATGGCCCTCATTGTTGGGCAGCAGGACTCGGGGCTTTTCATTCGCCATACTCGAATATGGAGACCGGCAGCTTTCCCCGGGTTGCCAACTCACGCCTGCTGTGCAGCACTCCATTCTGTAGGTCGCTAAACATGATCCATCCGTCATTCACAACTCTGGCGAACAAGATCACAGCCCACAAAGTCGATGGAAATACTGCTACTACCTACTAGGTATTCTACTAGCAGCACAAGCGCATATCAAGAATTGCCACCGTTAAAAGCTCGTTCAGCGTTCAGCACTGCATACCCCTAGCATCGAGAATAGGCACCTAGTACCTATTAGACTACCTACAGCAGTAGCAGGTATTAGCGAGCAGACGAGGTTTTTTTCCCCTCTCTTCTCTCATGCATCATCACACCGCTATTCTTCGGCCAGAAGCTAAGCACGGCTAGCATAGCGCTTCTGCAACAGGGATCAGAGCAGGCTTCATCGCTGCATCGAGCGGGTGGTGCAATTCTCTAAAAATCAAGTATCTACTTGATGTACTCGTAGGTTGTTACCGGTACTGCGGTATCTGCTACCTACATTGCAGTTTTATCTGCTAGGTAGCAATATCATTTCGTAGTACAAGTAAACCAACATACCGACTACTTGTAGACTGTATCAGACTAAATTAGGCCATTTCTGCATTGTTGTCCTGGAAAGGGAAAGATAAACAACAACGATTCTATCCTCGAGCCGAACGCTCCACAGTCCGGTTCTCGGTTAGGCAGCGGCGACGCTTCTAGCATGAATCTCGGTTGTTTCTACTCCGTACTTGGATGACCAACTGCTGAGCATCGTATCACGACGAAGATTTGCTTTTCGGGCATCATCATATTTGTAGATACTGCCCCCACGGCCATTGAGTTTACTTTTATTAAGTGGGACTCTCAGAAAAATCTCACTTGACACTATATCCGCGGCGCGGCGTACTTAACCCTGCTGACAATGACATTCCCGGCTTGCAAAATAGTAGGAGGAGGTTGACGTATAGTTTTAGTTTTGAACCCTCGAATTATATACTTGGCATAACTCACGAAACGACAAGAGAATACTTACAATTGCAATTGCACCATGTCAGCGTCCTTTCTCCAGGAATACACAACACTAAAGGAAACAAGAACGCCGGCCGATATAAGTACATGCATGTTTGTTGGCTGTGTTTGGTTCAATAAGATTAATGTTGCCCGAGGCTGAGATACCTGAATATAGACGATCTAGACTCTTCGCTAGTTAGCATTATAGCGTCTAACTCGCTGTAGTATATTATAGCATATCCTTCGCCATAGTATGGTACATGCAGTATGCCCTCAAACATGAGATATTCCGAGGCTGATGCTGACAACTCGGCACCAACGTCAATGTTGAGTATTTAGGCAAGCGGCCAGGATGATGGGCGTAACTAAACACTCATTAATGTGTAATAGCTTCTACTCGTAAGGAAGTAGCTGATGATTTATATCTTTTTTGCCAAGAAAGCGGAAAAGCAATCGGCAAAGACTACCATATACAATGGTGGTAGCGCCTCCAGTCCCAAACTCTTGTGAATAAGAGCAGCGGTACTGGCTGCAGCTGATTGTACAATGCGGATAGGTGCTTGGGAGGTAGGTTGGTGATAATTCTTTTGCTGTACCTCCCTAGTAGGTTATTTGATTCCTTGCATACCTTACATACCTTGTAGATTTCTAGCATTTCAAACATTAACACAGAGAAACACAAGCATGTAAACTGCCAAGGATATCTAGGACGACGCCGCAGGGCAGCTACGTAATGAATACTTACATCTACCATACTCTACTTGCCCTCAGACGCCAAACAGCAGATATTCCAGCAAATTCAGGCTGCGTGGCCTAAACTTGATGCAATGACGGCGTTTGGTGGCATTGTCCTTACGTCAGCTGCATTATGTACATGCGCCTGAGGGTAGTTGCCGGCCTCACGGCGCCGACTCGAGCAATCCCTCGCTCCTTCAATTTCACCACCAGACAACCGTGGCCAAAAAAGATCATCGCCTCCATCGGGTGGGAGCACAAAAAGTATCTTCATCTCTCTCCCGCCATCTCAGAAATATGCGTCCAATCCCCCAGGAATACACACGCTAGGCCCAGTACAAAGTGAAACAGACAAGAAGCAGAGATGGCGTCCGAGTCTCTCCAGCAGCACCAGCGATTCCTAGCGGCCGTGCTAAACACTGCGCACGAACCGCTGGATGCCGAGGAGAGGGCCATGGCAAGGATCAAGTTCTACCGCATCATTGATCGCTACAGTAAAAGGAAGCGTGACGGCTCGAAATATAAACGCCATCTGCTGATCCGCTACACTTATGAATACGCCCTCTCCGAGGAGTCGCGAATCCACTTCCTGCAGACCTTTTACCAGGCGCTGGAGCTCTCGATCGACGGTGAAGGCCGGGTCAATCTGGACGACAAGGAGCAGGCTGATAAGCTCTGGTTGAAGATCTCTGCCTTTGCAGACTTCTTGGTGGATAACTTTTACTTACCGCGTGCGACATGGTTTTGTTCTTTATTTTCAATTCATCCCGACACTCATTTACATGTCTGCGCACACACATATATGTTTATACGACGATATATACATACCTATTGCACATGCGCACTCATGTACCTATATATATACCTACCTACTTATACACTGCCTGTATATAACTATTACTAACATGTAGTGTCTCTCTTATTAGTCAAGGCCTCTGCGAGACGGGCACCCCTGCCTACTCTAATGTCCCAGCCCGCCGTGCCGGATCTGATCACTGATCCTCGCGAGGATTGTCTGATCCGAGATCGCCATCGCTGTGTCATCACACAGGCATTTGATTTCGATGAAGCAGTTTCACGGCACAAGCAATACGCCGATGAGGCCAAAGACGATGAGGAGAGGTCGCTGTTCAAAGGCGGCAACCATTTCCTCCATCTGGAGGCAGCGCCGGTTCTTCCCCACTCTCTCGCCGAGATTGGATCAAGCCCCTCTGAATTGGTAAGGCTTCAATTATGGGCTCGTTCTGACAGTTCCCGAGCAAAGTCTACAGACTTGGTAAACAGCAAGGCTAAATCACACATTCGAGACACAGAGTCGGACCAAGAAGCTCACGCTGGAGATCCTCAACATATTCGACAATGGTATTCAAAAGTTAATCAACGAGTGCGTTGGCAAACCGCGCAATGCCATGACCCTCACCAAAAATTACCATCACATGTTTGGCGAGTTCGAGTTCTACTTCACGCGGCTTGATGGGCCAAACGACCCGCCGCACACGTACAAGATTGACAACTTTCTCTCTTCGCCCATGAGAAAAGAATTACCCGTCACTCGAACATTCTATACAGAAGCAGATGGCAAAACCATTGACCCCCCGGAACCTCGATTTCTAGCTCTTCGCCGCTCTCTCGCTCATGTCCTTTACCTTTCTTCAGCAGGCCAGTATATCGATGAATTGCTTAAAAAGCTCAAGGAAAAACCCGCCGACGAGGATGGATCGACGGAACTGGGCCTATTTGCGCAATTGAGATTAGATGGGTGGTGTCCCGCTACGAATACTGAGCGCCAGTAAGACGGGCATTTTTTTTTTAATTCGATCTTTAGGTTTGAGGAGATGGGAATCGTCGTAATGTTTTGAGAGATTAGCCTTACCAATACTCTCATTTAGCGATTTATTTTAATTGTATTCTCTAATTAGTTTCCAAAAAACCTCACCACACTCCTTTGAAGCCAGCTCCTTGCTTAAGTATGGTTAACAAATACAGATTATCAAAGTAGATTAGCAGCTCTAGACACGTAATAAATCGAGCAAGTACAAATGGTCGTCATGAAACATGGCAGCAAATCCCCGTTCACCGATATGGCTCTCAAGACGGTCGTTTATTCTTCACAAATCCTCTACTCTTTATAACAAACATTCCCTATCAATGAGTATCAAATTCCCAAATCTTCTCATCATGAGACTATACATTGTAGAGCCTAATACCCAGTACAGAGCGACAGGCATCTCTACCTATTTGCGAGAGATTCTTTAGAGTATCCTCCTTACATGTTGAATTTTCCTTCAATACTATTCAACTCGTCCAAAAAAAGGCTTCGTAAAAGTTAGGCAAACTCGATGCAAAAAGGCTCCCAAGGTTTTGTCAAGCCTTATCATCGAAATCAGCCTAGTGTTTGTACGCATTTACAAAGTTGCCCGTGTTGTAACGCAACGATGTCTGTAGATGCAAAGTAGCAATTGACTGATGAACGAAGTTGGGTTTGGAGCAGTAGCTTGAAAGCTAAGCAAAGAATGCAACATCTCGTATAACCTTGGCCAGCTTAGAGATCGCTTCCGTAGTTGATGCTAGATAGTAACAGTAACAGAATCAATGCCCTTACTATTGCCTAGGTATGCCCTCAATCTTTTTTTCCCTCTCATCATCTTCTTCGTCTTCTTCATTCCAATCACAGCAGAGTCATGGGGGCTGAACTATTGCAAATAAACAACGAAGCTATACAACACTAAGCGTATCAGCCCGCAACGGCTTATCACAGCGTTGGAATCTAACTGCAAGCTACCTAGTCCTCCTTGCGCAGAGGCCATTTTCGCATCGAGCCGGCGATCTCTTTCGGCAGGGCGCAGAGAGCCTTGGTCACGACACCCCGAGAGTAAAGGATGGGCAAAAAATGTTACTGGTAGCAAAGGATTCGCCCCATCAGCCGGCCTAGGCTCAAGCCAGACCTAATAAGCCAAGAACTAACTCAAGCCACAGCGTCGACATCCAAAGACGACAGGTTATAGCTCGAATAGCGTCCCTTTCTCAGCAGCGTCTGCCCAAAAAGGCTCCCCAATGGGCAGCACTTGTCTGGCATGTGGGAGCCCACCTTGACGGGCTCGCTGGTGTCATGCGTCCTTCGTGTGTGGCTGGATCCAACCGGTGCGGTGCCGCCTCTTGTTGGCTGGCGCTGGCTGCACGGCATTTGTGGCCAGACGAGAGAGCACGAAAATCAATCAGCAGAGCCAAGGGTGCATTGCTCCATAGGGAGCCGTCAATCAAACAATCAATCATGTCGCCATGCAGGGACTTTTGTGCCACCCCAGAAAACGGCAATGCGTTGCTGATCTCATGATTTGCAGAGCAGTGCTGCTAATCTATGCACCTATGTCCATGCAGCAGTGTCATGCAAATATTTACATGGCAGACAGCAACGACGTCGTGAATCTTGACGAGATGGCGCTTTCAGAGAAGAGAAGATCCTCCAAGAAGAAGCAGCCTGGCCCGCCGCGGAATGGATCAGCGACCCCATTACCGCCCAAGCCTTGAAAATCCCGTGGCGGCCCTCCCTTGCGGGTCGGACTAAAGAAACGGTCAGGCTGGACGAGAAAAAAAAAAAGTAAAAAAAAAAAAAAAGTAAAAAGTCAGAGCCAAACCGTGACCGATAATACGGAGCAGCAATGCAACGCCACTAGTAACGGCACGAGGCCAACGCAAAGCACGACAGCCGACGGTTTGATGTCATTGCAGTCGATTTCCGGCTCATCGCACAGGCGACGCTGCGGCTCCCTCACGATCTCGCCAATGCGTCTTGCGTTCTGGTCTGTTGGTGATGAGGAGCTGCTGATGCTGATATGATATGGGTCAAAGCATGGATGATCAACCGTCGAGCGAGGGCCTTGGTGGGAGTCGGCGCCGCACAGCAGCTGGAGCTTGGACTGAGCTCATTCTAGTGGCTTTGGCCGTCCCGACCGCTACGAGCTAGCCACAAGCAGCTGGGGAAGACCCCTGTCTGCCGCTATCCAGCTCGTTATTGCAGGCCTGCTGAGCCCTCCTGCGCTCCGCTGTGGGCTAAGCTCCCAACCCAGTAGCATCGCAGTGGACGATAATAGTAGAAGGAGCAACAGCTGCCCTGCCCATCCTGGCGCTCGCGATCCCTCCTCTTCGCCTCTTGTTTCTCGCCTTCTTCTTTCCCCTCCACTCCAGCTCGCAAAGGCGAGAGCCGCTTGTCGCCTCCTCTCTCGAACCCTCCGCCGTCTCCCTTCCAGTCCTGATGGCGTGTCCGGCCAAGCTGTGCTGACAGTGACGGGTCTCTCCCAGCCGCACCGCCGCAACTTCGACGACAAAGAGAGGACTCAGCTCAGGCAGGCCCCGACGATGTCCTCCATAGCCCTGCGTCGCCCTCGACCGGCTCCCCCTCGCCGTGTTTCTGCTCGGCATGACAGCATCTCGCCGTCTACCATCACTCCACTTCGACCATTCCCCGTCCACCGGGGCCATGCCACGGCAGACTTCACAGAAGCAGACGACGATGACGAGGATGAGGATGACGGTTTCAATCACAACAATAGCAATAGTTATAATACCAGAAATGATCCGAGCCGTTTCGACGATGGCAACAACAACAACAACAACAACAACAACAACAATAATAGCAACAGCAACAGCAATGGCAGTAACAATACTCGTCGCCGTCGTGCTTACACAACCGATATGCCTCCAGAAGGACTCCGAGGGCACGATGAAGACGACGATGATGACGATGGAGAAGAAGAACGCCAGCCTCGGAGACGCAATACTCTGCCTGTTCTTCCGCTCTTCTCCTCCTCGCACCTCGGTATGATATTCAGACTCGCCTCCAACTTTATGAGCCTTCAACAAAGTATACCCAAAGCCGACTAGCTGACTTATACGCCACTTTTCTTTTACGCTCTCTAGATGCTCTTCCCGTCTATAGCTTGACTCATGCTATCCGAATCATTGTGAGCTCTCGTACTGAGACGACGCTTACTTGGGACCAGCTACGGTCTCCTCAAGTCTCCCAATTCCTTGTCAAGCCGATGCAGCAGCAGATTCGAAGCCAGCACTTCTCCCGAGCAACGATTTACGCTCTCATGGCAAACTGTCTCCAGTTCACCAAAGAAGGCCAGCTCTATGCCGCCAATGCTGGCACCAGCAATACGAGAGCCAAGGTCTGTGAGCTGTTAGCCCTGAAGATGCTCAAAGAGTACTCCACTCGCGAGCTGATTGATGCATTGGCCTACGACTTTTATCCTCTCCAGGGCATGCCAGGAGCTCAACCACCTCCCATGACGGCAGGCAGTTCCAGCAGCAAGTCCAAAAACAATCCCCTCGTAGCGTCGCGGACATCGACTCTGGAGGTTGCCATTCGGGCCTCGGCCAAGCATTTCCTTGCCCATCCCGTTGTGGTCCAGCAGCTCGAGGCTATCTGGAATGGTGCCATTTCTTTCTATTCTTCTGCCGATAGCTTGCACCGGGAGTCGCCTTCAAGCCCCTATTCTCGCTACAATAGCCAGCCCAAAGTTGATGATAGGACTCCTCTCTTGGGCTCTCTGCCTCCCAAGCCGGGAAATTTTGCCGTCCCTCCAGGCAGGAGGACTGTGATGTTGTACGATCCTAGACAGGCATCCTTGCTGAAGCTATCTCGTCTCCGTGTGCCGCGATATAGATCTTTCTTGTCTACGCTGTCCCTTGGTGTCCTGATTGGGCTCTTCTTGGCCGTCTTGGCCAAACGATCTGCGCAAATCACTGGCTTAGAACTGGTCTTTTGGTTCTGGAGTGCCGGTTTCATGCTCGATGAGCTCGTGGGCTTCAATGAACAAGGCTTTGCCCTGTACCTCATGAGCTTTTGGAATATCTTTGACCTGGGCATCCTGGTGCTGCTTATTGCCTATTACTGTATGCGTGTCTATGGCGTCTTCCTCGCCGACCCCCATCACTGGAACGCAATGGCTTTTGACGTGTTAGCTGCAAACGCCATCCTGTTGCTGCCTCGCATCTTCAGCGTCCTGGACCACTATCAGTACTTTTCTCAGCTACTGATTGCGTTTCGGCTGATGGCTGTTGACTTGGCAGCCGTCTGTATCTTGATTCTTATTGTGTGTAGCGGCTTTTTTGTCTTCTTCACCTCTTCTACCACCTCTAGTAATGGTGCCGAGGTTGCCTACAAGATATTCCAGATCCTCATGGGTTTTACACCCGCCGCTTGGGATGTGTACGACGACCCCCTTCTTTTCTCTTTCTTTTGTTTTCGGCATGAAACGCCAAGTGCTTTCAAAACTAACGTCAAAATAGATGGCCGTCGTACAACTGGCTTGCGCGAGCATTGCTATGCTTTTTCCTCATCATTTGTCACTTCTTGATTGTGTATGTCTCTGAACTCCAGCCACAATATCGAGCCTTGTTGACCTTTTGCCCAGGACAATCCTCATCAGCGTTTTGACAAACTCATTTATGGCTATTGCGTCCAACGCCAACGAAGAGCATCAGTATGCATTCCCATCACTCTCGTAAAATCTACAAAAGGACTCGTGACTGATAATACTGCTTGCTTATAGGTTCCTCTTTGCTATCAACACTATTTCCATGGTGAAAAACGACGCGTTGTTCTCATATATTGCTCCTAGCAACATCTTTGCGTGGCTACTCATGCCTCTGCGCTATTGCATGCCCCTTCGCCATTTTGTCTTGCTCAACCGCATCATCATCAAAGTAACCCACTGCCCTGTGCTGTTCTGCATCTATTTGTATGAAAGATTCTGGTTGGCGCCGTCTATGTATGAGCCTACGGATCTGGTAGAGAATCCAGGAAGAAGTCGAGCTCGGACGATTTCTTTTGGAGACATGGCCAACAGGACGAACATTTTCAGCCCGAGCATGCGAGTGCGCGAAGAATCTGTGGCGGGGTATCAAAAGGACAGGGCTCTTGACGAGCTATTCTTGCGCATGCCCGATGCTACGAAAGCACAAAGACGGCACGAGAGACGCAAGACGAAAACTGCGATCCGAAATTGGATGGATCGCAATGATCAGGATGTAGGAGGTCCCAACTGGCCACCATCGGACGGTAGAGCCGTGCCCGATTGGCAGAGGAGAATGAGCATGGGCTGGGATCTGCGTTCAAACTCCAGACAGGTTTCTGATATCAGATCCATTGTCAGTGATCCAGCAGACCTAGCATCCAATGCTGGGGGAGCTTCGTACAGGGGCTACCGCATGATGGATCCTCGCTTCACGGATTCTCGCTTCGCCCACCTGACACCTGAGTATAAAGATCACACCGACGCTGATGGAGATGACGAGCTGGTCACAAACGATGAATATGAAGATGAACTTGGCACAAACACGGATCCTCGCGGTCCTAGGAGGGTTAATGCTCTCGCCAGTGAGACGGACGATTATTTCACAACGACTCCTACAGGGGCGCAGTCGGCGGCTATAACTTCGTCTCACAGCTCATCTGACAAAGGAAACTCTTCTAACAAGCCTAGGCGACGCGTAGCACACAATCGCACATTATCCACAAACACCATACTCTTCAATCCTGGCGAAATGGACCACCCACCCGAAAGCTCTGCATCAGCTTCGCCACCCAAAAGACCAGCCCCTACCACAAGCCGAGGTGGAAATGCTGGGGAGGTGACCCCTAGCATGCGCAGCCCCCCTCGACGATCGATGTTCTCACCGCCAACCCTCAATACGCGCTCTACAATGCCTTCACAGGGATTGGCGAGCACTAGCAATTTGAACAGATCGGCTGTTATGGGCCTTGACCCGAGGAACCGCGATCGTACTGTTCGAAGACTGTCGTCCGCCGATCTCAGCATTTTGTCTGACAATACGAATCTTCCTTTTGTCGGAGACATTAACGCTGGCTTAGCGGGCAGTTTCCAGACGCAGATGGCCCTGGCTCTGATGAAGGACAGCCGGCTGCGAGATGCTGGAGGAGCTGATACGGCAGATCGCGATAGGATGGGAAGGCTGGTTCTTGCTCGGATGAAGACTCTGGAAGAAAGTTTTGCAGATGTCGTTAAAGAGATGCGAGAAATGAAGAGTAGCTCCACGGCTCCGACGACGAGGCGAAATTCATCAGGCGAAGAGCTGAGGATAGGATCTCCCCTTGACGCTGCCAGATCAGACCGACCAAAGAGTCGCAAGGGCACAGCAACTCCAAAGAGGGCGGCTAACAAGCGGCCTGTCAGCCGACGGAGTATGAAGGAAAGCAAGCTTGGACTGACGATGACGGGAGATGTCAAGGGTAAAGGAAAATATGTCGCTTACTCGACAGAAGAAGAAGGTGAAGGAGCGGGCGACGCCTTTTTGGACAAGACAAGCTCTCTGTAGCATTTCCCACTAACCATTTCCTTATTCTTATTTCTTTCCATGTCAACTCTGTTCAACCCGTCTTCTTCTCACTCTGAGAGACTCGGGAAGAACGGCCAAGAGCATGCACCGGCGTTGGAGGAGAGCGTTTGATAGCTTTTTTGTGTCCAGTTTTTGCGAATGAGGTTCAAGATATCCTACTTTCGGCAGACGAGATATGTGGAGCTGAAAAGGAGGGTTAGTTTTTGTCACGGCTGGCAAAACGAGGTTGCGATTCGGTGGAGATGAGATGGAGAAGTCAAACTTCTCCGTGTTTTGGGCTTATTTTATTTCCATTTTATGTGAAATCGCTTATCATATGCGACTTGAGCTTGAGCTCAATGATATCATTTTTTGTAAGACGACAAACGTCGAAGATGATTACATATATACATGTATACAAATATCAAGAGAAACAGCGCAGCTGGCTGGTCTGTTTACGGAGTCTTCAAGGCTGTAGAAAGGAGATGCGCTAGAGTGATGAAACTGAGATGAAGGAATTGTCAAGACATCTGTCATCTCAAAGGCTGGGCACACCGACTCTTGAGAGCCCTCGCAATCGCTTCAGCAAAGGGCTCTGGCGGCAGCTTTGAAGCCTTGACGGGATCGTAAAGGGTGACCCAGACCGTGCCCCTGATCTCCTTGTGCTCTCCGATACCATTCGGAAGCCCGAGGTCTTCCAGGCAGCGGTAGATGGCACTCTTCAGCCGCCGCTGCGTCTGCACCCGCACCACCGTTGATGCCGCTCCAGCGCTCGTCACCATGATCCAGAGCGGCTCCTCGCGCGACTTGCGAAGGTACTTTTCGCGCCTCGCCGCAGCCAGTGGGTGTCCCCTGGGGTCGAAGAAACGCAGGTCATGCGGGTGGATGATGTGCCGCGGGCTAAAGGCTGTGACGGCGTGGTATGCCTTGCAGGCGTTCTGGATGGCGGGTCCCGCGGTGAACCTGCGGGCGGCGCCGTTGTCCGGCTCGATGTTGTGCTGGAGAAAGACGCTGGCGGTCTCGGGCGTGGTGCAGAGGGTGCCGTCTGGGCGGACGAATTTCTTGGCTTCTTCGGGGATGAAGCGGCGGATGGTGTCTCTGAGGATTGGTTTCTTGTTTTGGGTGAAGTTTGTTCTTGGGGTGGGTTTTGATTGCGTTTGGCGAGAGGGAGGCTGAGGAGACCTGGCTGTGGAAGAGGCAAAGAGGCGGATGTTTGGGATCTGAGAGGGGAGGTGTGCTTGTGTGGTGATGGTGAGTTGCTTGAGGGCGAGAGGCCTGAGATGTTGAGATGCTGTTTTCATGGCTGCGGGTGAGATTTTTGGAGTCATGAGAAAATGAAATGTTGCTTTTTTTTTTTTTTTTGTTTTCTTTATAATCCTGTTGGGTTGGAAGTATTCATGTATTACATATGAGTTGACGAAAAATGAGGGGCTGAATTATGGCCTCTTTGTTTGTGAATGCTCTGGCGATGTTGTTCAACCGACTTGCATGTAAAAGTTGGTGATGCCAAAGAATGAGTTTCAGTAGGCAGAGCTTGAGTCTGCTTATGTAATTTATACGGGATCCCGCGTAGATTAAATATACGGACAGCTTCTCCAGTGGACTTGAGTTCCACCACAATTTTGTGTCTTTGTAGCTAGTAGGAATAGCGTTTGGCAATAAAAAATAATGATAATTCTTTACCTTAAAAATCATCGTAAGCAGATACATACTTTGGGCCCATTATGCCTTTCTTGCAGGAATGCTTGGGCAGCTACATATTCGATCGATATAGCGCAGATCCACCTGACGTTATAATTATTTAGATCAGACGCGGCTGTGCAGTATAGATCTTCTAACTCTTACTGAGGTGAGCCGTATCTTAGCTACAAGATCCAGTGTCTGGATGGCTGAGACAAAAATGACCTTCAGTCGGCAAAGCGCTGAATCTGCTTACGTAGTCCAACCATTACGCGGATAACGCAGATCAAAGTTTGTAAAATTTCGATAGTGGGCCACAGGCTTTTCCAAGTTCCACCTCTGCTTTTGCCTTTGCACGCCTCTTTACGCCACTCGATATCCCTATATTGGCCAAGTATAAAACACTTCATGTTATAGAACTGGCTCATACTCTTCCCCATCTCCGAAACGGTGATGCCTAATAATTTTTATCGCCCCTTTTAGTAATATTATTCCAAGCTTCTGTACTCAGCCGCAGCTAGTTCTTAGTATGCATGTACGCCCTTTGGAATACGCAAGATATGTGACATGTATTCATACCTATACTCTTTTATCGTTAAATGACTCAAAGTAACTAAGTTGTTCATGCTCTGTACCTATTTACATCATATTGTTGTTATCTACTAGTGGGACTAGTGGTCAGGACGATGGAGGACTGGTACCTGGATGGCTTAGGTACCTACTAGAGGTAGCTTTCTCCAACTCTACCAGCGTGGATGCGGCGTTACTATCTTGGCTGCATAAAATAGAAGGAAAAGAAATGAAAAAAAAAAAAAAAAAAAAAAAAAAAAAAAAAGAGGCCAAGATGTCGAGNTAATAGGAAGCTAGTTATACAAATGGATCGGCTCGAAATAGATGATGTGTGGCAAGCAAAACGTGTAAGAAAAAAAAAAAAAAAAAAAAAAAAAAAAAAAAAAAAAAAAAATATCAGCATAAAACATGCTTGCCTAACCTAATGGTAATAGTAATACAAGTTCAGAAATAGAAATAGGACCTTGCTGTTTCCTATTAGAGTCGATGAATCATGAGCTGACGCCGTCTGACTTTAGTAGTGACTCGCATCACGTGACATTGAGTCACCATGCCGCATCCAGTTGCGACGACTGCGCCTGAATGGCAATATTTTGCCCCTACTTAAGAATCCGAGAGGCTGCCGACTTTTTGACCTCCTGCATCCCCTGGTCACCGACACTCCAGATTTCTCGAGCCAACAGTCAAGATGCCCAAGAACAAGGGAAAGGTACGTTTTTCGCATTTATTTCGGCCGCCGAAGAAGACGAGCAGAAGAAAAAAAACCCAGCGACGAAAAAAAAAACAAGCAGAGGGCAGCTGAATTAAATTAAATTCAACCCCTCCCCCGCCAATTTTTTTGTGTTGATCTTTTTCTTCTTCTCGCCTCCGACGCGGCAGCCCAACAGCCACACAAATATCGAGATGGCTGTGCTAGATCCCGTCTTTTTTTTAGAATCCCGCAGCTGACCTTTTCTCTTCGTTGCGCAAACACAGGGCGGCAAGAACCGCAGACGAGGAACCAAGGAGAACGATGACCAGCGCCGAGAGCTGACCTTCAAGGAGGACGGCCAGGAGTATGCCCAGGTCGTGAAGATGCTGGGTAACGGCCGCCTCGAGGCTATGTGCTTTGACGGCAGCAAGCGACTTGCCAACGTACGTTGAGTTTCATCCACTCTTCCATGTCTATATCAATAAACAGCAGACTAACCATACACCCGCAGATCCGTGGCAAGATGCGCAAGAAGGTCTGGATCAACCAGGGCGACATCATCCTTCTCTCCCTCCGAGACTTCCAGGACAACAAGGGCGACGTCATCCTCAAGTACACCTCCGACGAGGCCCGTAACCTGAAGAACTTGGGCGAGCTTCCCGAGAACGCCAAGATCAACGAGACCGACTCCTACGGCCAGGACGGCGACGACAACGCCGGCTTCGAGTTCGGCGCCGACGAGTCCGAATCCGAGGAGTCCGATGGCGAGAAGAAGGAGCTCGACATTGACGACATTTGAGCGCCGCCCGCCGCTGGTCTGGCGGGGCATCAACATGTCGAGAGAAATGGACGATTTCGCCTTACCCCTCCTGCCTCTCACCAATATCAACTTCGCAAACCCCCCATTTATGCTCTTTTCCCTTTACCGTGCGCTCCAAATGAAGGAAAAGGAGAAAATGAAAAGGAAGCAGGGAGCCAACACTGTTGCGCACCCTTGGGGGATTTGGCACGCTGTCTTCTCTCTCAAACCCTCTGGACCGCAGCCCAAACATGGGGCGCAAGGCAGGAAAAATTTTAGAGCTTGCAATGTTCTTTTTTTTTTTTTTCCTCTTTGGACTTTACCTTGTTTCTCCTTGTTTGCTGCTGCTGCTCGCTGGGTCCCACGACAGTTTTTTCCGAGAGCGGGGGTTTTTAGATGGCCGCGGTGGGAGAGACGGCGCGGCTCGTCACTTGGTGTTTTTAAGTCGTTTCACACGTTCATGTTTTTTGCCGTCTTGATACTAGGATTGCTTACTACTGTTAACTTTTTCCCCTTGTTATATAGCAATGACTACTTTACTAAAAACTCATCATCTTGCGTGAACTTTTCTCTATTCTGTGCGACTTTTCTGTGCGACTTTTCTCATCAGTAACTCTTTTATGCAATCTTTGGTTTTATTTCTCCCCTACTCTCCTCCGATCCTAATTTCCTCCGCCTGTTCTTGAAAGCGGAGAAACCCCCTCAGTAACGTATCTGTATGCTACAAATAACTTGAAGCAAATCAATCTATCGAATAATGACATCAAAAAATCCTCCCCCCCCCCTAAACAAACAACTCCAGGACTCCACTGGCGCGGGCTTCCCACTCACTCATCCCATCTCCTTTCCACAAGAAAAAACAACAACAACAAAACCACCTTCAATCATATTTCTCTCTCTTTCTCCGTAGCCCGGGGTTTTTTTTTGGCTATTCCTACTTCGTGGTAGCCGCTAATTGCAAGAATCTCGTCGTTGGAATTTTGTAATAAGCCAAATAGCTTCACATGTAGCCTTTACGATGCCTCGTATAATTGAGGTATGGTGGACTTGGTGACTTCAATTTCCTTCTCCTCTCCTTTTCCCTTCTTTTCATCTAGGCAACCCCGAGAATCATGATACTTGATAGCGTGGATATCTCTTCTTCTTCCCCAATGTGTTCGAATTCTTTACCAGTCATCGTCATCTTCCTCTTCATCATCTATTACGAGAAACAGAAATTAGCACAAATGATACTTCCAACCATACAGAAACCTAGCAGTGATAAGTAGTAGTAGACTAATAAAGGGAACTTACCGCTCTTGCTGGCTTTGTCTTTAATCTTCTGTAAAGCTGCTGCCAGAGCATTTGGCACACCTCCCGGCCCTGCAGGGCTAGCAGCAGCTCCTGCACCTGAGCCAGAAGATCCACCAACGGCCGCTCCACTGCGGTCGTTGATCTTGCTCCTGTCCACCTTCTTGAGAGCCCCGATACCTCCTGCTCCGCGAATATCTCCCAGTAGAGACGCCCGTCCACCATCTGCCTTTGGAAGAGCAGCTGCAGGAGCCCCAGATGAGTAGCCAGAGTCCCGATTTGGCATCGCCGGCGGCGGAGGAGGGGGCGGGACCCCACCCGCGGACGGAGCTGGAGGTGGCGGCGGTGGTGGGGGAGGAGCAGCTCCAGCTCCTGGGATCGGAGGGGGACCAGGCGGCGGCGGAGGGGGGGGAGGAGCGGCGCTAGTCACGGGCATAGGAGGAGGCGGTGGAGGAGGTGCCGGCGGAGCGCTGCCAGCTCCAGGAATCGGCGGAGGACCAGGTGGAGGAGGAGGAGGAAGACTGGCAACTCCCGGTGATGGTAGCGGCGGCGGAGGCGGAACTGCTGGTGGAGCGCTGACCGTGGGCAGCGGAGGAGGCAATGAAGGCGCTTTTGGTGATGGCAAAGGTGGAGGGGGAGGGGGAGCTGGAATGCTGTTTGCTACCGGCAGAGGAGGAGGCGGCGGTGCATGGTTTGCCGCTGGTGGAGGTGGAACTGGCCGAGCACTTGGCGGCGGTAAGGGAGGAGCGCTCGCGGTCGGCACCTTTGGAGGCAGAGGAGGAGGGGCGGTGGCAGGAATCGATATGCCGGCATCGCTGCCTCGAGGAGGTGGTGGAGGAGGGACCGGTCCGCGGCTTGGTGGAGGGGGTGCACGTTGGCCTGTGAAGGGAGGTGGAACGTGGAACTTGTGGTCGTCGGCCTCGAGAGGAGTCTTGGCAGGTCGCGGGGGAGGAGGAGGGACAGATGAAGTAGCACCAGGTATTATTGATAATACGGACGACTTCTTCCTCTCGGTGGCTTGATGCGCAAACTTGCCTGCGTCTGGCAGGGGAGGCGGGGCATTGAATCTCGGCCGAGGAGGAGACGGTGCTCTCGGTGGGCTGGCATCTCTGGTAACCTGGCCGCCGGACCGCCGAGGTGCTGGAGGGGGAGGAGGGCCAGATCTCTTAGCAGAAGGAGAGCTGTTCAGGGCAGCGGCCGCTGCTGCTGCTGCGGCGGGTGGAGGTGGAGGTGGCGCCCTCACGGTTCTTGATTCGTGGCCGTTGGTAGAAGGTGAAGGTAGGGCTGGTGGTGGTGGTGGTGGTGGCGGCGCTGCCTCACTGGCCAGCTTGGCTTGCTCTTCACGGAGGAAATCGACGATGAACTCTTGATTGTCCTTGATAAAATCGTCATTCAAGCCCTTATCGCTAAGATCCTGGCCGAAATGCTCTCGCCAAAGGGGGTCGAAGGCGTCCAGCAGGGCAAATTCAGAGCCCTTGCTATCGTTCAAGCTGACAGAAGAGCCGGAGTTGTGAGAAAACCCAGACAAGTTGGAGGCTGCAGTGTCTGGTATCATGGATACGGTCGAATGTCGGTGGAAGATGTTTCCTAGCAGGCTGTGCTTTTGACCTCCTGAAGCGTGGCTGGATCCGCCAAAAGGAGCGGCTCTCGTGGCTCGGCTGGCGTTCTTTTCTCGCTCGTCCATCTTCTTCTTGAACTGCTTGGCCTCCTTCTCGTCGACGAAACTGAGCGCTGCGAGACATTCCTCCAATTCGAATGTGTGGAAAAAGGTTCGGTCTTGGTTATAGCTCCACGTATCGAAGATCTCTTGATCCCAAATGACCCCGCGGTTGGATGGCTGTTACAAATATACCAAAAGCTGTTAACACGGTGATTTCTTCTCTTCGTTTCTCTCTCTATCGGTCACTTGCTTCCACGGGTCTTGTTTACGAGCAAAGCCAGCAGTAGAGTAAGCTGAGAAAAGGGGATTCAAGGGGTCACACGCACCGAAATATCTACCAGTTTGAGCCAGTAGGTGTTGCCGACCAAATCGTTGGCCAGCACAATGGCGCCCTGCAGTCCCGTGTAGGTCCATTTCGAGCGATTGGGATACGCAACATAGAGCTTGGCGACGGCAACGGCCTGGATTTTGTTGGATTGCTTGGGCACGAAGCGCTTGACGGTATCCTTGTCGTCGTCGTTGAGGATAGAGGGCATGTTTGCGGCGGTGGAGGCCGCTCGGGAGCGGTCGCTGGGGCGAAGGCGAGACGGCGGCGGATGGTGGCGGGAAGAAAAAAAAGGAGAAGAATCCGATGAAGCAGCAAAGAGCTGTTCACGAGAGAGTGTTGTCGGGTGTCGGTTTGGCGGCGTGGAAAGAGGGGGCGCCTAATGGTAGTCGATGGTAGCTGGACTTGACCGTCTCCTCTTTTCGTCCAAAGTTGGCGCCCGCTGTCAAAAGGCAGCAGGATTTAATTCAAGGGCCGCAGCCTCCAGGCAGGCAATGCCCGCGGGCCGAGCAAACGCTAAGGATGGGATGGCGGTTTCGTGCAAGGGGCGAATCGAGTCGAACATGCGTCTCCAATGGAGGAGGCATCAAGGGAGCGATTTTTGGCGGACACGAAGAGGAGGGAGAAGAAGGCGAGGGCAAAGGCGAGGGAAGAGAGAAGTGCTGGCGTGAGGTTGCGCTCTACGGACAAAGGACCCGGGAATCCGCAGCAAGTTCCACTGGCAGTTTCGGTGCGCAGCTCCGCCCCGGGCGTTATGGAATCCGCAGCAGCGCAAATTACACAGTGTTCGCAGCCTCTCGCATCGCTGTAATTTTCGGGCTAGGCTGCTGGAAATTAGCGGGGAGGGCTGCTATAATAAGCCTAAGGGATCCAAGGATAGCTGTTCCCCTGCCTATTGCTTACTGGAGCTGGTTCATTAGCAGAAAGCCGCGCCAGTCGCTGTCGTCATCACGCAGAACAGGCACGAGACCTTCCAATGGCGGGTATCGATTCCAGAACCATGGCAGAAGCTACGGGGATTTTATGTGTTCATTAATTTTTGCGAGATGATGTACGATGTAGAGCATACGGGCGATTGCATGGGCAGTGTTAAGTGGTCCATGAAACGGGTTGCAGCGTACTGTACCGCCGCTTCTCCCCATCACACCCCGCCGTTACATTTTGCTGTGAACATCAGATGCTGCAACAGCCGGTCATCGTGGTACTCATACTGTAGCTGCTTCATACAAAGTCATACAAATTCATACAAAGAGAAAGCACTCAATCATCCTAAAAACACACAGATTCTGAAAAAAAAAAAAAAAAAAAAAAATGATGTATTTACGGCCAAGGCTCTATTTCTGTATATTATTCTCTTTATTTGTTCAGCTCCTCCTTTCTAGCCTGACGCTCCGCCTTGGTGCCCTGTACTGGTGGCATGTTCTTGGCCATAGCTGGGCCTGGATTGGCCTGGTGCGCAGCAAACTTGGGGTCGGGTGAGGTGTTGTCCTGGATGGGCTGGATGGAGAATTGCTTCTCGCCCTAGTAGAACTCCATGTTAGCGGCTTGGTTTGTCGAAGAAAAGTAATTGATGAAAATACAACATACCTCCTTCTTCTGCTGGTTGTTGCCGGAATCCATGTTGATATTCTTGGAGATGAGTGTTCTTTTGGTATATGGCTTTATGATATTGCGTGCAGAATAACGCAAACGTGCAATGATAGCTGTGTTACGAAGAATAGTCATGCAAATTTTATCGAGATTGAAGGAAAAAGAAGTCAAAGTTTCGGGCAGCAAACCCGCAAACTATATATATACCTAAGCGCCTTAGTTGAAGCCTACAGGCTGAGGTTCGTTCGATAAGGCGCCGCTTCTAGGCGCTGGTGGCGTTGGGTTAGATGTGGATGACGTTGACGGAAACGTCATGGGGAATGTTGGCACCTGTTTGGGAGCCAAGCAAGAAAGTAAAGTGCTTGGTGTGTAACCGTTGCGCAAGCAAAGTCTAATGTTGATGCGATACGTTTAGATACCAATCATGAATGGAAGCATCAATCAGCAAAAAGGCCATCTTGCATCTTTGCTTCTTTATGCACGTGCTTCTTTAATCTACTATACCTACTGACGCGGCCTTGTAAGTGATGGAATGATAGCATTACTTTAGGCATCAAATAATACCTACCTTACCATACACAGCATAGAGTAGGTTAGTACATATGTATGTGCTTGTGCTCCGTAGTATTATGCCCCAGATTTTAAACGGGAGGACGATTCAACGCTACTTCGTAGTCACGTGGATTGACGGAGCCCCGCCTGGGCAAAGCTGCTCCAAGCAGGCTTACCGTACGCTAAAAAACGGTACCCCATCAGTACACTAATCGGCCATACGGAGTACTAAACAGGCTTTCTGCAGGTACCTCGTAACGGAAGCTACCGAGCGCTCTGATTCGATCTCGATAGCTCCGGGGAAACTTCACGCTCTCCAGGCCATGAAGCATACCACCAACTCTCTCGGCGCCCCGCATGTCGACCAGCAATGCGCCGCAGCCAGTCAAGTTATCTCTGCCTCTGGTCAGTTCATCTGTTGGATCCTCTCTTCTTCAGCTTCCTGGCCAATGCTAATGGAGTGCATATAGGAATACCAGCAGCAGCTGTTTCAGGAGCTCCGAGCCGAAGATGAACTCGTGATTCTGGCCCGGGGGCTGGGCCAGATGCGCCTCGTCACAAACCTCCTCCACTCCTACGATGCCGCCGGGAGCAACCTCATCGTCCTCGTCGGCGCAGATGAGCGTGAGAACAACTGGATTGGCGAGGCACTGGCCGAGCATGCCGCCATCAGCGCATCTCCCAAAGCACGGGGATTGACCGTCGTCAACACCGATTCTCAGACAGTTGGCGCCAGAGAGAAAATGTATGCGAATGGAGGCATATTCAGCATCACCTCTCGTATTCTTGTCGTCGACCTCCTCACGGGACTGTTGAACCCCGAGCTCGTCACTGGCCTTGTTGTCCTTCACGCAGACAGAATTGTTGCTACTTCTCTAGAGGCCTTCATCCTGAGAGTGTATAGGCAGAAGAACAAGGTCGGCTTCCTCAAGGCCTTTTCAGACAACCCAGATCCTTTTACGACAGGCTTCTCACCATTGACCACCATGATGAGGAATCTGTTTCTCAAAAAAGCGTCTCTCTGGCCGAGATTCCATGTCACCGTAGCACAGTCCCTCGAAGGCAAGAAAAAGGCTGAGGTCATTGAGCTTGAGGTCCCCATGACGGACTCCATGACGGATATTCAGAATGCCATCATGGAATGCGTCGAAGTCAGTATTCACGAGCTCAAAAAGGGCAACTCGGGCCTGGAAATGGAAGATTGGAACCTTGATAGCGCTCTGCTCAAGAACTTTGACGTAATTGTCCGTCGCCAGCTCGATCCCAACTGGCATCGGGTCAGTTGGAAGACACGCCAAATCGTCAACGATTTAACCATCCTCCGTGGGCTGCTTAGCAACATCCTCGCCTACGATGCCGTATCTTTCCTGCAGCACCTCGATACCATTCATGCCGCACACTCCCCTCCTCAAGGGTCAACCCGACAATCCCAATCACCTTGGCTATTCTTAGATGCTGCCCAGACCATATTTGACACAGCCCGGAGGCGGGTCTACTCGGCCAGTCCCAAAAATGTATCGCAGAGCGGCGAAAACATCGATTCGCTACGGCCGGTTCTTGAGGAACTGCCAAAATGGGGCGTCCTGGCAGAAGTCCTTGAAGAGATTGATCGAGATCTGTTCTTTGAGCCCAAAGCTCGAGATGACTCTAACGGAGGCATATTAATTATGTGCTCAAATACAGATACCTGCCGACAGCTCCGTGACTATCTCCAAACTATGCATGTTAAGCCAAGGGTAGACAGGCATAAGCTCCCTGTCGTAGACGACCCCGAGTTCGAACGCGAACGTGCCGAGGAAGCCCGTCGGCCGTCTGCCAACTTCATGATGAGGCGAAAGCTTCGAAACTACCTACGGTGGAAACGACAGTTTGCGCAAGTCAGCGCCAGCTTGTTCTCCGAGAACCAAAAAGCTCTCAATGGTGCGGCGGACCCACGACCGGGACACAGCAGCCTGAGGGGAGGCAAAGCCCCAGCAAACAAGAGGCGGAGAATGCGAGGCGGGGCTAGCTCAATGGCCATGTATGGACGTGCTGATAATGGAAGCATTGCGCAATATTTCGAGAAGCCGGGCGAAGTGGCCGATCTAATGGCAGAAGTCCAGATTACGGAGGAGGAAGCGCAGCAGCAGAAGGAAGACATCATAGCCGATCCGCTGGAAGACATGGAAGACTACTATCAGCTATATGAGATGCAGGACCTGGTTGTTGTGCACGCCTACGACGGAGACCAGGATGAGCATGTGTTGGAGGAGGTCAAGCCGCGATACATCATCATGTACGAGCCAGACGCCTCCTTCATTCGCCGGGTGGAAGTATACCGTTCGTCTCACAACGACCGCAATGTACGAGTGTACTTTCTATATTACGGGGGCTCGGTCGAAGAGCAGCGCTATCTATCTTCCGTCAGACGGGAAAAGGATGCCTTCACCAAGCTAATCAAAGAGCGAGCGAGCATGTCGTTGGTCATGACAGTCGACCCGCACGGCATGGAAGACCCGCAGGAGGCCTTTCTGCGCACCGTCAACACCCGCATCGCCGGAGGCGGCAAGCTGGCGGCGACCGCCGAGCCGCCGCGGGTCGTCGTCGACGTGCGAGAATTCAGGTCCTCGCTGCCGTCGCTGCTGCACGGTCGCTCCATGGTCGTAGTGCCATGCATGCTGACGGTGGGCGATTACATCTTGTCACCCAACATTTGCGTAGAGCGAAAGTCCATCAGTGATCTGATCTCGTCCTTCAAGGACGGTAGACTGTATAGCCAGGCGGAGACCATGTTTCAGCACTACAAGAATCCCATGCTGCTGATTGAATTCGACCAGAATAAGTCGTTTACCCTGGAGCCCTTTGCCGACCTTTCGGGCAGCCTGAACAGCGTGGCCCCGACCAACGTCTCGTCAGATCTCCAGTCTAAGCTGGTGCTGCTGACGCTGGCCTTTCCTAAGCTACGCATCATCTGGTCCTCTTCACCGTACGAAACAGCAGAGATATTCGCCTCTTTGAAAACGCTGGAGCACGAGCCAGATCCGATTGCAGCAGTGCAAGCGGGCCTGGACAAGGACTCCAAGGTGGAAGACCAAGTCTTCAACCAAGAGCCGCAGGAAATGCTGTCCATTGTACCAGGCGTGACGCCACAAAATATCAAGAGTCTTGTCCTAGATACGGAGAACATACGGGAGGTGGCCAACATGGAGCCGAAGGAGCTGGAGCCGATCGTGGGCAGGGCATCGGCCAACAAAATTCACGGTTTCTTTAATAGGAATGTGATGGAGGAAGATGACTGATATCTCTCTCACCATCAATAATATTTAATGAGACGTTGTATACGATGTTTTTTTTTTTTTTTCACATAACAAGCAACGGATAAATTATGCCAATGATAGCGTGTGTATTCTTCAGAATTAAAACCAAAGCTAATATGTAATAATACATGTAATAAACAAGAGACACAAAAAAAAGAGGATATACCGCTTAGGTAGTGACTTGGGGGTCAAGGTATCTCAGAAAGACCAAACAATAGATGATAATCGTACAGCATAAGGAAAATCGACTGGTTTTTCGTATGCCCACTTCGCAGTTAAAAGAAAACAAAGAGAAACATCTTGTCTTTTTTTTTTTTTCGCTGCTCGTAGGAAATGTGTGGTAGTGCGTCCTTCTTTCATTCCGTCCATGGTCGTTAATCATAAAACCGCTCGAGAAAAAGGCCCTTTCCAGGAATCAAGCCAAACAGGGACAACGGCATCGGGCAGCAGTCTCATATCTCTGGCTTCTTTATTTCTCTTTTGTTTCTCTTTTTTCCCTTTATACTGTGCTCCTCATTCTGGAGCCTCGCATTCCTCTATGCCTGTACCGCCTGTTGCCGCCAGAGCGGCCGCATGTCAGGCAGGAAATAATGATGCCGAAGAAGGCAACAATGCCGTTAATGATCGCGGTGAGCATGTTGCCGATGCCGCTGATAATGGCCATTATGACGGAGCCGATGGTCCGGAAGATGGCTTCGAACTGTTGGGCGTTGGTTAGATTTGGATTTTTTTTTGGGGGGGGACTATGGATGGATGAGACTTGGACTTACGCAAGATACGACGGCACCCATGATGAATGGTTTGTGTGTTGTTGTATGTGGTGTAGAGAGGGTGTTGTGGTAGATTTTGGTAGTAGTTTGTATGTTAATACTCTTTGTCAAGATCAAAGGTAGTTATGGCAGTATTCTCGTTGTATGTTGTAAGAGGAGATTCTCGTTTGTAGAAGGAATGGTCATGGAGAGAGAAGAGGAGGAATGATGGAAAGAGGTGGCGAGCTGCTTTCTCTTATACACACAAGAGCCCCAAATCTAAAAGATACATCGCACGAATCCCTGTAGCCATCTGACTTTGGGCCTCGTCCTCTCTCGCCTCACGCAATACATTGGAATACGAAACTAACGCGCGGTATGCATGTCTGGTCTGTGTAATGGACATCCACACCAAGGAAAGGGGGACTACTGCTAGTATGTAGGTAGTTGGTGTTACACGATAGGTACAGTAGGTAGCAACACTGACTAACCTTCTCTCTTCCAAGGCAGGGCCAAGTACACGCCGCATATACGCCACATACTCAAGGTACCATCAGCCATGGACAATCCACAACCCACACCCGGGCTCACTCACATACTGTACAAGCACATGAACACACAGAAGAGAGTTCCTTGACGGCATATCGTCCCTTTGGGGGCTCCATCCAGCTGCAGCTCCCGCCGTTCACCGGTTTCTCATCCACTGCACCCACCCACACCCGGCAAGGGGAGAGGGGCCCCATTGGGGGCTTCAGGTCTAGATTGCATCTTTGGCTGAGCAAGGCAGGCAAAGATTGGCGGGTAGATGCGCCTCTCCAGCGTCATAATTGCTGCTTCTTACAGCATTGGGTGACGCTAAAAAAGGGATATCTCCCATGTATGTAATTCGAGCACCCGAAAGCAGCAATTTGGCAGAAGCTTCTTCTCTCCCGGCACGCCGCCAAAAAAAGGGCCCGTTCAATGACGTCAACATGATTTTTTTCGCATGTCACCCGTATCCAGAGCATCTACCTAGTATTGCCATCGAAAGCGTCATATCGTCACCCTCAAAACAAACCAATGCGCGGGCTCCCTCCCTGAAAGCGTCAAACATTCATTGTTCCCCAATTCTCTGCCCTCCTCGGTGCTTCTGCTCCGCCGTGCCAGACATGCATCCCATTCTCTCACCTCTTCTTCTGCTTTGTTGCGGTAAGGCTGCTCTTCTGCTTCCTATACGCCAGCTTCGCGGCAGCCAGAGTGGGCCCCCCCTTGACGTATGCATGCACCAACCCTGGTCCCTGGAAATCTTGATTTTTGGGAGTACGTACAGCAGGTACTACCGTATTACCTCGCTTTTTTCGACGATAAATATAAGTGGGTATTGTGGATGTACCTTCCTGGTGAAATACGCCTAGGCTATAGGGGGAAAGGTCTATTTAGGTACTAGTACTTTAACTTTACTAGATTTCTTAATTATTAGCTAGGTTATAAAAGGGTAATAGGATTATAATGTAGCTAACTTAGTGTTTAAGACTGGGCTATTAAAAATATTTATAAATAAAAAAAGATATTTTTATTTATATAATAATTATAGCAATAACTATTATATTTTATTTTTTTAGTTAATTAATAAAATCCTGCTTTTTTTTTAAGACCTTTAAACCTTTAATTTTATATAAAGCCTTTAAATCTTTAACTATAGCAGACTTATATAAAAGTAATATATTATTTTTAAAGCCTAATATTATCTCCTTATTGTTATATAATATATTAATAATATTTTTTAAGGTATTTATAATATTACTTTTATTATTTTAATCTTTAATTTTAATTTTTTTTATTAAAATATTTTTTATTTTAATTTTATAATCCTGGCTGCTATTAGACTTAATATTAATGCTATACTATAAAAAAGCTTTTTTAATAAATATAGTTTTTTTTTTTAAGTATTTTATAGCTTTTATAATAATAAAGGTTATTATAATATATTTATTTTTTATTAACTACTTTATTTTACCTTAAGCTTTATAATTTATTATATAATTTTTTATAGTATTATATAGCTAAGCTTTAAATGGCTTAATAACTGCTATATTAAAAAGTTAAAGTTAGTTAATTATCTTAAGTAAAATAAAGGCAGGTATAACTTTTTATTAATAAAGTTATAATAAAACTTCTTTAGTTTTATAAAAGCTAGCAATATCTATTACTAAAAGATACTTTCCTTAAGGATTTTCTTTATTAAATTTATTTATAATTTACTTTAGTAAAAGCTTTTTATTATTATAGGCTATTTTATTAAATTTAATAATAACCTTAAGTAAATAAAAATATTTTTCTTCTTTATAGATCCTGCCCTAAGGCTAATTATAAAAAATTAATAAAGGCTTAAGGCAGTAGATTTTATTAATATAAATAAATAATATTAATATTGCCTGCTGCTTATTTTACTTAAATTAATTACTTTAGCTAGTAATAGTATAAGCGCTATATATATTATATATATAGCTATTAAGGTATTTAAATAAGATTAGGGTTTTATTAAGGTTAATAATATAAGACTTTTTAAATTAGTGCAGCAGCAATGCTTTATTTAAATTAAGTTCTAGGGGCAGGCTTTAATAAAAAATACAGTAAATAAACTTTAAGAAGCTATTTATAATAGCAGTAGTTTTTTTTAGCTGCTTTATTACCTGCTTTATAATTTTTTAGTATATAATATTATGCCTGTTGTAAAATCTAGTTTACTAGCCTTTAAAAAATATAAAGATATTTTTATATTATAGATATAGCTTAATAAAAATATTATAAGATTTTTTTTTAAATTATAAGACTATTATAACTTAGCTTTTAGATTATAGCTTTAAGAATTCTTTAAAGAGCTTTTCTTTTAGTTAAGGTTATTAAAGGCAGAATCTACTTATTATGCTATTTAAGATAGTATTATAAGCTTTTTATTAACCTTTAATAGTTAAAACTAGCACTTTAAACCAGTCTAATGCCTTTTTAAAAGTTAATTGCTAAGATAAAGTTATAGGATTATAAAAAATGCCTTTTTTATAGTTTAAAAATGCTTAGTTTTTATAAATATAATAATTTTTAAAGAATTTAATTATATTAAGCTTTTTTTAATAAAAAAAAGTTTTATAAGTATATTAAATTAGCTTTATAAAAAGAAATTTATTAAATATAGGCTGTTGTTATTATTATAAAGTTATATTATTATTATTTTTTAAAGGTATTTTAATATATTAGTTTTTTTTAATTTAATATAAAAGTAAATTATTTTAATTTAATATATATAAAAGTATTTTTATTTTTTTTTATATATAAATCCTTTATTATTTTATAATAAAGATATATTATAAATATACTTTAAAATCTATAATAAAATTATTAAAGTTATAAAGGAACTATAAAAAATACATTAGCAGGTCTATTATAAAAGATATATAAAAATTATAAATTTCTATAATTTATAAATACTTTTTTTATATTTTATATAAGAGATTATATATAAAATATAAAAAAAATATATAAAAAGCTACTGAAGTTAATAGAACTATAAAAAATATATTATTAGATTTATTATTAAAAATATAAAGCAGTTTATAATAACTTTACTTTTTTAATAATAAATTTAATAATATTTAAAGTACTTTTTTTATAATTTATATAGGAAATTATATATAAAATAAAAAAGAAATACTTTATTAACTATTAAATTTATTATTAAAGTTATAAGGCAATTATAAAAAAATACACTATTAGATTTATTATTAAAAAAGTAAAGCAGCTATATTACTTTATATTTTTAATAATAAATTTAGTAATATTTAAAGTACTTTTTTTATAATTTATATAGGGAATTATATATAAAATAAAAAAGAAATATTTTATTAGCTATTAAATTTATTATTAAAAAAGCAAGGTTATTATAAACTATCTTATATTTTTAATAATAAATCTAATAGTATATTTTTTTATAATTGCCTTGCAACTTTAATAATAAATCTAGTAGCTAATAAAGTATTTCTTTTTTATTTTATATATAATTCCTTATATAAATTATAAAAAAAGTACTTTAAATACTATTAAATTTATTATTAAAAATATAAGGCAGCATAGCTGCCTTACTTTTTTAATAATAAATCTAATAAATATATTTTTTTATAGCCCTTAAAGTATCTTTTTTATATTTTATATATAATTTCTTATATAAAATATAAAAAAAATACTTTATATACTACTAGTTATATAAAAAGCATAAAAAAATACATTATTAGGTTTATTAGTAAAATTATAAGAGCACTACTATAAGATTTCTGCTTATACTCTAATAAAGTTAAGGTACCGGTACCTAAATGGACCTTTCCCCCTATAGCCTAGGCGTATTTCGCCAGGAAGGTACATCCACAATACCCACTTATATTTATCGTCGAAAAAAGCGAGGTAATACGGTAGTAGTAGATGTTTTACTGGGTACCGCTGTGCTCGTTGGGATTCAGCTATGGAAGCATGTTCAAGGCCGCGTCCCATGCCATGCTTGAGTAACTCGTGCCAATTTGACTGAGATTTTTCTTCATTTATTTTAATCGATACGAGGCTGTACATGCAGAATCCAGATTCCTCGTGTTTCCGGTGCCTTGCATCTTTGCTACCCAAGACAGAGCGCTTGTGACGTCAACCAATCCAAAGCCGCTCTCTATCAAGACGCCTTTCCCACTGCTTCCAGAGTGCCTCACTCTCTCCCAACCCCGTGGCCAGTGCCAATATCTCATCACATGTCTGTCTCCTGTCATATTTCCACACTCCCGCCCTGCAATGTCGGTCACCGTCTCTCAGGCACATAATACTACTTAGGACTAGTACCTACTACCAGTAAAATGCTGCGTACTGGTAGGGCCACTCGTTGCATGCATGCCTGCTCACCGTTCTTCTATATGCCTTGCGCGCGCCCCCNCCCCCCCCCAAGGGCCTCCAGCGCATACCGCCGCGATTGGCCGATGCCCAGCGGGTTTCCTGATGCTCGCAGAGGCGGTGTCGTATTAAATGAAGTGCATTTGCCGGCAATTCGTCCCTCCCAGAAGTCTTTGGGCGGTGTGTGCGCGCGCGCTGTACCGCAACTTTTGTAGGCTTGCTGTATGCTGTATGCGATGCTTGCTGCATGCATCTGGCTATCGTACATGGGGTGGCATCCAATCCTTCTGTAAGACAGGTGTGAAATGGCAGTAATGCCACCTCCGCCGATTCCAAAATCCGACCCAAAGGATATGTCCGCCCGATATCTCTCCATCACCATCCGAGAGCCACCATTCTTTTCTTTGTTCGCAGTATGTACCAGTAATAACAACAAATAAGAGAAGAGAGGGATAGAGAGAAAGATATTAAAAATAACTTATTCATACACGTAAATTCATTCCTAAATAACCCCCCGCAACGCCATCTATATGCCGTAGGTTGTTGTGGGAGATACTCCGTATAATAAGGGGGGATGGGTTAGTAAGCAATTACAATCGTCTTTTATATATGTATCCAGGAGTGACCACAGCATGTGTCGTGCACGCATCTCTCATCGTGAGAACCACCATTTCTTCCTGTTATTAATCGCCTTTTGCATGTGCGCCCGCAGCAGCAGCTCCCTGTTCCTCGAGTCCAGGATGCCAAGCGCAGCTCCGTCGTCGTAGTATGGTTGGCCCCGCGACAGCCGCGGCCGCTCGCCGCCTATCATCTTGATGCGCTGGATCTTACGCAGCCTAACCAGTCCGTACCAGCAGACTACGAGGGAAAAGACGGTCGATACAGCTGTAACCGCACCAAATCCCCAGTTCGTCTCTTCGATAAAGTTCTCCAGGTTGGCGCCGTAGAGCCCAGCAATAAATGTGCCCATTGCCAGCCCCAGTGTCCCGATGCTGAATTTGAGCTCCAGAAGCATGAGAGCGTTTCGATTGGCATCAAGAATAGCTCGAGAACTGTCAAGCAGATGATTAGAATAAACAGCAAAGAAAGAAAGAAAGAAAAGAAAGAAAGAAAAAATAATGAGGGTCAAGAATCAGTCAAACTCACAGGTCCTCCGTGTTCCGGATGCCAGACACCAAATTGCTGGCCTCTTGTACGATTTCATCTGCAAGCTTGTGGTACGACTCAAGCAGCATCTCGACCTCCGTATGGTCGTCGGTGCTTCTGTACAAGTCATGTACTTTTTCTGTCAAGTACATGGCCGCCAAGTCATCGTCCGCCTCCAACAGCTCTTCAATGGCGTCCCGCACCAGCTTGGCCTTCTGTTCAAATGTGCTAACTCTCTTGGACAAGATTAAAAGCTGACGCAGCTTTTGCCGGTCAATGTCGTCTTCGAGCTCACTAAGAACGCGCATAACCGGCTCTCGCACAGATTCAAAGTCCGCTTCCAGCTCAGAGGTAACCGACGTCAGCACAGCTTCGAGAGCACGGAACTCGTAGGGCAGCCCCGCCACACCAGGCGGCGGTTTCTGCTGCAGCTTGCCCTGGAGGTCATACATAAAGGCAGACTGCGGGTAAGACGTCTTGGAGCCGTAGACGTCAAAGAGTAGCACGCGGTCACGCTTGATGAGGACTCTTAGGTGTAAAAGGTTCAGCAAGATAGCTGACGGGCGAACGAGGATGTGGGGGAGATTGGACGAGTCGATTTTGCGCAAATCGCGAGGCAGTAAACCATACTGTCGATATTACAACATGGTTAGCACAGCACAGCACAGAACTTCCGCTGATGGACCCAGAAACTCTCTCTAAGAAACCATACCTTTGCAATCAGTTCCGTCTTTTTAAACTCGCCATCCATTAGAATCACTTTGCCGTTCTCATCAACCTCCGTACATCGTAGTCGCGGCTCCAGCGCTGCCTTCGCAGACAGGATTCTGCGATTGTTGAACATGGATGAACCATGGTCTGCATCATCGCGCGAAGGTAAATCATCTGGTTTCAGAGACTTGGCACCTTTTCGGGCTCCAATCCCCCATAGTCTTTCTTGCCATGACGGGCCCGCATTCGCATTCGTCGTCTTCTGGTGCGCAGGCGTCGAGGTATAAAAGGATTCCCTTTTCAGCGTTCTCGCACAGCCTCTTTGCACCGCTCTCCCAATCTGTAGCTGCCCCAGGCTAAAAATCGACGACTCAAGCTCGGTATATAAAGTCGGCTCGCTGGAACTGGCGCCGAGATTGGTCGAATGCGCTCTCAAGGCTCGCTGGCCGGGGGCTCCGTTCGTCGCTCGGCTTCGACACACATTGCTGCAGTTGTAGTTGAAAAATGCGATCTCAGACTGCGAGCGCAAGAATCGCAAGAGGCTTCGCGAAGGGACTGGCGATCGCAATGCCGCAGATTGCATCGCTATAGAGTGGCGCGGCGATGAAATATCTTCAACATAGACGCAGTTGGACGGCCTGTCGAGTCCGAGCCAGCGATGGCCGATATGAACACGGAACAGCACCACTGCTTCTATTGGTTCAGTAGTAAAAAAGAGCCTCCTCTTCTATGAATGTCGCAAATAATAACAAAACAATCTGGTGATGTCTGCCGTTTCTTTTTTTTTTTCTTTTTTCTTTCCCCCTTCAGCTCGTTAACACGCCATGTCGTATTGAGTTTGCCTTCTCAAAATTTACCTCGCTATCGCAATCGGGAGTGCACGGACCACTTGCCTTCCTACCCACCCGGTTCGTTCCTGCCAGCGCATCTGGAGAGAGGACACGGCAAGAACGCCTCAAGTGATAAAGTACAGGAATAATGGGGTACCTCGTACTTGTACAAACAATAATTCAACCTGTGCACAAAGCTTTCGATTCCAACTATTACCTCTAATTTCTTGCATCTTCAAGTCCTATATCCACGACACTGCCCGACTCTTTTGCCCCCCTCCCCCCCGTCCGCATATACCTACCGCCACTATTGCCCATTACTACTAAGGTACAGTAGTGCTTCGATGACTGATCAAAATGGGGCCAAGGTTCAGAAATTCAGCGGCCTGGGGTGGCTTGCAAAGCACCATCGATCGACTCGTCCCAAGCATTTATTGCTCCCGCCCAATTCTTCCTGGTGCAGCGTCCCCCAGCAAATCTGCACAATTCCAATTCCTGGCCCAGCAACCACCATCCTTCGGCTGAAGTCTATTCACCGCCGTCTTGGTTTCGACTTTACCGCAACAAGACAAGAAGCTGCCGGTAGTCGAGCCGCGAAGGCAGGCCGTCTCCACCATAAATTGCCTGCCGTCCGCCCCCCCAAAAGAGGATCCCCATAACGTCCTTCCAGCGGTCCCATCCGTTGCTGGAATTTCCTATCAGACGGCTGATTCTTGCAAACACCTATATACGATTGTGCAGAGGCCTTCATCGCTCTCCCCCTTCTCCGTGGACGCTTGATGGAACTTACCAAAATCCACGTCAAGGGCAAACGCAAGACGCCTGCCACGAGCCGTCCTCGGGCGCTATGCGAGCAGCAGCCACCGTTCAAGGCCCCAAGGACTAGGAAGTCATTGTCCTCCGTCATGGCCACTCGAAAGACACGCCACCGGAATACTCTGGACTCTCTCCCAGCCGAGATTCTCGAAAATATCCTCCTGTACAGCACCAATCTCGCTCTGCCCCGCGTCAGTAATTTCATTGGCGCGAAGCTATCCGGACGGGCTACTCTGCTGCGTCTCTTCATCCTGGCTTTTCATGAGACCTGGGAGCAGTGGTTTGGCATTCCCACAAACCCTGCGATTGTCCATGGACCTTGGTTCGACAACGCCCAGCATGTTCCTTGTCGTGGAGACCCTAAATTACAGGTTCGTTCTATCCCTTGCCTCCGAGATGGAAGTAGCAGACGCAGTCCTAGCATATATACTTGGACATGGCCGGTCACAGACGCGCCAGTGCTAATCTAGGCATGCGTACACATATAGTCTCAAGTGCTTGATCAGCCTTGGATCAGCATTGATTTAATCTTGCAAGCCCAGCAGACGTGGGCTGACAATCATGGACGGGGATGTCATTATCAACATGGTACCTTTTGGATCGATGATTCTGAGCAAGCCGGCCACGAGTATGACGGGGGTTTCTCTCACTTTAATGCGCGCGAGTGTTTCGAGGCCGACTATCAACAGGCCCTGAAGTGGCCCGCGTTTGCGGCCCGAGGCGTTCACTGGTTCTCACAAGATATCCATCCCTTGACCCGTATCCCATCTAGACTCATCGCCGGCCCGTGGGACGACGAGATGCAGCGCCAGCTGTTTTGGCTTTGCCGTGGAGGCTACATGACCTGTGGTAAACTCCTTGTCGAGCCTCCCTGGGAGGTCAAGATTGATCTGATCCGCAATTCCATCCTCAATGCTGAAGTGCCCAACATGTTAGCCATCAACTGCCTTTATCGCACCTGGGTCTTTGATGGGCTGCCTACAGAAGTAATAAGGGAAGAAATCATTAGGCTCGAACGTCGAATCCTATGGGGAGGTGACCCACTCGAAACACGAGAGTTGCTGCGGCGTATTCGAAGTGCCTTTTTCCTCTCGCTGCACGTCCCAGATTCCAGATCAAACTCCATAGTCAGGCGAGCCGACATCTAGCTGTGTTCTTCCTACTCATCCCTTCATCATCCCCTCCATCCCCTCCATCCCCCCCCCTTCTCCTCTTTTTGTCCTCTTAATCCTCTACTCCTCCTCTTTCTCGGGTGTCTGGCTGTCACGAAGTCCAACATTTGTTAAAACACGCGCGGGCAGGGCACCAATGCGGGCTGTACACGTATGATGTCAAACTTCACGAAAGCATGACAATGTACCAAAGAGCGGGCATATCAATATTTTTTGCCCACTATTCATCTCTCAAGGCCAATCAGCGTCTCTCTCCTTCCTACGTACAGACTAGGTTTGAAGGGCGGGGTGGCCGTTATATCTCGGCCAAGTGTATAGGCTATATGAGATTCGAGAACTGACAGCTGTCACATTAGCCGGGGCTGCATGTTTGGAGGACCCAAACCAAGGCTATAGTCAGGTGAACACAAGAGGTGGTTGCACAACATCTCTTCGAGTCAAAAACGGATAAAGCAACTTCCAACGCAATTGAAATCTGCGCAATGAGAGCGAGCATGCCGTGAACGAACAGACGCATTTCCGTCAATCACGTATCCAATCATGCCCACGTTGAAATCGAGCTCTTTGCTGCCATTCAACCATTTCTCTCTCCGACGTTGGGTCTACCGAGTTTGCATTAATCGCTCCATACTCCAAATGCCTTAACTAGAATCGTATGATTTTGTCTAGCAAAAGCCGTACGGAGCATAGGGGTTCAATCTCCTCGCTGCACTCACTACCTTGCCGAACAATCACCAGCAGCGTGGCTGCCACGTCTCAATTGAACCTCTTCTGAGCTCCTCCACCATCCTTAATCCCCCCAAAACGCTTCACTCCATGGTCCTACGAGGCAATGCCTTGATGCAGAACACCCGGATGACGTCCTGAGCCATGTCCGCCCGGGCGCTGTTCAACTCAGTTTGATACAGCGCGTGCCTTGACTCTCTAGATAAGCCAGACACAAACAGACGAAACAGACGAATCGGCTATATGAAATGTTACAGCTTTGATGAGCTATGGTTGGTCCACGTCCGTCATTGCGGGAGGGAATTATGCAACAGCCCACATCTGCAGTACAACTTCAGCTACATGTGAAAAAAAAAAAAAATGGGAAAAAGAGAAAAAAGAAGAAAAAAATACGAGTGCCACCAAAGGAAAATTGAATGGAGGAATTTCCAATTCGGCCTTGCTGGAGTTGGGAAGATGCTCCCAGGGTGGGCTGCTCAACAATAATGAGCATGTGAAAGGATCAAGTATGTCCTACTCACGTCATGTGTACTACTTCCTTTTCTTTTGATAATATGTAGCGGTCATAATATGATATATACCAGGGTCTATCTAATACAGATTATGTTATCACGTTCTTCTACCTTTCCTCATATTGGAGTGAGCCGAAGGAACCGTTGAGACGCGACAGGATACCAGCGAGACAGACCATTTATATAGCAACGCGTATGAGCCACCTTGCATCGTGTACGATATTTCTATCGAGATATCACGGGTGCAACTCCACCCACGCACGAGTCGCGGCATGAGCTCTTGATACGCGGCAGCCCCTCGTCCATATCATATTCACGCCCTTGGCGTCAGTTTGCCGACCCAGCCCCTACTACATGACTTCTCGCCGTGAATGAGGCCCGTGATATCTTACCCACTATCAGGCTCTCATTCTCGCGCAGGATCACGCCAGCCAGCCACAAGAAATGATGACTCCACCGTGAACAGGAAGGTGCCTCTTCGGCGAGATGGATCGGGTAGCCCATGGGATGAGACGTCCTACTAAGCATAACACCGAAGTTCAAATTACACACAAGCCACGCACTCGCAATCCAAGATAGACCCGGAGCAAACCGCCAACCCTCCCTCATTCGCCACCGCTTACCCAATCAGGCAAGCTCCCGGCCTCAATAGTAACGAATGCAAGAGAGGGAAGCGAAATTTTTTTAGTAACCACCCCCCCATGTTTTTTTTTGGTCTCTCCGGGGGTTTTGCAATGACTCACTCGGTGGGCGGCCGCGTATAGAGAGATGTCCCTTTTTTTATTCACGCAACGCGACGCAACAACGCAGCGCAGCGCACACCTGAAGGAAGCCGAAGTTAGGTTTATTAATCTCGCACACACACACACAAAAAAAAAAAAAAAAGTAACATGTGCCTGGTCTTGAAACTTGTTTGTACATTGTGTACATGTGAAGAAGGGCATTACTTTACACCCCTTCTTTATCTGCTCCTTACTCGTCAGCTGTGGCTGATGGGAGTTTTGGGTACCAAATCAAGAAATACTTACTCGCTGAGGGCAGGCTAAATAGAGGCTTTAAATCTATAAACAGGAATCTTGGTGGTTTAGTCCCGTAGTAGTCTTTATGCTAGTCCGTTTGATGGGCGGTTTATTGTATACTTGATAGCAATGTCACCTTCTAGCTTGTCTAATGAATCATGCGTCACGAATGGAGAAGAAGGCACAATCAATAGTCTCTGCTCATCATGTTGTTCGATTCCCCTCATTCGCTTTATCCCCAATGTTCTTTCGAAACAGGATTGGATCCAAAGCGAACGAGGCATCAGCTTCTGCCTAGAGCAAATAGAAAAAAAAGAAAAAAAAAAAAAAAAAAAAAGGTTGAAAAGTTAAATAGAAAAAACAAAACAGCTGCCTCTTCTTCTTCTTCATCATCTACTAGTCGTACATGCAACAGCTTCTCGCTCCTCTCCTCTCCTCTCCATAACCTCCCCCTAAATCAACCATCATCACCTAAAATTGCTCTCTTCCACACTATACAGGATATCTTTCATCACCATTCGTTGTATACCATCCATGTGTAAATTTCCCTTTGTGTTCCTGGACGAGGAAACAGTAAAAAAAGATTAAACGCACTTTTTCCAAAGGCATCCCAATCCCTTGCCTTGGATACCATCTTTCCGGTGGTTTATGATCGTTTGCAGAAAAAAAAAAGTGCCCCTTTGCCCCCAGGCTGTGCGTTATCAAAAGCTCTGTTGTAAACGAGACATCCCTTGGTCTCTCTCTCCTTCGAGCGCCATCCGTGGAAAAAAAAGAATAATAAAATCGCGCAAGTCTTCTAACAAAGGGAAGAACAAAATTGCAGAATAATAAAAAGAGAATAAAAAGCGAGAGAAATGAGGACCAATAGTTACAGCCAGACCGATCCGTAGTAGTTAACAGCATTAGATTGTTGGCGAAAAAATAGTTCGCATTAAGCTTGACAGGTCATAAACAAACGAACGCCCCAGATGTAAATTTCAGTTAAGGATTTCCCAGAAGCTTGGCTCTCGGAGGCCATAGTTGTGGTTGCCCGTTGCTACTTGGTAGCCGGTTGCTGCTTCTGTGGAGCAACAGAGTCTCTTCCTCGTGTCTCCAGAGGTGGAGAGGGCAGGCTGCTGGAAGCGAGTAGTGCTTCCGTAGGGTGCGCCAAGCATCTCGCGGACATGGTCCTGGAGAGGCTGGTCCAGCGATGCGGTTCTGCTACGTTTAGTGCCGGTCTTGGGCGCCTCAGAAGCGTAGTAAACACTATGGATGCTCTGGTTATGTAGATCTTGCAGAGTGCGTGCAGCATCTGAAGCGGCTTCTCGCGACTGGCGCTCCAGCTCGCGCTCGTATCTTGCTGACAGGGAGGTTTCCGTCCGAAGTCCGCCAATCTTCGCAACCGGGCCGGTATACGATTCGGGGGAGGACGAAAAACCATACTCTTCACTGCTCTCCGAGACGGTGTGGATGGTCGTCTTCAGGCTTGCTCTCTCATTCATCGCCTTCATCAATCGGAATCGCGACTGAGCCATCAACGGATTGTTGAGGGTCGCGCTAGCCAGAGACGAGGCGGACGAAACGGAGGACGAGCGAGAAGTGTGAGACAAATCCGAGACCATCGATTCAGGAGAGGACATGGTCGAGATGGAGTTGGCAAGCGAAGATCGACGAGCGGGGCAGTAGTTCTGAGGAGAAGTAGACAGGGTCGTCGTGGGGAAGCGTTCCAGATGCTGGGCGGCGGCGCTGGTGACACCAGCCTGAGCCATAGCCAAACCCATTGCGCTGCTTCTTCCGAGGAGCTGGGATGCAGCACTCGCTGCAGGAGTGCACATACCGCTTGATTGCGGAGTGAGACGTGGCGTCGGGAGAAGACCCAATGTCGGGGCCATTCTGCCAGGAGTAGCTGAATAGGCCATCACAGGAGTTGGCTCCATAGCAGGCAGGTACTTTGTGGTCAACTTGGGATCACAAGTTTCTTCCTCGGCCAGGACCGAAGGAGTTCGTCGCTGCTGCTGTTCGACTGGAAGGTTGAGGATGCTACGAGGCGAGAGCGCGCAGAGATCACTAGATCGCGCAGCAGACAAGTGAGGCGTAGGCATGAGCCCCTCAATGTTGGTCAAGTCCGGATTCAGCTTGAGAATAGCCTGCTTCCATTTCAAGGTCTGTTGAGCCAGAGTTTGGGAGAATGCACCCGGCGATGGCGGGGGAGGAGGAGGTGTATGCTTCAGAACGATCTCAGTCCATCTCTGGAAGACTTCGTCTGTAATGTGCAGCTTCCAGTTGACAGCAAGGAGGAAAGCCACCTCGTTTTGGTTGATCTCCTGAACACCGAGGCCAGAAATCTTGCTCCAGGCACGCGCGGAGTAGTTTCGATCCTGAAGGTACTTGGATGCAAGAATCAGAGCCGCGAGGAACATGCGCCGACCGCACTGAAGAGCCCGGTCAGAGTAGCGGTCCTCGTACTGCTCGGCAGTAAAGCCACGCTTGGAAACGTGGGGCTTGATGAGGACCAGGTAGTACAGGGCGACTTGCAGCGTCGAGTAGCTCGTGCGCGAACGCCGGAGAGTCTCCTGGATGAATGTCCTCAGCGGGAGCACGGTTCTGTTGCCAGGTTCCGGGCGGCATGGAGCAGAAGAAAGCGGCCAGATGGCTTCGACAATCTGAGTCGATGAATCTATCGCAATGAAGGCTAAGTACGGGGACTCGGAGAGAATCATGTTCATGTCAGCGAGAGAAACGTACCAACGAGGCTGTCGACAAAGTTGACTTTGCGATCCGACTGCCGAACTAGCGAGGGGGGGTGACATCCCGAACTGCCGCTGGAGCTTGCGGTACGTCTAGGGTTTTGACGCAGTTCAGCGGGGACAGCAGGAATAGGAATGGGCGCAGACTGCTGCTGCTGGTTAAGAGCCTCAGGGTGACGACGAATCGCCTGGTTGGCGGTCGAGGATGCCTGGTAGAGGAAGACGGACTGCCAGGAGTCGTTGTCGGATGAAGTGGTGGAGACGGAGGCATCGTCCGAGGTCTGCGATGCGGTGTCGGAGCCAGACCACACTGAGGCTGAAGCCAAGGATGATGAGGCGGAGGAGCTATAGGAGTACTGACTCAAAGGGTCGTAGGCGGGGGAAATGGTGGTATCACACGGCATCTTGGAGGTGATATATAAGGAAATATGAAAAGAAAAAAAAAGGAAGAGGGTGAGGATTATGCTATAACGGGAGGATCAATGTATGGCGTGTGAAATGGATGAGATGTGTGTATATAACAATGTCAGCTTGATTCTTCAAGCTGGCGCGATGGTTCCAGTCGCCGTCAAGGCTATGTCAACCGGAATGCTATTGCAGTTTCGAGGTTACCGAGTCAAGCTTGCTGGTTCTACAGCATCAACAAGCAGTATGCGCTGCTGATAGAACCGTGTTCGAGATGTATAAAGATGGCTTTCTTTCTTAGATAAGAACGTGAGCCGGCTTTTCACGAACAAGCAGACCGGAGGACGAAACTGAGACGGCGACTGGAGAGATAAATCTGTAGATTGCAAGAGGCATCGCGATTCCAATGCTCTGGCGGGCTGGTTGATGAGGGGGTGATGAGACTCTAGAGCAAGTCTGTCATCGGTTGAGGTCGGTGCAGGGGCGGGAGGTAAGTCGAGGTGCGTGCGATGACGACGATGCGGCTGTGGTGACGAGGTCGCTGCGACCGTGTGGCTGTGAAGTTGTGGTGAGTTGCTGTTGGTGCTTTGTCGGCGCGCCTACAAGGATGTCGACGGTCCAGGGATCATCGATCTATGCAGGTACGGATAAAGACACAGACGAGGCTGTCAGGGCGGCGGCAGCGTATTTATCGCGACGGCGGTGACTCTTCCGAGCGTGGCCTTAGGGGCGGGTGCAAGGCGGCGACGGCGAGGTGACAGCCTGGAAGCGTGGCGTAATCGCTGAGCTTCAGGTAGCGAGTGGGTACAGACACTCGGTTGTGTGACTCTTCCCGCTGAGGTGGCGAGTGACAGGGCAGGCGGCCGCGCGCTGGCGATTTCGGAGCGCAGCGCCTGGGCAGCTAAGGCTAGGCAGTAACAGCAAAGGGAGACCGCCTGGGGGGGCCGGGGCCACAGCGCTGCTGGTCAACTGAGCGGGAAAAAATGCGGGTGGCGAGCGAGGCCTGGTGAGTGAGTCGATTTGCCCACTAGACAGGAAAAAAAAAACAAAGGGACTCGAAGGACGATGATGACACAGGAAAAAGGGCTGACTGAGAGAGCGTGTTGGGGTTAAATGAGCAAGCACAGGCAGCAGCGCGGTTGCTGTGATTCTTTGTCTGTAATTTTTTCGACGGTTCCCCTTGTTTCTGCGTCCAGGTGACTGATGAGCTGGCCTGAGATGCGATGGAGCCCTTTTTGATGCGTTGTTCTCAGTGTACAGGCGAATGCCGCTGCAAGCAGTGCAAAGCGCAAGAAAAGGGTTAGGAATAAGTGACGAGGAGAAAAATGGAAATAGAAAAAAAAAGGCAAGTGAGGAGAGACGTTGTGTTCCCAAGATTAACAACAAAAACGAAATGCGCCGGAGAGTAGAGAGGCACCAGAGCAGACTTCGAGAGTCGCTGGCGAGCTTACAGGGCGGTACCGAACTTCATGGTGACGGTTCGTTGGGAAGAGAAGAATCGACGGCTGCCATGGGGGTCGTGGCATAGTTTTGAATGGAATCGCAGCGCCCAGGAAATGGCGCCGGGGCAAGCGGCAGACACCAGCGAGACACCAAGCGGGAGTACAGGGGGCCAAGGTACTATGGAGCAGCAGGGAGCGCGCATTTGGGCCTAGCCCGGTTTCGAGGTACCACCCAGCGCTCTTCCTTTTCGTCGTTGCGCCTCGACTGCGCTGCGCAGATAGACGCGCGCTGATTGGCCTCCCAAGGGGCTCCTCAGCCCCGCACATTCCCCTCCCGCGTCGACGAATCACTGCCAGGCTGGGACGCTCCAAAGTCAATCCAGCGCCATTCGTTGCTTTTGGGGAGGGGGTCGGTCCCCAAATCTCCACACGCTTTGCTGCGCTCATGCCATACAGTGGAAGCGTGTGCAGAAGGTACCTGTATATTATGCCTCTGTACAGAATGAATACGGTCCAGTATGCTGACTCTGCTGACCAGTTTTGATTAGGTCCTTTGCCTTTGGCTGAGCCTTTCTCTCCCGCGTTGGCAGCAAGATGCGAAATATTTTTATTTCGCCTCTGTGTCATGGATGTCACGCTGCTGAACCCCCAGCGCTTTTACTTCGTGCAGTGGGATGTTTGCTTTTTGTACTGCCCCAAAATGCTTGCGCTAATAACGGCCATTTTCTTGTAGGTGGCTTGGTTTTTTCGTTCTTTTCCTTTTTTTTTGGTGGCCTCATTGCCTTGCGCGGCCTAGCGTGTCTGACCTATGGCGGCGGCTTATCCCTGGCCGCAGCCGCAGCAGCAGCAGCACCGTTACACTTCTGGTTTCGTGCCCAGGCTGCTGTGCAGTTTTACAGTACAGTGTTGTGCGGCGCTGCTTGCTGCTCCTTATTGCAGTTGGGTATGTTTCTTTCTTTGCTGCTAACCAACGCTGCTCTGCTCTCCCAAGTCGCCATCAGGGTGCACGGGCCCCCTCCAAAATCGCATCAGGAGCATGACGAGAGCAGGAAGGTGGTGAGGCAATGAGGTAATGGATTCAACGACGGGAGTAGCCAGGCAGCGACTTTGCCTTTGCAGCTGGGCAGGCACTCGGTCGCAATGGCCCGTCTCGAGAGAAAGAGGCAATGAAAGGCGAGAAAGAGGTGAAAAAGGAGCTTCCCTGTGCCTCGTTCCTTCCGTTGAGCTGCCTTCATTCCCGTCGCCTCTACCATCTCTGCCTGGTACCCGTTGTACGTTGTAATACGCCACTGTAACTGGCTGTTCGTAATCGCTGTGGTGGCGGACAGCGGGCGGGGGAGGCGAGTTGCTTGAATCAGTGGCCCAGCTCTAGGTTTGCTTGTTCTTGCTTGCTGCTGCCTTCTGATACAGACAGGCAAAGATGATTACGAAATCCTTACTACAGACGCGGAAAAAATACGAGAGTACCCAGGCAGGCAGTTCTTGGAAGGATCGCACCAGATGCGATACGATACGCACGCCATGCTTGAAATGTAATGCGGTACGGGCGATGGAACTTTGGGTGCATGTTTCGAGCACCGAGAACCACTCACTGAATCTGGCATGACTGCGGCGTGGCATTCTCCGTACGTTAACAGGTACTATACATACATGATAATAGGTACCCTCAAGTAGCACTTGCCTTGAGAGCGGCCTCTTTTTACGCTTTTCCTCATCTCCGACAAAAGAAGAAGAGGAGAAAATTCCTCTCCTTTCCTCTTCTTCATCCTCATCTTGTTATATAATAGCCTCGGCACTTTCCTTCTTATACTTTGCAATCAATCTTCTATTCTTAAGCACACAAGGAACGCACAACTGAACAAAATCCATCCAGCCTCTTATAGCCAACAAAGCGGCCCGTTCGGGGCAAGGCGCTGCTGAAAGGTGTACTTTGTACGTTGGTGCCAAGCTTGCCTTGTAGCTTCAAGGTCTCTAATACGCGTTTGCAGTGACGCGCACATTGCTACACTCGTGTACCCTGTACCGCATGTATTCGGCGGATGCCTGATCTAGCTGTAAAGTCCCGGACTAAGCTTCGATTTCGATTTTCTCGATGCCCGCCTGGCACACTCAATTTCGGCCTCGTACAGCCCACGTTTCGCCAGCCCGCCTTCTCCGAGCCCACTCCAGTTTTCTCGTCGTTTGCAGCGTGGCCAACGGCGCCATCTTCACCGAAATCAGACAGTGCATTTACTGTACATATTATTTGCTGTGCTTCTCGCGAAATGCCTGCGCGCCTCGTCTAACCGGGGAACTGCATCGCGGAGCAGCCTCCTGCTATCCAGCTGTGCCGGTGCTGCATGTGTCCTCGTACAAGGATCCGGCTTGCCGTGATTGACTCTCGACGCCTCTTTCTGGGATGTTGGGGCAAAGGCGGTCTGGCCGCTGTCAGGGATATTCTGGGCTAGAGTCCTCAAAAGGCATCAGGCGCTACTGAAAGTGCCAGCTCCAACTAGCCACCTCCAAACCCTGGTCTGATACATACAGCGCATCTAGGAATGCTTCCGCGCCGTGCCATGCCATCCAAGTGCGTCGAACGAGCAAGGCTCTTTCTAGTTTGCTTCTCGCCAGGATTGCCTGTGCTGTCACACCACCAGCAGACACAGAAAAAGGTCTCAGGCTGTCACAAGCATGAGTTGATAGTAACAGCTGCAACGCATGAGGATGGGAGGGAGCAGCAGCAGCAACAGCAGCAGCAGGTCTCAAAAACTACCACTTCGCTCACAACGTGGTCCCTTAGAAAGGCCCCAGCTGCTGGGCAGTAGGATACTGCCAGCGTTTGAGTAGGTACCTGCTGGATGACCTTGGCAGAAGCGGCGCCACCATTTACTCTTGGTTAATTTGCAACGCTCTTCACAGGAAGTGGGCTAGAAGTCCAGCTGCATCGCTATAGGCCGCATGCTAGTACTAGGTGGTACTAGTGAGAGATTCATTGCAGGATGAAGCCATCAGCTCTTCGGATGCTTATTACGTGCTCGTCCAGATTACAAGCTGACAAGCAGCAGTGAGTGTAGGAGTCCTACGGCATTACTCATAGTTCCCGGCAGGAAGCAATTTCGTCCCCGTTCTATACTCCAGAAATGTCGTGCAGCTTTTTTTATAGAGGGACGATCCTCATCCGCCACGCGGGCCCAAAAGGGCCAAAAAGAGTCGTCAAATACGGATACAGCTCAACGCGTCTTTTCCTTTCATAGCACCGAGAGATGCAGAAGTAGCTTCGAACGCAATCTCTTCGGCATTTGATGCCTCTGTTGTGCGATTTCATCCAACTCCTGAAACAAGCCAGGTTGCTTAGAACGCTTCCTACCTAGCATCCAGCACGCAGTCGCTCTTTTTCCAGACGCTGAGCAGTTCTATGGCGGCAGAAGCATATGACAAATCGGTCGCGTTTGGTCACAACATGAGGAGAAAGCAATTGTAATAGAATTAATAAAAGCATGTGCTATCGGTTTGCCCAGCCATGCCTTGCATGTCTCACAAGTGAGGGAGAGAGAGAAGTAACAGCCAACAGGACTGACTTTTTGACGCGCTGACACAAAAACCGCTTGAACCTACAATCACATCTATAGGCGAGAGGAGTGGCCATTCTGAGTCATCCATCTAAAGTCACCGTTGGCGCCGCGCCGTCTTAGTTCCTGCAGCGCTTCCCAGGAGTTCCCAGGAGCAAAATGGAGGCGATGGCCATTCAAAAAGAAAGGAAAGACCTGGGGAATGAGGGTTATCTGGAGCGAGCCAGGGAGACTCAGCTCGCTGCGACCCTCCTTTACTTTTTGCTTCCTGCATTGTTCAGGGGAGCATGCCGTATCTCTCGAGGTACAGCGTCTGCTAAATTTCCAACATGCAGCCTGATGTCGCACCACTAAGATGACCCTTTTTTTCTCCAACCACAGGTCGCTATCAAGCTGCAGCAACTTCGCCCGAAATTGCGTGGCAGGTCAATTGGAATCTAGTCTCCCACCGTTCATCCGCACTTATCGAGGCGATGTCGCCTGGACTTGACTCCAATACGCCCCGGAGATCAGCGCCTATCCCCTCCGGCAGTGGCTCCAGAGCGCACTTAGCCAGGCCACAAATAGAAACACGCTGCATCGCCGCCTTCTGTCGCCTGTAGTGGGTGCCACACATCAGCCTAACGTCACTGCCCCTCCTCGCCAGTAGTTTACCAGAAGAGATGCTTATAGAACTTTGAGATCGAAATCAAGGGAATCAAGGGAATCGAAGGATGGGCTTTGGGAAACGCGCTTACACTATCAGGCAAACTAACCGCGAAAGTCTCAAGCGCTCGCTCTGCTAATAGGTTTATGCCAGGCAAGCTTTAGGCTCTGTCACACCGAGGCTATGCTAAAATGCAGGCCACCAAACATATGCCTGCGATTTGCAACACATCAGTGGAAAGGGTACCTATCAGGTACACAGCTAGAAATACTGCTACTACCGTAGTCATGTCTGGCAGACACAGGGAAAAGGTGTCTCAAACTGGGGCCTTATCTATTAACTCGAGCCTCCTATTAATGAATACTGTGCCTAGTACACAGAGAGTGTGCCCTCAGCGAGGTCGATGCTTAGGGTAGCCAGCCAAGTCATCAACGATGAGGGGTTCCGCTCACAACTCTCCCGGGCGAAGACTGTCACAATTCAGAATCCTACAGGCACATATGCGTCTAGCCGTCCACCAGGGAGTGACGGCGGTTATGACGGAAAAGGTACGCGGTTCGCATGGCTGCATATTCAACAAACATGCACCAGCGTCATGATTTCCACCCTTCTCATGTCATGCGGGTCTCCCCCACAATCTCTGCGTGTCTCTGCTCGTTTTGACTGCATACGCCTGCATGAGTGCGTGAGGGGAAGGCGAGGCGAGAAGCGGAGAGAGGATAGGAAGGCTCCGTCTGCTCTATCAAACTGCAGCTATCATTGTCCGCCTGCTCGTTGCAGAGCGCCTTGCCGCTGCATCTCTCCCACGTCAGACGAGAGCCCGGCCAAAGGGGACAGAGACTCGGGCCATGCCACAGCTCTGCAAAAGCAGCGGCAAACGTCTGCGTAAATCAAGCCCACATGCTAGCTATTACCGCCTTCTCTCTTTCAATCAGTCCCAGACACGTATCCCCAATGCCAGGTCACACATGCCCTCTACCGCTGACCGCGGAACATTGGCGGTGATGCCCTTCCCGGGTCACGATAGCTCGTTGATTGGGCATGGCCTTTACTAGCGACAAACTCACTGCTAGCATAGAGTCCTCTCCTACCTTAATTGCCAACCAGTGACAGCTCCGTCCAAGCCAGGCCAATGAGTAAACTCAGCCAGCCACAGCGCCGGAGAATGAGGCTAGCCAGTTAGAGACGAGACGAAGCCAAAGCAGGGATTCGGCTCGCGGATAGTGATTCAGCCAAGTACACACATCCGCCGCAGCGTTGCTCATTCTGACACTATACGTGGTAGGGAACTCTCATACTCGGCGGATGACTGATACCGAGCGTGCCTTGTCGGCATTTCCATCATACGCATTTGTCTCTATAGCGGCGTTATTGGCGCATTAGACCGATTCCATTGCTGGGACAACAAGCGGCATAGGTTGCCATCAAGGGAGAGTCCATGGGTGTGTCTTAGAAAATCCGAGAACCTGGCCATTGGAAGTTTCCACTTCTGCCGTCTCTGCCTGATTCATTGTAGGCATGATGTTACATGTTGTGCCTGGCGTTGGTCTGTCTCTGGCGGAGCTCTGACAAAGTGTCCACTGCGTTCAAGACACGGATACGATCATGGGAGTAGGACTATGGGTGCGGCCTCCTGCCATCATCTACTCGTTGCCATGTGGCTCGTCAAGTGCTTTACCACGGCGGTGAAAGCATTGCCTACCATATCAACGATGGCCCAGTTCCGAATAGCGAGTGAATAAGGATGAGCATACGTAGGTATCAGGGCTCCCCAGTGGGCGGATCTGCCTAGCAATTGGTTGCAGCCCAACTTCGTGACCTCCGGCTATCCTTGGCTAAAGCCTAAAGCTAAAGCGATAATAAGGCATGACTCAGCACGCCGTGTCTATTTCGAAACTGCTCAGCTATCGCACTACTGCCCGAATTCGGCATCGATTCAGATTCCTGCGTGAGTCTGTCTGGCTGCTGCTATGTATATGATCTTCTCATACTCGGTATATTATTGCCTTGCCGTGTTTTTTTCAAGAATACGGCGGTAACGATACCAGGAAATAGAGCAGCCCGGTGTAGCTTCGCACAAATCTGCTTAGATAGTGGAGCCCATAACAGCAAGGCATCGAAGACGACGTGTCAGTGACATTTGCTGACAGGGCTGGCAGTAAATGGAGAGAATATCGCTAGGTGGAAGAAAGGAGAGGAGACAGCTGGCTGCCTTTGCTTTCCCATTGGCCCATGGTGAGTTAATCGACGGCAATTCTGTGTGAAATCATATTTGGTGATTCGATACGCACTACTTGATACAGAGAGGTTCAATTGCAGCAAGACACGTAGAATGCAACGGCACTTCATTTTACTGCATACTGATGCCACCGCGACGCGAGGAATTTAGACGGAAGCATGGATATCGAGCGTGAATATCGCCGCGCCGAGGATTTCATTATTCTCCTCGTCCCCTTCGGTTCCGTTCATCTTCGTCTAGGGTAAGCTAAGAGGCTGCCTGGGTGGAATGGAAACTGTTACAGGCCACAAGTCGACTGATCCGTCGACTTCTCAGACGCTACGCCGCATGCCCTGCTAAATTTTAATACAAGGTATCTATCTTCGCTTCATACATATGTACATCTGAAATCATAAACAGTTCGCATGCTCACATGGCTGGATTTCTGCGGCGAGCGATGATCGGAGGCCCGACAAGAGGTGGCGAAGCATTGTGGCGCGTGAAACCAAACCGCCATTTTCTGCTCCATTTTGCTGCCCACTATCATCCACTACCGCAGGCAGCCATGGCAGCCATGTGATCGGATGACAGCCGAAATGCTCGACACCGCCGCCGCCGAACATGGATCGTGAGGAGCTGACCGAGACCAGGGAGATGACTCTTTGATGCTCTAGGTAACCTCCGAAAGAAAAAGAAGATTCTAGCATCCTAGATATGTACCAGGAACACCCTGGCTTGAAAGCGCGGCCTAAGACGAGATGATTCATCTCACGTAAACTAAGGCGCTATCATTCAGTCTATCGACCCCGTGTAACAGAACGGAATAGGCAGGACAAAGCAGTAAGAGGCAGAACTGGCCACATCAGCACCCTTTTTTTTTTTTTTTCAAGCGCAAATCCATTTAATTGACCTAGTAAACCACGGCGTTTCAGCCTACCATTTCCTTTGGCTCCTGATAAAATAAGCTACGTAACAGTATAAACGACTTCGATTATTCTCCCAAATTTTCTGATTCCGGCGACACAAGCTGAGAAAAGCCTCGTCACCTTTTCTCATGTCAACCCTTGACCGTAAACGCGCACAAACAAAATAGTACAGGAAGCGTCCGAGTGAATCGCGAAGCTGCTGTCTTGGCTGTCTAAGACGCCATGTAGGTGCTGGCATCGACACCCTCCTTGGGGAATTCGCTGTAAAGCAATAGAGTTAGTTGTCATTTTTCTTTAAAAAAATACATAATGCTTTAGACATTGGGAGGGGAGTTTGCTTACGGAAGAGCGACTTCGAATCGCTTCTCAATCTCCTTGAGGACCTCCTGATCTCCCTCGGTGCTCACAAAGGAAATAGCAAGACCCTTGGTACCGAATCGACCAGCACGTCCGACACGGTGGAGGTAGGAGCTGGCATCGCCAGGCAAGTCGTAGTTGATCGCCAGGTTGATTCGCTCAATGTCGATGCCACGTCCGAAGACGTCAGTGGCAACGCAGATACGCTTCTTGAACTCCTTGAACTCCTTGTAGCGGCGGATACTGTCCATATAGTTAGCAACTAGAATCCCTCAAACCTCGTCTGTCGCATCATAGGAGTCTTCTGAAAACTTACCGCTCCTCCTGGCTGACTCCAGAGTGGACAGCGATAGAAGGGAAGTTACACTCGCGGAGGAGCTTGTCCAGCTCGGTCGCGCGGACAGTGCTCTTGACAAAGATGATGACCTGGTTGAACTGAAGGTCGTCAAGAAGCTCATTCAGCTTTCGGTTCTTCTCGCGTTCCTCTAGCTTGATGTAGTACTGCTGGAGACCGTGGAGAGTGAGCTTGGTGTCTTCGTCGACATAGTGCTCTGTGGGATTCTGCATGAACTTGCGGCAGATGGGCTTGATGTTCTCGGCAAGCGTGGCGGAAAACATCATGACCTGCTTCTGCTGGGGGGTAGCGCGGAACACATCCTGCACGTCGGTACGCATATCTGTGTCGTGTTAAAACATAATTGTTACCTGGTAGTGAGATAGCACGTTGCGCTTACCGGGTTGGTCGAGCATCTTGTCACACTCGTCAAGAACGAAGATGCGGACGCTTCCGAGACGGAGAGCCTTGTCGCGGACCAGAGCCTTGAGACGACCGGGGGTACCGACAATGATGTGAGGGCAAGTGTCCTTGCCCTTGAGAGTCTCGACGTCGTTCTTGATGGGAGTACCGCCGTAGAAGACACCGGTCTTGATGTCAGGCATGTACTTGCTGAATCGGTTGTACTCGTCTCGGATCTGGTAGGCCAGCTCACGAGTGTGGCACATGACAACAACCGAGACCTCGCCATTAACGGGCTCGACTTGCTGAAGCGTGGCGAGGACAAAGACGGCAGTCTTTCCCAGACCAGACTTGGCCTGGCAGATGATGTCTCCACCAAGAAGAGCTTGGGGGATACATGTTTGTTGGACTGTCGATCGCGAGGAAGTTAGACTTTAGTGTACGTAACCAAGTGTAGCAACGAACGATGGGCAATATGCGTCAAGGTCCGTCCATCGTCGCAGCATAAACGTGATTTCTAGATGTATAAATTCGCAGCACAGGCTGGGATCTACTTTTCCTCAAGCCATCAAAGACAGAGAGGGGCTCTTACAGCCATTGTGATCCCAGCTGGCGATCGTCCGTCATGCCATAAGACACAAGGACTTGAATTTCTTGCTCTTCTGCTCCTCACAGCTTGGCTTGACTATCTCCAAAGCCTTATTTAGCAGCCCCCGTTCCCCGAGTGAATTCAAGGGACAGTTGAAATCTGTCCATGCAGTTCATACCGGCAAACTCGAGGAATCTGTACGAGCTGCCGCATTCGCCTTTCTTTTTCTTCACATTTTTTTTTGTGAATGCCACAAATTTCGGTCTTTGGAGAGTCTTTGTCATGCCAACTGCAGACGCCACATATACAACGATAGTGACCAGTTTAGTCGACTGCGGAGCCAACTATTATGATTCTTGGATCGATCATGCTTCCTTTTTTCTTCTCTTCCCCTCTCTCTCAACTATTTTGTGTGTCTTTGCTTGCGAGATGGACGGACGCTTGCTTTCAAGGAAAGGGGAACCATTTGTGATTGTATGGATTGACTTGGGATGGTGTTAGAATTTCAGGACTGACCCTCCGAAGGATGTTCGAAACCGCAATCTCCGATAGCACGCAGAAGCTCGGGCTTCAGCAAGAAATCGCGGAATCCAGTGGAGTGAATGCCGACGTAGCTGCCCTTCTTGTCGACAGCGCCGCTAGCAGCTGCCTCTCCCTTCTTTCCGTTAGAAGCGGCAGCGGCGGCGGTCTCGTTGGCGGCGCCAATCTCCTCATCGGAGTAGTCAATGAGATCCTCCTCGTGAGACATGTTGGAATTGATGGTCGGTGTGTAGAGGATCAAGCTGGTTTGCTCTGCGAGAGGCACTGACGAGTAGGGCGCGTCAGAAGCGATGGATGCGGCGAAAGAAAGAGAGAAAAAAGAAGGTAAAGAGAAGACCAAACAGGTAGACAAAGCCCAGGTTATCAGGCAGAGATAAGTCCGGGATGAAAGAAAAAACACAGACAATGGAAATTGGGTTGCAATGCCACAGGTACCGAAGAAACTCGTTCCGATGGCGGGTGTGAACGAGGGAAAGATGAGGCTGCTGTCAAAAAAGAGGGCGGAAGGGGAAGAAGCGAAGCGTGAGGCGCGATCTGAGTAAGCGGTGGTCCGTGCACGCAAAACAAGTAGCGGCACGTGATATGGACAAAGGCAAAGCAAAAAGCTAAATGAGTGTGAATTGTGCCGAGCACGGTAAAACTACACTGTATGACTGGGGATGAAAGCTTGAGAAGCTTGAATATTTCTGCTGTGTATATACGTGTGGAACTCTATAATACGACACCCTCTTCAGTGCTGCGCGTTTGTTGTCATGGCATGAGGTAATCATCTCCTTCTATACCTATAAAAAAAGATACACTTTCAAACATACCGGGGGAAAAGATGGCCAAGCAAAAGGGCAACGCTGGTATACAAAACCGGCACATTTACTCAAGGGCGTCATATCTTTATCAGGCGGCCAGTTATCTGGCAAACTGCGCTCACCAAACCAAGAAAACAACCAACACTGAAGATAGCCAGAATGACAAAAGAACAGACGAACTGTCTGGCGCGGCAGATGGCGATGGTTTCGCCCACAGCAACCAGGAACGCAAGGCAATAATAAACCTGTCCCACCAAGTCGTCTCAGACATGAGATCGGTGTCGCTGAAAGCTCAGATCCGGCAGAGCCCGGCCATCAAGCAGACCATCTGCAAATACTGTGACGCCGTTCAGATCGAGGGCAAGACGTGCCATTCTACTGTGGAGAATCTCAGCAAAGGCGGGAGAAAGCCCTGGGCGGATGTTCTCGTCACCCGGTGCGATACATGCGGAAACATGAAGCGGTATCCCATTGGCGCGCCGAGGCAGAAGAGAAAGTCGCTTCGAGCCCCTAGCACTCAAAAGAGAGCGAAAGGCAGTGCTGCTGCTTCAGAGCCTGTGTCTGCACCCGAGCTGCCAACTTGAAGAGACGACGGTGAAGTGATGGAGCACGCTTGTGTGATATCATGGCAATTTCTATGGAAACCTTTGCATAACCGCTGGGATGGACAAAAGCGGGCATAGCCCATATCTCATCTTCTAGGAAATACATAAAGACCAAGAAGAGACGCGCCCATAGCCTGTTTCCAAACTAAAGCCAAAGCTAGAAGCCAGAATCGGAAACTCATTGGATCTTAAGGCTTGGATGTTGCCTTGTGGACAAGGAGAATGAGATATCTGAAAAGATCCTAGGGGCGTCATGCTACTTGGCTTGGCGCAATGGGCGCTGAAGGACCATGGTAATATTTCTTCCTGGCTTCCCAAGCAAGGCAAACGGCATTCATGATGCTGAAAAGGCTGATTCAAGTTGGAGAAAACGGGCCTTCAGTCCTTAATACAAGACTGTCATTCCCGTCCCCTACGAGGTAGAAGAGTTCTTCGAATGTGAAGCGGACGCTCTTCTGTTATGAATGGTATACAGGGTCTCTAATGCTGCTGGAGAGTTAGATGAATGCATTTTGAATAAAAGATATATCATTAGTCGCTCAATAAATGCTAGCAGAACCCAAAATGTTTAAAAAGCATTGACCCGTTTAACTCGTAAATGCCATCCCGTAGCTCACAACCCTCTATAGTTCGTAACATGTTCTCTCACTGTTCCCTTTCGTAAAACAAACATCATCACTTCCCAGCCTCTTTCACACTTTCTTCTCCAAGTACTCTACTCGCAGCCATGAATCTGTTCACGGGTTAGCAACTCGCCTCTCAAATCTTTCTTAGTAAACAGCAAAAGAAAACTCACAGGCCGCCATGCCAGCTCCCCAGTCCCTTCATTGCTTCAGCCTGCACACTCGTCATCCTCAATAAATTCTCGGTATCTGATAGATTTTTTGACAACTGAGCCAACTGAGAGTGTAAATGCGTCTGCACACGTTTGATCAGTTAGCAGGAGAGGGCACGTTGACAATTATCGAGCTCTAGAAAAAAGAAGAAAAAAAAAAAAAAAAAGAAGAAGAAGAAGAAGAAGAAGAAGAAGAAGAAGAAGAAGAAGAAGAAGAAGAAGAAGAAGAAGAAGAAGAAGAAGAAGAAGAAGAAGAAGAANGAAGAAGAAGAAGAAGAAGAAGAAGAAGAAGAAGAAGAAGAAGAAGAAGAAGAAGAAGAAGAAGAAGAAGAAGAAGAAGAAGAAGAAGAAGAAGATTGCCAAATCAAACTCACCAGCTGTCTCGATTTCATCACGCTCCCACTTGTTGCGACGCTGCTCTGCCTGCTCAGACCCTGCGATCCGCCCGCATTTCGTGATGCCATTGCCTCTTCCCCTCTTCCCTCCTTTTCTGGCAAGGGTATTTTATGATGGAAATGCAAACCCATTTGCTCAAATAAAGACAGTTTGTCCTTTTCTTCTTTCGTATTTAATCTTTACGTTGGTCCAAATAGCTTCGTCTTGGACGCGTAGATGGAAAGATTGCAGCCAAGATGGATGTTGATGTTCCCGCCGCGCCAACTCACGTGATCAATTGAAGTGCTGCGATTCTATAAATCACCGTCTGCCTACTGTACAGCTCACGATCAAATAAAGCAATTCATACCATCACTTCACAGTTGGAAAGGACATTCTCTTTCAAAAAAATAAATAAAGACGTGTTTTGTATGAATCAACATGCCGTATTATATTTGGACTACCTTGAGAACAATGCCGCCCATATCTTTTCCCATCATTAAACGCTATTTGCCCTGCCAGTCTATATCTTTATTGTGTGTTCAACTATCAATTATTCAAGCATTCTGCCGCCGCTGGCATGACGATTTTCACATCATATCGAGTTCCAATCAATCCGTGGCTTGTCAAATGTCCGGCGTTGCACGGCATGACCAGCACCGCCCTCGATCCATCACCGTCTTGCGATGTTTAGGCTTTCCCGACTGACCGTGGCCGATTGGTTCCTCAAAAAGGATAAAGAAAAAGTGGCGGAGCGGTGCCGAAGTAAAAATAGAACAAAGAAAAAAAAAAAACAAAAGAAAAAACAAAACTCAACACCCAAAGAATCTAAAATGCTGTGTGATGCGCACCAAAAAAAGAAAAAGAAAAGAAAAAGGAATGCCGTGGTAGCTCAGCCCCTTTTCGCGAGGCTTTTTCCAAAACTCAGGCTGAGGCTGATTAAAAAAAAAAAGGTATATAACCCAGGGTCGTCAAAATGTGCGCCTGGGGCTGTTCGTGTTTCTTTTTTGAATGAATTAATATCGACGTAAAGAGCCAGTCTAGCGAGGACACTGATAATGTCATATGCATCCTAGCATGACCAATGGCTGTCTTTAGTTTCGTTTCCACATGTACATATATGTGACTTGATAGCCCACCCAAGTTCAAAAAGCGCCAGTATCGAACAATAGTCCAAAGTGATCCAAACAGTCGAATTTGCGATAGTTACACTACGCTGCCGATATGTTGCTGTATGAGATAGAGAGGGTTGATTGCTTTCCGACAAGGAAGGATTGTAAGCCAAACAAACCCGTCGATTATTGCTTCTTTATACATTGTAAAATCGGTTGATGAGTGCATACAACGTAACAGATAACGTCCACAGAGACGCAGAATAACGCATCTTCATCGATGTCGTGCGAGGGATGATCTATAGAGAGGAAGAGTCGGAGAGAGAGAAATGAGATGGAAGGAGAGGAAGAAAAAGGAGAGATTAATGTGCCGTGTACGGATTTCATGTAAACGTTCCATGAGGCCGAGGCAATGAGTTGATGGTCATATCAGCCTGTTGCTTTTGCTTCATGGCCCCCCGTCATCGCCGCCGCTATCGTTGTTGTTGAAGACTCCCTTGGCTGCTGCGAGTCGATCGTTCGGAGCTCAAGTCACCACTACCCGCGCTAGCGCTTGCACTACCAGTCAGACTACGATCGTTTCTAGATTTGGGGGGATTGAAAGAGCTTACCCCGATTTGCTGTTCAACTTGCTGAGGTGCAATCCCATTGCCTGGTCCCGGGGGAAACCGAGGGCCTGGTTGCCGAGCGCCATTAGGTGGTGATGGCTGGCCATTTGCTGGTCCGAACCCATTTGGCGGCGAAGGCCTGCCGTTCCCACCTCGCATTGACGGGCTGTATTGATTTCCAGGCGAATGGCTAGTTCGACGAGGGTAGCCACCTGTCATAGTCATGGTGTGTCCACTCACAGGGCCGCCGAACTGCATCTCATCCATCCGAGAGGCAGTCAAAGAGTTGGCACGAGAGCTAGCGCCCATTGCACCACGATCAACAGCCCCGTATCGATTCGAAGTAAAGCTCAGCAGAGGATCGTCCAAGATGTTGTCATTCAGCGTGGGCATTTGGCTTATTTGACTCATTTGGCTCGAACGATGGCGACCAAAGGGTCGAAACCGACTGCCTTTGGATGACGGTCCGTCTCCTTCGGGGTTTCGTCGCATCTGGGACGGAGGTGGGCCAGGCATCTTGCGGTTTTTCTTGGAGGTGACGCTCATCATGTCGAAATTATCAGGGTCTATAACAGGAACGTTGGCGGCCATGGATGGATCGAAATAATCGTCGTCATCGTCGTCATCGTCAAATCCGCCCCTGGAAGGTGGTGGACCGCGACGAGAGGGGGGCGCAGAAGGCTGAGGAGGACCGCGCCTCATCCGCATCTCCTGCTCTCTCAAAGCCAACTCTCGTTGGCGTATTTGCAGTTCCCTCTCTCTGAGAGCCATATCTGAGTTGTCGGTCCCAAATGACGGCTCTTGGCCCTCTGGGATATCGTCGTACAGGACAAGATGGGAGAATTCTTCCAAATCATTGCCATCCATCGAGCCACGTCGAGATGCTGCACGAGAACCTCCGCCATTCATTTGAGGTGGTGGCCTTCCGTAGCCATTAGGTCCACCATTTGCCATAGGTGGAGGCCTACGCATTCCTCCCGCATTGCTGAAATTGGACGATGCCCTAGGCCGTGGTTGACGAGGTGGCATTCCGTTGCCATTGGGCATCATGGGGCGGAAGCCAGCTTGAGAAGGTCCCCGAGGAGGAAGCGGTGATACATTGTTAGGTGAGCCAGGTGCTGCGTCTTTCGGCCGGTTACGGTTGACAATGTTGAGGTTGTGGAGGATGGCGTAGAGGGTTTCAATTCGAGGAACGGGGACTCGGGCCTCGCGGGCGAGCCTTATCGGCGATCCGAGGTATGTTTCAACTTCCATGGGCCGCCTGGCAACATAATCCTGCCACATGATGCTTTCGGCCTGATTTGGCTTCAACATGTCATCCATGGTCAGTTGCTTGAAGTTGGGCGCAAACTTGCAGCCGTTAGCCTCAGCCAGGCGCAAGAGTTCGTCAATGACATCGGAGATCATATCCTTTACGCCCACTTTCTCCAAAAGCGCTACATGATTAGATGTTTCGAATATTACACTGACGGGGTGGAAAGCAATGGGCCTGTGCGCGTGTTACTCTGTCAGCCAACCCAAGGAAACCTCCAGCTGTCTCAAGAAAGCTGACGACGACTTACCCAATTACTCTCTCATATTGCTGTTGCCGAATGTTGGGGGATACTTGGCTATTCACCTGGCCGGAGCTAAGCGTCATGGATATAGCTTGGGCCATGTCTTCTTGGATAGACTGTGGAATGGTGGTATTCCGACTGGCCGCTCCGATCCAAACATCTGTTGAACCTTTGTGCTCAAACTCGCTCTGGCCAAGCTGGTTGAGCTCGGCTCCGGAGACAAGTGATAGGACGACATTGGTCGGGAAGCGTTCCTCAATTGCGCTCTCGATTCCAAGGGTGTGAGTGGTGTTGACAAGAATACAAGTGTGCTGAGGAGTCACAACGGAATCGATAACGGCGGCGAGATCGTACACGTCGGGAAGGGCCTTTACACAAAGGATGACGTAATCGAAGGGGCCGTCTCGGTTTCCAGCAGCATCTTCTGGGTTTCGGACAACTGAGGAAGAGGAACGGGCGTCAGTACGTTTGTTCATTATTCCACCTCGCGAGTGACGGGGGCGCATCATCATAGCTTACCATGCCGGGGTTTAAAACGCTCATTCCCAAAGGTTTGTGACCTGCAATGGCGGATGTTAGGAAGGAACAGGTAAGGATCGAGGGCCGTCCATAATGGCTACGTACTTGAAAGAGATGCCATACTGAGAGACGTGCTCAAAACCTGATTTCCATACCAGCGTGACGTCGCAGGCGTTGGTAGCCTGGAGTCTCCACGACAGGAAGGCCGAGACGGGATTGCCTCCAACTGAGCATACGCGCATTAGCTGATCACTCATAACGAATGGTAGGATCCAGGGCGCTGCATCTAACAGGCCGCTTTGTCTGCGAGGGAAGGACTCGAGGCTGAGGATCTGGGAGAGGACGGGCAGAAGGAAAAAAAAGAGGGACAAGAAGTTGGAATCAATGGGGAGGAATTGTTTGGGCCAAGCGAGGCTTAGGAAGAAAAGAATAAACTTGGAGAAAGGACACTAAAAGTTTGGGACGGGCAAAGTGCCAGGGTGGATATTTCAAGTACAGGAATCGGGGCGTGTCTGTGAGAAGCGGCATGGGGGTGGGATGACAAACCTGATAGAGTCTTGAGACGGGGCGTCTTGGGTGCCATTATTTTGTTGGAACCCAATGGGGATTAGTGAAGTGGCTAAGATCTGGGAAATGGGAGGGCAGCGGCCTCTCACGATGGCCGTGTGGCCGAAGTCCCACGACGCGCGAGCAGGCGGGAAGGGGTTATCCTTGTCAGCGGACCAGAACAGTTATATCCGTATGTATGTACGGTAAAAGAAGCGTAACCGTCTCTAGAGCGGGCTAACTGGCGCAATGTGCATATAGCAATTGGTCGATATCGCGGTCGCAAGCAAATGCTATGTCAACTCGCCTGTGGGATAGCTGGAGCTGACTCGGGAGACGAAGTGGACCGTTTCAAATCGTGTGCCGGCCTCAGTTCGATTTGAGGGCTCTGAATGCGGGATAGCGGTAGCTGAGTTGTGAAGAAGACGATATTGGGGGAAAAAGCGATAGAGGCAAAGCAAGCTCTAACTCAGAGGCAGCATAACTAGTGACTCAATGTTAGAAAAAAAAAAAAATCTTGTGAAGAGACTTTGAACAAGCATGCAGCTGGCTGATTGGGTATTCTTTTTTTTTTCTTCTCTCTTTTGGGGGCGTGGGATAGGGGCAGGTGGGTTGCTTACAGCAACGGGTGGCAGATAACGAAGGGCAACGAGCAACTCAGGCCTTGTTCACAAGGTGTGAAGGGCCCGGGGATGGTGGGACGAGAGGGCTGAAGAGATAAGTGGACGGATGGGAAATTATCTGGGGTTTTCTGTAGGACAGACGTGTGCGTGGGCGGAGTCGAGGCGAGTCGAGGCGAATAAGAATTAAGCATACATGGACAGCAGCCGCGCGCTGGTTTGGTTTGCTTCTCGAATAATGAACTCCAAAAAAAGAAAAGAAACAATTAGCCTCGGATGGGGCGTGTTATTCGGATAGCCGATCGGAATTATTTGCTGCGTAAGAGAGACTGGACGGCGATGCTCTTGTCTGGCTGCCTGTACGCGAAACGACCGACAGGGTGCATGAGCGAGCGTTGGATGGAGACGGCGCGCCAGGGAGAAAGCAAATGGCCCGGCTGGTGCGTTGTACGCGGCAGACCCCAGCCCAGCTGAAAGAGGAGATGGTATGTTCGTAGGAGCGGATTCGAATTAGTCGCGGATGGTAAATAGCTGAGGTGGCGGAGAAACCGGCAAGTTAGCAAGATGGAAGCTAAAAAAAAAAAAAAGAGAGAGCTCCAGGCAGGTCGATCAGCGGAAGGGGAGAGGGAGAGAGGCTTGGGCTGGCTGATGGCTGAGGCCTGGCCAGGCACTCGCTGGCCTTCAGCGCTCAATGGCTGCAGAGGCCCGCCGTTCCGTGCTCCCGGAGCTCCCTGCGGCGCCGTGGCCCCAACAATGGAGCCCTTAAAGTGGCCTGGACTGTCGATGCCGATGATACGTGGAAAGGGTTGTGGCGCAGACCAAGACAGAGTTTTTCTTTTCACTT